ATCTGTAATATTTTTCATGCTATGGACATAATGTCTGTTGCCACGGTATATTTAACAAACATCAGCACAAACTGTAACAGATTCTCGTCAAGTTGCATGTATATTTGAGTGAAACAAAAAATATGGCCATTGAAACACTCGAAAACACGGAGTTTATTATTTTTTTGCCTGACTTGAAAATAATTAAAGCTGATTGATCCATGGGCATAAAGGCATGATTGATTAAGAATCCTATAGCACATTAGAAATGGTGAATTCTTGGGACATAACTCTGGTTAATTGGTGCTGGTAAGAAGACATGAAGATATAAAATTTATGTCTTAGTTATATAAGTTTGAAAAAAATGCTTCTGTTTCCACTTTGGGATTACAAATTACCGTCTGATATTATTTTCTTGATGTACATTAAAACTCAACAGCTTAAGTATGTTTCACAATAAACTGAAGACACAAACATGTTATGAATTTAAATATGTTCGAAGTCCGGCTTCCCAGAATTGCAACGTTGAATCATCTTTTTATTCAAAACCAACTTAAACATACAGGAAAAGATTGATTCAAGTTTCTTCATGTTCTTTCATTAGCACGTTGAGAGGAATCCGTCATAGCTTGTAATAAGCGGTTAATGTAAAAACCTCTGCCAGTGGGTGGAGTTTTTTGAGAATATTTTCGCCAAAATTTTAATATAGTCTACCAGCTGGCAATTAATAAAAGTTGAAGATCATAACAAAGTCATGTATGTTTGAAAAAAATTTCCCATTCTTAATTGGTATCACTGGCTGCATGGAGATGAAGGAAGATAACGTTGGAACCGTTCCTTCCACGCAGCTTGCTGTGATTGAAGTTAACACTCCGTTACGCCTTTCCCGCATATTTTATCACTGCCAACAATAACAAGAAATGAAGCTCAATTTTGTACAAAAGACCGACACAGCAAGACAAAAATAAACAAATGGGTGTGCGACTAAATTGACCGTCTTCTAATCGAATGCAATGAATATAACAGTTAGGAAACGAACAATAAAAATGACAAACATGTGATGTAATAATCGCTCCGTAAACAGCTAAAAGTCAATGGAAACTGTAAAGCTTTTCGCTTTAGTCTTGAAGTAATCAACGAGACGATTTTTTTTAAGCTCTCTAGTAAATTTCTTTGTGTGGTTAGCAAGTCGATGTGGACGATTTCATAGACACTTACGAGAATTTTGTGGGCGTCACCCGCTGTCTTGCCTATGGAAAATAACAAGTCGTACCTTTGTTTGCCTGGTTCGACAGGTGCTTTTTATCTGTGAATGAGTGAAAGAGAGATGTAAATAAACTCAGAGAGCTTAAAGCATGAGTCATAAATCTCTCGCCTTATTGTCCAAACAATTTTCGTCAGGGGGTCAGAAAACATTTAACCTCTGCTAAAATCCAACATACTAGGTCGTTTGACATGTTGGTAAATCCAGTGCACTGTTTCAGAAGTTCATACGTTATTTAGAGGGGAAAACAGCTGTTTCGCAATCTGTTTGGAGAAAAAGAGCTAAAAAAAGCCAATTCATTAACTGATAATTGAATATTCTGGTACAGATATTTGAAAAGATTGTTGACAATAATTATCACACACAGGAAGATCAGAACAGATTTTCTTCTTCGAATTTACTCTGTAGAACTTAGAAACATTCATAATGGGAGAATGTTATGTGAAGGTTGTTCAGAGAAAATGAAAACTGAGTGGCATTTTTAATGCCAGATAGAAGAAAACTTGTCAATCATTCTTTTCAGGTTGCTTGTCGTCAGTTTAAATGTATGGGAGAGCAGCTGAATATTAAGCGACGCCGTTAAGTTTCCATATTTCATGCAATTAAACTTGGTGACGGCAAGAGTCAGGAAAGAAACATACGATTTATTATACTCTATCCAAAACAATTCTAATTCTGTTCATAATTAGAGACAAAATGTTGTTTCGAAGCAAGTATATTTATATTTAACCGAGTTACCTTCACTTGAGGATTGGACTATTGATGAATCGAGAGACCACGAGCAAAACCGCCTTTCTTCTGTTGTAATAAAAGTTTGTGTGCCCACAACACTGATTTTTTTTTGTAAACCGGCTAGTTTAATAAGAACACTCCTAATCTACAGAAAACCAACGCAAATCGTGTGGAGTCTGATGAACACCGTCTGTTGTTTATTTTGATAAAGGCCTTATCGGTAATTGGTCATAATTCGGAATATTGGATCGTATTTATCCTTTTATTAAACATTTGTATTTAACTGTGCAATTAATTAGTCGACTGCTAATATCTTTTGAGACTATCGGCGTTAATCTTCTCTCGCTTTTTCTTTTTTTGCACAAGTTGTCTTGATTCTCAGTGAAGCTGGGGTGTCTAATGTAATTATTACTCGATAAAAAGCTTCGATGACTCGTGTTGTTTGTGGCGAGGTAAGACCTGTCTTTCCAGCAGAGACAATCTACCGCACATGTTCTTTACTGTTACTGAGCTGTGAATCATGTTGTGTTATCAAATAGAAGTGCGGTTTAGAGTTATTAAACTTGAATTCATTTTAATTCCTTCTTAATTGAGAGAAAACAAAGGGTAATGGGTGCCTTTTGTTTCAAGTGCACATGTTAATATTAAGAAATCTGCCGCCTAATTAACTCACTCTCGCTGGCTTTTATAAACTCTTTGTTTCACTGTGTTGTTGCTGTGTAAAATTCGCGACCTTTCCATTTTAAATCTCATGCTTTGGGAGCAACAATAGATTCCGTGTAAATAATTTATTCCATGCTTGAAGCAAAGAAGTTGGCACTTATAAAAACTATCATTAAGTTTCACAAAATGAAACGTTACCTTAATTCAAACTTTGCACAAACACTATGCATAATTGCTTTTAATGAAACTTCCCTTTATCTTCAATAACGTACAATTACTTCTTCGTGTTTTTCTTGGCAAGACTTATTTTGCTTTTATCGCTTGAATAACCTCGTGATCAAAGGAGAGGTTATGTAATATTTTTTACGCTGTTAAAAGAATCAGAATTCTAATTTTCTGGAATAAATATTTGACGAAGGGTGTGTCAAGAGGTTTATTACCCGAACCTAGACGCTGGGAAAAAAAACAGAAAATTGTTTATTTCCTTTCCATCACGAGATATATCATAATTCCAATAAACATAAACTATTTTATCACGTAGAAAAAGTAGAACCGAAACACAAAGATTATGCTTTACTACGAGTATCCAAGCAAGTTTCGAAACTTCCAACAAACTTATCATGGTCTGAGGACTGCTCAATCTGAATGTTGATGTTTGATCTTACAAAAGTAAGCATCTGATCTTCTTTACTTTTTCCAAGTAGATTTACTTTTTGAATTTCCCTCACTGTCCAGGTTTTAGTTAAAATTCGTTTTCTAATGTTCACTGATTAAAACATGAAAGACAAAGGCAAAAAATGTCTGTCACTCTTCGCATGTGACCTGAGGTGAGTTTCACAACTTTGGTAAATGTCTCTGCGTAGAAATTTATTAATTGCCCCCAAAAAGGAACGAAATAAAAGTATTACTATTGCTTTTTTTATGTTATTTTATTTTAGTGATTCAGCCCTAAGGACGATTCATTCTTTACGGCGCTTTGCGCTTTAAAACTTGTCACAATAAGAGCGACAAGTGTCGTTACTACGAGAAATAGAACTTTTTAGTTTCAATAAAACCAAAAGGAAGAAAGACACTGATGAAAAACCTACAAAGAGAAAAATTTGTGACAATTTTGTCATGGGCCTGAGACAAAGAAAAAAGTACCTTTCCTTACAGGGGCTAGAATCGCAGAACTTCTGTATTTGCGGTTAGATGCTCTGCCGAGTGAGCCACCAAGAACTGTCTATACTACCTCTCAGGCGTACTGCATGCGGAAAGGATTAGCAATGTCGAATGCATCCTGCGTTAAGATATAGAAAAAATACGATAAGCTTTCGACAAAACTGATCAAAGTAGTATGGTGGACGCATTAAACACTGGCGTAAACCTTGTAATGGCCCGGCCTGACTCTCCAGAGAGCTCTCAGTAGCTTAATGGTGGAGCATCGAAGCGCGCGGAATTTGCGAGTCTGAGGTTCGATTCACTAATGGAGACTCAGATTTCGTCTTTGTCCCACGCTAGTTCATGATATCTTTCTTTGTTTCACTACGTACCAAGCTGAAAATTGTCTATCTTTCCTATTCTACACGGGATCTTTCGTGTTTACGTCCATTTCGGTTTGTCACACTACAGTTCTATTGGAAGGGAGACTACTGTTCTGAAGATATGCACACCAAGTTCGTAAGTCTTCGTTCAAATTTCAATCAATACAAATTTATAAACATAAATTTTCATGAACTAGAACGTGTTTGTATAGAACAAAAACACAAGTGTTTCATACTCTTACAGATTCTTGAACGGCAAATTACGTAGAAGGAAATCCTTCTGCGATATAGGGCAAGATTTCCACCACATTTTGATGGTATGTAGCGGGACTTTAAAAGCGATGTTCAACGAGTCAGCCAGCGCTAGATTTCTAGAGTGAGTCAGCTGGTATAAAACAAACGCATGCATACCTAAATACAAAAACATTTCTTTCTGAAAAAATTTTTATTTCAAACTCATATTATTGCAATAATATTGTCAGGTATATATAATGATATATATTTTATGAGACAACACAAACCTCAGTAAAATTTCGTCAATTAAGCAACTTATTCTGGGCACACACAGTATACGTGTTTATCACACCGAGAAAAACGTAACTTGTAAATGTTTTTGATGCTGTAAAAGTATACATACAAAAAAATAGATTAATAAAAATTATAATTTATATTACAAACATCGAGGGAAGAAACTCTCAGCTCAAGTGGTTTCAAAAATATACTTTCTCTCATCCTCAAACTGAGGAACTGACTCTTCATTGAGTCACAAGCTATCTTTGAGAACTTCATTTTTGTCCTATATCTTACATGTCTACAGTTTTTTCTTTGGTTGATTTATTTTATTTAACTCCCATGGTCCACAAAACAGTGGTGTCGGTTTCTATGGTAACAACTCCACCTCCGTCATATGTGTTTGATGTACTGACCAAGGTTCCAAACTCTAACTGACCATCACCTGTGATAAAAATTCAATGAAAAACTTGACTGTGAGAAAATCAAAGAAAGAAAACTTGAATAAACATAAGGGAAAAAGGGAAATACGACTAAACATCGGAAGGGCCAACATTCTAGTGATACCACAGTAGTCGCCAACCGCAATACTGGAGCGTCGCGGGACTGCAGTTAAACTCCATCTAATAGTTCCCGAAACATCCCTCGAGACTACAGTTATTCTCTGACTGCGGAGCAACAAAATTGTGCAACAATGATCCAACACCTGAAGTCGTTACAAATAAGTGGTGTTTATTTTAGCGAGGAAACGTCAATTTCCTGAGAGTTGTGCAACTTTAATAGTAAGGGTTACAGAGAATCTGTTTTTAGCCCTCTAACTTTATAAAATTTTTTAACGAATATACTAGCCATAAAAAAAGTGAAGTTGACTTACTTAAGTTCCATTTCAGGCCAGTTGTAGTAATGTGTGTACACTTGGCGCCTATCGGTATAACCCCGCACCAGTCTCCTTCTAAACCAGTGTTCGCGTGGATGACATGATTTCCCTTACATGGAAAGGGAGATCATTAAACGCTGCCAATACTCATCACAAGTAACTTCAAGATTACGCGAAAGAAAGGCATGGGCAGGGGTGGATACAGGATTTTGCAGTTTTCTACTAAATGTCCAGAAGTATGCGGTCAGGTTTTAAATACCTTGCGAACAGGCCCTCATTATCAGCCCTACGGGACGCGTGTCCCTCCGCCCGCGGAAAGATTTGAGACGAGTTGGAGAGAGGTCTGCCGGGGGTCTGGCACTCAAGATATCAAGGTTAGTTTTCGAACTGGTCCTCATTATCAGTGGACTCACACTTTTCTGGAGGCTGAGAAACAATCGTGTCTAAGGACTCACACTTTTCCGCAGGCTAAGAAACAATCGTGTCGCATGCTACTGGGACAGCAACGAGATCATCGATAGAGTCATGTGCCCTCTCGTGAAGAGCTTTGTGGTTGTGTTTTAAAAATACTTATTGTTTCGGGCTCTTACTGAAGGCCAATGAAGACGGGGTAAACAGGGATGGTCGAAGAAACGCTCGTGTCGTAGCGCTAATAAAGGTGGGCATCATCGAAAGGTAAAGAAGGATTTATGTCTCTCCTAGGGCGTGCCTTAGCCACTCCTTTGATTTAAATCATTTGGAAGACAAGGTCCCAGAAAAGAAGTACAGCTACTCAATCACTACAGTAAGGGAGGCGGGGGAAAGGGGGAAAGGGGGAAGGGGGGAGAGGGAAGGGGGCAGAAAATTAAGTTAAAATCCGAGGTACCCGTATTTACCGGCATGAGAAGACAAGCAACTGAGTCCTCGGACATCAAATAAAGGGGTTTGTTTGTCAGCTTTGTGATGTGAAACATGGTTTCTATGTTAGCCATGGTGTGGTCAAGACGTCCACCAAATGCATTCATAACAACAATCTGATCAAACTAAAAAAAAACACATTCCAATATATTAGACAGTGTGAAAAAATCCTCAGGGTGGGGTGGGCAGGGGCTGAAGCTGCTGAAAGGAGCCAGCAAGTAGAAAAAACCTCTCTTTAAGAATTCACTAAATGGTTGTTGGCTGGTTTTACTAGATGCTAAAACAGGAAAGTTTATTAGGTTCAGAAACCTGTTTTATGTCAAAAGTAAACAAATTAAATAGTTTACATTGTACCTCACTGATGCTTTTGTTGCTTATTAAAATTCTAAGACACTTTGTTAAGTCTGTTTCATTCTGGTCTGGGGTAGGGATTATCTCCACGCCCTGCAAAAAATGTAAGAGTGGAGTGCTAATGAAAAGTGATCAGCAGATTTTACATTTAATTTTGTCTGCCCATGGCCATAAGCCAGGATAAAACTCACCTAGTTAATAAAGAGCACAAGAAAGGTTCACTGCAGATTCACATCCTACCTTTCCCTTGTAAAAGTTCAAAATGTCAGGATCAACTGAGTCAAAATCACCACTGATATAGTCTGGCAGATATCTAGTGTAAATCACATAACAGAGGGCAGCACAAATTTAGTATTAGCTTACTGTGACACCTTGAAAGCCTGGTGAACACCATAACCCTTAGGAATGTCATTCTGTTCCAAGGAAAAAGCCAATTGAGTGTGAGAACAAATAAACATAAACAGTAACTATTCATGATTTTGAGATTTTCTTGTGTGTGTTGAATGCCATTATGATTGTTTAGTACACAATCAACCTCTAGGAATTAAATCAAAGTGTTCATGATTTTCTAAGTTTTGGTTTCTAGGTCTCTGGTGAAGAATGACAGAGATGTCTCCTAGGCTCATACAAGTTACATGTAAACTCACTTTTCTTGTTCCTCACCAACTACGTTAAAAACTTGGCTGCTGCCTCCATCAGTGTAACTCTTAACACTTGCTGCAGAATGACAATAAATATACTTTTGAGCCTACCTCATCATAAAAAAATAATTGATCAAAAAAGCTTTGAACTAAGTAGGAAAATTTTTTAAATATATAAGTTCTTTAACAAATACAGAAATAAAAAATAAAAACATCAAGAGAGCATGCATCAAGTTATAAGGATGGAAAAGATTACCAAAGATGACAACTGAAAAACTTGATCAAAAAATTTTAGAGGTCTGATGAACAATTCGACAGCAAGCTATCATGGAATTGAACAATTTAAAATGGCCTTGGCTAAAAGTAAATTTCATTCATTAATGTTCTTATGTAATGTTATTGATCACAATATTTATCTCTGACTCTCTTAAAAATACTTCAATGTTCAAACTGAAATTGATAGAACTTTTCATCACCAGAAAGTTTACATGTCACTCACCAATATTGCACAATTTCTTGAACTTGTCAAACATACCACCTAATGGCATATTTATTACAATAAGGGCAACTTTCAATTCCTTATCTGCTGGAAAAAATTGAAATTTTGTTATCAATCAATCAATTGATTATTAAGTCCATCTCATAGTTAATCCTTCAATTACCAATTGAATCTTATCAATCATTCAGTCAGCAATCAATCAAACAATCAAAAGTACATAACGATTTGCAATTCCACACTTCCTTCCAAAAAAAAGGCAGATTGTCCTCCTGGTACAAAGTTTGGGAACCGTACCTTTATTTCTTTGCATGCAAGATGACAAACAAGCCAAAGGAGTCCACTCAGTGGCCATGATCTGGAAGAGAAGAAAACTCCGTAACCGATTTAAAATGTAATGCTGTAAGAATGCTGACGGAATAAAAAATATACCCTAAGCTCTCTTGGACTACCTTCTCTGAAAAGGAAAACGAAAGTCTTCAATGGACTACATCTGGTTGCAACAGAGGGTTTGAGAGAGTAAAGATGTTTTATCTCCAGTTGTTCTGTTGTCGAACGTGCGTGAAATCTGAAACGGTGTAGTGTTGTCACGCAACATGCAATCTTACCCAATAGTTGACGTCACGAGTGAAACAGTGAAATTCCTGATAGCGAAGCAATTCTGGCAGCAATGGAGCACGAAAAACCACCTATAAAGATTGTCTTCCTCGGAGATTCTGCGGTTGGAAAAACGCCTTTGTTACTCCGGTTTATTTCCGTTCGAAAATTTAGTTCTAGTGTTCGACTTTGCTGATAGTGTGACAGTGGAAGGGAAGACTTACCAAGTGGACTACCTTGTCATCGGCAGCTCCAGCGGCGAAGAATATAATCGCATTCGACCCCTTTTGTACCCAAACACTGATGTTTTTATGTTATACTTCGACGTTACAAATCGCTTTTCGTTTGATAGAATCAAACAGACATAGATTCCAGAAATTCACCACTTCATGCACTTTGTACTAAACGTGTTGGCCGGAAACAACATGGATCTCAGGAAGTAAATCGAACCCAGTCTCTTATCATTCAGTTCTGGACTAGTAGCTGGGTCCGCAAGGCATCAATATGTATCCTGAAGTATCTTTTAACACAACTTCAGAAGTAAGTGGACAACAGCTCTTAAAGAAACTAGGATTTACCAGGTTTCTATTTTCAGCAAAACCTGACTTTACTTCCTAGAAAGCTGTAGATATAAAATTTAATTGTTTATTTTAATAAGAAATTGTGATCAGATGTACAAATATTTCCACAATGATCAGAAAAAAAACCGTTTGGTGCGTATCCCCGTATTGACGGGAAATTGACAGAACAAGGACACAAACTGAGCACAGTGTCTCGTGAAGAAGCCTGGCAACTAGCTAAATTGCATCATATATACGTCATATGTTGAGAACAGTTCATTAACAAGAGACCAAGTTTATGAAGTCGTTCACACTGCCATCAGAAAGGTTGCTTACCTGAGGAAGCTAAAATCTAGGTGTTGTTGTCATCGAGGACTTTTCAAGAGGAATAAATGCAAACAGGACAAATGATAACCCCAAAGAGCAAGCTGGTACGATTAAAAAAAAAAACATTCCAAGCCTTTTACCTGCGGAGTGGACCCTTTTTGGAGCTACCTTTCCCCCTCCTTTTTGTAAAGGTATGTGGAAAATTTTCCCAGCAGTATGCTATTGAAGAATTTTCACGCTCTATGTTTTTTTAAAGATACCTGAAAAAAGCCTAATTTACAAGTTTCTGGCAACAACTGGAGCCCATCAAAAGCATTTATCTGAATATAAAACGGAACAAAAAACTCAGACATCTAAATCCTCTTTGTACGCAGGTTCTTCTGATAACCTCCCTTCCCTTCTGGCTGTCCTGAATTTGTCGCACTTACCTCCCCTCTGCATGAAAAAATAAGAACAGTCTTCATATCCGTTTCCATGGCCCTCAGCTGTTCCGGGTTTTCCCATCCTGTCGCTCTGATTAACATTAAAGAACTGAAACGTTCAGCCGTAATAGAAAAGTGGTTGCTTTTAAAACTTACTTTTCGAACTTACTTGTTCGTCTTTTCTCGGGGGACACATGATCCGAATACAGTTCTAAAACGAATCCCCTCCCTTACCTCCCGTTCCCGTTCGTTTCCCCCCTCCTATGGGTGAACCTCGTGTTCCGCCCCAACCATTCCCACCGATGATTTTTTTACTTCTTACGGTTGCAACATATTAGTAACACCACGTCTCATAAATGCATCTCTTGAGGCATGTTGGAATTAAAGTGATGATTTCTTTTACTTATTACGGTTGCGACATATAAGTTACATCAAGTCTCATAAATGCGTCTCTTCAGAGTGATGTTGGAATTAAAGAGATGTTTTTAAAAAAGTTTTTACTCAAGTATTGCGAAATCACTTGCACCTGTATTGAGTATAGCAGCTGGCAGTGGTCTCAGGCTCTCCCCAAGGAACATGGATGAATTAAACAAATTCAAAGGGTCGGTTGATAAGTTTAACGACAACGATGGCAAAAAAGAGTAGTTCTAGAATGTTTATAATCCTTTGAAGTTATTTTTTTCGTTGTCTCTTATGTGCGTGAAGAGAAGTATATCTCCAGACAATACGAAAACATCAATGGGCTCTTTTACATTTGCGGAAAAAGTAGAACTGCATTGAATTTCCGCTTTAAAAGCCATTTCCATGAAATTTGTGAAATTGTTTTTTTTCCCAATAATACAAAACAATGGTCCATTATTTTCTTTTGCTCTTACTTAATGGAAAAAAGCACTCGGAGTACGCGAATGTGGGTTGGAAACGAAATTATTTACAGTTTTACCGCCACTTTTGCTACATGACTTGACATGATATAGTTCAAATAACATTTTGAACCTGATAGCTTCAGGGATTAGGAGAGGCAACGGACTAAATATCCGTGGGCTTTTGTTTTCATTTCGTCCTATTATTTCGTGATCTTTTGTTTATGCGTGTTGAGAAGTGATTATCGAAGAACAGAAGGTTTACTGTAGGAAATAGAACAACGTCGTTGATTGGCTGAATTCTTACTGGTCGAGGAAGCCTGAATCTGAAATGGATAGCTCTCTTCAAAAGAACATTTCTAAAGATTTCTTCACCTGTATTTTGCATTATACGGCTTCGTGGTGGAAACGTCCTTCGCGGTACTTTTCCTCTAACAGTAGCCTGTTTGTTCTTAAATTGTAACGAGAGGGTAAAGTATGCGTCGGTTGAAAGTTAAAGTAGTAGGGGACGGCGGAGTTGGAAAGACCTCCTTTCTCATTCGTTGGTACAAAGAGAACTTTCCTTCGGAAGATGATATACCGTTATTTCCAGGACGGGAACGGGTTTTACCTTCTGTGCAAGATCCTTTCTTCACGAACATGACTGTGGACCGAGTAAGCTATGTGCTAACTTTCTGGGACACAATTTGTGGAGCTGATTACCTAAAATTTCGACCCATGGAATACGAGGAGACTGATGTATTTCTCGTGTTTTTCGACATCTCGAATCCTAGCTCTTTCCAAAACGTCTCTACCGTCTGGGTGCCTGAATTGAAGCATTACATGCCCTCCACTCCAATCCTCGTCGTTGGAAACAAAACAGATTTGCGCAAAACATGGTAAGAATTTATAATTTTTGAATAATGCTTTTGCATTATGGTACATTTAACAACCATGCAACCACACTCTAAAGCCTGTTACAAAGAAGCCCAACTTCTCTGCTCAACAGCTGTCAGGTTTAAATCATTACGCTTCTAGTCTCGAAATTATTTTTACGGTTTTTCATGTATGAGAATCTGATTTTCTTACAGACTAGACTTAATACTTTCATTTTCCTTGTTTCAAGTTAATTTAGTTGGCAAAAGCGTGTTTTTACTCACGCTACGTCATTAGTGTTGGCCCGAAGCTGAGATTAAATTATTCCGCTTTGTTTCATAAAACTCCCTTCCGTTGAAACGTTGGAAACCGTTTATTTTTTCACTAAGGTTCATTTTTAAAGATAAAAAACACAAGCTCATAAGTTTATAAGTTCAATTTACTTCAGGCTCATTTTAATAAAGAAATATTTCGGCTGTCTATAGCGTAGTATATATATGCTTCAATGAATCTCCCGCGCCGTTTATTGACACAGAAACCATTAATTGTAACTACGAAATATATGAAGCATAACGACTTGTTCGATCTTCAGGTATATCTCTGATTATAGCTCCGTTAAGCTGATAGATTAAGCGGGGAAATTTGCGATATAATCATTTTAGACCGTGTTATTGAGGGGCAAACACGAAGTTTAAGGCGACATTTCATTTGTCTTCATTTTCATTTTAGCGAATTTCCTATGCTATATTGTTCCTGTCTAGCTGTATGTTGACGTAGGATTTACGTAGGTTCAAGACAAGCGGAAATTTTTTCATTGTTTTTTAGACAAGTTGTTTGGAAGGGCTATATTGTTCCCATTCACCAGCTGTCCACAACTGTTGTTGTTTGCAATTATTTGTTCGATCTCCATATTTTATGAACTAGTGAAAAATGTACGAAAGCAAAATTGTGAAAACATGGCAGCTGAAAGTGTTGGATTCCTTTAGTGTGCAACACATGTAAGCTTTTTATCATGCAATGCAAATCTGTAGGCATCTTTACTTGAAGCTTTCCTAGCGAACCTCGCTGGCCTTAGTTAGGACCTCAATTAGGAGGAATTGGAATTTCTTTTTTTTTTTTTTGCTTACATTGCTAACCAAAAAAAAAGAAATTTTTGTAACCACTAGATGTTCTACACTCTCAAAACAAGGACATGCAAACAGTTCTCACCACTTTTTGGCCAATTTTCGATACAATTAAAGATCTTGTTGACACCATCAGGTTTATGTATTTACTCAGTTGAAGGATGACCCTACATCACAAGAGCTGCATCACATACCTGCAGGATATTGTGTTTATTTATTCCATTGTTTTATGGTTTCAATGTTTTGGTACTGTTGTTTTGTTTTCAAATTGAGATCAGTGTATAAAGGCTTCTGAGCAGTGTGTACTTAAATTTTATGACATGACCAAAAAACTTTGGGTTATGTAACAGCTCTTTGAAATAAACAGCACATTTCTAGCACACAGTACTAAACAAAGGACAGACACACTTTGGCAAATTGGATATTTATTTAAATCTTTTAATTTGAGATTGCAGTAGAAGATGAGAGAAGTACTTAGGCAAATTTTGAGTGTCACTAACTTTCTGTTTACACGCGAGTTTTTGCTAATGTGAAAGTTTGTTATGACTATATGTGAAGCTAAAAAAAAAAAAACTGTCATCACCCTAATAGAATAAAAAGAGGTTCCTATCAGCTGGTTGGCTTCTTCTTAGATTGGGGCTTTCATAGCCAATGTAACCTCAGGAAAGACTATAAAAAGTTTAATTGCATAACATGAAAATTTTTTGTTGATGATCAATTTGAATTTGCAATCTTCTTAAACAAAAATCTAGTTCACATTTAAAAATATTGAAAATGTAAATTTATTCTTTTAGCAGCAACACTAGTTATCCTATGTTTTGTTGATTGAGTAACATACTATTGACATTTAGCATGCTATTTCTAAAAGAGGTCGATATGTTTCTTATCTCTTCCAGTTAGTTAAATCTGGCTCAAAATTTCAAGTGGCTTTTTTCCCCAGTACAATTCAAGTTGCTTTGAAAACTCATTCTGTTATCCACAGTAGGTTATTTGTGTTTGTGACAGTCCTTTAACAGGATTCCTTAGTCAGCTGCTGATGTTTTTGTTAAATTTGAATAGCCTGGACATCATTTTCACAAATATCAGCTGGTCATAGGCTGGAATGCTGATTATTAAATAATACAGTTTTTATTACCCTTTTTTGTGAATTATTTAAGGCAGAGCAGTTTTCTCCCTTGTTCTATACATAACAGGTATAATAACTTTTCAAAATGGTGGGGCAATCCTCTCACCTGTTAAATTTTCAGAGATTCTAAGCAATTTTAGACAGTAATTAAAGGTACTACAGGCAGTAAAGGTTGTAAAGGAGAACACTTGTCTGATAGAGTTGGTGTATACTCTATTCACACTTTGTTTCTTCTGTCCTCAGCAATTCTCCTGATGGCATGATTACAATTACAAAGGGGCATGAACTTGCAGAGAGATTGGGTACCTGTTACTGCGAAAGCAGTGCAGACACAGGAGATGGTGTGCACAATGTGATCCATACAGCAGTGGGTTTGGCCATTCAGAACCAAAATCCCCCAAAGATCAAGTTGAATTTTAAAGTTTTCCAGTGGCGGGGAAAGACACCAAAAGTCTTACGACATGGGCCAGAACCACCTGTGTTATCTCCACCAGGTCTGTAGAAAAACGGCAGCATTACACTTTTTTATTAATTTTATAACCCCTTCCACTCTTAAAAAAAGGCCAAAAAGTAATGTCTCCTTACAGTATTGATACATTGTAAGGAGAATGAGATGATGAACAGAAAGAGAATATCAGGCAGGAGAGATTATTGGATTTACAATGTAACTTCAAATTCTCAGACCTAAAATTGCAAGATATGCAGGACTGAGAATTGACAATTGGACAATACGAGTGAAATGGTTTACTCAATGTTAAGTTTAAGATTCTCGTCATTTGAACAAAGGACATGTAGCTTTTTCTTTTGTTTATTATTTTGCAATTTATCAAGTGCTGCATCCATGACTCTTGTTTCCTTATCCACCACTTTAGAAGTGTGTCATAATGTCCCTCTACCTTAATGTTGAAGATTGTATTGATAGCTTCCATGCATAGTTTTATTGACTGCATCCAACATCCTTAACCCCATTCAATGCCAAATCATCTTTTTATTTACTTGTTTACCTGTTTTTGAGCAACATAAGTTGCAACTTCTCTGTACTGGTTTGCAAGGGATGTTAAAGGACTCAGGCACACACATCTCAAAAAGAGAAGGGAATCTAGCTCCTGCTGTTGTGGTCTAGCCTTGTTATTTTTTATACATGACCCCATTTAAACCAGCTTTAAAGCTGAACTGGGCAAGCATGTCTAATTAATGCAATTAAATAAATAGATTGTGAGGCACTTTTTGTGCTCTGTTGTCTGTTTGATTAATTATGCTTTTGAAATAATCAACTTTTCTTTTCATCACAAACTAGATCCAATGCCACAAGTGAAAGTTCTTCCTTCCACATTCACTGATGATATGAAGAAGATGTACAGAGATGAATCAGGGAATTCAGATATCAAACTCCTGTTCAATTCAAACAATCACCCACTTGGTGCACATAAAATTATCCTCAGTGTAGGTTCTACAGTCTTCCGCGATTTCTTTTTGAACAATGGTGAAGAAGTTGAACTGAGTAGATTGCTTAGTAATACTGATTCCTGTTCATGTCTTACTGCCAAGGAAAGCAGGCCAAACACCGGAAAAAAGAGCAGTGCAAAAGACATGCTTCACTTGTCTACAAACCTTCCCAATTCAGTTTCAAATCACCAAAGCTTGTCTCCTTCACCAAACTTGGAGAGAAAGTCTAAAACAGGCAGACCAAAGAATTGCTTACATTTCAATAACAGTGTTTCAGGCAGAGCTTTTCAGCATGTTCTAGAGTTTCTCTATACGGGTTCACCAAACATTTCTTCTGATACTGATGAGGCACTGTTAACCAAAGTCATGAGTCTATCTCACAGGTTGCATATTCCTTGGCTGGGGCAAATCTGTGAGAATATAACAAATGGGGAGAGCTACCTTATTCCAAGCATGGTCGCTATTCTTCATGAGGAAAGAAGCAAAATTGTAAAGGAGAACTTTGTCAACAAGCCACACTTTTCTGATGTTATTTTTCATGTGAAGAATACCATATTTTATGCTCACAGAGCTGTGTTGATGGCTAGGTCTGAGGTCATGGCAGCCATGTTTGGTGGTGGGTTCAGTGAACGTGATAGCCTTGAGGTATGCCTGATTTGAAATGTTTTGCCCATATTTTCATTTTAATCTTATATAATGATCTTCTTTAAAGTTAACACTTTAAATCCCAAGATCTGATTGATAATTCTCCCCTCTAGCTGCTTCAAATTTCCTTTTAAACTTGTTACAAGAATTTTGTGTAAGATCAAGATAGCAACTTCTAACTAATAACTTTGATTATTCGCATTACCTGTTTGCTGAATTAGACATGGATATTACAGGGAGTAGCTGCATTTTAATCCTTTGTGGGAGTTTAAGGGTTAAGACTTGGGGGCTTTTGATAAGGGCTTTTATAAGTAAACAATATTATGGTTTATATTTTTAGGTTTGATTCCTCATGGGGACTCAGAATTTTTTCTTTGTCCCATGTTCGTGATATGACAAAAAAAAACAGCTTTCTTTAATGTTATGGTTGCTTGAAGCCTAATCTAGCAATTTGTGGGGAAAAAAAAGACAGTAGCCAACTAGATTTTGTGAACTTATTTCTGCAGACCATACTTCCTTAGATGAGGGCCTTCTCCCAAATAAGTGCCTACAAACTAGGGCCGCTGTTGAATAATCTCCTCCCCCCTCTTCCCTAACTTTCTTAGATAGTAGGGATATAAGGAAAAACTGTTTCTATTTTCCACTCTATAACTTTTTAAGTTTTAACTACTGTGAAATAAGTACAGGAGAATAATAGGTGCCCCCATGTTGAAGCACCCTCCTTGCAATAAGCACCCCTCATTGATGCCAAACTTTTTAATAGGCACCTGGGTTGTTCATTCAAGTAAATACTACTAGTACATCAATTTTTACACCAAGTTATTCATTTGTGGTTTTTGCTACAACAGGTGACCATCAAGGTAACAACAGGAAAGAGTTTCATGGCACTACTGGTGCACTTGTACACTGATACATTACCTACTGACATGTCTGTCGGTGACTTCAGGGAACTTCTGGTGCTTGCTGACAGGTTTTGCCTGTCGCAGCTTATTTCAGTCTGTGAAAATGCTATTATAGATAGAATTGGGGTGGAGATTAAGAAGAAACGAATGACATCTGCAAAGTGTAACGACATCATTAACTTGCTTCTCACTGGACAGGTAGGCTTTCCTTTTGAATTACATTTTTTTGTCTGTAATAGTGTCAGTGACCTTTGATCTAACTTTGAAAAGTGATTATTAATGAATTGAAGGATGATTTTTCAATGAATGATTGAATAAGTTGCTGCTCACATCAACCACTACTCCAAGTTGTGACTGTTTTGGTCATCCAGGTAACTAGAAGAAATCTTAGTCATCAAAGGGGTTGATTTGACAACTCATGTCAGACTTCATGTAGTAATAAGTTTTAACGTTTTTACAACTTCATTTTCATCGTCTGGAGTTGAAGTGAACATTGTCAACATTGTCATAGAGTTTTGCTCACATTCCCTCTTTTTCTTCTATTAACAATTTGCCTCTTTCTCCATGGTTACCCAGACTTTTCATCCAAAGCCCAGCAGGTCTACTGCTGAGCCCTGGCATCACCCATATATTTGTAAGTGGCTATGATTAATCCACATTTCCTTTGCTTTGTTAGGCTCATAATGCTCCTCAGTTGGCAAGGTGGTGCTTGTATGTGATCACAACAAACTACCCCGACTTTGAAGCCTGTGATGATTTTGATCTCATTAAGGGTGACAATCGAAGGCACATCCTGGAACATCGCTGGCCACCACTCTCCTATCTGAAAGAATTGGAAGAGTTCAAGAGGAAGACTGGGAGAACATAAAATATTGAATAGAACATACGAATAACTAATTGATACTGAGATAAGTGATGTCAATCATTTAACTCCCAAGATCCATTGAGAAATTCTTCCCTCCAACTTTATTACATTTCCTTTTAATTTAGATATGGGAATTTGGTGTCATATCAAGATAAACCTTGTGGCTGATATACTTTACTATTCTCATAAGCTGTTCACAAAATAGTGTTTTGAAGTCATTAGAAGTTACATGTTTATAACATACTGAATTCTGAACTTAATAGGCTCCTATGAATGTAATTCAGATATTAATTTTTTAACAGATTCAAACATAACAGTCAACTAGGATACAATGTAGTCGTGTTATCTCAGTCAGTTCTAGGAAATCCAACCTTGAGGTAGCTTTCCAAGTATGAGATTGTACTAGTATTGGTATACAAGTGCAACATTGCCATGGATGTTTTGAAACCTTAATTTCTGAAAAAGTCGTCGCACAACCAAAGATTTGTGCTAAAGGACTATTTTGCTAGGAGTTGGGCCAACTGTTCATATAGTTGACATGTTGATCATTAGATGAGTCTCTAGCAGAGGACAGTTTAAAGAATTATTATTGAGTGATAGTTTTGTTAGGTTCTCAGCAGAGAAGTTCACTCAAATTAATTATTTGCTTCATGTATAGTGAGTAGCCATTCCAATTAAATCAGTTTTTACAGTAGGAGTACCATTCATTCATAATCAACTGAGGTTTCCTTTTGCATGTGTGACTGCAGTGTCCCATTTATGTTGCTGTATTTCTGACAGAAACAAAGGTAATGAAAATATCTATTTAATATTTAACCTTGTTGCTCACAAAAGAGAAAGAATTTTAATGCAGTTTTGTGGCAGAGAGAGGGCTCAAATATATAAAGTGTACTTCCAATTATTGTAAATAAGAATTCTATTTGAATAGGCATTTTTGTGAGTCTACTTAAAATATATTGAATTTTATGTTCAGTTTGTAGATGTGAAGCAATAAGAGATGTAGGTAGAATCCTACACAAGAATGACAATGTAGCAGCTTGCGTCAAGCCATATCATAGGTTTTGTTTTCTAAATCTTTTTATCATAGTTTTTTTTTCCTTCAACATCTTTATACAATAACTGTTGATAGGGTTTATTTCATTTATCAGTGCAACAAAAGGTTGATCTTGTTACAGAGTTTGGTCATGACTAATTTAAATTGATTGTCAATTGAGTGGAAATGCAACCAGGCTTTTTGATCGGTTGAAGAATGACTAGTTGTACAGTCAAACCTCATAATCACTCTTTTTCAATGCAAGACTTGTCAGAATGACTTTTCCTATTCAACTGGGCTCTAAAAGCCTTGTCCCATTTTGCAGATGGGAATTTTCTTAATTGTTTACAGAACTTCAAAGGCTTACATTAACAACATTTTCCTTGTTACAAGGTCAATGCACATGCACAATTTACCAAGTGTGTATACCAATTTACAGTAAGAAATGTTGTCACTTAGAAGAGACTTTACAAATAGCTATGATTAACAGTTTTCAATTCCACTGAATAGAATGTAAAATTCTATTCTCTTAGATTCTTACAAGAGAGGATAAATCCCTCCTTGATTCTTACAAGTAAATAAATTGTTAATCTAGGCTCTGTTAAACAGTGCATCTTGATAGTTTAAACAAGAAAACTAATTGAGTTCAACTGAACATATGATACTAAATGTAAATTAAAGTTAAATTTGAGTTGCTTGCCCTGACCAAACTGTATGACTGTTAGAGTGGACTTATGATTAAAAAGTATATTAATGAAAGTATTATTTAATTTGATTATACCCTGACAACAAAGGTCGCCAATATTTAAAAACGTTTACTATAAGATAGTTTGAATACATTCATGAGACTTTCATATAAAATTCTGTATATTAAAAATAAGAAGAATAAAGCTGAACTGAAAAAGTGATACATAGCTTGGAGCTGAATCTGTTAGTGTGATGTGGAGGCATCTGAGTCACTGGTTTTTGAGGAATTTGCACAAGATCTGAAGAGCCGAAACGAGCAGGGCAAAGAGGAAGCAGGCTTGCTGCATGAAGTTGCAACTTGGTGGTACTTTTTAACTCGGCATGAAAAGGAGCAGAGGAAGTAAGCATTGGTAGGTTTGGGGAGCACACCTCTTCGTCCACCCTGCTAGAAACTAACCCCAATCTTCCAAACTCCCCTTCCCCCCTCAATAAATTAAGGCTAAATTTTAGCCTTAAGTGCAAAATAAGGTGGAGATCCCAAACGTACCAAGATCTCAGAAAAATTAACCTTTTCACAAACCTGTTGTGATTTTGGTTCTATGAGGCATGACAAATTCCCCAGCATATCCAAATCCCTTTTGATGGATTTTATCCATCTGTGAATGTGTGGCAATTGTAGAATACTCTATTTGTTGCAGGTGTATGCAACTGGTAAGTGATTCAAAATACTCCTTCACATTTTACCAACTACAGACAAATTCATCACACTACACAATAATGTTCCTGGCTGTGACCTTTTATTTAGCATTTGTTTCCATTACTGGCACACAAAATAAAATAATGCATTTCTTGTCTCTACGAAATAACTATTAATGAACTATTCTAACAGTATTACTTGTACAAATATGAATAACTGTACAGTCTCTTGATACATTTGGGGTTTCTGGTATCACTGCCATGGTTCTATTTTGCATTAATAAAAATAAAGCAGGAGAAGTAATACCTCTGATATCCTTGATTTATAATCATGGTAATAAGACTGAGTCAAGTCCAATTTGGTCTGTAATCATATGAGTTACTAACAAAATCAGACAACTGTGAAGCAGGAGTCTGATTTGTGAATCACAAGTATGATTACAGACAGAATTGGATGACAAGAAGTTGTGTTACCAATTACTCATAACCAATGCAATTTCTGAAAAAACAAATACACCTCGAACAAATATCTCCAGTGGAGACAATGTCTTTAGTTAAAAAATTCCTCCATTCTGGAAATTCCCAGTTTTTCTTTACATGAGTGGTTGTTGCTATGGTTATTTTGATCATTTCTATGATTGGTGGATTAGCTAAGTGAACTTAGCATGATTGGCTACTTCAACTGTCCAATTAAAGGTGTCCCATTACACTGTCCAATTACAACTATACAGAATGATTAGTGAAAAATGAAGCTGCGAATGCACCAATGATGAGTAATTTGTAATGGTTATAATTAAATGCAAAACTGTAATACACATACAAGTAACTTAGATGATTTAAATTACAATGCATTCACATCTTCACTCAAAAAGGTTTTCCATATACATAGCTCAAAATGTAGAATTATTTGTACCAATTACTTGGCCATGTACAGCCCAGTCACACTCTCCTTGAGAAAACTCATTACATTTCTCATTTACAACAAACCTTCCTTCCCTTAACTCTTGTCTCAAAGCCATGAAAATGATGCAATTTTGTAATTCAAGAAATTATTGATAATTTTGCACAAGCAGTTTTGGATCTGTATCCCTTTCACAGTAGATTGTTGCCATAGAGGTGAATGCCTTTTGATCATCCAAATACTTTATATATATGGTACAAAAAACAAATTGTGAATTTTTTCATTATTAATAACAATTTCTGTAACATTTAAAGCTCATAAATTCAAAGTATGGTTCTTGGATCCCTAAGTGCTGTCAATAATTACAGTGTATGTCTAATGTCAGTGCTAACAGCTAAAGTATGTTAAAATACAATGATTGTGGTTTCTTCAATGAAATATCGTAATGTGGCAAAACTACAATTTTGGGAGCGAATTCAAGGTAACTGAAGTGAGGAGTAATAACAAAATTTTTCCCTCTGTAGACTTTTCAAACAACCAATGGCCTCAGAATTAGAAACTGATCTTAAAGTGAAGAAATGTAAAATGGTTTCCGTGTTTACATAGCCTGATGTAAACATGCGGGAGGTTGGGAGAACACAAGATAAGCATAGGAAACCATGACGCGAAGCTAATGAAACTAACTAATGAAAGAGGAATGAAAACCGTGTTTACATATGCTCATGTAAAATGGTTTTATGACCAATCAGAGCGCGCATACTATTTGAATTATTTTATAATTTTATATATTAGCCACCATCTCGTTTCTCTATCATTGTATTTTTAACAACCCTAATAAACAGTGCTTTTTAAACATAATGATGACAGGACTGGTGAGTAGAACATTATCACCATCATACTCATAACTGAACCTTCTTCACTTGAAGTAAATTATCAATTAAATTCTTTTAGTGAAATTTGCCGGGAAAACACCCTTAATTCCGCTCAGCTCTAGGATACCAAGGAGCCAGCCCTCATCCTGTGGGAGGAAACAGATACAAAACACCATATTAGTTGAATAGATAAATAGAAAGGTGATAAGTTTAAAAACATTTTGAGTTTTTTTTTCATAAACTGTTTTTATACACAGGATCAAGTTTAACATGTGACTATAAGAGAGTATTCCATACAACAAATCCTACAGAACAGAACACCTCATTTGCTTGACAGAGAACGGGGTGGGATGAGGTGGTAGTAAACTGTTGGTATGTTCTTTATTTGGATGCTCAGTTAAAAGGTCCACACTTGAGCTTTCAAATTATTAACAAAAAAAAACACCATTTTCATGGAAATAGTGTAAATTTTAAAACACTAAATGACACTTGTTGTGATGGAAAAGAGCAAAATATGTTGTCAGTTTTCTCTTCCAAGTAAACTCAAAAGATGCGTTGTAGATCTGCCAATGTTTCATTACTGCTCATTGTTGTCCGTTGCAGGAAGTATCCTCTCCCTGGGCTGTCTGTGTGAACAGTATTCCACACTTAAGTGATGGTAAATAAAGGATAAGAAACAAAACCAACAAAAAAAGTTGATAATCACCTGTTCCTCTGGATCCTCAAACTCGACAACATTTATGATCTCTCCTTTCTCAAATGATAACTCATCATCATCTTCAGCAGCATATCTGTACGCAGCTCGAACCTAGACATTCCAATAACAATTTACAATCAGTAACTCAGCCTAATTTTATGGCGTGCAAACATAGAGTAACATCTCTGTGGCTGAGCTGGAAAAGCAGAAGTTAAGTTCTTGGAATTCTGGAAGTGTAAATAGAGCCTGCGTTACCAAACCATGAGATGGGCTTTTAAAGGTTTTCTCTCTCAGATTTCTTCTGTTAGTGGCAATTTTCAATAATTTATTGTATACCCCTACAAAGGGCACATTATTTTTGCAAAGAGGGTGCCTAAGATGTAAGTTAAGAGCTGAAGCCACCGCATTGGAAGATTTTAATTTGTTCTGTTACACAGTCTGTACTTTCCTAAATATCACTAATCATTTCATCTTAGGTAGGAACTTTTCCTTTTTACCTTGTAAAGAAATCCAGGAATTTCAGGTCCTCTTCCTTCAGGCGGCTGCTGCTGTGCCTGTGACTGTGGCTGTGGCTGTGGCTGTGGCTGAACAGGTTCTGTCTGTGAGGCTGAGACAGGTGCAGCCTCTTCATTTGAGGGTGATCCCTTTTTTGAAGTAAAATTGTCAAATTACCAACACAGCAATAATGATGACATCTGCAATCTGGTTGAGGAGGCCAAATACCCCAAATATTCAAAGTAAAAAATCTGTCAAGCAACCAGGTCAAAACAAGTCAACAGCATGAAAAGCAGAAGTCTCAGGTGACTAAGTTGTGATTGGTATCCATTTTGAATCTGATCGGCTGAGAAAATGGCAGACGTCCTCTGGACTGACCACACAGTACTTCCCATGTTTTGGATATTCAAATGGAAATTGCTCTTAATTAACCTTAGCTTGTTCTTGACAACTTTTTCCAAGTAATTAAACTGTCCCAATACAGACCTCTGTGCTTTCAGCTTCTGATTGTGAAGGCCTTTTCAATGGTAAAGATGGCACAGACGGTTTCTCTGGTGCTTTCTTTTCTGCATTTTCCACCTGTGATTGTGGGGGTAGTTGTCTGGCAGCTGGCTTGGGTTTCTGTTGATTATCTGCTTGTGTCACAGTCTCCCCACTCCCATCCTGTTCATCATGGTCAGACTGCATGAAGGGGTTTAGGGCTGGAAAATGAATGCCAGCTTATTTTAAAAGTGACATTAATTTGAGTGTTTAGTACACAAAATAGCTAGAAACACATATAAGTCCAGCATGTAACACAGTCTAGCTGTCTAAGGTGCCCTACCTTCCCCAGGCACCTTTAGTAAGTATTTAAAACAGACATCTCTGGAGGTAGAAAATTCCAAAGTAATAGACATTTGTGTAAGGAAAACTCATACACTGTATCTGAGGAAAAAAACACGATGTTCAACTTTCTGAAGAAAACAAATTTAGATGTAACATTGCCCCTTTCTTATTGTTACAACTATTTAGGAATTGACAGTTTACAATTAATAGTGGACAACTATTTGAATAATCTAATAATAATTTACCTAATAGCACAGAGGGAAAATAAAGTCCTTTCAAGATAACTGTAGACTGCAAACTTAACCCTTTCACTCACAGGATCTCATTAGTAATTCTTCCTCTTGTCTGCCATAAATACTTATGATTTCAATTTCAAGAATTTGGTATTGGATCAACTTGTAGTCCCCTAATTGAGATTTCTTCTTTATTCTCCTCACTTATCTGCTTGATTCTGTGTTGATATTGTCAGGAGAAATTCTGTCTTGGTCACTCATAGGAGTTAAAGAGTTAAAGATAACTGTTTGGGATGAAGCCTTCAGGATATATCTTTAGGTAATTAGGGTTACTCTAACTATAGAAATTGTTATTTCTGAGGCAAGAATCCTATCATATTAAGTATGAATTCTGTGAGACAATCACTCACACAGAGCTACTGGTATTCCTTTAAATTACTTCTGGTAGCAAAAGTTAAGCATCTTTGAAGAACTTGCTTGTGAGAAATTGCTTGCAAAAATGTATAGCATTCAAAATAGGGTCAAGAGTGAATAAAATTCACTGATCATTATGTTCACTAAAAATTTAAAATAATACCATCGACTCCATCTACTGCTTTTTCAGCTTGATTGACTGTTCCATCTGAAAGAAAACAAAACTTGTTTGTTTTCATTGTTTTGACTGTGATCTATTTCTTCCTTGTGAATTTTGAAAGCAGTGATAAAATATCAGTAATAAAGGAAGAGGTATTCATTTCTATAATTAACAATGAAAGCTATTCGGAGTGATGAATTTAATATCCTATTTTGTAAGGTGATCCATTGTTAAACTAGACATTGGACATTATCCTTACCATCACTGGTTTCCACAGGGTTAGCTTCGTCAATGCAGGCTACTGCATCCCCACTCTCTGCATGTGATGAAGTTGTTTGAGTGTCCATTTCATCACTGTCTGAGACTTGGTTCTCACTTGAAAATTCAAAAGGTATTCAGTCAAAATTAATCATTATACTCTTTAAGACAAAATCTGTCTTAGTTTGGTATTAAGGGTTTGGTGGTGCATAGATTTCATCATAGAATATAATATAAGGATAATGAGTAAAAAGCTCACATCAGAAAGGAAAATATTCTTTGTTCATACAATAGGAAAGATGATAAGTTTTAAACTTGATAAAGAAATAGAGAAAGACGTTTTTTGTCTTGTCATAAGTGTGGGACAAAGAAAAATAATTGAACCTCAGACCTTTGGATTGCACACTCCAATGCTCTACCACTAAGCCACAGTGACTCTAAGGTTAAGCAAGGCCCACACTATAGACATCGCTGATCCTGATATCCATTGCCGACAGTGTGCATGACGCGTGTCATGTATGAACTTTGTAATGGGCCACACTCACCATAGAGTCTCTGTGACTCTGTGGTAGAGCATTGCAGTGCAGAATCGAAAGGTCTGAGGTTCGATTCCCCATGGGAACTCAGAATTTTTTCTTTGTCCCATGTTTGTGATAAGACCAAAAACATCTTTCTCTCAAATATTCTTCTACACTTGAATTAAAAAAGCAAAGGAGTTTACAAAGAAAACATTACAAACCTAGCCACGGGATAAGGTCTCTTAGTAGTGTATGTTCCAGTTGCCATGTCATGAATTAAACCATCCATTAGATCATTCATCTGAGTTTTTGTCTGAAATAGTATGTAATGATTAGTTTGTAAAGATGGACAAACACTTTCTCAGTTGATAATGAACTTTATGCTGGTGATAGCATGCTGGTCTCAGGATAAATTGGATGGGGGGGTAAGCTTCTAAAGAAACTATGGTGCTGTGTCAGTGGGGGAGTGTAACAGGGTAAGTTAGTATTATCAACTGAGTTGATAATGTAAATTGGCCACCGTAAAGAGTTGCAAAGCTGACATTTCAAGCATTAACCCTTAGTTGGAGCAAAGTTTATCAGTAACTGACTAAGGGCTAATGCTCGAAACGTCAGCTTTGAGACTCTTTACAGTGGCCAATTTACGTTATCAACTCAGTTAATAGAACCAAATTACTCAGGTTAAATTGGTTCAGGTTTAAGCCATAGCCAGGTCATTAACAACAGAGTTGTGTTCTTGGGCAAGCTTGCCTTTTTCTACTCAAGAGGTAAACAGTCACCGGTGAATTTTTGGGGGAAACTTCCACCACAAATTCTTGAGGAAGTCATTATCTACACTAATGCCCACTAATTCCTTTCCAGAAGAGGCAAAATCCCTTGAGTTATTTCATGCTAAAGAAACTTGGATTGATGAAGGGGCTGTTATGATTAAAATTTTTTCTTTTGGTTTCATTTTTTTTAAACCAATTTAAATTTTTCAAGCTAGCTTAAAATTTCCAGACTTAGCATCACTTGTAGATTGAGTTCACCTTTGTTTTAGGTATTTTCCTGAGGGTTTCCTTTAAATTATTCTGAGTTCTTCCCTTCGCAGAACCCAACACTCCAAAGCAAAGTGTTAAGACAAAGACTTGCTCCCAACATGTTTTCTTTTTAGTTGCAAAAATTACCTTTGCAGCTTCTCTATGGAATACTCCTTCAGCAGTGAAAATACTTTGGAATGAGGACACATAAAAACCAATACGACTGAAAATAAAGGAAATGTCACATGACTGAGTTATTTTTCACTTTTATAGTCAGGTTAACCTTTTAACCCACATGACTGACTAGGGCAGAATTTTTCCATGGAATACCAATTAATATAATATCAAGTATGCAAGTGATGAGAATAGAGAAAAATATCAGTCAAGGGATTATTAGTTGATCCAATACCCAATTCTCTGAACTAACAGCACAGGAACTGTATGGCAGACAGTAAGGGGAATTACTAATGAGATCTTGAAAGTGAAAGGGTTAATCAGGTTAAAAAAAAAAGGATAACTAACATCTATGAATATTCCAAACCTCTATTGAGAAATTTTATCAAAAGTTGTCGATGATTAAAAATAACTCAAATGACTTCTTTTTTACCTGTCAAATAAAGCAGGTAATTCTTCATATAATTCTGCATGAAGTTTTGTATAAACAGATTTTGCTTCATTGTATTCTTCCTCTGCCTGAATACGAAAACAAATGAAAATAATTTCATCAGTTCCTAGGAGTATAGCAGCCACTGTCAAGAGTTTCTAGAGCTGATGCTTCAAGTTTTAGCCTTTCATCATTCACTCTGACAAAGGCTTAAACCATGAAACAAGAGCTGATTAGCTGGTGAAAGACAAAGAGTAAGGAATAAAATTTATCAACTGAGGTGATAATGTAAATTGGCCACCATCAAGAGTTTTTTAAAGCTGATGTTTTGAGTGTTAGCCCTTTGTCATTTAGTCTGACAAAGATCTAGTGCTTGAAACAATAATAATAATTATAATAATATTTATTGATTTGTATTGCACAAATATCAATCCAGGAAAATAAATTTTCATCTGCCCATTACATTGACTCTGCAAAATTATAAAATCCTGGTAAATTATTATTACAATTCAAAAAAATTATAAAAAACAACATTTAATTAATCATTAAAGTCCTATTTACATATCGTACCTAATAATTTGTTAGAAAATAATAAGTCTTAAATTCTAAAAACAATGACTAGTGATTCTAAAATCCTATTTAAAAATTATTCTTTATAAAACAATAAAAATAATGAATTAGCTAGCAAACACCTTCTGAAATAAATGAGTTTTAAGAGCCTTTTATAGGACATAAAAAAAAAAAAAAACATTAAAAAAAACATAAACGCAAAGCATTTAAAAAAACCAAGAAACATTGGCCAATTACTGGTGAAAGACGAAAAGAAAGCTCTGGAGTAACAATGAGATGATCACCTGAGCAAGCTTCTTTTGATCAGCTGCCTTTCCTTTGGATTTTAGTGTCTACAAAAGAAACCAAAGTTTAGTTTAAGGCAAGGTAGATCAGCATTGTTGCTTCTTCTCTGAAGTAAAAAAGTCTGGGCTAAGGTGAAAAAAGGAATGCAGAGTGATGTTTTTTTTTTTACAGAAGACAGCAAAGGACCCAGAACTTAACATTTCTCTGAACAGGCACAATCACAGAGCTTTTTGCCTGAAGTATTACGGCAACTGAAATTAGTCAAAATGCCTAAAGAAACACTGTCCAGTTGATAAGTTGATGTCAAATCACTCCAGAAAGGATTACATGTACATTCTCTTTCCAGTTACACCCTTCATGCTCTAAAAACATTCAAGCATAAGTTCTTGAACATCATGCCTGAAAAACTTTGACTGAAAATGAGTGAGAGTCATAGAGACCAGGGATGGTAACCATAGCTTACTGGTAATAGTTTCAACTTATGAATACACAATTCTTTTGACCAGGCTGATCAAAAATAACACCAGTTGACCAAAAGTCATTGTTGTAATGAAATCACCCTAAAAAATTTAAGACCTTCCATTATAATTGTTTTAAATAACCAATGTGCCACTGATCAGCAAAATGTTTTTTTCAGTACGTCACAACATCATCTACAAATATTCACCTCAAGATTGTGTCTGTATCGATCATAGTCAACAAGTTTTCTACCTCGTTTATTTATTCTGGCCTGGAAAGGATAAAACAAATAAATACGTCTTTCCAGAACAAACATGTTGACAAGTCAGTCGTATCTTTAAACTAAGAAATCAAACTACAAATTTTGTCTTACATCTTGAATGCCATCTAGGCAAACAACAATATATGTCTTGCTGAAGTCAAAGCATCTTTGCCTAACCTCTTATTCAACAACTATGGTACTAAACATGAGAATGGAAGATAAATAAAAGAGAATGAAAACTTACAAATAAACTGACAATAGAGAAAAAGATTTACCATTTTTAACAGAGCATATCCTAAGAGGCATTTAAAAAAACAATAAAACTGCTGCTAAAAAGTGGACACAGACAAGACTACATTTTATACACAAGACATTACAAATTTCTCAACATAAATTACGTTACATTATGCAGTGATATAAACACATCAATAACAAGTACATAATACATTTAATGGAACATGAACACTCACAGCTAGTTAAGATGTAAAACCAATACACATGTGAAATGGTATAACAAGAAGTGTTTTTGTAATAATTTTATAAATCTCGTGCAAACATTGGCTGTAGATACCTTTATATCAGGAAATTGGCTCTGGTATGCTGTCAGAGGAATAATAACTTCATCTTCCATTTTTTCTACTAAATCAGACCACTGGCTGTGTAATTCCTGATTAAAGTATGAAGGGGAAAAATACAGTTACTTATACTCTGGTGCTGAAGATAACGGTACAAGTCCCTGGCATTTCTAAGAGACAGCCAGAAATATTAATAGCAATTTACAATTATGCTTGCTAATAAAGATCCTCAGGAGGTCTTCAATTCTTGCATAAAATAAGAACAAAATTCAACAATTCTAATCACAAACCTCTATAAGTTGAATGAGTTTATCTCTTCCTGGCCAATCAGGTTCATACACTTCTCTCACTGCATCTGCAAATGCATCACTAGATACTAACATTGCTGTAAGAAAAGAACAAACAAGTCTAAGTCAGACATCTCTCTTTATTCTGAAATAAACACCTATAAGGCTCTCTAATGTGCAAAGTTGCATGAAGAGTCAGTTTTCCATCATCTCACCTCTAATACACGAATAGTAATTTTTCAATTCTTTATGTAACCTTTGAGCTGCACTCTAAAAAGTAAACAGAGCAGCAATTAATGAGAATTTGTTTAACAATAAAGAGCTCCTTTAATGAATGATCATTTCCTTTCATTCTCAAGACCTTCATGTTTGATTAAGGTGTAACTTAATATAAGGAGAAATTAAATGCTAGCCATTCTTAGTAGTCAAAGGGATAACTATGAAGTTTAAGAAGGGCTTGGCATCTTTAGGGCCTTCCAGTGGCAAAATGAAAGGTAAAATTTTTAAAGTTTTGCAGCCAATAATTAAAAAAAACCAACAAATTGACGGGCCAAATTACCTGGCCCAATTTGTGACATATGTCCTCCTCTCAGTGTATATGTTTATCTATAATTTTTTGGACACAATTCATCAATTACTAGCTGTTCAATCCCAATATATCATATTTGGAACAGCAGATGATGACAAATAACATATTTGTTATTTTCACAATTTAACTCAAGTAGAAGAAATTACTACCAGGAAAGATAAACCATGAAAAGATTTTAGTATTAGATAAGTCTTACACCTAAGGTTCAATAAAAAACTGCTTCAGAATAAATTGCAGAAAAATTAAATCCTGGAGAAAATCAAAATTTCAATCATTATGGGGTTTTCACTTTACCTCCCAGATACCAGATTTCCAATTATTGAAATTTTGATTTTCTCCAGGATTTAATTTTTCTGCAATTTATTCTGAAGCAGTTTTTTGGATATGATCAATTCATTATTCATCACTTTCTTTTCCATTTAAGCACAGGTATAAGAAGGTGAAAAGAAAGAAAGCCCTCATTCATTTTTAATTGAAATATGTAAAAAATTTGCATGACTGAAATAGTGCAAGCTGACCATATGGTTACCATAACAAAATGACTAAGTTGTAGTCCTAATAATTAATTGAAAAAACCTGCTTTCAACTGTACTGATTAAAATCAAGACATCTGTCCCACAAAGCTGGGCTATTAATCGATGATGTCTTTTTTTTTTAATCAAATTCATAATTATGTAGTTCAAAAGGTTAGTGTCATGTACATCAGCTCAGAGCTGAACGAGATTTGCGTGTTCATGTCGATTGTTCAATTCTGAAATTGTATCATTGAACAGAGTGTAGATCAAACAGTAGGTAAATCCCTCTTAGTTCTTCTCTATCCTTTTCGATCACACTTAGATAAAGTTCAGAAGATTACAACATACATTGTACATAAAGGAAAAAGGTGATCGGAAGTCACTTGTTTGAGTCTTTTGCTTAGCTTTCCAATATTCATCAAAACAAATTCCATCATTATCACATCGCATTACACTGTAATTAAAATCATGTATGAGGGAAAAACGCAACCGAAGGCAAAGTTCTGTACTAAGAATACGCACGCATATACAAGATGGTATTTTTTGACATCTGCATGCGATCGTTATAGACTGACAATATTTTTAAAGAGTCCGTCAAGGCCCTATTACCTGTTGTTTATTGAAGTTGTTTACGAACTCATCAAATGTAAGATCCTTTGTCTCATTTGCTTTCCCGAGCTTTTGCATCACCTAGAAATACCAGAAACACTCTTTAGCATGGAAGTAACTTACGACGCGATTACTTCCGATTTGCCAAACCACCTCCCTTTGGCATCCTCTTGGTATAACTACATTATCACCCGAAACTTCTCAGAAGTTAGCAGAAAGATGGATAAAATAAAATTCTTTTAACTCGCCTTTTCTTGAGCACGCTTGGCTCTTTTTGTGGTAATGCTCGCCGTACGAGAAAAAAAGCTTTTTTCGGAACTTTTGTCGGGTTTATCCGCCATCTTGGTTCTAACCTATCACCGCTGACACGCGAGTACGCATGCGCTGGGCGAAACATCACAAGATGGCGGATTTTATGGAAGAGGAGAAAAAAGTGCAATATTTTCCAGAAGGAAGTCTGTTAAATACAATGATCATATCGATTATTGACTCAGAGAAACGTTTCACTGATATTTTGAAGGAACCGTACACTGTTTACCTCATAGAGACTAAGTGAGTCCATCGCTTTTTTCAGTTTTTACATAGATGGGTATTTTGTTATTACGCGTCATAAGATTTTGATCGCTTACCAGTTCGCGTCACCTTTGTAAGATGCGACACTAGAGTCGATGTACTATTATTTAAATTGATCAGCTTCAGGAGTATCGCGGTATTTTTACTTAATTGTTAGTCGACCTGAACTGCGACGCATCTTTTCGATTGCCCCCCTGTGACAAACATGAGATCTGGTCCTCACAGACTCTCTTGTCTCATCGTGATGATAAAGTTGACCTTAGTTTAAGATTTAGAAGCGTTTTCTGCTCGGTCAGATTCGGTAACAACCAAAATTTCTTTCTTGAGAGGGGCTTGGGGAAGGGGTGAAAGGTACTGAAGTACGTTTTGGGTTTGAGGACCATTTGACTACAATTTTATTCGAATTTAGGCCTTAAGCCCTGTTCAAACGGTCATGATAGATGATGATGGTCGAAGATAGTTTCAAATTTTATTCCCTTTCATTGACTATAGTTTGCGTTTAAGTGGTTTGTGATTGTTGATGACAGTTAACAAAATCATGCCATGAGATCTGGGTAATTGTAAACAAATATGGGCTGTGCTGAGATAAGCAATTTTGGTGGCATTTGAAATTTTAGTCAAAAAGGTGGAAGTTGAAGATACTGAAGCCTATCAGGAGACAATGAGATTGAACAATTGGGCTTTCTGCAAAATTTTACCATTTGCCATTTTGGTTTGAGCCCCTTTTTGGCAAAACTATTGACTGAAAAAGTATTACTTGCCATCATCCATTGTTCAAATGCAAAAACTGCCATAAACTATCATGTGGAATATGAACGTGTCCAAACTACATAATAGTTGATGATTGTAGATGATGGTCAATGACAGTGCACAATTATTTGTGTTGAAACATGTGTGATAGTTGAAATCATCAACTATCATGACTGTTTGAATGGGCCTTTAGAAATAAGATCTTTGTTGCAAATTTTTTTGGGGGTTCATGCAAGATTAAGAGTTTCTACAAGTCATTGGTATCTTCCTTTAAAAGTACATCTACTGATGAAATTTGTTTGTGTTTTTTATTAGGTACATTGATGGGGGTCCTCCTGCTGGAGAGCCTGATATGTCATCCTCCATATGGAGAAGATACAGTGAATTTGAGCTGTTGAGAAATTATCTCATAGCAAACTTCCCTGCAGTGAGCAAACACATTATGTTAACTTTGTTTTCATATCAGCCAATAGTTTTTAGTATATGTCTTTCATTGTATTTTCTCCAGCAAATAAATACATCACGAAACTCAGTTCACTTGAATTGAATTATCCAAAAAAAACTATTGATTTTTGTAGCTTTTGGTTGGATTGAAATGGTTTAAAAACTCCTTACTTAGAGTATGGTAGAGTAATTTCAATCATGCACAGTAGTGTGAAAACGAAAATGCAATCTACTTCCTTTGATCTGTAGTGTAAACAAGAGCCTGAATCTGCACCATTTGTGTGATTAATATGCATGTTTATAAAGTTTTAACAGAAAGATCATTCCTTTCCAGTTGATTGTTCCCCCTTTGCCAGAAAAAAGGGTAAGTAAAGCAGGAGTTATAAGTTCACTCTTCTTATCCAGTGTATTCAACCCATTTTTTCCTCTGAGAGAGTGAACTTTTTCAATTATCTGTTTCTTTAGATCAACATTGCAGCCCTTCGTATTGCTGCAGATAAGTTTGATCCAGATTTTATTGAGAAGAGAAAGGTTGCACTCGAGGTAACAACTTATTTATATTGCTCAGCAGATAACTTTGACCCACAAGGAATTTAGTTTTCCCTTTGAATCATGTTTATTTTTGTTTTCCTTGTTAAATATCATGGCTTGATTCTCAAAATTATAGAAAATAGTCCTTTTTGAAGATGAATGTGCTTAAAACGACAACCTTTGCAATTAAATCTTCTCCTTTGTATAAGCATTTGTTGTAATTGTGTTTGTACTCAAGACATGATTTGATGCTACTCTGGTTTAAAGGTTTAATGAATGTAACCGAGAAGTTACCATTCATAGATGCAATGTTTCAACACTCTTGTATAGTGCCTTCATCAGGGGGTGATGTAATAGCTGCAGTAAGAGATCCCTTCGCATGCTCACTAATTAGCTGCCCTTTTTTTTGATGAGGTGTAAATAGGCGTCAGATAGTAAGCCACCATCATCAAGATTTAGAGGAGTGTGGGCAGAGTTGATATACCTGGCTTCCAAACAAAGGCACTGGTGGTAACATTGGTTAGTGGTGATAATTTTTGAATTATCACCCCTGATGAAAGCACTAGACAGGCATTTAAGAAAATAAACGATGCTTTTTAAAAACACATTTTGACAGTTCTTCTGTCATCTTCAGTTCTGGTTTTAAAAAGTACAAAGGTTAATTTAAAGTGTGTAACAAAATGCTGATTGAACAAACAACAGTAACAGAATAATGTATGTAATTACAAGGAAATTTTTTAATTAACATGATGAAGTTGATGATTAAGTGTAGGTTTCTCCCACTGAATGTGGATAGCTTCTTTAATTTTAAGTTGGAAAGTTGTGGAAGCATGATCTAAGATGCAAAAACACTCATCAGAACATAGAGTGGGACATTGTGGAGAATTATGTAAATGTTTGAAGGGTCTTTCACGCCAAACATATTATCTATTTGAAAAGATGAAAAATCCAACTTAATATCTATGTTGTTACAACAATGCTTAGCAAAGTGGCAAACCCTTTTTTGCACTTTTCACTAGGCAGGAGTTTCATGTCTGATTGTCCACCTGGTTGCCTTGTGAACTTTAATATATGTGTTTGTACTGTTTGGTATTTCAGAGTTTTTTATTAAGATGTGGGGCTCATCCCCAACTTTCCCAGGACCTCTCATTTATTTCATTTTTCAATCAGGTAAGTTGATTTTAATCATAATACAGAGAAGAATAGCATCTTATCATAAATGTGCTAAATAAGTATTGTCAGTTGTAATACACAAAAACCTGTTTGAGTATATTTGAACCAAGAAAGCATTTGAGTTTTAGTTAAAAAAAATTGAAAAATTCCATTTATATGTGAAAACAATATGATCCTTAGTGTTAGTGTTTATTTTATAGGAAGAGGGATGGAAAGAAGCTCTGCTGGCAACAAATTTTCAGAGCAAGGTATGGACAGTAGTAGCAGGGAGTGATGTTTTGACAAGTAGAAGTCATCATCAGAGTCAAGTGGAGATATGTTTGTCAGTCAAGTGTTTTTTAGTGTAATTTGTGAAAACTGATTGGTCAGGTTTGCTGTGATTTTTTTTTTTACAGGTTGACTCGAGACTAAAGAGTTGGAGTGCTTCTCCTAAAGAACCAGACAGGTCAGATATCTTCCACTGATTACTAACTTTGATTGTTACTTTACCAGCCAGGGATGGTTTCTTTTGTATTTAAGATCACTGAAAATAGATTTTAAATTACTAAATATAAAAAAAAAAAAAAAAAAAAAAAAAAAAAAAAAAAAAGGAAAATTCCATAGTTAATGAATGGCTTATTGCATAATTTTAAAATAATTTAACCATTGATTTATAGTACTAGTATTATTAAAGTAATTTTTTGTTGTTTTCTCTTTTTTTATTAGGAGATTTGAAGACATGAAACACTATGCTGAAAATCTAGGAAGTAACGTTGGGGCTATGATAAAAGTCAGACAGGTAGTTAATTTTTTTTGTTTTTTAATAATAATAATGTTTTTAGAACCTTTGAAGCTTGGTGCTGTCTCAGACACCTGTCCTATACAATCCCTTATGTCAATACAGTTGCTCAGTAATGAGTACTTTTTAATAATTGTATGTTTCTTTTTTATTACATTATGTATTTTTAGCGTATTTCAGATACAATATTTTCCATCCACAAACAACATGCCACCTATGGAAAGACTTTTAGGTGAGTAACTTTGCTCTTGTGGTTCATAAATACCTACAACCTTCATTACAATTTTGTCCAAACAACTCTTCTTTCCTGCTTGTAAATTTTGATGATAGTGACACAAGTAGACCACATAAGAAATACAATCAAACAAACAAAATAAAAAAAAAAAGAAAGACTTAACATTACAGGTGAATGGATTGTTTCAACAAAACTTGGTTAAGGTTGTCAGCTTTTTCAACCTACATGTAGAAGAATCTTTGTCTGAGTAACTAATGAGTGATTTTTTCTTCCTATCATCAACAGTGAGTGGAGTTCATTGGAGAAACAGATGGGTGATGATCTACAAAAATCTGGCCATTACATGGACAGGTCAGCAGCTGGTTTTGATTACACCATTATTTTGATTGAAGAAATATTTTATTTTTTCTTGGCACAAGGGTGTTGATCAAGTTGCTTCTTTCAAATAGTTAAAATTTAGTGAATAGGCATAAAATTTGTAATAATTCATATGTAAAATACCAACAGATTTTCAGCATCTGTTGATGAAGCACTTAATGAAGATGAAATGGCATTCGCAGAACCACTCAAGGAATATCTACACTTCTCTGATGTGTTAAAGTAAGTATACCTCTTTTTCATTGACTGGAATTTTTAAGCCATGTATTGCATGGCAGCCTTATGTTATCATGAGTGATGGTTATAATTTTTTAATAAACTAAACCTGATATTTCTACCTAGTAAACTTTTGGTTTTACTGGTAAACTTAGTAATAAGCTTGAATTTGTGCTACTTAATATGTGAAGCACACAGTGGTCATGGAACATGTTACATGCATCACATCACATTTTGGTTCCCTATTGAACTGTCTCTCTTCTGTGTTTCAGAGGTGTAGCAAGTCGGCAGCTTCTTCGTCAGTATGACATGGAAAAGGCAGAAGATACTTTGAATAGTAAGAAAACACAGAGAGTATGACATGGTACATCAAAAGTACAAGAAGATACTTTGAATAGTAAGAAAACACAGAGAGATGATTTAAATGCTCAGCTGTGGGCGTCCTCTCGTCTACTTCCAGTGGCTAGCTCACCATACAGTAAGTCTTTGGGGATGCGGCCGTCTGGCATGCAAAAAGGTAACGGATGGTGGTGTTTCTGTTCCTTGTTCCAGGACTTTTAAGCCCAAAGTCTTTGCAGGGCAATATGTTACTTTGCCCACAACGCTGAGTAAGGAGATGCCCCTGTAGTTGTTTGTACATCATTATGTAAATGAAGTGTTTGATACAATGCCTGGAGCTTTCCTTGTGTAGCAGAGAGTGTTGGAGCATACACGCTGACGAGAGTTACAGGGCCTGCCGTGGTGTTCAGGCAGAGGGTGAGGAGTCGCTCTGAGCCACTGTTGCCTGGCTTTACCATGTTCAGCAGGTTGTTCTTCACTGCAAAGCCCACCCCATGTTGACGCGGTACATTGGGGCTTTTCTCCTGCCAGAAGAAGGTGTAGTCTTTCTCCTTCAGTCTTCCAGAGTCTGCAAGTCGTGTTTCTTGTAAGGTGGCAATGTCCACGTTAAGCCTCCTAAGTTCGTCGTTAATGATGGCTGTTTTCCTGGAGTCGCTGACGTCCTGAAGGTCTTCTGAGAGGCCCGTCAGCATTGTTCTAACGTTCCGGCAGCCTAGTTTCAGGACTGGTTTCTTTTGATGATTTTTGTTATTGCCTGGTGCAAAGTTTGCAGTCTGCCTGTTGGATATCTCCTAATCTCCATGCACCCAATGAAGAAAGCAAACCGTGGCGGGACAGCACCTTATTGGCTGGGGGCTGCCCAGCTTGAGGCGGGCGGTAGCTGTCAGTGGGATTCAAGATCCCTCCCACCGACGAAAGAAACGACCCTGGCGCTTCACTCACGCCAATCGAGCAGTAGCTTATCACCGTAAACTGCCATTCTCCGTGTTGTGTCTACGTCATGGGCGTAGCTGGAGTGTCCTCTCCAGGTGTAGTGCGAGGTGTGTTGGTGTGTAGTGTAGGCGGATGCTAGCCTGGGCAGTGTTTTATGGAGAACAAGCTGTTGCCCATGTAACATGTTCCCCTCTCCACGTCACTGATGGGGCCAAAGGAACAACAAAGGTCGTTACAATTTGGGACCAGTGCCGTCGCAGGAGCTGCCAGCACGGGTTGAATTCAACGAGAGCTGCCTTAGGGACTCCAACTCCGGATTTTTTCCTCGAGGTTTACTCCTGAAGCCTTTTCCATGTGTGGATATAGCCGCAAGGCAGCAGAGGTTTGGGATAAGGGTTTTCCTCCCCTAGGTAAACTGCCTTTCCAGGCTACCTGCCCTGTAGGCTGAGGTCCAACCTGTCCTACCCCAGTGCCCAGAGGGTGTTAGTAGGCCCACATTATTAGTACTAGAGGTTTGGGATCGGGCACCAGACCACTTACAGACCTTTCACCTGCTTGAATTGCTCAAGGTCATCTACCAGCTTGTGTATGCAAAGAAATGCTTATGCCTGAGGGCTTCTAATGATGTTTTTGAGTCTGATGGATCCCTACTCCCTTAAAACCATATTCAACTGAAAAATTATGAATACTATTATGCAAACACTACTGATTTCTGTAAAATTTCAAGTGTGTCAATTTAAATTTGTGAGTGTTGAATGTTACACCTCTCTGTTGAGTACAAAATTGAGAACAATCCATTTTTTTGGAGATATCTTTTTTATGTAGTCATTAAAATCATATTTATTTTGTTTGTAATGATTAATGATCACCATATTTGTAGGAAGCCTTAGAAAGTGGACAGACCCCACCCAAGTCAGGAGGATTTTCATTCAGGGGATTGTCATCCATGATTTTTGGTGCTGAGACTCCAGAAGTGTTAGAGACCAAGATAAACAATTTGGATGAACAAATAAATGATGCTGAGGAAAATGTGAAAACCACAAAGGAGGAAGTTAGGTTGTTTTATTTATGTTTGCATAGATTTACTTTTAATCACTCATCCACACATACTAATCTCATTGAATTTTTGGGTTTAAATATTCCTTTAAAGAGAGAGTTGCTTTTGAGGTTTCCTCCCCAGTTAAGTAGTATAACTTACTGATTAATGGTAATTGATTCATATTTATTACAATGATGCTGATGGTCTTGTTGTTATGCTGTTAAATATGACCCACTAGAGTCACTATCTCCCCCCTTCTCCCTTCCTCTCCTTACCTTCCAGGGTTTGCTCATGCTACAGTGTACTTCTCACAAACATTTGACAAAACCATAATTTCATCTGTTTCCTGTTTCCCTTTTTTTTTTTTTAATTCTCATTTGATATTTCTCAGAATATTCAATGAGGAAGCACTAAAAGACTATGAACGCTTCAAAAAACAAGAAGTAAGAGATTTGAAGGAAGTGTTAGCAGCACATATCAAGACTCAAATAATGATATGCAAATTGGTATGTGCCTGATTTACATATAATTTTTACAGATTGCATGTACTTTTCATCCGAGATAGACCTGCATTTCAATGTAATAATAAAATACCAAAATCTGGGAGATATTTTTCCAGACCTTGAATGTGAATTCAAAATTTAAAAAGCACTTTTTACAATGATTTTCCTATTGAGTTTAATAACAAGTCACAGTCATGAAATATTAGCAAGATTTTAAGAAACTTGGTACTCCTTTACTCATCTAAGTGTCATGGCTTCTTCTATGTACTGCGGTAGAACTGTGTGTTTCCTAGGCATCATTGTTAAAATGCGAAAAGGTGAAACTTGTGCAGAAAGAGCATTGAAATGACCTTGAATTTTCTTCCTAAAATCTGTAACATGTGGCAGTTTACCAGTATTTAGTTGCTTGTGATGTTAACTTCAAATGATGATAATGTACAATGTGAGATGTGGAATTCCACATTTCATTGTCAATGTTTTATTTATTTCGTAGGGGATATCTACATGGCAAGATATGAAAGAGACAGCAAAGACTTTGTAACAATGAATCATCAGTAGTTGATAAAATGGAATTTTAAGAAGAATACAAAACTGACTAGAAATGTATTTTTTGCAAGATATGAATGAATCATCTTTTGGTAGTGCATAACTGTAAAATGAAGGAAGATCTCACCACATTGGCTATTACTAGAGTAGGAGAAAATTTCCTTCAAGTTTGTCTGAAAAAAGTGTGGACTGGTAATTTTTCAACATCAATCAAACACATAGCACCACACAAACTAGTGATAATGAGAGGGGGAGGGGGAGGGGGAAAATATCTCTATCATATTTGTTATTCGCTAGATACACTTGGCTTTTTGTGTGTTGTGCTCCAGTGAAGCCTACTCAGGGGTAACATTACTTAATTGCAAAATCATATTTGAGTTCTTTCAATCAACTGGTGATCATAATTACAGTTGATCGTTTGTAAATAAGTTCAAAAAGAAAATATGTAGAATAGAAACACAACTAAAGCTCCAATTTCTTTCTTTTCTCTGATTTTTGAACAAAGGATAGTGTGGATTACCAAGTTGGACCCAAATTATTCTATTAAAATCCTCAAATGAAAAACCAACTTACTCAGATTAAGTATGGCATCTATTGGATGGTAGTGGTTAATGGCAATCCATTTGCTGCAGTTAGTCAAGGGCCAAGTTGACACAAGTATCTATGGTATTTGAGGAAACAAAGATCTCTAGGCTTGCATAGTTTCAAGGAGAGGATCAATCTCATATGGCTTGTTGATATGGCCATCTCTCTCACTATTCCAAACATACCCTTTTTTTACAGTGGGTAGAATAAAAAGGCAAGCTGTGTTCACAGCCAGAACTCAAATACTGTGGAACACTGTTTATGACTAATGGGCATCTGTAATACTTATTTGTGTGCCTTTACAATTTGTTCTGTTGAGTTTTGTGACAGTCAAATGAACTAAGTACAGTAAAACTTTTCATGAGATCCTCAACTGAGTGGTCATATGGTCTCATTTCAGCTCCACTCTTTATCTTGCGATAATTATCACCAGGAACAGAAAGAGAGACTAAAGACTTCACAACATATTGACTGAATTAGTGGGGTTTAAATAATAAAAATTTTCAGCTCCTCATCAGGACAAAATGTTTTAGTAAAAGCAAAGTAGCTATGTGGCAAGGTTGTGCATCATACAGAAACAAACTAAGATATAAAATGCAACACAAGAGTGAATTCTATACGATGGTTTTATTTTGTTGTTTACAAATTTAGCTTATGCAACCAAAGCAGAGGCTGTAGATGATTCACTGAAACAACAAGACAAAAACAGAGTTAATCATTGGCAAACATTTCAATACTCCTGATACTGTATTTTAATTCTTCAAGACTTGTCTTCAGACTGGTTTCATCCATTTCCACCTTTGGTACCTTACACATGACTTCTTTTATTACTTTTCTATGTTTAAAGATGGGTAGAACAATCAATAATGATCTTAAAATGTCCAAACAGATTGTCTATAATTACCCTCTCTTAGTAAAATGAGGAAACTACAATTTGCTGCTGGAAGGAACATGTACAGACAAGTATAACAAGTGAATAACATCAAGTTTTTTAAACTAAGGACCATTTGCAGCAAAAACCAAATGAGCACTTGAACAAATCTTACTATTTCCAGTTGGCTGGCAGAACTCTTTTGGTCTTGTAATAACGGGCCAGACGATGGATCCTACTTTCAATAAGAATCAGCCTGAATTTAGAGTCCTTATCCTGTAATGTAAAACAAAAATAATGAAGCTCAATTCCTCTTGGCTCAAAAGCAGTTTGATGGACTATCTTTGCTTTTCATTCCACACTTACATCAACACAGTTGCAGTGGATGATGAGCTTTTTTGCATTATGTATCTGTTATGACCAGTTCTACCTCAAAACCTCTTCCTTACTTGACTAGCTCAATAAGAAATGAAAAAGGTTTGCTAGAGATAGCAACAGAAAACCAAAGAAATTTGAGCAGAAGGTTTTTCCCCCTGAGCTCCTGTTTTATACATTTGTGATTACCCCATCTCCATATTGATCAAAGGAAGTTCTCTTGGATAATTACAGATATATTTATTGCACCTTTACTGTACCAATTTCAAGCCTTCACATAATATAGAAAGCAAAGGTTACCCACCTTTCGGTGCTTCTCGAGATGCTTGCGGACTGCAACAGCTTTTTTGATAAGGAAATAAAGATCCTCGGGGAGTGATCCAGCAAGCCCTGTGAATAAAACCAACTTAGAGGATAATGTTTCTTTGGAGCCACCCTGATAACTAACAATCAGCTAGATTTAAGTGACATTAATTGATTAATTGATTTAAGTAATAATTTGGCTTCCAGAGAAATTTTACAGTTTCACCACAACAACAGACATACAGCACAGTTGAAAATCTAAGTCAACAAAAAGCTGCACACAGGGTAGCAATTTCAAGGATATTATTAACTCTTGACAATCACAAATAAATAAAAGAAATGTTTGGATGGATGCCTTCATATCATTCTCCAAAATATGCAGGTTAGAAATCCATTAACTGATTGTTTAGTAACAAATATAAGTACCTTTAGCTTTGAGAATCCTGAGAATCTTATTTCCTGTGATGTAACGTACTTGTGCCACACCATGTGAGTCACGCAAAATCACACCTGTATTGAAACAAACGATTCCTTTTTCAGTCAGAGTCTTGAATATTCCTTTGTTTTATCTTCAGTAAATAGCTCTCCAAAAGGTGACAATTCTGGTTGCTACAGCAAGTAGAATAATTCTTTGGGGACTGAACTTTCAGCAAAAGTTGCCAAATTAGTTGCCAGAATGCAATGATTTCCCTCTTAAATTTTTATGACCTTAAATTCAATTGAGAGAAAGATTTTCATAGAATATTACTACTTCATTTTGTCTCTTTAATTTCGCTAAGGGTGTGCAAGTACATTGTTTCAAGACGCTACGAAAGCTTTCAGGAAAGACTGCCAGTTATTGCTGAGTAAGACTTTTTTCCGGCTATAATTTTCTGATTTTCAGTCACCAAAGAGCAACTTGAAAAGCTCTGAACTTGAAGCACTGCTACTAGAAAAATTCAATGCTTCTATACTAACCAATCTGAGAAGGAGTCAAGCCCTTCTTGGCTAACTTGTAAATTTGTTCCTTGACATCATCAGCTGTCAACTTGAGCCACTTGTATGAACAAGACAGAAATAAATACAAATCACAATTAGTTAACAAGCATCATTATTGTTGACTGAATAAGTGAAACTACAATATTTTTAAAACACCATAAATCCCAGGTAAATTGATGCCTTGTATTTGAAAATGCTGCATTTTCAATGTTAACCATTCAATAGACCAAATTACTCTGACATTTCTCAATGAACATACAGTTCAACTCACAACTGAGGGAAATTTATAGTAGTTCAACGTTCGTTTGGCTCCTTATCCTTACATTAAAAATAAGACTTCTTTAATTCAATAATCTGCGAAAATTAAAAAATGTACAATCCATTTCTTTACCACTCAAAATTTTCATTTATACTTACATGTAACTAACGAATCACATGTAAGAAGATCACCCATCGGAAAGTATGTCGAATGATGCTGTTTTTTTAGCATTGTTGTTGAGATCAACTCAAGACAAAATTCAAAGTAGTTCATCAATATCTGAGAAAATTCTTAATTTCTACGGCATCAAAGCTGAAAACGAGTCTTCAAAACAATAAAAAAAATTTGAGCGCATGAAGACAAATAGAAAATTCACCCATAAAGAGCATGTATGCGTGTGTACTTATGAAGAAATTTAACTTATTTTCCTTAATCCACAAGCAATTATATCGTAATTATCTCACCGTTGGGACACTTCGACGATAAGGCAAAGCTGAACCAGATATACCTTTCCTTTGAAAAAATATCAGAAAAAAGTCAGGAAAGTTGCGAAGAAACGAAAAGCTTGAAGTTCCGATAGAACATAATCCACATCATTGAACATGCCTCTTACACTCTATTTAGAGTACAAAGCTACATTCTGAGTATATCAGCTGGTTCAAACACTCTTTAACGTTTTTCTTGTCAATTTTCCTTACCCTGGTGCGTGTAATCGACCCATTCTGGGAGTTTTCTTGTAGCACTTACGGAGCTACAGTAGAATCCAAGATGGCCGCAGAAAAAGAGGGCTAAATCACGTGTCGGAAAAGCTTAATTTCCCAGGATTCCAATAAGGGGCATACTAGTTCCCAGCTTCCCTCCCAACAGTGCGATATCGACCCAAAGCCGCACAAAGTTGACTCAAAGTTTTTTGTTTTCGATTTTACCCTAACATTTGAAAAATACATCCGGTTGATAGGACAGAGATTTTCTTTTTCATGTGCAAAAAAAAATTCCCAAAAAAGTCATTGGATGGTCATGTCAAGCATCTGACTGAAATTATTTTGCCACTCCTCCTTGTAACCTGAGCAGTGTTAAGCAATCATTCAGTACCTTTCGCATGTTTTTATCGCTTGCCTCCAATTAAGCAGTATCTTTTTACTATTTTATTTGACAAAAAGCTCAAAAGTTATGACTACCTTCTTGTTCATATTCCAAGAAGCATGTGTTTATGTATCATTTATTTCATTTCAGCAAAGATGAGGATAAACACAGAACAGCTGGAGTAAAAAATGATACAGAAGAGAAATGAAATACAAAAATAACCTTTATTTCATATTTTGATTCACACCAGAATTTAAATGAAGGTCTCCTTCTGAGAAGAATAACATGCCACAATCTTTCCCCATTCCATCTAATATAACAAGATACAAGTTTTCTGCAAATAAATGATTCTAGATAAGAAAATTCAACTAATAACAATCTAAGAAAACAAAACACAAGCTCAATAGCATGTTCCAGAGATCAACTCAGAACTACTTTCAGTTTATATTTTTGCACCTCTGAATATGTTTAATGCTTTGTGAGTTTTGAAGTAACCTGTTACAAAATGGACATTGCACATGCCCTACTTCTCTTACATGCCTCTTAAATACTTCTTCATTCTTGCACTTCTTTCCACAGCCCTGGCACCAAACTGTGACATCATCATCAGTTTGACCTTCTTGCACCAAAGCCCTACCAAAAGTACACTTCTTCTTGTGCTTCTTGGAAATTTCCGACAAAAAAATCTGTCCACATTTGCACTGAGGATGAATTGTGCTGTGTTTATTCAAGCTATCTTGACCTTTAACCTTTTTGCCGCACACTTGACACTGGAGAGTCTCTACATGCTTCTCCTCATCATCCTCCTCCATAAACACTTGTTCTTGGCCCTTTACCATTTTCATATGCAGGTAAATTTTCAATCCAATCCATGCATCTAATGCAGCATAGTGAATTTGTTTAAGTCTCAAGGGACATCTCTCCCAATTGCTCATGGACACAGACTTTGGTTTTTCCAGGTCTATTCCAAGGAAATGTTTGGCAAGAGCTTTAAGCCCTAGCTTCTGTGAAACAGGAATACCAATTGACTTGGCCATTTTCTGTGTATCCATAAGCCCCTTGCAACTAAGTCCTGTGTCACGATTTAGCTTTGTTACATCTTGTAAAATTCCACTTCCAACTTTTAAGATCAACTTGTTACTCAAAACATCCCTCAACAACACTGGTTTTGACTCCATATGGCAAAGGTGCAAAACCAAACATGACCCTTCAACACTCAGCTGCAACACTGCAGTCTTGTTTTCTACTCCTCCGTCCTTCTTCCTTTTCAGTTGGGGCTTCCACTCAATGTCTAAACCAACTGCTTTTGCAGAACAATCAATAACATTATTCTTTAACCAAGCCTCTGCTTCAACTGGGTCTTTGGTGTATTGCACTTCAACACCTTTGGCTGGATAAGGTAGAGTATGGATAAGAGTCTTCCCTCCTCCAGGATTATGCTTATTTCTCCTCATATCTGGCTTTGAGACATGGTTTATTTTTCTCCTGCCATTTGCTATGTCACTAGTCTTGTTTAACATAGAACCATGTTCAACTTCTTCATTATTGTCCATCATGGTACCATGCTTGACTTCATCACCAGTATTTTGAGGCAAATTACAGGTCAATGTTTCCTCAGACCCTTGAGTAACAGGGTTTCTTAATTCAGAACTTGTTGTACATGTCTCAACACTTTTATCTGAAATGCTACTTTGTTTCTTGCCATTCCCTGATGTCTGACTGCAAACGGAATCTACTACGTTTCTCTTAAAATTTGGATTTGAAGCAACAGCCCTTCGAATGTTAGAAATCAATTTTTCGACCGTCAGATGACTACCTTGACCAGAACTTGTAGCTGAGTAATTGGAATGACGGCTTTCACGGAACCCCAAAGGATGTTCGAATTTAACTTCGCGCATCTGGTGATTCTCATAAGCATCAGCCAGTCGATCGGAACGCGATTGTCCAGCTCCAGGTTCCAGGATGTTTCTCTCTGCTCTCCTTTCAATCCAAAACTTTCCCTTTTGAGCATAATCGTGAGCACGGTCATTACAAGTTGTCCATGATAACGCTGAATAACTATATTGTTCTCTTACAGTTGGATTACCTGGCTCCTGTTTGATTACAAACTGTGACGATACCTCATACGCTCCACTATAAGATGTTCCACCATAAGATTCTGATGCTTTACTCTTGAGAATGCGATCGTTAATACTTTCAGCTTTGCGACGCAGAAGGTAATCCCAACCTGGCAGTTGACTGTTACCGCCATTATCTGGTGCAGAAGTTGGATACGGTGATGATGAGAAGTTTTTATCTTCAAACACTCTTTCTTGCTTGACAGCGCTTGATTCTGTCCAATGTTTGTAGGGATGTTGCCTGTATCGCGTTCGATTGCGATAAGGGCGGCTCATATCCGTGCAATAAGTAAACTTCTCTCAAATCGACATGGGCAACATCAAAACTCATGGAAAACACGAAATCAATGAACATTGGCAACCAAGCCTAAGCCGACCGAGTGGCACCCTGGATACCAAGCACTGCTGAGTCAGAGTGTCGCGGTGCATTAGTGTTAACCCTGATCCAAAATGACGGAAAGATACAGCTTTAGTCTAACAACTTTCAGGTAGAGTTTAATTATTTTATTCTCTCTTTCCCTCTAAGACCTAAAAGAATCTTTAGCAGTACAAACAAGATGTTATTTTGGCTAATTAGTCCGTCGGGAAATATGAAACAAGTCACCCAGAATCAGATGCCACCTACCTTGCCTTCACGTAGACTGCATTGTCTTCCATACCGCTTTTATTAAAAAATTTTCAACAACTATCATTTCTGTTGGTGTTTAACCAACTCCCAAGTAATTTTAGAGTGTGAAAATTGGTGATTCAGTAATTTATAGCTTCTACTGTTCCTTTTGTGAACATCTGTGTACCATAACCATGGTCTAAATAACGTTAACACGTGCACGTAAGCTTGAGCACAGTACTAGTTAACAAATAGAGAAGTCTTGACTGTGCTCTGTTCTGTTATAAAGCACACAATAAGCAGCTAGGGCACGAAAGAAGTTTAGGGAGAAACACTTTACTATGTCTTGTGTTTCTCCCCACTTCTTGAGTGGGGAGAAAAATTTGACAAAATGACAAAATTTGAGAAAGAAACTAAACATTGGTTGTACGTTTTAATAAAAAAAATTACAGTTAACTCAGCAAAACACAAGGAAACAGTATGCACACATGGTGCATTCTGTCCACTTTCACAGGCATGACATGTTAACTGTCACTTCAATTGTCCTATTACACTGTCAAATTACAAGCATGATGTGTACACTGTCCTATTAGTACTAAAATCAGGCTGGTGATAACCAATCATGTTTGAGAATTTTGTTATAGTTTTGATTAAACCAGAAATCAATTTAAACTTCAACAAACACACCTGGGAAATGGCTATTTTTAGAATAGTTTTTAAAATCTTTAAATTTGCAAAAATTTCTGTGGACTTGCAAAATTTGCTCTATCAAAGTCAGGGGAAGAAGACAAAAATCTCTACGAAGTTTTGCTAGAGTGTGTTTTTATATTTGGTCCACAGTCCTTCTGGAAAACTTGTTCAGATAGAATATGCTCTGGCAGCTGTAGCAGCAGGAGGGCCTTCTGTGGGTATAAAAGGTCAGTTTTAGGGACAGTAAATAGTCTTGAATATAGGAGAATGTCAGGAAATGAAAACTGTATTCACTGTGAATTATTTCATCGACATGTCCCTTAGAACAAGCCCTCATCAAATAAGTGCCCCTCCTATCAACCAGAAATTTAACTCTGTAATCCCTTACGCTGATTACCATCAAACCTCTCCTTACAATATCAACCCTGAAAATAAGGGAGATGATTGTTCTCTAAAGAGGCTTGTGATTGTTCAGCAAATTCTCAATTTCTGCACCATAGCAATTTCATAGGGAAAGTATGGAGGATAAGTACACTGATGTATCTGAAGGGTAAATTGTCATCCCCTATGCTCTGCCAATAAGATAGAAAGCTGATCACATTTGTTTAACCACTCAAGTGGGCAATTGTAGTGTAAGTTTTGTACATTTAGGTTTTGTTAGTAGCCCTAATATATACTTTAAGTTTTACTTTAAATTTTTTACTTTTTTTAAATATTTTTAAAAAAGCATCAAATGGAGTTGTCCTTGCTGCTGAAAAGAAACAGAAGTCAGTTTTATATGATGACAGTACAATCAACAAGGTTTGATCCTATTTGTTACAATCAAAAACATAGCTGACAGATTAAAATGGTGAACTTATTTATGTCCAGCATTTGCACATAAAATCACATTGTTTTTGTCATATATTTTACCAATAAGAAGAGTTGGTTATCAATAAGGAGGCAAGATGCTTTTGTTAATTTTCATTTTCCTTTTTAAAATTTGGGCATTTTATATTGAAAATTTTGTCAGTGTATCTTATGCATAACCTAGGACTTGTTGATTTTTTGAGGCAGGCTATTGTAATGCAGTAGCTTTGTGTTCAAGCCCTGCACTACTACAAGTTAGATTTTGTGGTTACCCTGAGTTCGACAGCTTAGCTGCACTTCATGAAATGATAAATAGCCAACTGATTTGCCTCCTTCCAGTTGGCATTTTTTACAGCTTAACACTCTGAGTTTAATTGAAAATGTTCATCCATTGTTTGTTCATATTGGCCCTAAAAAAACCCCATCATACTAGGAAGTTATCTGTGAAGATTTTCTTTTACCTTTTGCTTTCAGGTGGAAATGGTGACAAAGAGTGTTGGAATGGTTTATAGTGGAATGGGCCCAGACTACAGGTTTGTTTGTGGCTTCTACTTCTATGTTTGATGCTTTGCCTTCCTTCTGCTAGTTCTGCTAATCTTCTTCAGATGAAATGAGTTGATTTTCTCAAGTTTGCATAAGAAGTGAAATAGGAAAGGTTGAATGTCTAATAATTTGATATATTCAGTATTAGTCTTTGGTTGATCTGGTCATGAAGAACTCATTTCCAAATTGCTTTGGATATGAAAACAATTCAATCCACTGTGTGGCTGGTGGGAAAAAAAAAAACAAAGCTAAACAAAAACAGTTTAAAGTTTAATATGAGATGAGAGCTGTGACCATCACTCAACTTTTATATAGAATTTGATTCAATCTAGATTCTGTTTTCAAATATGTAGTGGTAATTTTTTTTTGCCAAAAGTACTACTTTTTTTCACTCACAGAGTTCTGGTTCGACATGCCAGGAAGATAGCACAGCAATACTATCTAATGTATCAGGAGGAAATACCAACTGCACAGTTGGTTCAAAAACTTGCATCCGTGGTCCAGGAGTACACCCAGTCAGGGTAAGTACACTACCAGTAGTGCAACTAGCAGAAGAAAATCTCTTAAATTAGTCAATGTTATTTTTCAAGTTGTGCATATGAGATTTATTGCTGTCTCATTGTTTTTGTGTCTTTTTCTAGTGGTGTTCGACCATTCGGTGTGTCTCTTCTTGTTGCTGGGTGGGATGATGACAGGCCATACTTATTTCAATGTGATCCATCGGTAAGGAAGTAATTTGTGTTCTTTGTAAGATGTAAGAGACACACTCTAATAATTTTACATAAGGTTATAGGATCAATATCAGTATCTGGGCAACTGCCCACCTACCCCTCCCTTAACCCAACATTAACCTTAACTTGTTATCAATTGACTGTTGTTGAGTTAGGGGAGGGGTAGGTGGGCAGTTGCCCAGATACTAATATTGATCCAGGTTATACATGTAAGTTAATATGACAACCGGCCATAAGATGGAGTTGTGCAGTATGAAACCAAATTTTACAAACAGCTCACAAAGGGAGAATACAGCTTGTAGCCTGCGGTGTTACAAATGATTAACAACAGTCAATTAGGACTGACAAACTCTGTCATGAAACTTATCAGGCTTGTGAAGTATATGGTTAGTTCATACTTTCTATTAGAGAGTCTGCTGTTTGACTGTCTCTTTTCCTGTTAAGAATAGTTTTTGTTACTATCGGAAGGTTCTTGCAGTAAAAAATTTTAACTCAGACTACCTTACATTTTTGTTGACCTACATGGTACCACCTTAGATCAGTCACTTTCATCTCACAGATATTAACTAATCTCTATGAACAAAACACTTACAAAATTGTGTGTATTTCAGGGATCGTATTTTGCCTGGAAGGCCACTGCTATGGGCAAAAACTATATCAATGGCAAAACCTTTCTTGAAAAGAGGCAAGTTCTATATACTGTGATTATCCTTTAGATATTCCTTGATTAATCAAATCCAAATTTCACAGTCTGTCATGTCACTTGTTGCTTTGTTTGTTTGTTTGTTGAATAATACAAATGGAAGATGGTTATATATTCAAATCACCAAAACTAAAGTCTTGAGATTATAACTGGAGAGAATTGATGTTAACTCTTTCAGTAACTGGCAAGTGTAGATGGCATCCACAGATCCAAAAGTTGGAAAAACATGTCTTCTCAACTCTTGATTTTATTTTTGAGGGATCCTTACCTGACTTTCCCAATGTGTAAATGACCTATTTCGTTGTCTTATGCTTCAAGACCTAGGTTCATCTCTAGTTTGATGAACTTTTCCATTTTTGTCATTGGTCTCTATTTTAAGATCTCATTAATAGTTAGATGACATCTTCACTTTGCAGGTATAATGAAAATCTTGAATTAGAAGATGCTATCCATACAGCAATCTTGACTCTCAAGGTGAGTTCACAACAACAATTTTTTGAACATCATTTTCCTAAAAATTGGAAATTGTTAAGAATAATGTTTTTCTAAAATTGTATTTCCTGAGGTAAAAGGAGATTGCCTTATCCTAACAGGCTGGGAAATAAAATGAGAAAGTGCAAGACTACTAGGAACTACTAAAGTGCTCTCTCCTTTGTTTTTGTCTCAATGCAGGAGAGTTTTGAAGGACAAATGACAGAAGACAATATTGAGTTAGGAGTGTGTAATGAGCAAGGCTTCCGTCGTCTCACCCCTGCAGAAGTAAAGGACTACTTGGCCTCTATCATATCTTAATTTAGACATCATCTTCCTTGATATTGGTAATAGACAAGCTGTCTCACTGCTAGTGTTTTTTTTTAAGTTTCCCTTGCTTTGAAGTGTTAAGGAGCCAAAACATGAAGGACTGTGGAAGTTGGAAGTTATCATTAGACTCAAGTGTTCCTTATGTAAGAGCATCTTGTTTGACAACTACTGTAGTTTTTGCCATGTTAAACAAAATCAGCTGAAATTATTTGCTACTGATCATTCAGGAACATCTTATTTAAATCTTGATGAGGTTAACATCATTAGATATTGATGGTAGTTTCATTCTAGTTCTGGCAGTCACATCTTTTAACAAATATATTTCCCTTAGTATGTAGGTTTTCAAAACAAAGCCCTCTACAGAATAAAAAAAATTTCTCTAGTTGTGAATTTATGCTGGATTATTCCTTGAGAGGGAATGACAAAGGGTTAACACTCAAAACATCAGCTTGGCAGCTGCTTGCCGTGGCCAATTTACATCATCAACTAAGCCGATGGAACCAAACCATCCTTTTATACTCCCACTGACCCAGCATTACAGTTTCTCTACAAACTTATCTCCTTTATTTATTCTTTAATAACTTCTTTTAATGATTCTAGGTGGGTGTTACATGTCAATGAGTCTTGTCATGGCATCTTACTGCAGTCAACCTGACTACCAGCTGTTACTCAGAATAGTCAACCCTGCTTCCTCCTCCCCCATTCTCTATGTTCCTCTCCCCCCTTACTCCATTCCTTATCCCCCTCCCTTAATACATGGGGAGTGGAAATTGATTGAACCCATATAAATTTTTTGAAACTATCTGTAGCACGTATTGGTAGAAAGTTTTTTGAGAGTTGATGGACATTCAGGGGAGGAGAGCCATCCCATTTCTCACAAAAAAATTAGAGAGCCTGTTACATCTGCAGCAAACCCATGAGTCATGAAACGATCTTGTGCTGTTCTTGTACTTGTTACTCCTGCTGGTTGGCAATAATTGTTGTGTTTTAACTTTTTACACATCAAAGTTTTCCTATTGATGAAGACTGTTCATGATGCTTCTAGTTTGCACTGCTGTCCACACACAAACCATGGAACAACTGGGAAACTACAGTAGTAAGGGTGTGATATGTAGTGTCCATTGTACATGAAGCTGCGTCTGTCACAAGACAAAGTTTGTAAGCTGCCAACATTAGACACACATGTTCATCAGAAGTGATATCTTTTAAGTTCTTTGTGTACATTGCTGTGCATTTCTTTATGGCCACATCACAATAAGTTGCTCCTCTTTGTGCTGATCTAAACAAATCTCCTAAAATGATAACAAATAGACAAGATGTAAAGAGCCCTTACACCCCTAAAAGCGACTTTTTCCCCTACAATATCATCCTTGAGTCAAACATTTACTAGGTCACAAGAATCAAGGAAATGATCACCAACTGAAGCTCTTGATTGTTAAACAAATTCTCCTAGGCTGCACCTAAGGAAATGTCTGGAAAACAGTATGGAAAATATGTTTTCTGATGTTAGAGTGTAAAGGGTTTATAGTAGACGTTCCACGTGGATTATAAACTATAGAAATAAGACAAACAAAGTATGCTCTTTTGGTCAACTTAAATCTCAATTTTTTTTGTCATTTCAGAATCATGTTTATAAAGAAATAATTATATTTGGTTGACCTGTGTGGCTGTCTTTCACAATTTCTTCGCAAAATAGTTGTTTTAAGCTGTTTCACGGAACCTCGTTACAACATAAGTTTAGTAAAAACGTTTGTCGTTGCACGTAGCAAAAGCTAGAACCCAGTTTTTCAGGCTCGCGTCCAAAATCATCCAATCTTGTATGTGACATGTTATGACGTTTTTATAACCCGTTTCCAAACCTCTTGAGAAATTAAGGCATGCGATATACCCCCCACCCCAAAATGAAAATCTCTCTCTACAGACTAAGTCCATGACGGGGATTTCCCCTCCCCCCTATGGCAAAATACATTAATCCAATTATTATAAATAACAAATCCATTAATCCACTAAGAGGATCTTGATTTAATTATAATTAAAAGTACCTCTCTAAAATATTTACGTGCCCGCCATACCTTCTTAACGGCGGTCAGACTATGAAACCTCGCAAGTATGAATGACAGGATAACAGGGAAACATAAACAACCGCAGGGTTCTGTTTATCGGTTTCCACTGTCTAGCCTTTCTTAATACCGCCTCAAGTTTATGCGCCGTTCAATTTGTTTCCTTTTTCGTGGCTACACGTTTTGTCTCTTGAAAAAAACAGTAATCCCTCCCACATTATTAGCGATTTTCCTGTTTTTTCTGACTACCAAATGTAGAGTATTCCGTGGGCGGAAAAGCCAAGGAGAGATTTACGAGCCATTCGATAATGAAACACGGCATTTACATAATCAGGACAAGTTTGTTTTGGCTGTTTTTTATAAGGAACTTTGAAAACATTTTGGTATGTAGATTTTTTATGAAAACACGAAGCAACGATGTGTTAATTATAAACGTGTTGTAAAAGCACAGTTTCAAATAATTTTCTGGAGAGTATGATGAAACGCGTCACCCAAAGCTAAAATTCCCGCATTTTCTCTCTTTGAGCCATTACTTGGCAAAGATTTGCGAGTGCATCGTAGTTAATTTCGACTGGTAAAAGTCTCCTCGCAAAATCCATTAGTCTCCTCAAAGAGGCCAGCCCCTGAAGGACAGTTTGGTAATTCAAGGAATGCAATCCATTTTACGTATCTTTCGTTCAAGAAAACAGCTGATTGCAATTTTGGTGTTATGAATTAGCATTGAAATGTGACTATGTAAGTAGTAAGAAAGAGAGCTATACGTTCAGTCACGATACATCTTCTGCAAATCTCACAATAGCGTACCTTCGTTTCCTTCAGCTGTTACCGCGAATATTACAGCGGCTGTAAGGATAATCAAAACAGCGACATTCCTTCTCAAATACACCAATTCTATGGTCATTGCTTCAACAGTGATAGAAGGCCGGGCAACTCGTGCATCCGTCTGGGCAATGAAGCAACAACTTCCGAAAATATTTTGGCAAGTAATCGAAATTCACTCCTTGTTATGTAAGTAAACAGCGCCTATGCGATAAAAAACAATATAACATTCCTGGTGACTCAGTACACAAGTTACTACACTGCAGCTGTGAACAGAGGAGAAGAGATAACAACACTTGATATGACTGGGTTAATTATCATAATCAGAGAGGAGGGATAAGAATTTGTATTTTCATGCTCTGGTGAATTAGTTGTATCCATGCCTTGAGGAATACTCTCAAGTCTGGTGTTTCCTTTAGTCGGATTAATTTTACCACCGACAAGACCGCAACCAATACTTTGAACCACTTACAATAATTCATTGCAGTTTCCCGAACATCCTCACTCTACCACCCTTGCAATTCTGTCTGGCATGATATGTGACCCCAAACTTAGAGTGTCGTATGTTTTTTGGAGAAAACCCACGAAAATGATCCGAAAAATCCGGAAGCTAGGTCAACAAGTAATCTCAGATTTCTTACACAGCAAGCGTCTTTACACGTTCTTCTCAATTAAGATTTATCCCCATAGAATTACTTGGCAAGAGCTTTACAGAACGTAGCCAAAGTGCTTTAGTGATAATGCGACAACGTAAGAAAAATTCCCTCTTTTTGGCACAGGTTAACAGATGGAAGAAGAAACCTTTCCAGTGTTGAATGACATGAAAGAATGACCCATTCTGACAGAGCTTATCGTTGTATAGTGACTGTGTTTTGATATCCGATCAGATAGCATCGGATTATATCGTATCCTCATGGAGAAACATGGGATGGCTAAGGCTTACTCGTCATCTAGCTGAAGTTTGCCAGTCATAGGCTAACATTTCTCTTCAGTAATTATGCCACATCCGTATTTTTACCTGTCATCATTTAGAGATGCCAGCGAGAATATTAACAAAAAAAAAAACGTCGTTACAGTTGACCTTAGTCGATTACAAGACCGGCTAGGATTAAATTATCGTACAAGTGTCAGCCGCTTCTAAACTGCGTTTTTTTCTTCGAGGTGGGGTTAAGTAAACTCACGACACGCTGTAATGAAACCTGTTGATGAGTACATGGAGGTCATTCCCACCGTGTCAGGTGAGACATCCTTTGGTGGTCAGGCATACCCCAAAATAACCCCACTTCCGTCCATGATACTCACGAGATGATGGAAGGTGATCTCCCATCGCCCGTATTTACTTAACCCTTTACAGCCTAACATCAGTATGCATGTTCCCCACACTATTCTTTATACATTTCCTGAGGTGCTGACAGGGATAATTTGTTTGCCAATCAAAAGGTTCCTTCCTTGGAGACCATTTTCGTTATTCTCATGACCTTAATGTGTGATTCAGGAGTGAAAATGTAGGGAAAAATTAGATGCTAGTCGCTCTTAGGGTTTTAACAGGTTAAACTAACACTAAAGCTGCTAAGCAGACAGTTTCGACTTAGAGGTTTTTTCTTGCGAGCTATTCGCATCCGTAAAAGAAGAGGAAGAGAAAAAAAACCGCACGCCTGAAAAACCCTATATGTAAGAGAATTCGCACCTTTTTGGATTGAAGATCAGGGTACAAAAGCAAAATCCCCGCATAGAAACAAAGTTAGAAGATACCCGGACGCCACTTGGGCAACTGAGCTCAATTTCCCATCGTTTAGGGGTACAGTTTATTCATGTTTGAGAAAATACATTCTCAGTACAGTTCGAGAAAGAGATCGCTGGCCGACCTGTTTGGACACAACTATACCGGTGCTGGTCGTAACAACAAATCCTGCGATGTACCCGGAGAACAAAAACCCCTCTTTATTCTTAGATAAGGTTGGAAAAATTCGCTCGCCGCGTAGTGAATACCTCTTCAGATGTACACATACAAAAAAATTAAGCAGATGGACTTCGATTAACAAAGTCTGGACAAACTACCAGCAAATTTATGGCACCAAAGACAAACAAGCATTGAAAAGTGATGTATTCCATAACCTACAATCACGCCTGATCGCAAGTTAAAAACTTCAGAGTCAAGTTATCAAAATTAAATTCCTAGTTAAACCAATCAATTCATAATAGCTTAGATTCAGCAGCATTTCTTGTGTATTACATTTCGTGAAAACAGAATTATCATTAAAGTAAAATAGAATTATCATGAGGTAAAATAGAATTTTCTTTAAGGTTGCATTCTCATTAAGTAGCATCAGTGAAGCGGAAATTTGATTGGCTTTCTCCCTATGGTTTAGCTCTTCCTCTCATGGAGTGACACGCTTTGGGTCACGTGGGAACATGGAACTCTTTCGGACATTATGAATATCCAGGTACAGCATGACTACTCGCTCAAGGCCTGGGAGGGGAGAGAGAGGGTAAGCGTTAGAAACGAAACACAATTTGAGGTGAACTAAAGGGCGATTTCTCGCATCTGGTCTCCTCGTGCTTGAATATCTTCAAAATTATGGCGCAGTCAAAGTCAAATGAGCCCAAAAATAACAGCTTCTGATTAAATCAAAATCACTTTGAGACTTTTCAGTGAAAAAAAAAGAGACTTGCTGAATTCAGAGTCCAAAGTCAGAACATAAGTGTTATTGAAAAAGCTGGACCTACAAAAATTTGTGTAAAATCATTAGGACAAAGAGAGACCTATCCAAGAAATTTGAGACAATATTACCACGCAGTCATTACAGAAATGACAAAGAACTTACCATAAAGTCAATGTAGTCGGGAGAGAACTGGGGCGATCAAAGGAAACTTTAACAAGATAACTGAGAACGCATCGCTCCGAGCGAGCATAAAAGTGAAAAAAAGGCACTTACATAAAAAAAAAGAAATGTTGGAAATCAAGTTATTAGAGGAGCTTACCTATTCCTCCACCGCCGTGAGGTGGTGCACCATAACGAAATGAGTCAATGTAGGCCTTGATCTTCTCCAAATCTGAACAAGAGGAATAAAGTTAAATTTTTACATGACCATGTAATTGCTTAGGGGAGTACGAGCCATTGGCTTCTGAGAACCCCTTCCACATTATAGTCTTAAGACTCCATCTTGTTAGCTTTTGACCAACTCAAATGTAGGCTACAGCTTTGACAATATACTGATCTATAGACCAAAAAGTAGCTAACCTATTTCATGAAGCTTGGCTCTCTCTGCCAACAGGTCGGAGTCGTGTATTCGCTGTGCTCCACTGAGAACCTCCTCTCCGCGCATGAACATGTCGTATGAATTACTCCATTCCTGTTTTATATAAAAAAAAGATGTGCTTATTTGAAAATGCTATGTTGTACTGCTGTTATGTTGTGTTTTACTGTAGTTAGCAAACTTTTACTACGACACAAAACAAGCCGACAAACTTGATGATCAGCAATGGCTTGAGTTTCACAAAACCCAAATGAAAGCCATTCTATTGATCAGCAATTGACGGCGCCTACAAGTTTGGCTAAGTATTTAAGTTCAATTTCACGGTCAGTGGACAGCAAAAACCCATGGAACTGCGATAAGAGAGGAACTTCTGCGAGGACAAGAAAACACAGGGTTTGGAATTCCAACAGGTTCTCATAAAGGTGGGCAAAATTTCAGCTGTACTGTCACAGAGTCGTTTTTGTTTTAAAGTAAGAGCTTTGACTTCTGACTATCAATTTAAAAGGCAAACACAAAATAATAGAAAGGGGGAAAACAAACAACAAAGGAACAAAACAAAAATAAACAAAGAAAAATAAGGCAAAAAAGCCGGAAATACCAAAACAAACTTCGTCGTATATAAAAACATATACTGTTTTCTAATTGTTATTTCTTTTGTGCGTTTATGCCAGCACACTCACTCACTCACAGGATTGTGTGGGTCTGGCATAGTGTAGAATGGACGGACACACAGTGGATACTTGTCCAAAATGAAGAAGTCTGTGTCATATTTCTGCTTGACAAGTTTTCCCAACAATTTCTCATTTGGAGTGCTATGAAAAAACAAACAAGTTCAATTATAAACAAACTGACAGACATCATTACTGACAGAAAGAAAGACAGAAGGATACTTAGACAAACATACAAATGGATAACCATACAGATAGACATACAAACAGACAGACAGATGATAGATAGGCAGACACAGACAGAGAGACAGACAGACTGACAGACAGACAGAGAGACAGACAGACATACAGACATATCAATATGCAGACATACAAACAGACAAATATACAGACAGAGACAGACAAATAGACCAACAGACTGAGGGATGAACAGACATACAGACAGATCAATATGTAGACATACAAACAGGCATATATACAGACAGACTGACAGATGGGCAGATGGACAGACATACAGACAGATCAATATGCAGACATACAGACAGAGACAGACAGACCAACAGACTGACAGATGAACAGACATACAGACAGATCGATATGCAGACATACAAACAGACAGACAGACAGATGATAGACCAACAGATAGACAGACATACAGACAGACAGATGGACATACAGACTGACAGAAAAATGGACAGACAAATGAACAGAGAACTAGGCATATCACACTCACAAATACAGACAAATAGTAAAACCAACTAGACCCAAACAATAAAAATCAACTCCATAAAGCTTGCTTCCCTACTTAAGAGATAGAAAAAAATAGTTACCCCTTTACATACCTCAGATCTTCATCATAATTCATGTCTATTCCAGCTTCCCTCAGCATGTCAACTCCTTCACAATAGTTCAACACCAAACTGAATAAACAAAAAAAAATGCCAGCATGAATGGTGGTGCCCTTGGGTAAATTTATGTTCACAACAATGACAAAAACATGGAGCCAAAAACTTCAACTTGTTTTTTTCCTAAATGTACATAACTGAAAAATTAGGAGTTTCTGCATTACAAATCAGTTGTACTTTTTAGTCAATACTCAAGGAAAGTTAAAATATATTTTTCTGATAGACAACATTTTTTTGCTTCTTCTCTCTCCATTCAAAATATTGGCATGCACTGTACTTCAACAAGTATGGCCATCTTTCCTTAATTTCAGCAAAAGGAGTTGTAAGAAAGGCCAAAACAAACCTTGGTTCCAGAAATTTAAAAGGTTCACTTGGGTATTGTTTTTGTACTTTTGCAATATCTTCAGCATATCTGAAGGGAAAAAGCAATATAAAGTATAGTATCAGAACAATCAAACTGCCGATTAAGTAAGAAAAATAAACAGCACAAATAGTTGTGGTTTTCTTCACAATATTAAGTAAAAAACAAGGTCCTTGTAGGCAGGACCTGCAGGGGGAGGGGGGATGGTTTCTTGATCTTATGAAAACTTTCCCAGCAAACTTGTATTTTTAAGGATAACCACATGTGTTTAGTCAACACAACAACAACAACAAAAACAATGACAACAAAGTGGATTACAGAACTGTTATCGATTCACTGCAGCAGACAGGGAAGTGAAGTTGATGGATTTGAGCCATAGCCAGAAGTTAATGGGATTTTATTTAGGATATTCATTTACTGGAGCTATAACCTCAAAAAATGCTGTAACTGTATTCCTGGAAAGTATTCCTCACCATGTAAGAGAAAATCTACTTCCAGGAAAGTGGAAATGCAGTGTTGGTATGGGTTTTTTAAAAAGGGTTTTAACAACCATCTATATTGAGATAACTTTTATACAAATATGGTTTTCATTGAAAAAAAAAAAAAAGGATCTCATAATCCTTTTCCAAAGGAAATTTAAGTTGTAAGGAGAGCTGTCTGCTTAGAGGAGTATCAGTTGAGACAATTTGTCTTTTTTTAAGCAGTAACCAACTGGTAATAGCCTAACTCTCAGACCATCTCTCACACTTTATGGGTACAGCACATAAATTGTCACCTGTCACGCAATCCTTTGAAGATATGGACAAAGGTGCGACCAATCATGTCAATCACCTGAAGTAAAGGAAATGCGGATCAGAAGATTATTTCTGCTTACTGTCAGACTGGGATCTTATTTGCAGAGAAATGATTGAGGAAATTCACTGAAGAACATTCAGTGAAGCACACCTTACATATTATCATAATTAGCACATTTTTAGGCTGAGTTACCTCATGATAATGCTCCATAAAAGTCATCTCAATATCAAGACCAATAAATTCTGTCAGGTGCCTGTGTGTATTGCTGTCCTCAGCACGGAAAACTTCAAATTTAAAGTAAAAGAATTGATTTCATATGGATTTAATTAAGTCTTGAAGTATGGAAGACTGGGAAACTACAAGAGAAGCCTCCAATTAATGTATCAATGTCCTAATTTATTATGTTCTTTGACAAGACACTTTTAATTAGTTTCAAAATGCCTCTCTCCACCCAGGAGTATAAATGTGTACCTGCAAATAGTCAGGGAAGCCTGGTCAAATGCTGGGGGTATACTGTAGCCTTGCAATGAACTGTTATTCTATCAAGGGCGGAGAAGTAATACTCCTAATCACTTTAAGCTCTGGCTAGATGATCCTCTCTGTTTAAGTACAGACTTTACTGTGTCCAAATTTGAACATTTTCAGCGGTTACTGTCAATTCATCACTCACAATACTTGTTATACATTAAAATAACAATTTTCAAGTTTTAGTCTCTGCACCTGATCCAATGGTGAATACTCTATCGAAGTCAGCACAAAGTACCATCTGCTTGTAAAGCTGAGGGGACTGGGCCAGATATGCCTTTCCTATTTTCAATAAAAACAATAAATTTTACTCCAAATACAAACAAAATGGATACATTCTAGGGAATGGTGGACCAATCAAATAAGGATGCATTTTGCAACCACCACATAGGATTGGATTTTGAAAAACAGGTTGGCAACCATCACAGACAAGTAAAACCTCTGCTCTTAAACAGTCTTTTTTTTTTGCAAACTACTTTCAAAATTCTAGACTGTGATTACTGTAAATTCTGACTGTCCTTTTTTTAAGACAAACCTCTCTCATTTCCTGCTAAACAACCAAATATAAAGTATGTGAGATTGAAAACTTACCTTTGAAATAAGTAACTTCAAACACATTTGCACCTCCCTCGCTTGCAGCTATAAAGGATAAGAAAATCCACATTAAAAATGATCACATGCAAATATTATCAACAACAACAGCAGAGCCAATTATTGCAGTCCAGTAATACTGTGTACGAAGTTGCACAGCTATTAATCCCTCTAAACAACAAAATTGTAGAAGATTAAGAGAAAAGTAAACATCCATCTGTCTACTTTCAATAGGACATCACTTAAAGTACAGAAATCATAATCTATTGCAAATGACCAACAATATGTCTAATCCAATCCAACCTGAAATTATCTTAGGAGTATGAATTTCATGAAATCCTTGAGACACGAGGAACTCTCTAAATAAATGGCACACACCAGCTTGAATACTGAAAATGGCTTGGTTTGGAACAGTCTGTAAACAAATCACATGTCAGACAAGGAAGCAATTGTAATGACACCCTTAAAACAGGGAGAGGTTGGAACAGGGAGTAACACTGACAGCATATTAGTTTTAGCACAAATATAAAAGCCCAAAGTGCAAACTTGAAAAAAAGAAAAAAAGAAGAATGAGCAGGCCACAATGGTAAGAGGCAGGTCTTCAAACCTTGCCCCATCTCTACTCTTCTTAACCTTTACATCCTAACATCAGTATGCATATTCTCCATACTGTTCTCTTTACAATTCCTAAGGTGCTGACAAGGGGAATTTGTTAAGCAAATTAAACCTCTTTTGATTGGTGATTATTTCTGCTATTCTTGTGAACTTAATGTTTGATTGAGGGGTGATATTACAAGGAAAAGGATTCAAGAGGTTAATACATCATGACAAAATTATGCACATCTAAGTGGCTGAAAATGAGTGCTTTTCATGAAACACATGTGCAAATTACAAAAGGGCCTGCATGCACAGTCAAAATTGTTTCTGTCTTTACCTAATGTGATGCTTTTTAATGTAAATTATTAACAAGTAACAACATGATTTATCATGAAATTTGGTGTAAATAAGCACTTGTAAATTTTCCAAAGACTACAAATTGCACTTGCCCTACCAGCTTGTGCAATTCTGTTGTCTTCGAAAAATTTATTAAATAAATGCTCATTTACATCAAATAGCACTCAAAATCATGTTATTACCTATACTAATAGCATGGCAAAGTGTACCCTGAGGTCAATGATTCTGTTATCCAGCTTGGTGTCTTGATTCACATGAGCTTGTTCCTGAATAAAAATTAAAGGAAAAAAAATGCTTAATCCAATGGACTACTTTTAATTTTAGCAACTTATAAAATAGACTTTGAGTTTTTGCTGATATAAGTTATCAGTTCTGTCATGATTTTGTTATCATCCAACATATACATTTTATACTATATTAAATAATGTCCTACCTCATCAGTTTCAGGGCGTGAGGCATCGTCAATCTGCAGGGGTAGTCTTGGCTCAGCCAAACTTACAACAAAAATCTGCAGACACAAAACAAGTAAAAATACTCCACAAATACTAATAGAAATAAATTTTAATTGATGTTTCTGTCTCAGTTCAACATAGATCTCTGTATTTAACAGTGATGAGAAAAAATTCAATGTCTTGAGTGAGCAGTTTCCACATATTTCAACTAAGTTGAAAATTAACCTTATCAACAAAGATCTCCACATCTTCTTGAGAACAGCTCTGAACTTTCTGAGCAGCAGATTTCACTTCTCCTTCAACATCAACAATAGACTCTTTGTTTATCCTATAATAAAATATAATCAAAATAAGACAGAAATTAAATCTGCTCATAACAGATTCCAGCAACAGGTTTCCATCAGCTGTTGTTACAGTTCCCATCTTTTGGGACACAGTTAAGTATGGGTAATGGTAAGAATCTTCACTGGCAATAGGCTGGTTGTCTGAAAGAACACTGTGTCCCCAAGATTGGAGTTGACTTCAATTTTAAGTTAATCCTTTAAACAATATGAGTGACAAGCATCTAGTTTCTCCTTTCAATATCACCCCTGAATCACACATAAAGGTCATCAAAATAAAGGAAACAATCACCGACTAAAAAAGCTCTGGGCTGGGTTGTTCAAAGCTGGGTTAAGATAACCCAGGGTTAGTGTGAAATCCGATTTCAGATCTAAAAGCTTTACAAGAAAATTCAGTCGAATTCTTTTTGTTTAGAGTATGACTACTTGATGCTTTAAAAAGGACACTGAAAATTTTCCCAAAAAGGCTTTTGAGTAAAGGAATAAAGAAACGCAGATTAAAATTTAACCCTGGGTTAGCACTAATCGGCCTTCGAACAACTGGGCTCTGGATTACAAATTCTCCTCATCAATACCATTGGCATTGTAAGGAGAACAGTAATGAGAATATTCATACTGATGTTAGGGTGTAGAGGTTATTTAACCTACCCTGTCGCAAACTTAACCATTCCTTTACTGATGACATCATTCACAGCACAGATTCCTTGCACAGTGTACTGGCGGTCGCGTAAAATCATGAAGCACTGCTTACCTTTTGAGACACAAAATGTTGAAATATTGATGACAAAAATATCTAATTGCAAATTTTTAATTTCACTTCAAAACATTCAGCAAGAACCACTTCAAAATAGCACTATTCAAAATTACTCTAGACACCAATAAACCACAATCATATATCAATATTTAACATTTCAAACAAAAAAACAAACAAGAAAGTGTACTACCTGTTCCTCTTGTGGTGTGAAGGCGTGCCCTCACTAAAACTCTTTTACCAACAGCCTCAGAGGTCAGATCTTTCACTTTAGTCCAGACTTTGGCTACATAAGACAACAAAACATAACATATTAAACATTATGATGAAGAAGCATTCAAATTATATAGTCCTAGTTTCTAAAAAATCCTGAAAAAATAAACTTTGTAAACACCCAAAGAATACAAAAGAAATAGTTAAACCCTGGGAACTCTAAGGGACCTATGGCTGTGAGTCTGTTTTCCTAGGGAAGACACTTTAAACTCACTAGGCCCTCTCCACCCAGGGGTATAGAATGTACCAGCAAACTTTCAGGGATACTTGAGGAAAATTCTCAGTACCAAATGGGGGGAGGGGAGGGGAGTTTCTGTGATGGACTGGCAGAGCCACATGACTTGAATCTTGAATACAGACTTAACCTCTTATTATTAGCCTCTTAACCTCTTTACTTTCAGTACTGTTTAAGTAGTGTTCATTACTGTGTATATGGCTTTCATATTCATTTCTTAAAAACCAAAGTTCACATAAAAGATTTCCATATATTCACAGTCATTGATTTATCAATTCACAAGCTCATTATGAACCAACATAATGACCAGTTCCCAGTTGGCTCGTTATCTCAGTTGGTAGAGTGCTGCACTGGTATCACAAAGATCATGGGTTCAAATCCTGTACAAGCCTGAATTTTTTTTAGGCCTTATTTTCAATACTGGTTGAGTAGTATTCATTACTGTGAAGATTGCTTTCATATTCACAGACTTAACCTCTTTTGCCTCATTTGAGTGAGGTGGTATTAGAAATACTCCCTAATAGATAAATTTCATCAAGCTACTGCAGGTGCAAAAAGTATTATCTCAAGCTCTTTGAGAAATGCTTACATGTTTTCTCTCGAGATTGGGCCATTGGAAGGACAGCATAGCGATCCTTTGCATAGTCCTACATGAGAAAATGAAAAAAATGTATTTAGCAATGAAACATCTGTAATTTTTTTTGTCACTGAAACAGAGACTAAGGGTTAACCTCTAACTCAAAATGATTTACACAATCATTTCAGTTAAGCTACAAAGAGTTTTTTTAGTGCATGGATTAAAACATCCTCTACATGTACTAAAAGCAGTCTCTTACAACTTATGCATTGATGCTACACACTCACAACAAATCCTACCTCAGCATCTTTAGCCTCTGCCTCAGCAGCCTGTGAAGGGAAAAAAAGATAGAAGTTAAGAATTACATTCCAGTACTGGTGATAAGGAAACAGTGGTTCTCTAAAGCCACATAAAAATAGACAATTCATCAGGGTTGAAAGAGCTATCAGGTTAAGAAATCTTCCAAAAAAAGAGAGCTTTCCCTTTCCAGTCTTTAAATGACTAAAATTCTATCAAGATATGTAACAAGTTGATGAAAGACACTAATGAATGAATCTCATCTAAAATGCAGATTAAGTACTTTTCTACTGGTACAGCTGTTTACTGACCTGATTATATAAAATGAGAGTACATGTAAATGAGCAATGGATACAAATAAAAAAAATTGTAGTTTAGATAAAACGAGCTTCACAAAAAAAAGTTAATTCCGGTTTAAATCAAAGCCTTAGGTCTCGTAAGGTATTTTTATATAAAAAATTTCCATTGATAGACCTAGAGGCTGGCTGCGTCGTCTTAAATTGAGTTTAATTTTATTCTTAGAAGCTTTTTCCGACCTGTTTGGCTTCTCTTTCCGCCTTCTTCTTCTCTTTTTCTTTCTCCTTCTCCATCTTTTTCAAGGCTTTCTTCGACAAAGGCTGGCCATCGGGTCTGTAGACCAATATAATGTTTAAAAAATGAGGGTTGTCCATTAAGCGAAATTTAAAATATCTGATGCAATATAATTTCCTTATACCCCAATGTGACCTTCTCTTCGGCAGGCGAACCCCCGATTCCATTTTCTGACGACATAATGAACGGTGTCGTGGTGAGAAAACGCTTCAAAACGAAATGATGTTTGTTCCCTCTCAAGAAGACTATACGTGACGATCTTGAGACAATTTGGGTCACCCGCCACGCTAACATGCAAAAGAACCTTCCTTTACCTCAAGGGGAATTTTCAGTCAGGCGTTACTGACCGGGGTTTGGCTCCAGGACTCCACTGATAGCCCCGTCATTTAGGAGGGAATAAAGCGTGCCCATGTCTAAAACGAGGATGTCAAATTAAGCCCTGGTTTAATAGGAAGAGGAAAGAAAGCGTGGAAATAAATAAACAAAAAAACAAAAACAAAAAAGATACAGACAAATGAATAAATACATAGATGTATGAATTAATAAATCGCATAATGTCTGCATGGGAATTGCACCGCGTTCGCCCCCTATCGAGTTCGCCCCTTCGAGTTCGCCCCTACCTTATGCCGTGTTCGCCCCCACACTTTTCGAGTTCGACCCCATCAAGTCGAGTTCGCCCCTTGATTGAGTGATATCCAGATGAGTTGATTTGTGACGAAGGCACTAGCAGAATGTGCCAAATGTCACGTCAGCGACGACCATTTTGAATTTCGGCAATTGCGTGGAACCTGCTTGGGAACTGGGTTGACGGAATCAACTAAATACTCTGTGTGGGATCTGGTGTTACCAGAAATAACTGTATACACTGAACTTGTGATAAAGAGAACCACACGGTTTATCTAACGAACACGAAATGTGTTGATCGTAACAACCAGACTTGAGAAGATGCAAACCATGCTTTCATCGCGACAGCATTGCTTAAGTTGTTAGACTTGTACCCGTTTAGCTTTATTTCATTCATTCATCTGGATATCCCTCAATCAAGGGGCGAACTCGACTTGATGGGGTCGAACTCGAAAAGTGTGGGGGCGAACACGGTATGAGGTAGGGGCGAACTCGAAGGGGCGAACTCGATAGGGGGCGAAAGCGGCGGATACCCTGCATGAAATTGAAATGGTGTGTCTCCTTACTTTTGGTTTGTTCGAGTTGATAAACCGACTACTTAAAACAAACGAAAGGGTACTTCCAGGTTCGATCTCCTTTTAGCGCGAATTTGGTCATGGCTTCTGACTTTTGACATTCTTTTTCAGCACATCAACGTCTGAATTGTATTATCTGACCTACGAGTTACCTCGCAACTCCCAGCCATGAGGACAACTTTGATGGTTTTCCCTCAAAGAAGAGCAACAGTAATGTGAGATTAGTGCGATCTTGGCTTGCCTGGGTTCATCTGCCTTCTCCCCACGAAGAAATAAGGGGAGGTAACCCACCGTGTGTCTCTGGTAGGATGATTCACGCGAAAAGAACACTGATTTTATCATATTGCAGGCTGAACGATTCAGTGGGGAAAAAAATCTTAGTTCTAACCCCGCTATCAACATAGGCCGGCGAAACCTAGAAAAGTGTTTCTTTTATTTTTCGTTTCAAACCTTTTCACTCCCCAATTACGATAGTTAAGATTTCTCTCTTTATTACACCCATTTTGAAATCACTGGTGGTCCCTTTAATCTGATTGGCTCTAATTGGTGCGATTTATTCACGAACCACACCATTTTTCGCCTTAAATCGCATCTTTTTCCAGACAATGAGGAGGCTACACTAAAAACAAATTTCCAAAACTCTTATTTCCCCCCCCTCCCCCCCCCCAAAAAAAAATGGATGAATTTAATGAAATATTTGAACTGACCAAATCCTGTATTTGGGCGATTTCAAAATGGATGTAATAAAGTGGTAATTGAATCTCGTGTCGTGCAATTTTGGTTTGAAATCATACTTGTGATTTCAAATTGAACTCGCACTGCGCGCTCGGTCGATTTTGAAATCACGCGTATGATTTCAGCCCAAATTGCACTCCACTCAGTTCAATTACTATTATTAATAAGGAAGTATCTGGACGTATGGAAGCAAATTTCAATGCCATGACTCATTAAAAAACTTCGATTAGTTGGAGGCTACTGAGTAAAGATGTCAGTTTTAAACTTGTTGAATTAAAGTTTATTAAAACTATTACATCATTTTTGCGTCATCATTCATAATCCGAGTTACAAAGAATTATTTCATTGAGCGGGCAATAAATGTGGGCAACAAAAACATTGACGTCCATTTTTGCAAATAAACATTCTCGTTTGATGCAAAACGTTTTTAACATTGGCCGAGTTCATATCATTTATTCAATAGAATTTCTTCCAGACTGCGTACTTCAGTAATTTTACCTTTGACATGCACAAAATATCGTCCAAAAATCCCTAAAGCTCAATGAAATTTAACAACAGATACTCGTTAATGAGTAACCTTAACGGTAACCATAACCCTAAACCCGGTGACCAAATTAGCTCATGGAAAAAAATCTGGTCTTCATCAATTTGAACAAGAGGATTTTTAACTTGATTTTGGTCGACTCGATTTCGATGCAATTAATCGAGTTAGTATCTTTACGTTTCCACAGGTAACGACATTACGGTGATGAATTACCCAGTTTAAATACCAAATCAGGTTAGTTGTCATAGAAATTTCATTCTGTTTTGCATTCTGTGTTGTTGTTCAGAGAAGACGTTGAATACCTTAACAATTAACTCAGTGAGAAAAGAAAATTCAATAGAAAATTAACCTAAGCCACTGATCTCAAAGAAACAGGCTCGGAGAAGGCTACTTAAATTTAGCCTCTTTTAGACCAAAAACCTGCCTTAAACGGGCACTCCATGAAAGTTCTAAGATAAATGAACTTTTCATTTTCAGAGAAAACTGCAGGTAAACTTTCAAAATCTTTCCCACTTCAGCTTAGTATCATTGGAAATGTGTAAAGAACAGTAAGGAAAATGTCTAAACTAATATTAGGGTGTAAACGGGCTTAACAGGTCTCAACGTATTTTCAAATGGAGTCGCTCTCAAATCACTTACAGACTCAATGATAATTTGTCTCCCGGGAATAATTTTGCATGTAGAAACACAACACGCCACATAGGCTTGCATCTGTATCTAATTTATATCGTCAAGCAATCATTTTATTGTCATTCTCTAACTTCACCTGGAAGAACAACCATTGTAGTGTGATCCAGAACAGGAAACTGCGGTATAAAAGTATCGATAGAGCTCTCTGAATCATATATTTTTGTTCTTTCCATTTTCGTCAAATTTTTGAGAATTGGAGGACTTCCTCTGAACTAAATAGCCTCATTCTATAGCGTGGGGAAGAGGGGGTGGAGTTGAGACTTCGAAAAATTTATGCAAACGTAAGACGCAGTGAGGAGTTTGCGTAGCTTTCTAGAAGTATTCAGACCCCCTTCCCCCCCACTACTTCCCTAATCCAGACTGTTCAGATGATACAATTTGAACACGAGATAAGATCTCACTGCTTTAATCAATTATTTTTCAAAGATATGCGCAAAACTCAGAACTTAAATTGTGTTTTCATCGATTCAACTTAACACATCCATCGACCAACGAGAGAGCGCGAGGTATCTCAGTTATGAGATGTGAAAAGTAGTAGGTTATGAAATCTTCATGCATATTTCTTTTTGAAATGATAATTCGTGTTTGAAAACATTGCGCAAGGTTTTTTCTTTTGTTTTTTTGCTGTCAAGCAGTGACGTTTTACTTGATAGCCAGACATACTGCTGAGATCTCCAAGAGGTCCACGATGAAGTTGCGAAAAGGTTCAAGTCTGAAACTAAGACGATGATTAAAGGGAAATGCGAAAAAGGAAGTGCTTAGCGAAAGAACGCGAACCTTACTCAGCACGTGGCCATTTCCTTTTGTTATAAGCCTATTGGAAGTAATTTTCAGGCTATTGAGATCTTTCCCTTAAAAGTTCGTCCGTCAATTTAACATACACGTTACTCCAATTTGTGGATATTCCAAAACAAAACAAAGCATATCTGAATGTGAAATTGAATTTTCAAGTTAACCATCAATTGATTGTTTGTTAAAATAGATATATGTTGGAAAGGAAGTCAGCCACGCTAATCAGAATGACTCGAGCTAACGAAATAAAAATAGCTGGCATCTTCTTAATTTACACTCAAGTGCTCTTATTTCGAGAAAGACTTTCGAAAATAATGTTCTAAAATAGACAAGACGTGGATTTCGTACCTTGCCCAATGCGCACTCCAAGGGAGGAAAGACGATATTAGACAGAGAGTAACCCGGATTTAGGGAGGCCAGCCAAAGGTAGGACTTATTTCAGTAGTATCAGGCTTCTGGAGCATGCTATAAGGAAAGTTGTTGTTAGAGAGTTTTATGTTTTTGTTTTTAATTCATTTGTTTTTTTTTTGCTTTTAAAAAAGAATTGTTGAATCTTGCTTAACTCTTATATAATCGTAGTCCGTGGTTACGTCAATGGTGTCATTTCTAACAGAACCAGTCGCCTCGCTTAAATATATGCGTTTCAATCAGAGATGAGCTTTTTCTTAATCTTGTTTTTAGTTTATTACAAGAGATTGCAGTCTTAGCATTCATTCATCCTGAGGTTTGATGGCCTTTAGGCCTTTAGAAAAGCTCACGGAAAATGTTTCACCAAGGAATTTCATTTTTATGAGATTACTTTACATTCAAGTTGTTCAGTACTTTAATTTTTTTTTTATTTTTATTTTTAACAGACCTTTCACCTTGATAAAGTGGAGGAGTTTCTAGAAACACACAAACGTGTTTTGTGTTGTAGATCAGTGGCTTGTATTGTTCACATGTAAAGACAGAAAGAAAGAAGGAGCAGAGAGGGTTGGAGATAGAGAGAGGAAAAAAAGCACCAGATAAGTTCACTGAGTTGTTTTAAAAGTCTTTAATAAAACATGCTTTTAAAATATAGAGTATACATGTGAACGTGATTCACTAAAAGCGCATTATCGCTTCAGCGCTAGATTTCTTCTCTAAGTCCAGAGACGACATGGCTACTTGGATGTTCTCTTGTAAACAACACGTCCAATTTTAAGTGTGGATTAAACAAATGTCTGGACATCTGTCAGATAAAGAAACAAATTTATGATCACTTCATGACTTTGGTTTGTAAACGGTTTACAAATCGGAAATTTTTAACCCAAAACCCAATCAGTGAAAAGCTGCTATAAAAAAAGAAACAAGTCAAGTGCCTGTAAGTATTTAGTTTGCTTAAAAGCTGAGTCTTCTAAATTTGAAAGACAGCTGCTATAATATCTGTCAATGTTTTGGCAACAAACCAAGGGTAATTAACGTCACCAGTGTCCAACAAAGTCTCAAGAACCGTGCGAAATTACTCCGGCAAAATCAGTTCGCTTGCAAAACGCGATAAGGCTTTATGATTTTTTCGAGTCATAGGCATTGTCTAGCTTTCTTGATTTCTTTAGCACTATTTTGAAGCTGTCACTGTCAGAGATGCATTAACTAGTCTTTCTACACATTCAGTATCTGCTGTTAAGGAATTTTCTTTTGTGTTTGTTGAATAACCTAATTACTCATTACAGTGGACGAATGATCACGGGGAGGGATCAACGAGTAGTTTAAGTAATCATCTCTTAAAAGTCGTTTTCGTTTGGAACGAAAAGCATTTGAAAACAAAACAAAAAAAAAAAGAAAAGAAAACAGTTGGTTAGAGGTTTCATGGCCTGCCTGTGAGCTTTTACAATTGCGTTACTAGACGAACACTCAATATTGATAGATGGATTTTAGCAAGCAAACTTAAAAATGCATAATTGTTCAAGTCTAGTTACGTATTTCATAAGAGTAAATTGCGTCGTATTACCAACACGAACTGATAGAGCGTAACACTGTTCTTGCTTGCAAAAAAAAAGAACACGGGTACATCTTCCTTGAGCTTTTTCTTTTATTTTGAGAAGAAATATCCTTGGTTTATTCCCTTAACGTTTTATGTCCATTAAATTCATAAATGTCTTGGTTTTGACACCTAAAGACCATTGTAATGCCTAACAAAAGTTTCAACAATGTTTACTATTGCTTTGCATATTGATGGCTCAACGCTACAAAAATATATCTTTGCTCCTTCGCTCGCTACTCCGTTTCGTGTTAAAGTTGCCTTCATTAAGCCTTGGATTAAGTAGGAAAGAAAACGTACATGATAATTTATAGTGTCATTCATATCTACTTTCCATCACTTGGAGTGTGAAATATGTTATATACATAATTATATTTATCTAGCACTTCAGTAGTTTTGGTCTCTATTGCAGTGGGAATGCATTTAGTGTGCACAGTTAGGCACAATTGTTCCCAATTCTGTAATCCGCAGCATTCCGCGGCTATCGCTCCTCTCAGATGTTACCCTCTGCTGGCTAAAGTCTTTGGCAAACTCTCTTTTTCCTTTCGAGACGTGAAACGAATCTACGATTAAACAACAGACGAGACAAAATGAGCACGGAACAATTTCACAATTCATGCACGTTGAGCAACTATTCCAGTTACTGATAAATTATTAGAAAAGGAAACGGAATTTAAGGTGAAACACTCTTAGACACAAAGGAGAAGACAAAAGAATAATAAAAATAAAATTCTTGTACAGCTCTGCTTTAAATAGCTTTTGATTGCAACCAGTGTGGGAGTTCAGTGCAAACCCATAAAAAATCTCGGTTATGAAGTGTCGTGCGGCTGTTTTATCATTACAGTCACGTCACAGTAACTTTCCCTTACCTCTTGCGATGCCGATGTTTCAGTTTCTTGCAAATCAAACCCGCCGCACACGGGCACTTTTGGTTCAGTGAGTAACCCAGACCACCTTCCGGTACATAGCAGTCTTCACCCTCTTGAAGCAAACGCCTGCAGATTGGCTCCCCGTGAACTTTAACGCAGCATAATCCGGAATCGCATTTGCGATCTTTCCTGCATCTTGCACCCTCTGTACCCCGAGGAACTGCTTTTCTGCAGAACCCAAATACGCACTCCAATCCGTTGCAGCACATGTTATTTCGACGACACGCAGATTCTACTGGCTTGCAAGCATGACATAAACCGTTGTGCTTGTGACAATATTTTCCTTGGCCACACTGTCTGTCTTTTCTACAGTGCTGTTGGAAAAATTTCAATTATAGTTAGAATTATCCTGTTTTCCTACTGGGTTATTGGTGAGCGATTCATGTCATATGCAGGGTTGGCATTTTATCTCCCTACTTACTCCTTGCACAGTTGAGTTTCCCTTAGTGTTGTTGTCAGGGCTGTTGCTCTGTTTCCCTTCGTCCGTATCAACAGGATTTACACTAAGAATCCAACTGTATACAACACTATTCGCTACTTCCACAAACGCCAGGAGAAACACAACGAGCAGCATATATCTTTTCATGACGATGTGCTTGCCATGCAATTCACGCAGCTTTGACAGCGCTCAGTCTAAGTAGATCGTAAACGACTAATTAACCAACTGCCTTTTCACATAAATGATATTTAACACGTGTGACAGAAACACTGTCAGGACGTGGCCAATAACAGATGGAAATTTTTCAATAGCCGTGTGTACAATAGAAACGGGGGGGCGTGGAGGACTAATTAACGAGGAGGAGAAAAAACGCTTGCTCTGTCATTATTCTATTGATTTGTTAACTAATCTGCTCTTCAGGGCTTATCAAGCGACTCAGTCCAAGAAACAACACTACACTTCATCGTATCAAAGCTCTGTTCCTTATTAGAGTAATAAGATTCTACGGAAATACAAGTAGGTTATCTTAATCCTAAAGATTTGGTACAAATATTTTCTGAAAGCGGTGCATTTTAAATACGTTCTAGATCATGTCAGTTTTGGAGGGCCTTGTAATTTATGTTAATTTAGAATGATAAGATGATAATATGGTGAGCTCAACGCTTCACTCGGCTAATATCGAGATTTAACTGAAGTGATTGTTCAAGAATTTCGTTAGCGCGTTGGGTGGAAATTTCAATTTTTGTTTTTGACGCGCACATAGTTTATTACAAATAAATTGTTTTTCATTTATCTTTTCCTTAAATTTATCCTAATTTATCTGGTTTATATCTATGATACGAGGCTATTGGTACATCGTTTGATATATGAATTCTTGGAAACACTCCATGCGGGGGAAAACAGCCATGAAACACATACTAACGACGCCAGAAATTTGATAATTAAATAAAGCGATTAACTTCGATTTTCGTGCCAAGGAAAAACTAAAAGAATGTTCTTCCACATGTGGATTTCCAAGTGATAATTTTCTTAAGCACTCGACAACCATGACAGGAAACAATTCAATTAAATCTTTCTGTTATTTTGGCCTGGAAGGCTGATACAGTCATAATGCAATGAAAAGCGTGTCTGGCCAAAAATTTACTGTTATCGCTACCACTGAGCCAGAGTAGTGTGGAAAATCTGATGTTATCGATTAGCAAGGATTGTGGTCAACCACTAAATTTCCATCGCGCAACATAAACAGATAGGTTGGCGTACGACCAAGGATTTAAAATAACTTGCCCTAAGTGTGCAAGTTTATGATCCCTGACATGTAGGTCATTTGCTTAGATGACGTGATATAAAGGTGGGTTGCTGTCAACACTTCCATATGCATGACTTACGACGGTGAGTCAGATCTTTCAGCACATTCTCAGAGAAATACTTTTCATTTTGTAACAGTCCAAGGAAGCTACTGATGTATCTGTTTACATTTTAAATCAGCGAGATTTTCTCTCCCTCTCAGATAATTTCTCATCTTCTGTAAAAATTTAAATATTCCGGCAGTAGGTTGTGCAAAGCTCATCTGGAAAAGGACTGAATACGTGAGGACATGGAATTAACCAGCGACGACCATAAACTTAATCCAAGCAAAACCAAGATTCTTAAAAACACAGTAAATTCATCACGTAGCTGCCGTCGTAAATCCTAGACAAAAACAAAGATAACATCGATTATTCCCTTCAAAGCCTTACATGTTGTCACCACAATGAAATATTGTTTGAATGATTCAGGTGTTCCCGTTCATCTTCTTAGACCAGGCGTCAAGCGCGTGTTGATCACGCCCACAAATCTGTTAATTTTTAAAATTCACGAAATGCTGGATTTCTCAATTTTTCCCTTTTTTATTCAAATACGCTCTGATATTGTTTGGAAATTTTAACATTGATGGCAGTTTTATCCGTCGGTGTTTGCATCGGTTTTTTCCATTCGAATGAAGATACTTTGAATAAATTAGAATGCGTTCGATTGCATAACTTCATGGCTGCTTCACCCGTAAATCTTTGTATCTCGATATTGTGCCATAGTTTATCCATTATCTCCATTAATTCTCAAGCAAACCACAACACGACTAAGACAAGTTTTGCTGTTCAATTGCTACTGTAAAATGATAACAGAATCCAATATGAAATTAGTAAAGGCCTTAAAACGGAGCTCACAATGTATTTTTTTTTCTTTGATTACGTCCCATCAATCAAGTTAAGCCCCATTGGATAAGCCCCGCACCTGGATGGGTCTAATTTAATACTTTCCATATTGTTATCTTTTCTTTTATGCTCCAAATGACTTTTAACTTGCTACTGCAATGTAGCAACAGTGTCACTGTAGATAGCATCATCAGGAGCACTATTCGTGACCGCTCTCGATGGCGGACATACTTGTTTCAAGTGTAACTACAAGAGCCTCAGTATTTGCTGCAGGCGGACTTCATTAAAGCTAATTACTCACTATCAACAATCAATACACTATCTGTAAGATCGCTCTGACGATCATCACTGCGCAAACCAAGCAGTCGTTTCCCCCCGACAACATACAGTGGGGTTGGCCAGACTTGTCGTGCAGCCATTCTTTCATCCACTCGATATATTTTCAACAGAAACGAAAACCCTTGAAACGGAAAGATGGACGAGTTATGTAACAACCTCAAGTACCTGTGACGGCGAATATAGTTCACTGAATTTTCCTGAGCCATCAAGATATCTTAACTTTGAGCATTTCTTGAACTGTATACGTATGTGAGAAAATTGGCCGAGCAAAGAATCTTTAGTCTTTTATGAACAGTTTTTTCTATCATTTGTCACAGTATCCGAAGCATTTAATCGAAAATATTTCAATTTTTTCTTGTTGTTGTCTCTTTACAGATTATTTTCGTTCCTATCAAGCGTTAAGTTTTCCACTGACAAACTTAATTTTCCAGCAATCCACACGCAAGTCATAAAATTTAAAATAAGCTCCTTAAGGTTTCAAATGTCATCTTGACAGGAAGCTATGTGATAAATGTGTTATTGCCCAAGCGCGAGGTCAAAATAATTGTTTAATAGCTTTAATTCTCGTTCTTGAGTTCTTGCGGTTCGAGGTTGCTAAAAAAGGCAACAGAGAGCCGGATTTTATTGTATGGCAAGAAGATTACCACAAAGTATGTCTGTATAAACTCTCCAAAATCGCCGTGGTCTTCCCTAATTTGACTTCCTCGAAGAGCGCGCTAGACCTTGTTTCTGACAAAACTGTGGGAAAACATACTTTTCGTAAAAAATATTTAAGCTGCCTGGAAATTACGACGAATGTCAACCAGCAACAGGCTCTATTCACGATATTGAAGCGGGCAATGAAGCAGACATGATTGGTCCGTCGTTTAGCCAATTAGAAAACAAGATCCGCTTCATCTTGCCCATGCGTTGAGCCAGTCACACAATAATTAAAAATATTGACCAAACAAAAAACAGGTCTATAGCTCATACCAAATGGGAGCTTGATTTATCACGTCACTTTGCACCGTATGCCAACTAATCTCAAGGGAATGCTGAACGTAATGAACGTGTATGCTGCCCTGACAGAGGACCAACAAGATAATTGGCTTTTTTCAAGTATTTTTTTTTTACATAGACAGAAACAAACGCTTATGCTTAGTGTGCTCAGTACGGACCAATTTAACCGCACTGAACCATCAAAGCCACACAGTAGTCTCGTTCATTTAACGCTGGGATAAACAGCTTGTGGAATCCTTAGCTCCTTCGTTATATCGGCGCCACAATTTACCAGGGAAGTCGGTCGGAAATTAAGAAAACTGAGGTTATTCAACCCACGTTTCCAATTCGCAATGTAGTTTCATTTAAACTGTTTTTTCAGGGCACTTTGTTGAGATAAACCTTTATCGCATAACACCAACAAAGCTTTGCCGGTTTATCAAGACCATCGCAATGTGCTCATAATAATATGCACATTGCAAACATTCTCTGTAAGCAATTTTAAAATATACTGAGTCATTCGTCCTTGAAAGAATTTAATGTCAAATTCAAATGTATTGCAAAAAAAATCTCGTTCATACAAGTTATGATAAACTGAAAACTAACGAAACTCAAATATAGAAACACTTCCAGTTGTGCTGGTTGCTGTTGAATCTATGGGCTATAAATTAAGACGACGATAAGAACTTTCACTGAGAAACCTTGTTTCTTGGTAGCACATTTTACTTGTGTTTACAATCTAACCAGTTGTTAGAAATTGGGGCTTACAACACAACGAATACGCTTAGTATTGTTTGGTATTATAATCAATCTTTGATCTGAAATATTTAAAAACTTTTCTTCTAACAATTTCCCGCCTCATTAATCTTTTATTTACTACAGATGACTCTTATGGGAGTCTACACAACATAACAATGCACAAGTTCTCTCTAAAACGCGCTACAACATTTATTCATAAAGAATCTTTCCTCCGCAAAACGAAGCTAATATCGCTAAAAAAAAGTCAGTCGCCATCCACAGTCGTCAAGCTGAGGTCCAGTTTTATTTAATAAAATATGGCGGGACGATCCCTAGTTATTATACATAGTTCACCAGAAACAAACTTCACCAATTTCAACCTCTAGTTCTCCAGCTAAATCGTACGCAGCAAAGTCAACAATCGGCAACCGGGAGGCTTGTGTGGTTGTAACAACAAATTGGGTGCTGCGTTGAGATCCATCCTTCACCTGACAAAAAAAGAAAACGCCGTCAGGTGAGAAGGAAAAGATGAATGAAAGAGAAAATAAAAAGATGACTTTCTTAATACTGTCGAACTACTTCGGTCTACAGGTGAGGAGTTCAGGGAAAGAGAGGGTAGTGGGGTTGAGGAGGGGATAAGTTCGGGAGACGAGAGGAGAAAGGGTGGAAAGCGGGAACGACGAGGGCGGAAAACGGGAGACTAACGTAAAATTTTTTAACTCAGTAAATCACCGAACTGCACGGCTTCGTTGTAACAGGTAGAAGAGGAGAGTCAGAGATGGTGGAGAGAGGAGAGAGATGGGTCGGGAGGTGACCTCTCCTCTACATACAAGAAAAACGCTTTCATAAAAACCAGAAGGGTCTGAAAACAATCACCTATTTTAATTAAGACTCCATAGTTATAAAAGGTTTAGTTAAAAAAATGTTTAAGGTAAAATTTCACCCATCTTAGAAAAAAAAAGAACCAGTGTGTTACAAGATAATATCTTGTGGTGATCATAAACTACTCAGCTCCTTTAGGCGGTTCTAACCTTTTTTGTTTCTGAACGAAACCTTTGTTTTATGACCTTTCAGTAAAAACTAGTGAGCATTACTTTCAAGTGATACTGTTCACTGAGCATAAGAGGATGGTTCTCTCCCTTTAACTGGGGATTAAACCTCATCGTGGGACAATCCAAATAAAAGTTATCTAACAGTTTTTTTTCGTTTGGTACTCCTTTCATAATATTCTGTGCAAGATGGTTGTATGTCAGTGAATAATATGTGTGTGACTTGTCGAATGAAAGCTTCGAAATTTTTTCATGACGAGCCTTTTTCATACCATGTTATATAAGCTATAATCAAATGATGAAAAGTCAGGTTGGAGAGTTCTTACCTTGCAACCGTCATTGGGAACCTTGATCATGGCTTTCTTTGATTTGGATTTGGAGCTAAACTCGTGGCCGTTCACACCCTCAAATTTAACCGCTTTCTTAAAAGTGCGGGCGCTTTGGTCGTACCAGGCCACCGAGTTTTTACATTTGAAGGTGAACTCCTGTTGGGCGTGGTTACTACGCAGTTGTAGATGGTACAGTTGGATGTCGTCAATATCGTATTCAATCTAGTGGAAATAAACATACAACGATGAATACCAGGTGCAGACAAGGAGAGTTTGTTTATTAATAAAGAATCCTGTCGTTTGCCTAGATATTTGCCTGATATCGGAGAAGGCTGTTCCTTCCTGCCAATTGGATTATTTCTCTTCACGTCGGTACTGATTATATGTATGACATGAACTATAGAAATGTGCGGTGGCGACGCCCGAAACTTTACGATTTAATACTGCAAGTCTATCCAGTTTTTTGATGGTTTTTTCTTTCGTTAAGTGTTTTTAAACCCAAAGTTAAGTTCCCAACCACGCTTATTTTCTTTGTAATTCAGATTTTCAATGGGATTATCGTCAAATGACTTTATTCCAGATCGTAAACTAACCTTGTTCTCATTATTTAAGTCCTCAGAAAACCATGCGACTTTCATTCTAGGATCTACTTGGGTTTTCCAGGTACTCTTGGGAATCTAAAACACAAACATATACATGATTCCTGTACCAAAAGATTGGCGCCGCAATCGGTTGAGAAACCACGTGCTCAATGATTCAATCAGATACAGCTTAAACTTGAACCAATCGTATACAACTTACACATGAACTACTGAATCAAATACAGCTAAAACTCGAACCAATTACATAGAGCTAAAATTCAAATCAATCAGATACAGCTAAAACGTGAATTAATCAGATACAGCTTTAACTTGAACCAATCGGAGAAAACTAATGCCTGAACCAATCAGATAAAGCTTACACTTGAATCAATTAGATAGAGCTTAAATTTGAACCAATCAGATACAGCTAAAACTTGAACCAATCAGAACATCTAAAATTGAACCTATCAGAAACAGCTAAAATTGAACCAATCAGATACAGCTTAAATTGAACCTATCAGAGACAGCTAAAACTTGAACCAATCGCTAGCTCGTACAAGTGACTTTTATATTCTTTTAGATTTGAACCTTCTCTAGACGAGACCCACGCAGAATTTTGTCACAAACCTTTGTCATTTTAGGTCTGATGCAAGTGGCTTGGTTGGTAAAATTACAGTGTACAGTGATCTGGTCATTTGGAGATCCACCATTGGGGTCGATATCATATTCGCCTGAATCAAATCAGAAAAAAAATGTATAACTGTACTCGTCATACATTAGAAAATGGATAAAGAAAAAGTTAACTACACAAAAATCAAATCACGTTTTAAACCATTTGGATTTTAACCAAACTTTATCTAAACGATGATTTTTGTGAACAGTATCTTAATTGCCTGGAGTTAACATTGGAAAATAAAATTGTTTTGCTTCAAAGAAGTAAAAAACTCAGCCATCAAATCTTGAGAGCGATATGTAAGCCTTTCTCACCATCTTTGAGTCCAATACCAGAGTGACACAGCTGAAGATCTCTACAAGTTTTAGCAGGGAAATACCGTGAATTGTCACGGTGTTCCACATCATACATCTTCTGGGAAAGCTCGGCGATACGGTCCAAAACTTGCATCTCCTAATGACAGTATAGATTTGCTTTAATATAACACTAACAATAATAATAATAATAATAATAATAATAATAATAATAATAATAATAACTGTATAATAACAACTATCACATTTACACGAAACAATTACATTATTCGCTCTCGACCTCTATGCGTGACCGTCGATGAGGGCGAATCATCACGCAAAAGGACTCGAAAGCTCAATATTCAATTGCTAAAAAGACGCACAGGGGGAAGTTTGAAGGACAAAAGAGAAGAAAAGCAAACTGCCCATTGTTATGTTATATTCTCACGGCCCTTTTTCGGAGATATCTTTAAATCTAACAGCAGCATTTTGGGAAAAAGGGAAAAAGGAAAAGAAAAGGAAAGAAAAAAAGAAGAAAGGAGCTAGAAGGGAAGTGAGGAAAATCTTATCTCATTGTTTGTCTTAAATCATATTCATGCCTGGCTCAAGTCCGAGGAAAATCTCACAAGACTAACCAGTCACAAATCAAATCTAATCTAATCTTTCATCACAGAATCTAAATGCAAGAAATGATCTTGGCAAGTTACACACCTCGGATACAGCTGATCGTCGTTTCTGCGGACAAGTAATTAAACAAAAAAAGGTTAATCTCATGTCAGCAAAAGTAAGATGGACACTGCAACAACACAAACCTAATCGAAACGCCTTTTTTCTTTTACTTAATCAACGCATATTTATTGATTGCACATACATTAAGTCATTCAAGCTCTCAAACGTTTATTCAATCGTTTGTTCAGTCAGTCAGTCAGTCAGTCAGTCAGTCAGTCAGTCAGTCAGTCAGTCAGTCATTCAATCAATTAGATGTTCACCAATCCATCATCAATCAATCAGTCCCACAGTAAATTATTCAATCAATCATCAAGCAATCAGTCAGTCAGCAAGTCCCTCAGTCAGTCAATCATTCCAGCTGGACGTACCCTTCCTTCAGGCTCTACTTCCTCCTCAGTCTCCTCCTCAATAGGTCCTGGTCCGGGGCCGCCTGGACCCTTGGGTGGACCACCAACGCTCGTACGTATTTGTCTGGGAGCTGGATAGCCAGGTTCACCCTAACAATTACAACAGCTCTTATTACTCTCCGCTACATTGCTTTTGGAAAAGACAACTATATAGAGGTTCTAGAGATGCCACAACTTAGCAGGTTCACCGGCACATAGACTGTCCCCAGTTTTGGTAGGCGCTTATTTCACTCGCTCTTCGCGTTAATTCACCATAAAAGCTTTTGTACGATTTGTTTATGGTTTATAATGGAAGAAGAAAATGAAATAAAGTGGGGGCGAGTGCCTTTGCTTCAGTGCCGCTTAACCCTGGATACCAGTTTTCCCGCGCATGTCTCTGGTTCCATTTTTTCCCGCGCCTGTTCCTAGCTTCGTGTTTCCCGCGCTTCTTAAGCACCAACTTTCTGTTTCCCTGCTCATTCATGTCGCTGACTGCATATTTTAGTCAAAACTGCGTTGTTTGATGAATTCTCTTAAAGACTTTACGACAAAATCCTAAATACTCCTCCTTACAAATTGCTAATTCTTAGCACTTACACGTTCTCCTGGAGGTCCCGGGGGTCCCTGTATGAGAAACAGCAATACACTATGAAATGAGCATTGACGTGTTGCAAAAGAAGATTACGAAAAAGTGTACATTGAACTAAGTATTTACTTGAAATTGACCATTAAAAGTTAACAGAAACTAAGCAACACTACGTAGTGCACTGAAAATCGTTGAGAATAACTTACCTGTTTCCCTGGTGTTCCCTGTCGGGAAAAAGAGAATACGATTAAAATGGACACACACACACAAAAATCACGAGGATTAGTGTCAAGTTTCGTCGTGAAAAATGAAAAACTTCTACGCTTATTTCGATTGGATTTACGACAGATTTACAAAATTTAGGGTCACCACAATAATCACGACTTATTCTCCGTGCTTCTTCATGTTGAGGCAGGACCACAAGAGAGGCCGAGCCTTTTATGAAACTCGGTAAACAGTGCAAACAGAAATTATTTGCGGTAAGGAATATGTATCAAAGAAATAAGGCAAGAGAACTAACCCGAACGATAATTAGTTTAGGGTTTGTTATTCGTTAACGAGTCCCGAACCCTATTGTGATTGGTCAATTAACGACTGACAGGTCAATTCAACGTGCTATGGGTTTCGCAGTGAAAATAAGGTTGCATGTAGCATAGCTTCTGCGAAACGAAAGACTTTCCTGTAAAATTTTCTCCAAATGTTTTTGAAACCATCATTTAACCGATCAGTTAAGATAATATTTATCTTACCCCGAATCCCCTTGGGCCCTGTAAAGAAAATAAAAAAACAGGAATATAAGAAGATAAAAACATAGAGAGATACCAAAACATTTTTCGATTTTAAATAAATAAGGTAACATTAAGTGATTTCTCCTAAACACAATAAACTCTAGAGAAACATCTTGTGAGAGGAAAGTATTATAAGCTGTTTCCCTAAAATTTATGGCGACCACTATTAATATTCAAATGACATTTATTGAATAATTTGTTATTCGCACAATCAAGATCATACACGGATGATTGAGAGTGCTACTAGCAACAAAACAAGGCTTTTTTGTAGTCAAAATCAAGCCAAGTTCTTGTTGTGGTACTCATAAAAATAGCCTCCATAAGGCGCGAAAATATGCTTGGATATTTGTTCCCGGACAGTTTCTGTTTGGTTTTGGGCAACTTACGCTACAGACTGGTTATGACAACTTTTATCAAATACAGCACTTGATTCAACCTCTGCTGCAGAGGAAGACTCAGCGAAGAATGAGAATCAATGCTTTTTCATTTAGTGAAGAGAATAAAAAAGGTGTGAGACCCACCGGTCTTCCTCTAGCTCCTTTGACTCCATTTGGGCCCTACGAACAAAACACAAAAATCCAATATTTCTGCCTGAATTAATGAAAAAAAGAAAAGCAATGCTCGCGAGAGACTATCTTAATTACTCAGAATGACTCCAGAGGTCTTGGATTTCAGTTTTCACTCCTCATTTTGACACACAACAACAATAAAACAATGAAATTAGCAACTCACCGGTAGGCCCTGGAAACCATCCTGTCCGGGTTCACCAGGAGGGCCTGAGTCTCCCTAAAATAAGAAAGGAATGATTCTTATGATTTGCTTCGTGTTACAAGTAGAACGAAAGCATTATTTTGCACTTTATAACTCTTAATATGAAATTATATCTGTGAACTGCAGATTAAGAAATGAGTAAGAAAACGATCTCAACAGAAATGAACACCACTTAAGCAGAAGAGAAAAAAAGGCCTAATAAAAATTCAGGCCTGCACGTGATTTGAAACCAGTATTCTACCAACTGAGTGAAGTGCTCTACCAAGTTAGCTAACAAGCCGCACACAAAAAAATATAAAACAAAGAGATGGGAGACAGAGTTTGGGAAATAAGGATTTGTCTTCTTAGAGCCAGCTCTGAACAAAAGAGAAACGGACGAGTAACTTTGTGACAACTCAGTGTTTGTTTTCTGATACCACGACAACAGATTGAGATTTTTGATCATTATACAAACCGTGGCTCCTGGTGGTCCTGAATCTCCGTTGAAGCCTGGGACTCCTGGCTTTCCCTGATAAAAAGAAGAAACACAATCAATTATCCCTTATCTGGTCGTCATGGTTACCAAATAATGAGCAGTGCTGAAGACGAGATGTTTCGTCAAAGTGAGAAGAGTTTAGCAAATAGAAACCCCTTGCTCTCCGCTGGCCTTTCCAAAACCGTTTATTTATATACCAGAGGGCCCTAATTTCACTTGCAGTCTAAACGACGATCGAAGAGAAAATAGGTCTGTGAACAGTCTACCTCAAACTCTCGTTTGATGATACTAACAAGACACAGTGGGACTACCTCTCTGATACTACTTCTCGTGTGACTGCTTTTGCGCAGTGAGCCGCAATTACGTGACCAGATTTGTGCTACTGCCCTCGTGTGACTGTTCTTGTGGATTTAACTGCGTTTACGTGACTGGATTTGTGTGACTGCCCTTGTGTGCCTCTCTTTGTGCAAGTGGCTGTGTTTGCGTGACTGGCTTTGCGTAACTGCCCTTTTGTGACGGTTTTTTTGGAAGTAGCTGCGTTAGCGTGAATCTATTTTTGTGACTGCCCTTGTCTGACTATTTTGTGAAAGTTGCTAGGTTTACGTAACTGGCTTTGGGTGGACTGCCCTTGTGTGACTGGTTTTGTGCAGGTGGCTGCGTTTCGGTGACTTGCTTTGTGTAACTACCCTTATGTGACTGTTTTTGTGCAAGGAGCTGCGTTTCTATGAATGGCTCTGTGTGACTGCCATCATGTAACTGTTTCTGTGCAAATAGCTGCGTTTCTGTTACTCTATTTGAGTGGCTGCCCTTGATGGAGTTAAGCCCATTCCAAAGTTAAGGGAAAAACAATGATAATAATGATAAGAGTAATAATAATAGTAATAATAATAATAACAATAACGATAGTACTGTCTAATAAACCTTCAACTTGTAATAATAATAATAATGACGATTTTAATTATTATTATTATTATTATTATTGTTATTATCATTGTTAATACTATTATTATTACTATTATTATTATTATCATTATTACTTTTACCATCTTTTTTATGAAGTCTTGCTTACCAGTCGGCCTTGGAGACCTATGCGTCCAGGCGAGCCCTGCATACCACGTACACCCTGACAATAAAATATGATATTTTCATAAGAGATCGATCCTTTGTCATTTTTTTCTTTTTAAGGCTTCAAAATGGTGTTATTGTTTTTGCCTAAATCCTAGTGACGTGTAATCACAAATGTTTGGCTATTCAAATAAATGTTACAGATCTACGTATGGTAGGGAGTTGAAAATTTCGGTCAGTTTTGGGAGTTCATTCACCATCAGCGTGTCTTAGCGCTCATGGCATCGTGCACACGGTAAAATAGAAAGCTTTGCTTATCACATAAGTTAAGGCACTCTTGAATTAACTTGAGTCCATACCTTCTCTCCCTTGCTTCCCTGGAGTCCACGAACTCCTTTCGCTCCTATCGGTCCCTAGAACAGGAGCAGGCACCATACAGTCAAAGTTAGAAGTGGTGGAGAAAGCAAAACTGTTGTTTACACTAAATAGCATACTTACAGAACTACCACCAAGTCCTCGTTCACCGTCTGGGCCATTCTCGCCTGGAGCGCCCTAAAGACAAAAATCACGGATTAAAACTGGTTTACAATGGAATCGGCTCAGATGCAACAAGCGCATTAACTTTTTCACCATAAGAGTGGTTTAAGTTGTTTTTTGTGTCTGCTCGCTTGCTTTTGGTGTCCAGGTTTTTTGTATTTTTTGTGGACTTTTAAACTATTTTTTTGGCTTTTTTTTTGACCTTTTGATCTTAACTATGTTACGTTAATAAAAGCCCACACACGAAAACTGTCCTTTTGGTCTTAGTTGGGGGGGGGCTCACAGGCATAGCCCCTAGGCTTCCTCGCCAGGAATGAGATAATGATTATATTATTCTCATATGAACATTGTAAATATTTTCTGGCGAAATAACTCAATCAATCAAGAGAACAAGTTATTTCTGAAACTGTTCCTCCCCTATCAACTTCTACTTGATAATCAACCAATGACGACTATTGCTACGTGCTTCACATTCAACGGATAATAAAAAAAATTGCCCTTTTAAAGTCCTTTCGTGTATACTGCGACACACTTCAGAAGCAAACTCAGAGACAAAATAACATAATCATACTTCAAACGTCTCCAAATGAGTTTACGTCATCACATGACGACGGAAAATGTACCTGTCTTCCAACTGGTCCACGGTCTCCCATGGAACCTCTCTGCCCAGGTCCTCCGCGAGGTCCTGGTGCACCATCATCTCCATCAAGCCCCGAGAATCCTCTATCACCCTAGGGTATGACGACATCACTTGGTAAACAAATCGGCAAATCAAAGAAGCAGATCAACTCTGATCTGAAAAACTCTATCGAAACGACAAAAGCGCGATAAAATTACTCCTTGAAGCTGATGAGCCTGAGTATTTACTATCCTAAACGTACATGCAGTTTTAAACTCTTCACAAATCCAAAGAAATTCAATTCCTTTTTGATGACAATTTTTAGTCTCATCTTTGAGCTCGATTACAGCTACTCCGGGATTCAAGATTATTTAGTCCATGTCAAAATAGTTTGTATACGCTGAATTTACTTTACAACAATATCGCTCGACGATGTTGTATAGATTTTTTTGGTGATGTCCATTGCCTGTTGAAGACGATTTTAATATTTACTCGAACACTGCTATCGTAAATTATAGGCTCCTCGTTTACAAATTAATTTACAAACTAGTAAAACTCCTGAGAATAGTTTTTACCTTTTCTCCGCGCAGACCCGGGTTACCCGGGGCACCGGCTTGACCAGGCGTTCCCTAAAATACAACAGAGTACATATAGTAAAAAACAATCGCTCCTCGGAACAATGACAAATAGAAAATCGGTGAGGGTACCGAAAATGGTCACCAAGACTATACAGGGATGGAAATGAATCGATAAAATGAGAGAAAATATTGAAAACAAAGTACAATTTGAACATTGCAACTTACATCTGTGCCAGGGAATCCAGGTTTTCCCCGAGAGCCCGGAGGTCCTGGGCGACCCTAAAACAAAACATGAAAAAAATATCAGTCATGTAAAAACCTTTGACGATAATAATATTAATAATAACAACAATTATAATTAAGATGACGATAATAATAAAAGAAAGTAATTATTTAGCCTAATTATTTCAAAGCGTTCAGTTCGTTAAACGGAGCAAAATAGCCTACGGCGCAATAGTAGCGCAGAAGTGAAAAATTTTGGGTCGGGTCGGGTCGGGTCGGGTCGGTTAAAGTACGGTGCTTCTTAAGCGACCTAACCCCAACATTTTTTTCATTCCTCCTCTTCTGTTTATTATCGCATTTCCTTTAATACCAGAACGCCTGGAACAGACAAGTGATTATTGTATCAGAGTAGAATAATACCACAATCTAAGGGGAATTCCAGCACACACAGATCTAGAGACATGCTCCGACCGGACTTCGTCATCAAGAACAAAAATAAAAAAGTAGACTACTAATCGAGATATCCATCCCGACTGACACGAACACCTTAGATAAGGTTACTAAAAGACTGGTTAAATATTAAGACTTTGATATTAAGATCAAAAGAAACGAGTTATGAAAGCCACATCAGTACCAATGATGATTGCAGACCCTGAGACTCGTTAAGAAACGGATGGAGATATACAATAAATACATTCCGGATAACGTGAAAATACAAGAACTACTGAATATTACATTATTTCCACCATCCTATAAGACAAGCAATATCCTATAAAAAGACTTCTACTCCATTACAACCCTTGACCCGAGAATGGGTCTGGCCACTATGCCTCGTTAGGGCATGTGATGAAGGCAAACTTCATAATAATAAGAATGGCGATGATGATAATGATGATAACAAGAAAATATCAAACTCATTAGTTATATATTATAATAATAACTGAGAGGATAACAGACCCCTTCTCCTGGCGAACCATCGACTCCGTTCTGACCTGGATCACCACCTTCTCCCTAAATCCGAAGGAACGCGAGTAAATAAACAAACACTGAATACAAGGCCCTGGTGGTAAGAGCGCCACTTGCCTTTCACAGTGCCTTCCCCCACACGAATTGCCTTTCACATTGCCCCCCCCATACACACACAATCACAGCACCATCAAGGCGTACAGGTAGGTACCACGAAACCTCACCAAGATTCTGGGGGCAACCCTGCGATGGACAAGCATCCTTTTTAGCGCAGGGGTGTGGGGATGGAAGTTCTAATACTTCTTGTCACTTCATGTTATTGAAACCGGGATGAAATTCGGTTCTTGTCTCCATTTGTCTGGATAGAAAAGTAGGATTGGAATTGTCTACCAGAGTTCATCGCGCAAAGGCAGAAAATAACAACCTTTGAAGGCGATTGATGATATTTTGGCGCAAATCGTCATAGGATATTTAATCTTTTCTCTTTTGTCGGGAATAAAATCGAACAAATCTTCACTTTCAGGGTGAAACTTACCCGTGGTCCTTTGCTGCCAGGAGGTCCTTGAGGACCACGAGCACCTTCTCCTCCCTACAGAAAGAAATAACTGCATGTTTGAAAATAATAATAATAGTAATAAACTGCATTGGATTAAGCATACACCCTTGGGAAGTAACCATACCTGCTTCACGCTTTGCAACCGGAGTTAATCTCGGTCGGATGGATTTTAAGATACGCTAACTTCAATTTCGTTTGAATTTTTAGTGAATTATTTATTGCAATTCGTTATTCAGCTTTAATTCCTTCAACGCTGGAAACGACAAAGGGAAGACAAAGTCAGAGTTACTTCCAAGCTCCATTTCTCTCAGCTAATCAGAAAGAAGAAATATACTTACTGATGACCCTGCATCTCCTCTTGGCCCAGGAGGACCAGGAGGGCCTGAAGGTCCCTGGAGAAAAAAATAACAGACAAGTGTGACTGATAGAACAATTTACTGCATCTTTTAAGCGAGTTTGGAACAGCACCACGTCACTTTTCATATTTAATTCATAAGCGGCCTTTCAAATGACACTGATTATCGTACGGTACAAGGTGGATAATTTTTAAGGAAACGAGCAAAATCCCACTGTGTGACCATCAAATGAAAACGAATGAGTAATTTTCCCGTGTGGTACTGTTTATTATGCTGTTTTAAGTGGGCCTAACGTTAAAGTCAAAGAACGTAACCCTAGTGCCTGACCTGGAAGCAATTTCTATGTGTTAATGTTCATTAAAAGCTGTACAAGATAGTTCTCACTTTGCAGTCTGTGGACCAGATACATGTGCGTGACTGTTTGAATGAAAGCTACTGGGAATTACTGTCAAGTGGCGAGCAGTACTCACTAGTGGTTCACTTTCCTTTTTGTCCAGATAATGAAGTCTTGGCGCGTGATAAAAACTGAAGGGTATTTTCAAGTGGTCTTGTTTATTTACATTGAATCTAAGAGTGATTCATTTTGAGTAATTAAAAATAATCAGCTCGATCCTCACCCGCCTGCCTGTTTCTCCTGGTTTTCCTCGAGCTCCAGGTCGTCCATCTTGACCCTGTTAACACCGAGAAAAAATAACCTCAGAGTAAACTTGTCCATAACGATACAGAATTGCAAAGGGGAATTGTCCACACCGTTTGTGGTAAACTTTCAGAGTACGACATACTGTTACAAAATCAAAGAAACCGTTCATAACCGTTCGTTGTGTGCTTTATGTCACTTTATCCTGACTTGGATTTCTCTATTCGTGTTTTGTCTACCGCAATGTTTTTAATATACACTAAGAAAGTTTCGGCAAAGATTTCTGTCATAATAAATAATAACTACTTTACTTAAGTAACATAAAACACAATTTAACCAAAGCTTATGTCTTCACTTTATCACTACTCCAAGCCTTTACGGTAGTTGAGTTTGTAGAGTAACACTGAAATGAGGGCTGCGTAATTCTTATTGGTGTAAAGGTTCTTAAAACATCAATTTCTTCGTCAACTAAACGCTACAAACTTTCAAGGAAACTTGGGGGGAGGGGGGGGAAAGAGATGATGGTTATTTACGCTGGACAAGTATCCCTCCAGGAATCGGAGGAAAGTTTGCTCCTGATTCCGTGGCATGCTATGAAAAATAGGAGACAATCCAGCAAGAACAGCTTGATCTCTTAAGAATGACCTTACACATTAATAAAAACTATGGAAAGAAACGCTTTGAATGAAAATGATAACTGCTGGTAGGAAGACTCACAGATTGACCAGCTAAACCTTGCTTGCCGTCGGCACCAGGCTCACCCGGATCACCCTAAGAAGGAAAGACAACAAATAAATTACGACAGAGACACATGATACGTCCTAATGGAGTACCGCCTCATTAACCTTGAGTTTTCCTTGCATTCCTCGTTTTTTGTATTTTTATTCCCTTTTGTCTTACGTCAACTGTGTCTTCTACACTAAGCGAGTTCCTAAATTAATTAGCTTGGGTGATTAACACCTAAGTGAGTAGGTCACTCAAAAATTGCCGCTTGAATGGAATCTGTTTGTGCGTTGAGTTTCAATTTTCACGTGCAGATGTACAACATTACAGTTGCTCTGCTTCATTCAAAAAACTGCGTTAAAACTGAGTTCTTTAACAATGTATGGGTTAGCACGTTTGTTGCATGTATGTTGGGTTCAAGAACAGACTACGACTATCTGGCTAAGTTTTTTTTCTTTAAATAGCTGCCAAACATTGACTACAACCATACCTTTGGGCCGTCCAGTCCTCTCTCGCCATCTGGACCTGGTGGTCCCTCCGGTCCCTAACAAGTGAGTACAAATCAATCAGAGCAGTTCTCAATCATGCGTCAAAACATGGGACAAGGGAACAAGGCAGCCTAAACACGCCCCTTCTTAAGCAAGTAATGAATTACTTACGAGAAGTCCGATAGGTCCTGGAGATCCACCTTCTCCGGGTGGTCCAGAGGAACCCTATTTATGACAAATAGCAAGTAAAAACGAGTAGAAAAAATTCCACGTGTGCATGAAGGATCTAAGCACCTCCTGGTACACACATATGTACAATACAAAGAGCCTCAGCTCGTTATGAGCAAAATGTTCACCATTGGTTATAAGAAAAAAAATCTTCGAAAAATAAATGGCTAAAAAATCACCATCACAAAGGCATAGCGCAATAATCAACTTGCGCACAAAAAACATCAAAATGTGACTCTCTATCTAAACATTCTGTCTCTCTCTTTCACGCGCGATAATGGTGCACGCTGCGTGTGGGTGACCTAAAGCTCGCGGGCGCTTGTTATGCGTATTACGCCAGTTTGTGTCTTCTAACAAATAAATGTTAACTTACAGGTCTTCCGATGGAACCAGCGGTTCCCGGCTGTCCAGGAGATCCAGGGGGTCCCTATACCAAGAGAAGGCAACATTAGCTATTGTGTTTGTTACTGATTTAATAGCCAATTTATCCTTGAAACCGCTCGTCATTTCTTTTTTAATTAGGTAATTAGGTCTTTAAGATCTCGTGAGATTACTTCATCTCCAGCTGATATGTTTTCATACTCTTGTCACTCGCCTGCTAGAAGATGTATTGATATTCGAGGCCAAAGGTGCATGTCAATCACATTTGGGACAGTATACTTTTTTTAAGTTACGCCATATTTTGGGCGACGGGCTTCAGAGAATAAGACACAGTGCACATATCCACCACTTTCACCGACACTGAGGTGAATGAATGTTTAGTACATAGCGAACCAAAGCAAAAAAATTTTTTTTCTATCAGAATACCGAAAAATGGTTCGAAATTTAACTCTTGACAGGCAATTTCGTCTTTTCGACTGTTCGGAGGTAAAAAGTACTCTCTAACCATTTCCGAACTAGCCAATCACTGCGCGTTATTCACCTGCGTGGCATCTAAAAATAAACCATACAGTAAAAACAGAGTATTATTAAACCAAGACAAATGACCTACCAGAAAAAAGGAAAATATCACTAGAGAGCCGACTAGAAGGGGTCATAGCGAAAACGAACAAACGGCCTGAGGTGTGTGAAAAACTAGGCCGAGTGACCGGCGCGCAAAGCCTTTGCAATCCTCGATTACTTTTGCAATTCAATTGAAGACTGTTTCATTTTTTATTCTTCTAAATTCAAAACAAGATTCAGACTTACAATTGGCCCAACATCACCATCAGGCCCAGGTTCGCCACTATCCCCAGGAGATCCCTACAAAAGTAAAAAAACAAACCGTCAAAGACTGCATGTGGCTACTGGTATAGCACAATTTTTATAGCATTGAAAAGAACTAGAGGTTGTATAATGACGGTAGGTAGTGTTCAGAATATTTGTCTCACATGCAAAACAGAAAACCTGTCGCATCTCACATATTTATGAGTACCCTGTTTAGAGTACACAAGAGAAAGATGATTCAAGAATACAATGTCTAATTGAAATTCAACAATAATTACATAGCAACAAATAATACTATTAACAATAATAATGATGATAACAATAGAAACAAAATACTAATTCAAATGGGCTAGATCGAAAGCCTTATGGTTGCCTTATCCTCTGGACTCCAACAATGATTATCTGTGCTTCATTTAATTTCGCCTGTTTATCACAAAGAATTTATTATTTTATTGCAATTCCCTTTTTGAGACTACTGTTTCATACATGGACTAGGGTCAGTGTTTTATCCATTGCTCTTCCGTGGTGTCACGGCAAGAACTGAAAACATAGTACGCTAGTGGCTTAAAGCCAGAAATAAATAAAGCAGAGAACTCAACTGAGTATCGAGCGCGAATTTGGAAATATTAAGATACTCAGAAACAAACAATAATTAGCACTGGGAAACATCGGGTCAAAATTGGGTTAAGATCGGAATTGTTAAACTCACTCATCTTGTAAACATATGTGGCTTCGCCTCCTGTAGGAGGCAGTAGCCACAACAACTCATTACGAAAAAAGAAATTCTTCAGATGTATGACAATTGCGTTAAATATAAAAAGTGACAACATTAAATTCAATAAATTTCATTTTTGTAGCTGGTCACAGCAAGTCATGCTACCTTTTCTTAGCAAATCAAGAGACTCTAAGATTTCAGGAACGTAAAAAGCGAGAAATCAGAATCCTGGCCACTGGAATTGTTTGGAAAAAGTATATCATTTTTCTACCAACCTGTTCACCTTGTTCACCCATTGGCCCGGGAGGTCCAGGAGGTCCTGTTGGACCCTTTGAAAATAAGAAAATAAAATAACTTAAAAAATAAATAAATAAAAATTAACCTTATATTAAAGTGGTGTGCAGCGGCTAAACTTCAAAGCAGAAAGTCCAGATTTTAGCCATGTTTCAAGCGCCACATTTTATTTACAGCGCTCTACACTTAAAGTAGAATTAAGCAAAAGGACACTGTTGTGGAAACTGATAAATATGCCTTGAATGTTCGAGTATGTGGGCAGAAAATTCGACTGCACTGTCTTCGAGAAAGTGGAACCTTGATAATTTGATCAAGCAATTGTAAATATGGGAGCTTATGGTTGGCCTAAACAATAATCTCAAAGGAATAACCGTGAGAGCACAGACTTAAACCGCATGAATGCAAAGATTTGGGAATCAACTTGTAACCTTAGATATGAGGGTTCGACACTTCTGCTTGTTGTGGATCCTGCCCTTCCCTAGCTCCATAGAATGTTGCGTAAACAAAGAAAAGCCAAAGAAGTTTGTTTAAGTCAAATGCGATGCTTTTACGAATTTTCCAAAACAATTTATCTCAGATTGAAAGCTGCAGTGGTGAGAGGTGAGTGGTCTCACGATTATAACGCCCAGCCCCCTCACATCCTGCACGGAGGTTCACGATAAAAATAGGAATGACAAATAAGTGGAAGATCTTGCAACTTACATCTGCTCCATTCTCACCAGCAGATCCTGGCGTTCCTGGGGCTCCACGAGGGCCCTGCAGAAATTAATAGTTGGCAATTTAATAAATAATGAATAAATAAACAATTAAAACTTATTGACTAAACTTTCGATTAATGATAGACCAATCAGAACAATTATCATCGAGTCTTACTCAAATTACACTCCCTTATAATGAGAACATTTGTACACTGGAAGCCGTTAGTAGAATGTGTGCGACGGAAATGTGCGCTCTTCATTGTTTGATGTCAAGAGTGTTTTAAAAACGTGTTTGAATATGCTACAAGTTGCAAGATGAAGTTAAAATACCACAGTGCTAAATAATTCTTTCAGTCTGAGATCAGGTTTTAAGCCCACAAAACTTTTCACTTTTCTTTTAATTCCCTCTTTCCACTGGAAATAGGTAAAAGGAAATAAATACTCACAGCTAATCCTGAGTCGCCATCACCGCCTGGTGTGCCAAAGATTCCGGGGGCACCCTTGAAAAAAGAAATCAGATAAATTGTTGAGTGGAGGAGACACTCTTTTAACAAAGATTTTTGTTGTGCAAAGGTAACTTGATTCTCTCTGGAATTTTCCTTGAAAGTGACGCTAAAACTTCACGCAAGAGGATCAGTCTTCCCCTCAGCTGTTCTCTGGGATTTTTTTGCAATACTCCACCCAACAATGAGAGGAGAATAGAGCGACATCCCTCGTGAAAAACTGCGAGGGAGACTACAAGGTGATAGAGCATTCTTCAAAATGATGTTGGGAATATAAAAAAATTAAGCAAAACGCTGATAAAAGCGGTGGTACATACTCTTGTTCCTCGTTCTCCAGGCGCTCCTGGGGGACCTGGGGTTCCAGCATATCCCTGAGAAAAAAACAATAAGTGATCATTAACATTGACTCGTTTTAGTAAAAGTCAAACTATTCATCCCATATTTTTGTGGATCAGATAACCGGAATTGTCATGACAGGACGGAAAACGCTTGCACTGTAAGTACCTCCCGCTCTCCCATACAAAGCCTTAGAAAACTTTTCTAAGGCTTTGTATGGGACAACGGGAGGTACTTACAGTGCACGCATTATCCGTCCTGTCATGACTGAGAATAATCATTCGCATTTCCTCTGTAAGCAGTACAACATTTATACCAAGACAGAAACCTTCTCTCCAACTTTCTTAACCGAGCAGAACAGAACCGCGATATTAATAAAGGGAGCGAGTTTCTAAAGAAACTGTGGTGCTGCGTCGGTGGGAGAATATAACAGTTAATTTAGTGTTAACAACTGAGTTGGAAACGTAAATTGACCACCGTAAAGAGTTAAAAGGCTCACGTTTCGAGCGTCAGCTTTTTAACTATTTACGGTGGCCAATTTACGTTTTCAACTCAGTCGTTAACACTAAATTACCACGATATAAGTAACCTGAATATAACAATTTACTGAGTGTGAACATGAAGTACACAAACTGATGCTTGATCTGCGAGCAGAGTTCCCTATTTGATTGAAGGATGTAAAAGTTGTTTGGCATTTTCCTTGAACAGGAGTTTGAAATTCTGATAAAACGTAAGTTTGCAATCCACAAATTCTTAAAAAAAAAAAACCAGCCAAAAGGTTTACACAACATCGTCTTGTTTATGTATCTAGTTTGAAATGGTATTTCATACCCTCTTGCCGTCTCTTCCTGTGTTTCCTCGGCCTCCTTGAGGACCTGTGTCACCCTACAGCAAAATCAAAATGTTTTAAGCAACTATCATTTCAATACAATGCAGCCAGTGCTCTGCCTTCTTACATGTTTTTTGAGTGATGCAATAGTTACGGCTTGGCATAAAAACTATACATTGTAATTAATACGGAGACTGATCATTGGATAAAAGAAGGAGTTACTGTAATACTAAGATAAAAAGAAATCCCCTCTCTCCCTATACAGATACCTAACGCAGTCTCCCAAACTGTAGAACTTAAATCAAATAGCTATCACACCCAACACGCCTTCCTGTTGGACTTCATTTTAACAGTTATTTTAAAAAAGTCTCCTTTACTGCGGACCATTATTTTATAAAACGTCCTTCCCATTCTCCCTTATGATAAAAGTTCATAAAAACAGAAATCTTACCCTGTCTCCCTTGCTTCCAGGGGACCCTGGTACTCCAGGGCGACCTGGAGGACCCTAAGGAAATGAAAAATTGTTATCTAATTAAGTTATAATTCTTGTTTCTCTTTTTCTAGCGTGTTTGTAAAAGCTGACAACTATGGGACCTCGATCTGCTTGGTCACAGGATGCTTAGTGCCAGTCTACGACAAAATATAGCAGTTTTCATTGCTACTCTGGTGAGTTTCACTTCTGAAATGGACTCAGATATTTGACGCAAAATTCAAGCAAAACAAGTCAAAATGGTTGTTAAGTCTTAGAAACTACAAATCTAAACTTTCATCTACTCATGCAACTTACAAACAACCTTGGCAATAAATATAAAAAGATTTTGGCTACAAAAACAGCTTTATATCTCTACTGGCTGTACAAACATGCGTAATAACTGACATATAAAATAAATAGAAACCTCCTGTCATCAACTTACTGCTGCACCAGAGTTACCCTGGGGACCTTCTGGTCCTCTTTCACCACGTTCTCCCTACACAACAAGAATATGATGTTAGTTTTTGAAAATCAATACAATACAAAGGGGGGACTCCGGAGTACCATACGTCAGTTTTAGTGAAAAAGGCATATCTTGAGAAATTGTATAGATTTTTTAGTGATCAAATGGTTGCTGCTTCTCATCTTTTTCAGGGCACTACCAGGCCCAGAAATTAAGAGTGAAAAAGGTGTCTTTGTGTGTGTGTACTCACTTATAGAGGATTTGTGAAGCATGTTCTTGTGTAAGGCTTTCAGAATCAAGGAAATATGTAAGCATAGTGTACTTTAATGTCAGAATAAAACTGAATCAAAGTAAAGCTGTAACATCTGTTGTCCTTTCTGTTAACTTTCACTTCATGCTACATCTTAAATATTTTATTTATCCCCCAGCACTAAAAACTCACAGGTGTTCCATCTAATCCATTCTCCCCTGGTTTGCCTTTTTCTCCTTTGATGCCCTGAAGATAAAAGAAATAATTTCAGATCCAAATCTCTTTTTTACCAGTATCAGATTGCTCTAAAATGAATACATTTTCCTGGCAGCATTTGGAAATTGAGAACAAATACTCCTTAATAAACATCCACCTTAGATTACAATAGATTCACTAACTGACCAACCACTGTATATATTTGAACTAAGTGAGGCATACTCTTCATTAAAATCTGTCTGATGATCTTGTGAGTGTGAAATTCAGAGTCAGAAAAGTTATGTCTTATGGATTAGTTCAACCTTCAGAGACACAACATAAATGCCTTTAAAATGAATGTACAACTAGCAACATAATAATCTTCTCTAAGTAACCACATACCGATTCACCCTGAGGGCCTGTTTCACCTGGAGGTCCAGCATCGCCCTGCAAAAAAGCAACAAATGTTTCTTATACATCATACAGTCTACTTGTAAACAGCTACTTGATGCATTCCAATGAATGATCTGAAGTAAGGTTAAATCATACTATATGTCATTTGTCTCAATAACAGTAATCATTACTAACAGGGTCTCCAGGTATTCCATCTTGTCCCCTCTCTCCAGGTGGTCCCTGATGAAAGATAAAATAACAAATTTTCAACAGCTTGTTTTGTCCAAGAGTGCAATGAGAAGCTTTTTGATTGGCTCATGTGCCAGTGTAAAATAAGCTATGCCTCAACTGTATTTCAGTGGACTTTACTGTTTAGCTATTTCTTGGAAAGATTAATTTAGCATTTTATTTACCTTCTTTCCATCAGGGCCTGGTGGTCCAGCTGATCCAGGTTCACCTTGGGCTCCCTGTAAACAACAACAGCCAAGGAGCATCATTAGTTACAAATTATTTCAGAATATACCACACAGTACACATTTAACATTGGATCTATATTCTAATATTTAAATCATAGGGTATACCCTGTGGTAAACACTATATGCAAATGAAAACAAGGGGAAACATATCTACTTACAGCTAAACCTCGTGCACCAGTTTGGCCTGGAAAACCTCTTAAACCTGGTGTTCCCTGTAAAAAAAAAAAAAAAGTAAAATAAAAAAAAATTTATATATATATATATAGGAAGTCTGCAAGTCGATTTTTGCGTGGAACAGTGCTCAATACGTTGAAGCAGAGCAGAATAAGTATTATGAGAGGGAAAAAGGGACGCAACTACATTTCCCGACAAGCCTGTTTCATGAATCGCTTCACTCTTCAGGGGTTTATATATATAATATAATATAATATATATATTATAATATATATAATATATATATATATAGATGCATTTTTTTCTGATATTTATAAAAACTTTATGAGTTAAAAGCAACATTGCAACTGGCCCTCAAGAAATGCAGGAAGATGGATCATTCGGGGAACTCACCTACCCTGGAATGTTAGAGTTACTTTCTCTGCAGTCTTAACTGATCAAATCTTGTAATAATAAACAGCATAATCCTTTGTTGACACTATAAAAAACAATTTGCAGTCTTTCTAATTTTATCATGTATGGTACTCACATCAGCTCCTGGTGTTCCTTGCTCCCCCATTGCACCATATTCACCAGAAGCACCCTTTAGCAAAAAGACAAAACAGGTACAATAAACAAAGAATAACGTTACATATGAAATGACAAAGTTAACATTAACAGACAATGTTAACATTAACACATTTTTCCTTCACTGAGAAGTGGGGGAAACTGTAGTGTTAAGGAGTGGTTCATGATGGATTTAAAGGTGCTATGTAATATGGATAGGTGTGATGGACTGGATAAGAAATTGTCCTGTAGAAAGAGGATCCATTTTCCAACTGCATATTTCATGGGGTAATGTAAAAAGTTGAGTAATTAGTTTGTTCAGGTTTAGGTTGAGCTGGTAAGACATCTTATAACGATTTGAATAACCTGTTATCTGCTATTTTTCAGTTCAAATGGACAACATATCTAGATGAACGTCAAAACCTTTAAATGGACCACCATACAGTTAAAGTAAAAGGTAAGCTCAGTGTGAAACTATTAAACCACCTGCAATATTCTGTGTATATAATGGTGGAAACTTGTATAAAGTGAATTCGCAATATGTTGTGCAAAGATATAAATTAAAGCTTTTGCTACTCAAGAAGGCCAGAATTTCTATGGGAACTAAATGTTGTGATTTTCTGTTAAAGAAATACATGAAAAGGATGAAATAGGAAAGAAAAACTGACAATTTCAATTTTTTTTTCACATCACACAATGAATACTTAATATTCACCTTTTTAACCCTCATAGGTGTTTTAAATGAGTAAATTCTTCATGCAAAGTATTAAAACAAACAGTGAGAGGATGCTATCTTTATCAAAATTCTCCAAACTGATTTACTGGGATAAGTATAGCAAGTCAAAGGGAGAATATAAGCTGATCAGATCTTTGGAGTTACAGGTAAAGGGACAGAAGATGGTCAATGTTTGCAGCATTTCATTCATTATAAAGGCTATAAATTTTACATGCTACATGGCATTTCTTAGTCAGCTTACAGACATATTTGAGAAATAACACATAGAGAGACCATACCGGAGGGCCTCTTGAGCCAGGAGGACCAGATCCTCCAGCCTTGCCTGGTGCACCCTAAAATATGAAAAATTGAAAAAGACTCATTGCTTTAAAATCAATGACTAGGCAGTATGTAGCATTTCTGGCCTTCTCTCCATGTTGAAACCTGTAATGGTTTTTATTGAGCAAGTGGGAAATTTGAACCTTTCCTGGATGGCATGGGGAATTTGAACCAGAACAGTCAAATCTTTCCAGCTGAATAAACATGTTTTATATTTTAATATCAAAGTGTTTAAGGGTAGAAAGTTCACCTTCAGGAGCAGATGGCCAGATGAAGGGGGATCTTGAAGCTTTAAATTGTTATACATAATAGTCTCAAAAGGTAATTTTTTTTAAAATTAATGGTTCCCCTTGTTTAGCCTTTTCTTGACACTCGTGAACTGTAACAGTTCTTAAGCATAGGATGAGCAGGAATTCTTCTTACATATCTGCTAACACTAACAGTATTGGATCAATTCAGGGCAGTTTTTGTGATGAATCCTACTCTTCCCATGGTTGTAATCAAAACAGTTATAGGAAAGTACCCTCCCCTCCATGTACTCACCTGTTCTCCCTTTTGGCCAGAAACTCCAATGCCACCGTTAGGTCCTGGAGGTCCCTGTTAGATTGATAATCATCAAACAACCCTTAATACATGTAATTAAGGTTCACTTTGAACTAAAAAATTATGAGGCAATCAATAAACTATACATCACTTGGTCTACCACACCTAATAAAAAAACTACAAGGCTGGGGGGGGCCACAACCCTTCTCCACAGGCCCCAAGACTGCTGATTGAAGGGTTGAAGTAATAGTCTGACATTACATTCAGTGCAGTTATCTTATTTTGAGGGTCTGTAAAAGGGGCAAATATTCAACTAGGGGTGAAAATCATTTCAGTTTAAAAGAGTGTGCTTGTCCGTGGGTAGGAAGGCAACTAATAATTCAAATCACTACTAGCAGCATACTTGGTCTAGAAGTGGCCAACTTTTGCTAGCAGTTGTTCCCGATAGACCCCACTCTTTTCCCATGAAATGGTATTTTAACACTTACCGGTGGTCCTGCTTTGCCAGGTTCACCGTCTTTTCCTCTTGCACCCTATGAAGGTTCAGACAACAAAGTTAAAGTTTCATAGCCTAGCCATATACAATCACAAAAGAACAGGTATTATCCACAGAACATGCATACAAGTTTTAAGGCCACTAATCAAGTAAGGTTTTCCACCGGAAGCATGCTCAAGCTTCACTTCTACAGTGAACACTGCCAGAGATTGCTTCATATTAGAACATAAAGAGTTGTTTTAAAGATTGCTCAATCTGCCCCAAGTTCATGCTCCAAAATAAAAACTTCAGCCCTCAGAAGTGAATCATACAGAGTTAACCATTAACATATGGTGCTCTGCTCTTGGACTTTGTCCTTCAGGCGTAAACCAAGAACAAAATCCTTTAGGTGGGTCAGCCTTAAAACTCAAGCAGGTTGTGATTGAACTCTTATCAAATGAGAATACAACACTTCCCTTAACCCATAAAAGGATACCTCCAGTCAATAACTATTTCTAACTAAGCATATTTATTCTTATTGAATAACACATGCAAGATAGGAATAGGCCACATATTAGGGATTCTTTTTCTAACCTTTTCACCATCTCTTCCATCACCTCCTGGATCACCAGGTGCCCCTGGAGCTCCCTGGATACAAAAGTGTCAGTCAGTAACATGCAGCCATCCAATTCATTATAACACACAAGTACAATGAAAGAAAAGAAAGTCCCATCAACAGGTCCACTCTGGCAAACTTTTGAATTGAATTCTTTATAAGGGTTAATTACTCTCACTGTCAAGAAAACTTGAAAAAATGCCGCAGAGTAAACTGGATTGGCATTTCATCCGGGGGAGAATTTTTAAAAATACTCCCTATCACTCCATGTTCCAGGAACCACCAGGAAAAATTCTTGCAAGATGGGTCACAAGACTCAGACGCTAGCAACAACTTGATCCTCACATGTAAATAGCCGTAAACAATGTTCAGGCTATCAATCATTCTTCAACCTTCAACCTAATTTCCCAACAAGCCTGAGGGTAAAATTTAAATTATTCTGAATTTTTCCAAAAAGGACTGGAAATGTGATATACAAGTTTATCAACAAAATTGCAGAAAGTAAACCCCAAAACAATAATTTGGGCTTGGCTGGGGTTGAGACTTCAGTGACAAATTAAAAGCAATTATACCGTCTTATGACAACTGCCATTGATATTAATTCAAAACAATAAACAAAGTAACACAAGACACCCACCCTTGGACCAGCTAGACCATCCTCTCCAGCAATACCATCAGGTCCCTGAAGGTAAAGAAAAGAGAGAACACAAAATATAAGTATACTGGACACTTTCTCAAACATTAAATAAATGAATAAAAGCCAAAACAATAGTCAATCAAAGTTATTTCATTTTCAAACTGAACAAAATTTGTCATAATACTATACCCGTTCTCCTTTTTGTCCATTTTTGCCAGAATTTCCTGGTTCTCCAACACTTCCCTAGCAAAATGGAGATTACAAAACAATTCATTACAAACACATTTTACATTTATATATTTGAAATAGGTGTAAATTACAATTAAATGTTTGTTCTTGTCTAGTTTTTTCCTTTATTTTCATTATCATAATAGCTGTAATAACGTTGTGTTCTTCAACCATAAAATTTACCCTTCCCACCCAGAAGTATGAAATTTGACCCTTTAACTCCTAAGAGTGACTGGCTTCTAATTTCTCCTTACAATCTCATTCTTGAGTCAAATTTTAAAAAGTTCTGATTGTTAAACAAATTCTCCTTGTCAGTACCAAAGGAAATCTATTGGGTATGGAGAATTAGGATACTGATGTAAGGGAGCAAAAGATTAATGGGTACTGATGAACTCTCTGGGAATGAAACCTGTTAAGATATTGGTAATTAACCATGTGATTGGATGGCATTCCATCCAGGAGGAGTAGCAAGCTTACTTCACCTTTTATCACTTCAAAATGACTGCTTTCAAGTTTGCACAGTTACTTACATCTGCTCCTGGTAATCCTGCTGGGCCCATGGAGCCTGGAGGGCCACGCTGTCCCTAATAACATATATTCAAGATAATGTGAGTATAAACAGGTAAATATATGCAGAACAATACAAATGAAAGCCATACACAGCACTAATAAAAAGAACAATTTTATGCACATGTAAGAATAGCTAGAAGCCCCTCTTCTGTTCCCATACAATGCAGAAAAGATTAAAATAGATCAACTGTTAACCTTGGTATTTTGATAAATAACTGTAGTTTACTCCTTGGAACTCACTGATTGTGGTAGACCACTATGTGGCTCAAAGTGCAAAATTTTTCTTGTGAACTACTGAAATATGACTGTTATTTGCATATCCATCAAATGTATTTATAAGACATCTTTTTGTTGTTAATATTTCAAAAAGCATAATAATATCCTAGCTCTTGCTCCACAACAAGAACTCGTTAAAATAATTATAAGCAAGAATGAAGTTGAAAAACAACATAAATGTAAACTTTGATTACCTTGCATTAAAAGATACATTCAAAATTGTTACACAAAAAATAAGGATTTATAATTAAGAAGACATCAAGACGAAATAATTAATTTCCAATAAATGAAATATCAGAGAAAAGATTTGGAACCAAAAATTAGAGTCAACATTTAATAGCATTTAGCCACTGTAAGTAACAAACTTCTGAAAGTAACCGGAAAAAACCCTCAGTAGTCAGTCAAAAATTTCTAGCAGATTTAAAATTGTTGGACTGGAATTACTAATTCAAGTTAGACAGTGATCTTCCACTCTGTTTAAATCAGAAAAACATTTCAAAGGTCTTCCTTACCGGGGAACCTTGTTCTCCAGGGGCTCCCATCTGTCCTGGTTTGCCTCGCTTTCCCTAAAGCAAAACATTGGCCTATTTAGTAAATTTGTGACATACTCAGTAAACATAATCACATTCAATTGTAAAAGTGTGATTCATATTCCTGTTGAGCATGCTGATGATGTATGTGAGTACAATAAAACTTGGCAGGAAAAGCTCCACATCATATGCAGAAACTGCTGCATACAAACTTTACAAAATAATTGGCCTGCATGATGCTTTGCCAAAATCAGGAAAAAATGCTCCTCAGATCTTTTTGCAAACCATTTGGTAAAACATCTAAATTCAATTGTCAGTTTATCAAGCAAGGAGTAGATGGTCTTCTCCTTTTCTTTGTCTCATGCACTTTCTGAGGTTTCCCAACCAGATCTTCCAGAAGGCTTTTTAATTTGTTACCTTAATTTATTACAAATGAAGAATCCTTCATACCAATGTGTTTCAATCGATAGTGAGTATTTGCATGAGTTGATTTAAAAAAATTACATGGATTGGCCACTAATTACATTCTCCTGAAGTTCAGAAAACAAAGTTACTCACTTGTCGTCCTCGTGGACCTCGTGGTCCATTTACACCCCTGGGACCTTCATCTCCCTTAGAAATGGGAAAAAAAAACCAAATATATGTCACAAATTTCAATAAACAAGTCATAGTTAAATGTGAATGGAAATAAATGGGAATGAGAACAGAAATGGTAATTTAGCAATGGAAATTCCATGAAGTAACTCTTCTTGTCCACTTTTTCCAGGTCAAATTGGAATTTCAAATGTGGTTTTTGCAGAGGGAGGCAAACCGTAAGAGCCAGGGAATAACCCACGGAGTAAGAAAAAGAACCAACAACAAAATCAACACATGTGACACCAGGTTCAGGAATCAAACCCAGGCCACAGTGGTGGGTTAGTCTCTTCAAAGTTAGCCAGGAACTAGGACATGGCTAGTAAGTAACTCACACTTTTATGTGGACTTTAAGTATGTCTGTCTCACACTAACTGAAACAAGTTGAATTCAAAATTGCGTTAATATTAATTATATAATGTTTTACATTAAACATACCCTTGAGCCACTCTGACCAGAAAGCCCTGGAGGTCCTGGGGGTCCAGTCTCACCCTGGTAAGTGCATGGAAGATAATAAATACCTGTTATCTATTTGCAATCAACGTGGATGTACTGAGGGGTGCAAGAATAAGGTTTTTTTCAAATTTAATTTAACATTCTTTAAGATGATTTTAGCTCATAAATTTATACTTCACAAAGTATTTCATTCACATCTGGAGATGCAACCTAAATATGCTTGTAACTAGAATATAACTATGAAAAGGTTGTAACTTGATGAAAAAATGTTAAATAAAACAATAAAATGGCTAATATGTTTATTCACAGAGTTGCACTCCAAGTTGTGTTTTGGCTAAAATGGGGGTTTGGAACTTCAAGGTAAAAATGATTGTTCTGACTACCAGTTTGAAAATTTCTTTTACCTGCCATGCTTAAAATAAGGCAGAGCACTGAATACATCAGTGCACCTCACCACAGACTGCTATTTTCAGCCATGAATTTAACCAAGGTCACGACAGGCAGAAAGCATAGGAAGAGCCTATATTTACAAATGTGGCTTTTAGATGTTTCATTAATTTCTTGAAATAATTAAGAATTGTTTTGATTTAATTCTAGTTGATACTTCAAATTCAGCAAGAAATAAAGTTTTCTTATATTGACATGGAGACCTTCTGATTTCCACAAACTGCTAGTTACTTCATGACCGATAGGTCTGTATCAATAAGTTAAAAAGGCTTTTGAAAACATGACCCACCTGTGACCCGGGCGCACCTTGGGTTCCATCTAGACCAGGACTACCCTAGATAAATTATTATGACAACAAGAAATCAGCAATAAATCCAATAAAGTCAGTTATTACTATGCTATACAACCAATGAGTCTTCTCGTTATTGACTATCTGTTACCTAATTTGTTAAACAAAAGAGAGCTTGCTTTTATCAATAAGGGATTCTTTCAACAGACTTATTTCTCTTCCTAATATCCTCAAACTAACTACCCTAGCAAAATAAACCAGTGATCTATGAGATTAGCTGACCATGTAACCTTGACCCTTCAGACACTTAAAGAGACCAGCATCAAATACCTCCTTGCTGACATTAAGGTCATGAGAATAAAGGAAATGATCACCAATTAAAGATAGAGGCTCTTAATCTTTAAACAAATTCTCCCACTTGGCACCTTAAGAGATATCTGAAGAACAGCATAGAGAATATGCATACCGATTTTAGAAATTTTCCGATTTTTAACCTTTTTAGGGTGTTAAAGGTTACTAGGCTCTAGGATTGCTTGAGGTCTCCTCCTTGTCACATACTTCATGCCTTAAAACTATTTTTTGTGAAATGCATGGTGATGAATAAACAGGAACTTCAATTAACATTTGTCTTGACAAGTATGAGGCTTAAAACACCTGGAAATTAGGCTGTTAGCTATTTCTTGTGAATGTGTAAAAATTAGTTAATATATGTTGCTGTAAAATTCAACAAAAAAAAAAACTAGTCTTTTTACCATAATTATTTTTAACATATTGCAGTGTTTGATTTCTAGGCTTATAGAGATAAATGAATATTTTAAAGATAGGTACAAGTAAACAAAAATTCCAGAACGTGATCTGCACAAGTTGTAAGGAGAAAAATGATAGCAAAAAAAACTCATACTGTACCGTTTTTCCTGGGGCTCCAGGTAAGCCTTGTGGTCCAGTTGCTCCACTATCACCCTGAGATAAGTTAAAACAAATTATGGAATGCATCCAATCACATATTGGAAAAGGTCTTGATGGGGTAGTACACCAAAAACGTTGAGAATGCCATCAAACATTTCACGATTGCAACACATCATAAATGATGAACATAATATGACCAAGAAGATTACAGACTTAACATGGCAGGAAATTCTAAAACTGTGTGTAATATCACAAGGAAATAGTAGCTGTATTGAGCAAGAAGAACACTCCACCACATAAACTTCACAAAATTATGTGCAAGACTGGAGAAGGTACATAAAATTTTTCTAATGATTGATTTTAAATTATTTATTTGCAAAATTAGGACACACTGGCCCAGTTCAGCTTAAAACTAATTTAAATAGGGTCCTGTGTCAACAACAACAAGGCCAGATCACAACACTGGGGGCTACGTTTCCAACTCTTTGCAAAAAGTCTGTGTGTTTTTCAATGTCCCCTGTTAACCATTAAAAAGAAGATGCAATCATCCCTATCTGAGAAGACAAGTCAAAGAGTGTCTAACAATTTGCAGAAGTCATAGCAAAGGCACAAAATTTCCCTCAGTTATTTTAACACCCTGAGTGCTAGCCATGTCTGAGCTTAAGCCCCACACCAACTGCACCACAGTTTAGCACTTTATGACACGAGCTAAAAAAATGTGGTTAAAAGAAAAAAAAAAGAAAGAAAGAAAGAAATCTAGAAAAAGAGAAACCTCAAATTCAAAAGAAAACAATGAAAAAGATAGGATGAAATCCATTGGATCAACTTGACAAGGAAATTGACACCGGTGAAAGTGAAGAAATATGTGTGATAGCAAAAACAAAAAATGCAAATCACCTGTTCTCCTTTCTGTCCTTCAGCACCATCTGCACCATCCTGACCCTGAAAAGAATGGATTAGTTAATCGACAAAAGCTATTTTAAGCAACAAAAACACAGAAAACTGTTTTAGAAGTGTGACAATTAAAGACCAAGCCCTTGTGCCTGAGAAATAGGTCTGAAGTGAATTCTATACAAACTTTAATAACAAGTTGTTTTTAATTATGCCCCTACATTTGGTCCGTGTAAAGCAATTCTGCCATCTTTTTATTTTTATTTTTTAACTATACATGTAAGTGACAGTATGGTGAGGTTGTGGCTATATCACAGTGTTTTGAGTCTGACTTGCTGTGGCTAAAATAAGATTAAAACACATTTCATAAAAAGGAATCACTTACAGGTTCTCCTGGATCACCAGCAGGGCCCTGTGGCCCTGGTGGACCGGGTAAACCCTAGATAAAGAAATTTAACAAATAATGGATTTGCCAACATTTATATGTACTATCAGCAGATATACAGTATCTTGTATCAAAATTGCCTGTAACTGCAATATGAGTAAGCCTGCCAATCTGTGGAGCCAATTAACACATGAGATTTTCATCCTCAGAGTACCAGTCCAGAGTTCATGTACAAAACCTGATCATATCCAAAGATGTGAAAAAATACCAAAGACAATCATACTTGTCTACATACTCTTTGAGATAAGCCACGAAGAGCCAAACTGTAAATGCGTCTGCAGTGCTTTGCCTTCAAGATCATGTGCAAGGGCTCCTTTCACTTCTATTCAATTTGCTTTTACTTTGCACTAAAAAACTTTTTTATTAAGAAAGTTTTTTACTAGCCAAAATTTTTCTATTTTGGGTGTTTCAAACAAACACATGTTAAAATTAGCATGAGGACAGTACTGACCTGTTTGCCACGCTCTCCTTCTAAACCTGGGTCTCCTGTTGAACCTTTCTGACCAGCAGTTCCTGGTGCACCTGCCGTGCCTGCCACACCTTGGGGTCCCTAGATGAACAATGATCCGCAAATTTTAGATTCCTTCAGAATGGATAATTATAATAATTGTTTCAATGTAATATTTGCAGACTTATATGTCACAAATCATATACAATTGTATTGTCTTTTAAAACCTTAAATGTAGATTTCTTTGAAACTTTGAATGTATTGGACATTGATAAACCAACAGGGCTTAACTTATAATTAAAAGCACATGGCTAATTTCCATATCTGACTAAGATAACACTCGAGCAAACTTTGAACATGGTCTGCCACAGGCATTCCATGCAATTGGTCATTGAGGACACTTAGCCTTCTCGGAGTAATAAGCATCTCATTTCTCCTAACAGTATCACCACTGAATCAACCATTAAGGTCAGAGGAATAAAGGAAATGATCATGAGCTTGAGAAGCTCTTGATTGCTACACACAAATTCTCCTTGTAAGTAACATAGGAAATGGGGTGGAAAACAGTACGGAGAACTTGCATTCAGATGTTAGAGTGTAAAGGGTTAAAACGAGGTTGGGGCTATACAACACAAACTTGCTAACAAAGTACTCACCTGTGCACCAGGAGGTCCTGCAGATCCAGTATTTCCTGTTAATCCCTAAAAAATTGATAAATATCATGCCATAGATAAAATAATAGAAAGCTGTTCTTTCTGTTTATTTCAGGGTAAAACTGCAAGTCATTCAAAAATGACACATTTCAATTACTTGGATTTGACTTCAGTTTTTTCAAAACAAATGATGATGTTGGTCCATTTAGTCAATCCTGCTGACACTTTTTCTGTAAAGAGTTTTGCATGTATTTTGTTTTGAAAAAAGGCTCACAAACATGCATAATTGATAGATACATCTGATAACAAAGTGAATCTACATTTACCACTGTACAGTACTCAGCAGAGGCTGGCCAAATCAAAATATAATTGATAAGCCTGTGGACTTACTGGTGGTCCTGCAGGGCCATCAGGTCCGGGTAGTCCTTGAGCACCTGGATCTCCCTGCAAAAGAAATGCAATCAAATCATTCTTAACCCTTTAACTACCAGAAGTGTTTAAAATATACCTCCTCCCTATAATATCCATACATTATCCAACAAACAGGTGATGCGAATACACAAAATGTATCTGGCAAATGTTGTCATCTTGATCTAATGCCGCATTCTGGTGACCAATTAACAAGGAAACATGTGGCAGCTAGAGGGGGAATTTACAATCAGATCTTAGAAGTTAAACAGGTAACCAGTAAAAGATTTAAAACAGCAAAAAGGACAAAGAGAAAAAGGTACAGATGACTAAAACTCCTGGATATTTCAAATCTAGAAACATTTTAATTTCTAAATTTGTTCAAACCCAAAACACTGAATCTGTCAAGTTTTTGACTGTGCATTTGGGTCTCAATTACATGGCAATCGATTGTCATTGTATATGTGGCTTGAATCACAAATTGGAAAACTTGCAATAAGTCTTTGACATCACTTCTTCACCTGACTCAGATCTCAGAACCATACAGTTGGATAATCTGATAATCTTATGATGGCAAACAATTCAAATTAAGTTGGCTATATGAGCCACAATCCTCAGAAAATGAGTTTTCACACTGATGAAGAGCTTTATTTTTGGGAAACTTTATAAACAAAATTCCCATTTAAGGGCCTCGCCAGATGAAGCAGGTTTGGCTAAGATATGTCTCATAGCCAAATAATCAATCCACTAAAGACTAATTAAGAGCTAATTATCAGACTGTTTTGCGACTTACAACTTACAGTTTACATATCACTGTACTTACATCACTTCCATTCCTTCCTGCTACACCAGGAAAACCTGGTGAACCCTTAAAATTGAAAATAATTATCATGATAAAAATTCCAAAATTAGACAGCTGGGGTGCTATTTGGCTATTTTAGGAGCACACCTTGAGATTTTAAAAAATCAGTATATGCTACCTAGAGGTATCAAACCAGTGACCCTCTGCTTCCAAACCAACTCCGACACATGAACGTTATAGAGACTGATGCTGATCCTGGTCTTACTTGAAGTGGTCTTACTTACTTACTTATTTTAGCTATGCACCACTTAACACAGAGCTTTATTGGCAACAAGCCAGTAAACTCAAAAAGGAACCAATGACCCCTTCAAATCCCACTTTCATTCCACCAACTGGCTACAGTGTATTAATAAGACTCAGAATTAATGGACATCATAGAAAATCAAAAAAAATTCAAATACACATCTCTGAACTCTGCAAATAAGCCAACTGTTATCACATCATTCCCCATAAGTTAAGATAATACCCAAAATAATTTAAATTTTAACCACTAAGAGATTTGGCAAACTGCATGGGAGACCAGTAAATCTGTTCTGCATTCACCATACACAAGCAACCTTAATTTACAGACAAAGTACTAGGAGAAGACACGTGACTATACCATTGTGCACGAACACACCTTTTGGCCAGGATTACCCCTGGTACCCTTTGGGCCTTTCCTTCCAGCAAATCCTCGATCACCTTTTGGCCCAGGTTGACCTTTGGGTCCTCCTACTCCTCTTTCACCCTAAACAACAACAACCACACACACAAAAGAAACAGTATCAAAATACAATAATCATATAATTTACAATTTAATTGTGGTATCCACAGGAAATAATAATATTTGTTTCTTTTGTTCATCCCCAGATTTCATTTCATACTGAACACCTCATAAGACCTTGGCTAGGACTATTGCCTTGACTATCCACACTAAATGGTTGCTAAAGACAGCAAATGAGCAGAATTCATTCTTTTAAATTCATTTTTCTGCAAAATCAATTGATATCAAATTCTGCCTACATTTTTTTTCTAAAAAGAGAGTCAATAGATTTATCATTTTATAAAATCTTGGTATAATTATGTACAGCACACCATGACACACCCATAACAACAAACAGTGTTGTATTGTGATTCCATGAACTTTTACCCAACATTGAATAAGAGAGGGAGCCTTTTTAGTGATTTAGTGTGTGTTAGAAATGGGATTGTCATTCTACAAATAAATAGACCTCTTCAAACATGATGTGTCAACTAATTTTGACACTTATTGAAGGTGCTATAAAAAGCAACACATAAACTTTTGACCTTGTCAGCTGATAAAGACAAGTGGCATAGCAGTGGAAACATTGTGATCAATTAATAATCAACCTGGCTCTTAAATCATGAGACAAATGATAAAACATTCATTTATCATTAGTTAATTTTGTTCCAGTAGTATATAAAATGGAATCAAACCATCACTGAAATTTACAATGTGTTACTAACCGGGGCTCCTGGTGTACCAGGCGGACCTGTTAATCCTGGTGGGCCTGTTGTTCCCTAAAGAAAGTACAGATATCAAAAAAATGCAACCTACATTGTCAAACTGCATCACACATTAGAGGTCTCTTACTGGAAGTTTAAATAAAGTGAGTAATTAAAGAGGTATGGTGGCCCAACAGAATGCATGCTAAACTTTGAGTTGAAAGGTTTGAAATCCAACCCCAGCTGGGTCTTTATTTTGAGTTCATGGGCAAGACACTTTACTCTTACACTGTGCCTCTTTCAGGTGAAACAGGACAAAAACACTGGGTGTTAAAGTGAGATGGACCTATCCAAGGGAAGTAGTAATACATTTACTCCTGGTCACTTCTGATGCTTTGGAACCCACCATAAGCTGTAGCAATAGAGCCTTTTAGCCCCAGTGCCAAGTTTACCATGTAGAAACTCAGCACTAATAGGAAAGTTGACAAGTGGATAAAAAGGGATTCCCAACAAAGTGCTAATCTTTTTTACTGTTTAACATGAAACCATACAGTTACCATATTTACCCGTGTATAATGCGCACTTTTTTTCCATAAAAACAAGCATCAAAATCGCGGTGCGTATTATACACGGATTCTATTGTTTGTCAAGCACGTCCTAATTTGCATACGTTAAAAACGCAACAAAGAAAGTAAAAGTGCACGGATCGGTGGCCTGGGGAGGAGAAAGAGCTTGCTTATTTACGACTCATTTGAAGCTCACGTGACAGATACTGTGAACACTTCCTTCAAACGCAAACTTCCCTTCTCCAGCCGCTCAATGTATCTTTGAACAAACCATTTAGAGATGGAGTCCGAAAGGAGTGGATGGCTGATGGAATTCACGAACTTACTGGACGACAAAAAAAGGCTTCGGAGGAACTGATCTGTTCGTATATTTCACAAGCGTAGGAAGGCATTCCATCAGAAATGATCGCTGCCTCTCTCTGAAGTGTGGGTGCACAAACAATTCGAATGGATCACAAGATGAATTGGTTTACAATTCAACTGAGATCACTGATGAACTTGAGGATTCAGTCATCGAAACCTATTCGAATCGGACTGTGAGTCGGAATTTGAAGGTTTCGTTGTTTAAAGACACTGAACATTTTACTTAAATCACACAATTGCAATGCAGTAATTATATTCAAGCTACCAGCAGTACTGTGAGTAGAAATAATGTTTATGAACGGCTGTTATGATAATAATTCAAGTTGTGAATTTAGGTATATTAACAAGGACTTCAAGTTACAACATTTATAAAACGTTTGACTGTTACTGAATAAAAAAGCTTGTAAATAGGTGCTCGGTGCGTACGATATTTGTAGTAGCAACTAGTTAGAAATTGTTGTAAACATATTATTGATGAATTCCCAGCTCTTGTTAATTAAGTGAAAAAATGGAAGTTTTAATTCTTGGTATTTGTCATGAAATCTTTTTTTTCAGAAAAAAGAGGTCAAAAATTAGGGTGCGTATTATACACGGGCGCGCATTATACACGGGTAAATACGGTAATGAAAAATGGAAATGTATTCCGCTATTGGTAAATGCATGTGCAGCACTTGAGTTGAGTTGCACGTTTTAATCTCTGTATACTGATAAAGATAAGACATCCACAGAAAAAAAAAATTAATAGCCAAGAGTTAGTACTTACATTCTGTCCATCACGACCTGATAGACCAATAAAACCAGGAGGTCCTGGGTTTCCCTGAAATACAAAATTCCTTGTTAAGATCCCACAACAAAGTTTTGATAAACTTTCCTGGAATAGATTCAAAACTGCAGAATGGCTTTAAAACATCATTACTATGCATATTGGTGAAGGTTAACTAAGTTTAATTACTTGTTAATGGTTCAATAAATGTTGCTTAACCTTTAGGCATATCATTATTGTTTGCATCTCTCTAAACTCTATTTTCATGTAAGTATTGATAAATGAACAACAGCTTGAAAAGGCAGATTGGATTCTTCTTTCCATAAATAAGTTACCTCTAATCCTCGAATTCCCGGAGGGCCAGGTGAACCAATTTCTCCAGGGAGACCCTAGGATTAAAAACGAAACCTGCATTAATAACAAGGCCAATGATGAGGTTGTGATAAAGGAACAGACAAAAAGCAGCAACTTTTAGTTACATGGATTAAGTTGCTCCCTGCCTTAAAAATGTCTTCAAGAAGCAATAAATAACATTATCAACGTATATTTGGTTTTCCCCCTTGATGATGGTTTAAAAAACAAAAACAAAAAAAAAATCCAAATTAAAATATAACTACATTTAAGTCAAATAAAACTCTAATGCAAGCTAACCTGATTCATGTCAAGCATTTTAACAAAAAAATATATAATATAATTAATAGGTAAATGCATACTGGTGGGCCGTCTCTTCCAGAAGGTCCTTTATCTCCCATTCTTCCCTACAGGACACAAGCAAACATCATCATATGATCAGTTACTCATTGAAAAAAAGAATCCCTTAAGCCTAGTCAGTAGTCAGAGTATCCAATCATAAGATCACAACTGGTTGAGGCTTTAATGTCATGAGGGTATCTGGTTTTTTATGATTTCAGCAATTTTTGAGCTGGACAGGTGTCACTTGTGAATCTAAAATGGCACTCAATTCATCCAAAGTTTCCTTTTGGCTCAGTGAGCTGAGCGAGTGATCATAAAAAGTTCTAAATTGACTAAGGTTTGAATACACTTGAGAAGTTTGTTTTCTCTTGTCCCCTGATATTACTTATGACCAATGTTTGACATCTTCTTGTACTGCAAACAGTCATGGCTAACTTAATTCATGTGATGTTTTGTTACTTAGCTTACCGGTACTCCAGGGATACCAATTACAGTGATCACAGGGTTACCAGGAGGTCCAGGGGGCCCAGGAGATCCTCGAGACCCTGGAGGACCAGCAGGCCCAGGAGGCCCCTATCAAAGAACGCAAGAGTGGTCAGAGTTCCTGTGGCATCAATCAGAGCTTTGATCAATTACTATCTTTAAATTCAGAATTGAAACTTTTGTGTTCAGGGCTTCAAATAGCCTGAGTAAGATGCTCTTGCTTGAAGCATTACCTCCAGTTTTCAGGGATTTTGTTATTCAATAAATAAGCGATTTTTAATGGGATGTGTAATAACTTAGTTATTACTTAGTTAGTTAGCTAGCAGTTTTGTAGGGGAGGGTCTGAACAAGCTACAAACTCACAATAGGTATGAAAAACAAACAAAAATATAAAGAAAGATTTTATTCATCTTGTCACCAGCGTAGGACAAAAACAAAAACAAAAATATGTTTGCTAGACAAGTGCAGTTCACACCGACATTTACAATCCTGTGTCAAATTATAGTACTGTTATAAAAGTAATAGCATAAAAAATTTTTTAAGCTTTTGCCTTTTTTCATCTTGATGCCTCTCAACATTTCAAATGAGTTTTATAGCAGAAAGACCAAGGCAAAGCTACATGAAAATGTGATATGCTGACACAAATTGATCTCACATAAGTCACTTAAGTTGCACAAGACAAACATTAATTTTTGTTGGTATATGTGGGTAAACAAAACCCAAAAAATAACACCTAAAGAAAGCCAATGTATCAGCAAAAAATTTCTAGCTTACCATCCCTCTTATTCAATTTATAAAGTAGCCTTTCATTGCTGGATCCTTATCCGATGAGAAATTTGTTACACATAAGGAGGAATTTTCTTTACTGAATACCCAATTGCAGCAAAATAGCTTTTTGTTGCCATATCCTTAACATAATAATAATATAGACAACAGAATTGATAAAATACCCCAAAACTTGAGATACTTTGTCGGTAGCTTCATGAAAAAAAATGCCAATGATTGTAAAGCTAACAAATACAAGACAATGGTAGATCTAAACCAATTACAAACCAACCAGGTTAAGTTATTTCTTTGTTACCTACCTCAGTACCATCATCTCCAGCTTCTCCAGTATCACCCCTTGGTCCTGGGGGACCTTGATCACCCTAGAATCAAAGTTTAATCTTGTTTTTTCTTTACTTACAGCTAAAAAGCAACTTTCAATAAACCCTATAACTTCCAGAAGTGATTTACATGTAACTTCTCCCTTGAATATCCATACATAATCTTGCTCACAGGTAATGAGAATTAATACTCAAACTTGTCAGGTATAGGTTGTTATCTTGATCTAACACCATATTCTCATGACTAATTTACAAGGAAACATTGAGCAACTCGAGGGAAGAATTAACAATCAGATCTTGGGAGTAGAAGGGTTAACTTAATTTGTAATTAAAAAGTAATATTTGCCTTCTCTCTGCTCACTTTCTGAGACCCTTCTGAGGAAGTGCACAAAGTATACTTCTTCATTCATAATAGTTTCAGTTGTAACTGAGACAAGTTTTTGTATTATAGTTCATTCAAGTAAATAAGTATAAGATAAATAACAAAACAGATACTTTGGATGATTAAAAATTAATATACAGCCATCCAGCTTTGCAAATTGAGTCCTTCACTAAACTGCTTTTTGGCAACACATGTAAAGTGTTACAGGTTTTTTTTCAAGCATGACATGAAATTTGCATTGTTAATTTTGCATTTTAACCACGAGGATAGGGATGCAAGGTTGGCAAGATTGTATGCTTAAGGTTAAGCTTTCGGGGTAAAGTGTATTTCTGGTGTTACTGATTTCAAAATTTGTAACACTATAGTTTACATTCTCAGTGACGATGCACTGATTAACTTCATAATCAAATTGATACTTACCCCTCTTCCTTTGCTTCCTTTTTCACCTGGTTGACCTTTTAATGACTGTTAACAAAAAGGATAAAAACAACTGTTTTGTTATTCGCAAGGAAAAATAGGTTCATCTTCGTTGTAATAATCTGTTACGCTTCTGAGAGTGCAGAACAAAGAAAACAGTTAAGTCAATACAATGACCCTATGAAAATAACTGCCACCAAACATAGAAAAACTTCATAGCTCCCAAAATTATGATCAACGTGCCAATGATGATTTAACGTTATCAAAGTTTAAAACAAATAATGTATTAATTGTTAGGATTGAAAAAGAAATGACAACTTTAGAATTTCTTAACCCTAACGTACTTAACTCTTAGACCCGCTCATATCCGCTGTAAACAAAATTATCCACATGCACGTGCAGTTTTTGTGTAATATCAGTTGTATGCAACCACATGCGACATGTTTGTTTGGGTGACCGGGTAATTTGGGAACAAGTGTTTGGAGTACGTGACATTTGTTATCACGCACGAAGTCTGCTGTCACGCATTTGGACAATCAATGCAAAGACAACTCGTCCATGCTCAGAAACTTAACATTCAGGAAATAATTCTGTTCCACATCAAAGTTTAATGCAGATCGTAAGTGTAAACGATGAATAATTCACTCCTTACCTCGTCTATTTCAGTTGGAACTAAAACGAAGAAAAGAAATCGAAAGTAAGCAATAAATGAACGGGTACGACCATTTACAATCAAGTCTTTAAAAAAATCATGAAGGAGCACAACATTTTTAATAACAGAACAACTACTACGGCGTTTTGTAATCTACTACGTGCAAATAAACTCAAGGTTTGTAGTCAGCCACACGGCCGCCATGTTACTATTTGTAAGCCTCGCCATGATGTGGGGTCAACTATGACGTACCTTTAGGACCCTTATCAATTGACAAATAACTACAGATAAAATAGGAAGTCTTTTTCATAATTTAAGATTCGGAATAACAATTCCTTCTCACTCAGACAACATGAACTCATTCTCAAAGCAATGACCTTGAAATATTCTGCTTCACTCATCAAATCATTAAGACAATAACATGTTGAGTTTTAAATAAAATAGCAACTGTTTCATTGAGGTATTGGGGTCACAAAAATGGTAAATCTTTCTCCATTTAACTAATCTATCAAATGCTTTGAACTGGGTTTTCTCGACCCCGTTGTATGTATATATGCACATAAGCTCGTTATATGTATATAAACATAAGATGAGTAGAAATTCTAGCCCTCCATCCAGAAATAATTCCATTTTAGTAGGAATTCTGACTCGATTATTTTGAACTTTGTAGGCTATATCTATTCCCTATTGTAAACGAGAACTTTTATTCTAGTACACTCGTCTATTTTTAACTTATTCGTGAAGAACGCGCCGCGCGCGATTTACGGAGCAAGCCGCGGAGGTTTAATATATGGTTTAAGCATCTATTTATCAGAGATTTCAAATAATTAAGGTAACGTCAACTGAAAATGGGAGTTTGTAAAAGAAGGGCTCTATGGTTAGAGGCTTTCCACTGTTTTTTTTTTTTGTTCCACGCGAGGACAATATATTACAAAATAAAGCCATTTGAGATATGTTGAATGGCCGATTGTCCTCAGTCGCTGGTATGTAAAATCGTAACACTATACCACAAAAATTGCGCTTTTCGGGTTCACCATACCGATCTAAGAAAACGAATGCTTTAACTTCACAAATATTAAGAAAATAAGATCAAATTCACTGCCAGGGCGAAGAATTACATACAACAGATAACGTCCTCCCGCTGAAAAAAGGTAGGGGCGCCGGAGTTTTATCCTGCGCAAGATATCAAGACGCAAAGGGATATCACACAACACCTCGATTGATCCGAATGCATTCACATGAAAATTCCACTTCATAAAACGAACTGTAAAATATTTGGGCCAATGAGGAAACTGTTTTAACTTTTCCTCTACAATATGATCGATTGTACAGGCACGATTGTGGCACAAAATCTCATAACGAAGAAAAAAATCTAAAATTCACAAAGCCCGCATACAACTGAATACAATAAAGCTTTCATCCTGATCATGGTCGGTCCGATGAAATGGCGGAGCAAAGATCCGAAGAAAAGACAAAATGATTCGCATAGGGGAGAGATGAATGCTTTCCAAATGTCTACTAAAAAGGAAGCTAATTGAATTGCAAATTAAGCGTCGAATCGAGGGAGAAATGCCTGCTCGCGAAGCTCATTCGTTACCGAAGGAAGGAAAGTTGAGCACAAAACCCTTAGAAGTCTAAAAATGATACTTACTGTTCTGCCCCTGCGTACTGCAAATCCATAAGACAAAGAAAAGAGAAACTACAAATCTAGAGGTATAGAACCCCATCTTTTCAACCCAAGTAGCCTAACAGGGCTGAAGCATGAAGGTTCAATGAACAGCCCCTAGTCTTGTGCGTGCGAGACAGTAAGGTAATGCGGGACTACCTTTCCATCTAAGGTATCACACCCCAGCCACAGCGATCAATAAAGTTTTGTATTGTGTTGCTGTGAAATAGCATGCTTGTCGTCTGAAAGTGACAGACACCCACAGTGTCAAATGACACTACGTAACGCAACGCTCTAAGGGTTGCTTATTTCCCGGTTTTTCTCACCAAAAATAAGCACAGCAAAAGGAAAAAGCCTGTTTAGAGCAAGACTGAATGTTTCTTACCGCTCGCATGAGCTGAATATTGCAGTATTTGAAACATACGAGGTGTTAAATTTGATACACTACCACTAAGGATTTTGATCCTGAATGTGGTAAGACAAAAAGCTTTTATGCGAAATGTGATCAAGGGTCATGTGATTCGCCAATCGGGTTTCTCCTCGCTCTGCTGCAGAATGATAAAATGATCATTCACAACAGCCAACCACTCACAGGACCCTACAGTGGAGCTACATTCCCCAGAGAGAGATAAGGTTGTTTGCTCCTCGAGCAGCAGTTTCTTCTGATTACGAACGACGGGTGTGGGAAAACAAATACTCACAGGATACAAGCCTGGAGATTGACCCACCGCCAGAACCCTGTAGCGGTGTAAAATCCACCGAACTTAAGATAGGTTCCTTGCGAGATAAAACACATTAAATTGGTAATTGTAGTCTGAGATCTGGCGTAACATTAAAGAAGCTTCTTGGGAGTTTTATTTTAAATCTTTTTAGTAACAAAAAGAGTTGTTGTAAGTTGCGTGATGCCAGAAGGTCCCGTTGCTCTTCAAATTTACATGGGTCGCCGCAGATACATACACATCGTTGTTCACTTTCACTAGGACTGCAATTTTCTTATTTACAAATATAGTTTGTTCTTTTCCTTAACTGTAACTTGTTCCGTTTTTCGCTACTATTCCAGAGGACTTCATTGCTGCTTGGAGTAGAAGTACGGGCTCATTATTGGAGCAGTGGCTCCTTCTCTAGCCCAGATCATCAATTCATTTCTCACATTATCCATCTTGTCTAGATCTTTCGTTAATTTCATAGTTTTCGTTTCTCTCATGCTCCTTAACCCTTTAACTCCCATGAGTGACCAAGACAGAATTTCTCCTTAAGTGTCGAGAATAAAGGAAAATATCAATTTGAGGATAATTAGTTGATCCAATATTAAATTCTCTGAACTAACATTATAAGAAATGTATGGTTGATTGTAAGGAGAATTATAAATCTGATCTGGGAGTTAAAGGGTTAATAAATTTTTCTTGCTATTCCCTTTTTTCCCCCACAGTCTAGGGTATAACTCGAGACAGTACAGTAATCGTCAGACTGTTTCAGTGGTTTAGGGACTTGTCATAGTAAAATTATGTATCCTGCATTTAAGAGGATGAAGCTTGTACCCAACTCATCTGAGTACTCTGAGGTGTAGGGTATTCTTTTAAAAAGCCACACAAACTCTTAACCGTATTTTAGGTTTGCGGAACAGCTGTCTCGAATTTCTGTGATCTCCCTGGTGTTTAAACAAAGAAAAAGTTCTTTATTGCATTATTATTAGAAGACACTTCAAAACAATGCAGCAGCTTACTTTATTACTGACTCAGAATAGAATACAATTTTTCTCAAGTTGCTTAAAAATGTTACAAGTTGTTTTTTATGGGACACTTATGACTTTCAACTGTTGTAAACCAGAACTGAAAAAATTACAGATACAATTACGAATTAGACTCAGGCCTATGGAATCAATTTAGTTCAAGAAGTGCAACTCTTAGTTGTTAGTACATGTTGATATAAATCTTCTTGACTTGGATATCTGAAAAAAAAAGATTGGAAAAAATTGTGTCAAAGCTTGTAAAAAAAAAAACCAAAACAAACAAACAAAGCAATGGTGGAAACAATGTGCACAAAGCAAGCATTAGGATTTTTTGTGTTCCATCAAATTCAAAGAATATGCAGTAAGACATTTCAAGCTCAGATTAGCTCTTAAACTCTCCCAGGTGATTGACAGTTGACTGTAATGTCCCCACACTATTCAACAAACAGGTAATGAGAAAACTCAAACCTATCAGGTAGATATTGTCATCTTGATCAAACAACAAATTCTTGCTACTAATTTACAATGAGATGCATGGTAGTTAGGGGGGAGAAGTAGCAATCAGATCAGAGTTTAAGGGTTAGCCTTAAATGAGCATTGCGATTCTAAGTTTACTTGACCTAAATAGTGAACTACAGAGAAACCATTGAGTTAGGAAACACCTTTTTGAACATTTATGTGAACACTGGTTTTCCTTATTGATAATAACTTGGTTCAGGTAAACAAACATGAAAAACTAATCATTCTTGGACCAAACGACTATTCAATATTGTGCAATATTTTGAGAGTGTGCCAAGTCCAAGATATTTGTAGCAGTTTTAGTTATAGATTTATATTTCACTTGATTCTAATTACTGATGCATACATCTAAACCCTGTGCACATGCTAAAAACTGAAGCCATCTTTAACCTTTGGCATTCCTCAAGAAGCCCAGATTAAAACTTAACAAACAGGCACGTATCATTATCCTTACCATAATTATTTCACTACTGCACAATGATGTTATTGATGGGGATGTGTATGAGTTTAACAAAGAAGCCAATGAATCCCATGATGGCAAAACCAATAGCAGTTGCCAGCGCAATTTTTTGGAATTCTGGAAAATATAACCACAAACAACAACATTAATTAAACCCTTTACATCCTAACATAAGTGAGCATATTCTCCATGCTGTTCTTTATACATTGCCTAAGGTGTTGACAAGGAGAATTTCTTTAACAATCGCAAGTTTCTTCAGTTGGTGATCATTTCTTTTATTGTCATGACCTTAAAGTGTGATTCAGTGGTGATATGTAAGGAGACATTAGATACTAGCTACTCTTAGGGGTCAAATGTTTAAATTATGTGATGAAGAAATGAACTGTTCAGAATTATCAGAATTTGAAAAGCATTAATAAAAACAAAAAAAAATAGCTAGTGAATATTTTGAAAAAATAAATGCACTTTGTATAATGAGTACCCTTCATAAAGAAAGGCTTTTTCACTGTGAATTTCTGGAATTTCAAGTAAATGTATGTGGCAGAAGCAGGTTTACTGTGAAACAAATTGTACAATTTTTGCCAAGTATATTTCACTTTAAAGTTAATGCACACTGTACATTTTACCTGAATATGGAAAACATTGTGGTAATAACACTGAAAATCTTAAATTAATGATAACTGCCATGAGCAAAAGCAGCGTTGAAGCAGAGCTTTCCTTGAAAAGTTATTTGTGAAATTTGATTTACAGTGTGATTTTGCAAAATATGCTGCCCACATATTTCTGTAACTGAGGTTTGCTTGTTACATCGAAAGGTATAAATCTACTTTGTAATTAAGACTGAAGACTAGCATCCATAATTTCATTTCAGCAGTTACCTGGAGCAAGGTTACAACAACTAAAAAACAATAGTTTTACTGGTGGTACCTAAGCCAAAGGTTAAAATAGATAAAAAATGAGAAACATGGTTGAAAACAAAGGTTTCTGTTTTGTCAAGATTTTACATTACTGGCATCCATTGCCTTTGCCAGCATCTTTGTGGACCTCCCTAACCACTTAGGTCATACAAATGAAAATTTGACACTAAATTTCACCCAGATAAGTCTCCTTTTTGTAAAAAGAAACATTATTCAATTCTTAATAAGAAACCCTGGAGTCCTAAGTTTTTAAAGTTGTCTATTAACCCTTTAGAAAACAGGAAATATAGAAATTTGCACATTCCTTGTTTGTGCTATGATATCTTCTTGACTGTTAAGCTTACAAGAATCTGATTTAGATTTAAATATTGATATTCCTGCTTTTCGTTAAGATTTCTTGTTATTCAAATCATGTATTGGACTTTGGCGAAGAGTTTACAATTAACATCTTTTCAAACTGAAAGGTTCTTTGTAGTCAAAAGTGACGAGGCCACAAAAGACACACATTGTTTTGAAGCAGAAAGACTTTAAAAGCAAGCATATCGAACAAGAACGATGTTTAATCGAGAACTAGGCGCTAGATGTCCAAATAATACAAAATGTGTTTTCCAAATTGAAGATTTTTGTACCAGTCCAAAAATATCTTTCAAGTCAGACGATTACATGCCAACTGAAAGTAGTTTGATGCACTACGAACTTGATCACATCAGGGACTCAGAAGAGGAGGTATGTAATAGAGACGACTTTGCTTCAACAAAAGAAGTAGTAAACGAATTCTCAAAGCAAAAAGATAAAAAGAAACCTACGAGTTGAGAGAAAAAATTAAAACAGTATATATGCACGCTGTTAACAAAATTTAAATTTTCCTTGATATCTAGAAAGGAAGCGACCAAAAAACTTGTTACGAACACGCGTGATGAAATGGCCAAAATTTTAACAGCATAAACAGAGTAATACCAAAAAATAATAAACAAGAATAAAAACAAAACCTTTTCTGTCTGGTTTCGTGCATCTTTTCACAAGTCTCATGGAGTCCTTGGCGAACTGTTTACATGGTTCGAGAGCGTTGGTAATTTGATCCATTCTTCAGAGTCAGTTGCTTTCGAGTAAAGAAATGAAGGATTAGCATGGCATTACTTACGTTTTCAGTCCGCTTTGCGAAGAAAACACGGGGGAAATCAAAGCGATTCTTACCTGAAAACCTTTACACAGTGAATAAAACGATGTCGTGTCACCAGAAGAGGAAGAAGAGTACTTACGCAAGGAATTATGGGTTCTAGGTGTTTGCCCGCTGTCCAGCTAGCAGGCTCAACTTTAAAAGTTCCTCCTTTTCAGTCCGTCTTCTGCAGAGTTTCGTCAGTCGAGGATCTTTCGTATTCTCTACTAAATAAAGACTGAATTGGGTTATTTCGCTCACTTCTGAGTGTGACTGACTAAGTTATAAGATGTTGATATGTACGTATGAGTGAGTCGAGTTTCTGTATTATGGCTGAATTGGATGCGGGTGAAATAAAATATTCGCCGGTTACCTCGAAGCTACTTTGAGCATTTTTTTCAGTAATTTTTTTTAGAGATACATATAGAACAACGTGTATCTTATGATATGATCAATTATGGCGAAATAATTTGCAGAGTGATGATCCGTTAAATAACAATGTTTACTTCTGACAGGAATATCAAATAAACAAAAATAAATGAACAAACAATGAAAGCACCGCAAAGTGAGTCTTCCTGGCATTAAATTGTGGCATGATATAAATGTAATTGCAAATTCGAAAAATGGATATACTTTACTTTTATGTACCTGCTTACCTCAATAGAGACTCATTTTAAAGCCGTCAGTTATTCCGAAACCTGATGTAAAACTCTGATGAAAGATTTCCTATTCCCCCCTCCAGCAAATTACCTTATCATTATAAACTGGAAAATGTTGCGGACCTCTCAACCCTTAGGAGCCAATTCAGGGGAGATGCTAAATCTTGACTGTCGGCTTGAAACTGTTATAAATATAATAATAATTGTGCGGAATGATGAGCCCTCAGGCCAAGTAAACCGACCACTTTGGTACTTGCAGGCCTTGCCGATAAAAAAATTTCCGTTTACTAACGCAAGTTGCTTATCATTTCGACATATTATGGATGGTCAAGAAGTCAAAAAAAGATAACAGGAAATATCTCTCAATGAGAACATCCTTAAAAAATTTACTTCGCGGAAATGTGCTGAAAACTAAAAATTTTCCAAGTTTTTAGTCGGATAGGTTTTCGAGCAGCTACGTGACTAAAGATTTTTTTTAATCATTATCCATTGTCTTTCAACTTGACGTAGAACCATCAACTTAAAAACAGATATTATTACGTTTAAAAAGTGGGTTTTGTTACAAAGAAGGGGCATAAGTTGTTGCCGAAATTTGCACGAAACAAAATTTCATCGGATATTTTGAAAGCAAAATCGACGCCAATCAAGCATTGACAGGTAGATGTGAAAAGTTCTCTTATATTCGGTGAACGATAAAAAAAAAAGGAAATGTAAGCTATGATGAATAGTGTATGGTTATTCTAGGCGAGCTCTCAAATGTTATTTTTTTTTCTGGTTGTGAAAGTCTAAATATCGCTTTTAGGCCACCCTTACTTCATTTGTCATTTATTTTTAAACCTAAAACGTTGATTTATAAAGCAAATTTAATTCGATTAAGTTGGTATTAGCAACAGTATACAAATCTGCGAAGTACACCAAAATTCTTGTCAACTTCACGATCGTGTGAAATGCATTTCGTGTACTTTATAAACTGGAGAAATGGCAATTTCATCTATGACTAAATGAAAGAAATTTCAATAAAATTCGCGGTAATAACAATACACATTAGAAATCAGTGATATGTTAACGTCAATGTATAGACAAAGAAATCTACAGGACTCCTTTACCAGAAAATTCTCTGATTCTGGTTCAAAAAAATTGATAGTAATAAGAAAAAAAGATTGATGAGTAAATTGTACATCCTTTGATACATGAGATAAATTCGGTTTCATACAAGTAAAGTTGTGAACTGGGAGAGTCTTGTAATGGTAACAGTTAAAGCAAAAATTTATTTCTTTTCATATATATATAGCAATTTTTCAGTGGCCGTATAATTTGAGCGATCAGAACTAACTTCGTGGAGGACAATTAACTTAATAACTAGAGTTCTCTTTGTTTAAATATATAGAGCAGATGCAAGCGTGTTGCCTTTCTTGGAGGAAAAATTATAAAAAAAATTAGCTTAACCTTTTGTAAACTTCTGCTCACGAATCATAAACTATCAGAATTTGTCCTCATTTTAAATGGATGACGATTTCAGTCCAATATTGAATAGAGAATTTTTATAAAGATACAATTTTTGATGCTAGCGAAAGAACGCCATCTAAATTTTCCTTTCTGTCATTTACTTTAAAGCTCCAGTGTTTCAAACAATTCATTAGTTCATAAAACGTTTTTAACCCATTCGAAAAGGCATTGATTATTCCAAGAAACAATCTTCTTTCACGGTCAATTCTCAATTGGGTATTGTATTCAAAGGAGTTAAATTTTAGCTTAATGGGATAGCTGTGCAGGTGTAAATATTTAATGAATCTGACCTGACCGCTGTAGTGAGTCTCTAATTATTCTCGCTGTTAGACAAATATTTAGTATCGAACTCAGGGCTTAGAACTCGCCGTGCTATAAACTAAACAACACTGTACATATAATTGCGTGAACCGTTGTAAGTTCCCCAGGTGGTGGTGTGGTTCTTTTGATCTGTGCCGTCCACTCAAACGCATTTCAGCAGCGTTGGATTTTGTCTTCTTAGCACAGATTTGAAATTAAACCCTACCACTTTTTCGAGCGTAATTAATTAATTGATGACTTCTGGGTCAGCGCATGGCGCGCTTCATCGCGGCCACTCCGTGCAATTTTCTCAGTCGTACTAGCTTCAGTTCAAGGGAATTGTTTAGAAATTAAGGATCACTTAAGCCCATTAGAAATCTTCTGTAAGGCGTGAAGGGCGGTACATTTGCGACCAGCCGTGCACGTATATCCCGCAAGTTTCCGATAAAGTTAGACATTTGTTTCATTGTAAAATCCCCAGCAAGCTCTTAAGTAGAATATACGGCCTAAAAGGTTCGTTTCTTCCAAGTGATACTGCCTACGTTTCCCGCATAAATTGATGCGACAGAATCAGCCCATGCGGCGTGTGTTTACATTCAGCTTTTTTATAAACAAATTTAGTTCTTTACGAGATAAAGGGAACTCGGACTTCTCTTGAATCTGATAGACTTCATAGAATACGACCGTTTTGAAGCTGTAATTCACACTTGGGTTTTCTCTCAAAGGCGAGAGTTGGGAGTTTATTTTTCTCAAGCTAAAATACCTTCGCTGTACTAAGATTTTTGGGTAAAATCACAAACCTTACAATCCCAAAGCGTTTTCTCTTGTGAACAACGAATAAAACCGCAGATTACGTTAAAATAAATGTTTGCACCGAACGAATTTAATTGTCTTACGGTAAACTGACTTATTGAATTACTGTCCTGTACGGGTGCAACTGAAAAATCTCGTCGAGGTGCTTTATTCTTGTACCATACATGCAACACAGACATTCGTTAAGTGGAAACTGTTCGCTAGATTGGAACACGGTTGAAACGAAGCACAAAGCCAGCTTTACAGCTGATAAATGGCTCAACTAAGATTGGTTTTATTGAAAAGCTTGGCTTTTAGTATAATTACAACGGTGCAGCGCTTAAGTAGAAGAACCCCGCCGTGGAAAGCGCAAAGAGAATCTTTTTATCAAACCTAAATGCGTTACTATTCTTAATACTCATTTCCATGATTTTTTATCAATGAAATGGAAATCTGACAAAATAGGAAGAAGGTCCAGAATCTTTTTTAAAACGGCAGTTTTCTTTTATTTTCATAGCCATTCTTAAAAATATTCGTATTTGGACTGAATATCAGTTGTGTGATGCAGCAAAATGGGAATTGAAGATTAATTTCGCAAATTTTTGCAAAAGTCTGGAGTTCAAAGGTAATGACTTTTACTTGAGGTTCAATTTTATTTTTCGCGTCTACATCGTGATTGAGATCAAATTAAAGATATATGGAGCATTTATCTTTTATCATTACGTCTTCAATATCCTCAAAGCAAGCTGCTCAAACAAATATCTTACTCTTCCCATCAATGAATAATGTTTAAAAACAGGTAACAAAGGGCTCTAACAAATCAAACTTGAGAGATGTGATAAGACTTAAGATTTTCACTAGGAAACTTACGCAAATTGCGCTGTGAAGTTGGGGAAGTTATTCGACAAAAATCTTTACTGAGTGTTCAAAGGAGACAAATTTGAAATGAAATCATATCTATGTGGTAAGATAAAGTTTAAAGGTTAATAGTTATGGTTTTTCATTAATTATTTCATATTTCCATCAGTTTTATTGAATCATTCAGATTATATACATATATAATGTATATATATATAAACACGTTAATTCATGGATCAGAGTGGGAGTTTAACATTGCAGTAAAAAAATGATAAAACATGTCACACAAGACGAATTTCAGACACTAAAAGGACTAATATGGATGGAATTTCAAAAAAGTTTTGAATTGTTTCGTGTTTGAGTGGAAAATAAGGATTTTATTTTACACTAACGTCCGCACTAAAGACGATTGGCCCGTATCTTTTACCATAAACCAACATGAAATTAAACCAACACGCAATACTTATCTTTCTCTTTTTTCGCCTTATTTTAATATCTCTCAAACTACTGGCGTTATTTATTAACATCGTCATATCTTTAATCTCGAGGCTGAAAAGAAAGTATGTCTGTTTTCATTTCAACTTCGCGCAGAAAACAAATCTTCCGTAAAATCGTGTTTGGGAAATATTTGATCCAACTTCCTTGTTATGATATTAAAAGCAAAACTGTGTTTTCCTTTTAACGTTTACGGATTTTAATTCAAACAATTTATTCCTCACAAATAATTAAATCTATTAGCGCGACCATATACGATTAACCTTTTGGTTTTGTTGACAAATTTAGATGCCATATCTGTGAAAGCTTTTTGTCCGTAGGAAAAGAAAAACATCCATCCTCTTTAAGCAGGCAACCAAGCAAATACGGCTAGCCATTTTGAGAGCATTATCCTCACAGCCAGTTATGTTTAGCTTTTGTTCCACTCAAGAAGTTTTAAGTTGCTCGTTTGGTCAGTTAATGATTATTAGTAATTCATGGAAGCATAATGCTGACAAAAATTTTCGGCTGAAATTATAAAATGAGTCAAAATTTCCGTTCGGACAATTCTGTATTAATACGCAATCAAGGGGGTTTCCGACATGGCTAAATTGGTAAATTTTACCGCCCTGCAGGCCGTCACAAATAATCTACCACGGGAATCTTTTTGTAAACTTTTATTCAGAAGGGTGTATTGTTATTTTAAGTTTTCTGTCAAGGAAGACATCTCCGGAAAATTTGTTTAAAATATTCAGTCTAGATAACACAGTCCTTTCTCCTCATTAAATCGTGCAGCAATGGATGCTCCTCTTTTTTCAATTAACTGAGTGAGTGTTATCCATTACTTAAATGAAATAACTAAATACACTCTGTTTCACTTGACTCTTCATAATTTAGATGTTATTGCGCGTTATAGAGCTAAAGCACATCTCAATTGCTCGTTAAGTAAACATGTCACCTTAAAAATGGTATATTTGTCAAGAATCAATGTGATTTCCTCTTGAAAATAATTTCCTGAGAATTTCTCCTTAAACTTGTCTAAGACGGCAAACAAAGGCGTTTTCTAAGTAAGCTCGAATGAAGCAAGGTTTCCAAAAGCCTGCCAATCGACACAAACATCCTCGTAAGTTAAACTGCAAGCTTGAGTGAATTATCCAAATCTTTCACTATCAATTTTTTTAACCGGCTAAATTGACCAAGAGTTGGGTAAAAATTTTTAAGATGGAACGACACAGCGTGTTTATTTTGCTAAAATTCACTTCCAGTTAACAAATGCTGACGCTATTTGTTGAAAAGCTCTCAGTTCTCGCTTGCAAATGGTTCTAGTTAATTGTTATGAAGTGTATAAATACAATTAAACAAGGCGTAAATTACGCTAATAACTCACAAATGCCTTTCACTGCTTCAATAAAGTATTTCGCACCTGTGCCATCTGCCCGAGGAAAACCAATCAAAAACCGAAATCGATCCCAGCTGGGTGTTTCTACCAATCACAGCCCAGATCCGTGCGTCAAATACAGAGTTAAACGTTACTCAAACAATCGAAAAGTATCCTTGTTTTTAATTCTATTTCTTTCAAGAAAAGTGCAATTTGCATCAAGAGATACCAAAACAATTACCCCTCTTAACATAACTTCCTCTCGTCCTTAAAAAAGGGTACAAATTTCGTAAATTTAATGATGAAAACCGCAAAAATTGTTATGAACTCGGCTTCTACCTCGTGGCCATACGTACGATATCTCTGCGATATGGAATACGATTTTAACATCTATGACTAATTCTGTTCGATATATCACGAGATTGACGATTGGAATTGAACAATAATAATCCTCGATTTCCAATGGGACGAATTTGGAATACTAATAACCTTTGTTAACAAATGAACTCTCCGGAATAATAAACGATATTTATTATCTTCAGGTCCCATAAATAATAGCGCGAAAATGATCACATCATATCGATAAAAGCTCTCTTTCAATTTCCTGTCCATATAAACCGGGCTAGCAGTATATTCACTCAAGAGAAAACAGATCCTTTGAAGAGCGCAGTGCTGGTAGAGCAACAAGCCCAGAATGCAGAACTCGTCCGCTTTCAGTGTTGACTCGCTGATGGGAAAGAAGACCCTCGACTCTAAAACGAACGATGTGGAGAAAGAAAGCGAGAGAAAATCGGCATTTTCTGTCGCGCCACCGCTACCAAAACGGGAATTTCATCCTCCCAGTGTCTGTAACTGCCAGCCTTGTCAACAAACGGCTGTGTCAGGTTTTACTGCAATGAGTCAGGCTGTAGCCGAACCAAGGTTTATGTCTTTACAATCGATGGCTGGAACTGTATCAGTGCCTGCTCCCGTTTATCTCCCGAAAGGTGAGTGAATTCTCATTCATAACTGAAATTAAATTGAATTTTTATGAACTTGATGAAAGAATTATTTTTGTGAGTGCTGAACCATACGTTATCCAAGCAGCTACTGTCGATTTAGATTGTGGGGTGAAATGTTCTTGTTGTTAAGTGAAATCTGTCATTTGGCTTTAGGGCTCTATGGCCGGAAAGATGTCAAATCATTGAGGAATTAGCTAATGTTCAATGACCCTTTCGTCGTGAAAAGTAGTTGCCAACAAAGAAAATATAATAAATGTCTTCCATTTTTACTTTTAATAAGGTACGCTTGCCATCCAAAAAATAAAAAGATCATCATTCAAGATTTGAAATATGTGATGGTTAAAATAATGTCAATTGTTGCTCATTTTTCTGCACATTACAGGGCAATTTGTAAAATAAAACAGTACTCTCTTTATGTGGTTTGTTCAACGTATGAATGTTGAGTAACACTTTATTACTGTCCGTCTAAACTATTTCACTAACGTCATTAATTTTCTTATTCTAAAAAAACCTTTTGGTTTCAAGCTAAAGAGAAAAACTTGAACGAGGTGTGTGATTGGAGAGGAGACATGATAGACATTTTCGGAAGATTTTCAATTATCGGACGCCTAAGATGCCATACGACTGACATCATTTTTGTTAAGAAAAATTTTTTATGCCTCATTTATTTCTTTTTTCCTTGCAATTACATTTTTGGAATTTTCTTTTGGAGATTTCTATATGAAATCGAGGTTTTAAAACTGAAAGACTTACACTGAAAAATAATTGTAAGAACGAAGATTGAAACGTGCTTAGTTTCCGAAGGCCAGCCATTCAGAAAAGTAGAGTGGGCAGGGAAAAAATGATAAAAGAATTAAATAATCCTTTTTGTTGCTTGGTTTGCTTTTTTCCGCCTCCAGCTTTCGTCTTCGGAAAAGCTCTTTCAGTAACGAAGACTCAATGCTCTCGAACGTGTGAAATTTGCCGACCTTTAGGGTGTGGTTCATCGATCTTGTGTGGGTGTCTATCATTCCCGTTCGGTTTTATTGATTTAAAAACCTTGGTGTGGCTTGCTCTTTTATTCCACTCCGCTGATGCTTTGAATATGTGAAGAGATTTAAAACAATTCTTTTATCTCTTTCGAATTCTGTGCTGCATGTGAAATTTAATGTTTTTTTACCACCGAGTACATTGTAAAGTATTTTGGATACAAAGAGAATTGTTTTTGGTAAAGCCGGAAATCGATTTAATCGGTTTCGAGGCATTCTAAAATCATTAACGCTGAGTTTGGGCTTCTATTTTTTTAACAGTAATTTTTTTATTATTAAAAAAAACGCGAAGTTATTGCTGCCGTTTTGTTAGACTTTTCAAAAAATGGGCAAATAAGATTTTGTAAGAAAACAGTTTTGATCGACTCAACAGAAACTTCACCGTGAAAATAAACCTACACACTTTGACAAAAAGATTCACGTCTCAAATGGTCTTCAATTAGACAGATGTAGCACGCACTTTTGGGAGGGTTTAAAGGATATATTTTCCAGTGACCAGGGAGTTGAGAAAAATTAATGGTTCAACGTTGCTCTGAAGATATGATTAACAAAACCAAACTGATTGCGCCGAAAAAGTTTGATTTCCTTCTTCGTAAAGCGTTAACCATGAGAACAATTTTAAGAAAGACAGATGACAAAGTGCGGCCGGCCCTGATGTTTTGTTTTCGACCCAAGGTCAGGAGAAAACAGTTTTGTTTGTAACATAAATTTCTTTTGATCGTGTTTGGTCGCGCATTTCCTAAAAAGCTATTTATGTGCAGTGTGACACACTTGTAAACAAAGAAGCTTACACAAAAGTTCTCACCGATATAATTAAGTGGCTAGCTTTTGTTGTTCGCTTGAGCATAAATATATAGAGAAGAAAAGTTGAAAATTGTTAATTGACTGCTCATTAGCGAGTAATAAAACATGATGTATCATACACGACTCGTTAACAAAACGCAACCTTTTACTCTTTGACTTGAGCAGGACAGATTTTTGCGTTTGCTACGTCCACTTTCAAATTGCAGAATTACGATCAGCTTATTTTTTCATCTTGGTCCAAAACGCTTCTTCATTATAGTACTTTTCATGAGCCCTCCGGAAATAAAGGTTATCCCTATTTGAACATGTTTTTTAATTCCCATATCACAGTGAGTTTTCAAAAACATCTTTAATGAAGGAGCACTTATTTCTGCACTGCCCATCTTTTCGTTGAACACGATCCGCACCTTATTAGTCGTTTTATGAAGAGCTTACCAAAGCCAGTGACTTCAGCTGATGGTACATCTTAAAATTTAAGGACACAGAAAATTACAACTTTCTGCAAAAAAAAAAAAAAACATAGCAAAACAAAGGAAAAAAGACATAGCAAAACAAGATAAACTGCAAGCGCATGTGTCTTCCCAAGAACCTTGAAGAATTTCTCTAATAAAGAAAAATTCTGGGCTTAATGCTGGGATTAAAGATAGAAAAGCACCTTGTAAGAAACAGGGTAGGTTTTTAGTTCGATCGTCGAATGAGGTAATTCGTGAAGCAAATGTCGCCGGCCATAGCTCACCAGATCACTTTTATACAACCAATAAGCTGTCTTGGCGTGTGTGCAAGAGAAGGGGTACGCGCAAATTACTTCCCTCTAATAGATGTGACAACTGTCTATTTGTATTCTTCTTGATCCCGGCGTGGGTATGATACGATTAACAGAGGGTAAGAAGTTTGCTCTTTCAATCAACGAAGAGCCCATATGCTTTCTCAATTTGTAACTTGTACAAGACTGAATTAACTGAAAATTTTGTTTTGCCATTCCCTTAATTAGAGCATTACCATTGAATGCGTAAAGTAATAACACGATAGAATTAGCATAGGTTTGAATGTATATCAGTGTGGCAGGAGAACTCATCGTGCGCTGACTTTCGATTTTTAAGATGTTTGCTCCACCCACAATAATCTCAGTCGGTGCTTACAGTTCAGAACGCTTAATGATAAGATCATCGATTCTGTCATTGTTTCATTCCGACTCTTTTATTTTTACATTATCCTGATATCAACTTTATTTTACTTTAGCAACTCCGCAAAGAAGAAAGAGAAAGGAGAGCAAAACACGCCGACAACGCACTACCTTCACCAGCGAGCAAACTCTCAAGCTTGAACTTGAGTTTCACCAAAACGAGTACATCACTCGATCAAGGCGTTTTGAGTTGGCTGCCTGTCTAAACCTGACTGAAACACAAGTCAAAATATGGTTCCAAAATCGCCGAGCGAAAGACAAACGCCTAGAGAAAGCGCAAATGGATCAACAGTTGAGAATCGCAAGTTACGCGGCCGGAGCAGGGATCACATACCCGCCATCTTATTTCAATTATTATTCATCCCACTATTACAAAAACAACCCCACTCAGGTCGCAGGCAACATCACTCAAAGGGTTGTATAAACAGAAATAACTTTTTGGAAGTGGGGCAGAATTATTTATTGTTGTGCAGACTACAGAAATGAACGTTTAAACGGTTTTCAAACATCTACACCCGTAACTGACAATTTATATTCCACTGGCAAGTGTTAATCAGTGTAAAAAGATTCCTAATACCTACTTTGCATGCGCGAGAATCTATAATTTCAGTCACTTTACAACCTTAATACAAGGTGCCTGCTTTTAATTGCGTGAAACGTTCTCAGACACAGAAAATTAAACAATTTTGGCTGCGCAATTGTTGTTTTTTATCTAAGGGAGTGTTTTACTCTGAATTCAAAACATTTTGTTGATTAGAACGATCTAGTTTGATTTACGTGATATAAAACACTCAAAGAACCTTCTAAATGAATTGTACATATAAATGTTATATTTAGGTTTTCTGGACTATCTTGTATGGTGAGATATGTCGCTTTTCATGCGAGAGTTGCTTGTAAACTACTCGAATAACTTCAAGCTCCATTTGTAGACGTAACCAAGGAAGACTGGCTGAAATATGTATATTCGAGTTTTCCTGGAAAACTACCCCTTGTTATTACATTTTCTTCTAATTGAAGAAATAAATGATCAGGTAGCCTCAAAGAACCATTGTGTTTTATTGGGTTTCCATCATTCATTATCATCATTTATCTATTGCGTGCGACGTAGGAGAACGCTTATTTGACCCTAACCCTATGTCGTTTTGAGTCCCGCGGGTTTTATGATATCCGCGTGTATCGATCCGAAGCGCGACCGTTTCAGCTTTTCGACGCCATCTTGGACTGACTGACACAAATGACTTCGATCTCGGGTATCAACCCCTCTCAATGTGAATCGCTGAATCAAGCTGGCAAAGTAACGTTCCGTGCGTTGACTCGCGTCGGTCTGGATGTTACGGAAAAATATGTAGATTAATAATGTACATGAAATAATTACGCCCTTCTGATTGGCTGAAAACGAGCGCCTTCTCATGTAACACGAGTGCGAATTACAAATAGCGCGCACACGCTTTCAAAATTTGATCTGTCATGAGTTTCTAGGATGTTTTTTCATGTACGTTATTAACAAGTAATAACATGATTTATCTTACACTAACCCACCAAATTGCACTCAGAATCATATACTACCTATACAAATTGCACCCATTTGATCGAACGACCTGAATTGTTCCAAATTAAGACTGTGGGCTGTGCTATCATCTGAAGTTCGCAGGTTTAGTATACCCAGGATTTTATTACGCCCATACAAAATAGCCATTCTTAGGCTGGATCGAACCTAGCTCATTAATCCATGATTTTACTAGTTTTGCAATATTATCAGTAGTTTTCATCATGTCGAGGAGCCAGACGAGGCAATAAACAAAATAATTACAAATAAACAAACACTGAAGAGAAGAGAGAAAAAAAGGAAAACAGAGACCAAACAAAGAAATTCACACAACAAAAGAAAAGTTCCCCCTTTTTATTAATCCCCTTGACGTTGAGCAGAGAGCCTCCACATTAAGCACCCCGATCTAGTTTTCCTCAATGTGTCGCAACATATCGCACGTAACCTATTCCTGGCTACTTGCATTTGTTTAATTTTCTTCGCTATACCTCTGCGTTATTCCATAGATATAATCATTTTATCAAGAGAAGAAATTTAGATACTAGGTTAAAGACACCTTTCACTAAATTGTTTAGCGAAAAACTAGAAAGAATGATGCGACGCAAATTCATACATAATGTGAAAGCTGTTATGAAAATGTGGCGGCGGCGTTTTATTTTACCGACATCCTGTCAAGTATCGGCATAACCAGTCTCTTCTCTGTTAAACAAAAGTCTCAGCACAAAACGTCAGCTTTGAAACTCTTTACGGTGGTTAATTTACGTTATCAACTCAGTTGATAACACTAAATTACCCAAGATTCAAAAGGACAGGCTCGATCTGTACAAGGTGCCACTGCAACAACAACGCACGGGCGCCGAACCAATAAATTTGTGCTATAACTAGAGAATGAAGATTGGAGACCGGGGTAATCCCAGCTGAAGGAGCCATTGAATTCTTGTTCTGATTTTGATATAAGGAAACTCTTAGGGGAGCCACATGTTGCCACCAAAAGTTCGTTTTTTGTATCTTATTTTCCTTCTCTCAACCGACCGCTTAATACTAACAGGGTGCCGATGCCGCTTAATTTGAAACAGGTTACACTATATTTTGGGACATAATGATGTGTGATCTACTCTACATAGATAATTTCGTTATCTTCTACAATCTATAGCGTCATGACGAGTTGTAAAAAGTTGTTTTAAAAAGAATACAGTCTCTTACTTCAATCAAATTCCCGTTAGACCATTCCAGTTCAGTTAAGTCTAACTAACAACAATAAAAGTAAAAAACGACCTCCATAAAAAAGAAAGTTTTGGGGTACAAACAGCAAATTATTTGATTTTTTGTTAAGATGCTTAATTTAAAAAAGATCAATTTATATGTAAATGATCGGATATGTTTTCTTTAACTCAAAGTTAAGATGGTCTCAAGAGAATGGGTTCTACCTGCTACTGAAAAAGAGTGATCTGAGGACTGATGTCCCACTTCTTTAACCCGCAGTTCAAATACATGATATTCATATATTCATGGTAATTAATCAATCACTTCTCGAGTTCATTACGAAACGACAAAATGACCGGCTCCGGTTGGCTTGTTGGCTCCGGTTGGCTTGTTAGCTCAGTTGGCAGAGCACTGTACCGGTATCCCAAAGGTCACGGTTTCAATAAACTCCCTACCAGGCCTGAATATTTTTCAAGCTTTATTTCAACTACTGCTAAAGTAGTGTTTATTGCTGCGAAGACTATTCTTATCTGCGCTTATTAACCTGCAGTTCAAATACAGAATATTCATATATTCATAGTCAACCAGTTTTGATAATGTTGGCAAACATGACATCAAAGTTAAATGGAACACGGCCCATGTCGAGCTGCTTTAACCCCTCAGAAGTGAGAATTAGGAAGACCATCATTTACTGTCTGATATGTGCAGTTTCGTTAGTTGGAAATAGCTTCATTGGAATAGTTGTCTTAAAGATGAAAGCATTGAAAAGGCCCATAAGCGTTTTCATTGTAAACATGGCCATGTCAGATCTATCGTTCACGATTTTCCTGATACCAAAGCAGTTGGTAAGTTGACACATAGCCGGCACCTGGTTGATCAGTGGTCCTCTTGGCAAAGTGTTGTGTAAGCTGTATTTCTTCTCAGTAGAGGTCTCCAATGTCGTTTCTATACAAACCCTGTTTCTAATCGCTGCAGATCGGTTTGGAGCTGTCTTTTTTCACCTCCGTTACCCAGTGATCAGTTCAAAGCAGTGCCGTTTCTTCATTCTCGCCACTTGGATCATCGCAATGGCCTTTAACTGCCCAAATCTGATTTCCTTTAAACTTGTCCGGAATCCAAAAGGTCTAGCGTGTAAGCCGAAGTGGAGTGACGCATTTGGAGGGTCCTTTTCTTATGAAAGCTACGCTTCAGCAAGATTCACTGTATTCTGGCATGTTCCGTTGGTGTTGATTTCCGTTCTTTATGTTGCAATCGCTTTCAAAGTCAAATCCCAGAAAACTCCGGGCGAGGAATCAATCAACTCAAGAGAACAGCGTTTGAGGAGAGAGAAGAATGTTCTGAGGATGTCTGTTGCTATCGTGATGACGTTCGCAGTGTGTTGGCTGCCGATCAGTATCTCCCAATTGCTGCGTTATCATTCATCTAGCAGCACTATGATATCTTCATGTGCCTTCCAGTACATCATGATTATTGCCGTTTTTCTAGCTTCATCAAACTGTGCGATAAACCCCTTCATCTGTTTTCTCTTCAGTGAAAATTATAATGTAATGAGAAAACTGGTATAGCAACTGTTGACGCGCTGACGTATTTGTCTTTTAACTCTAAGTGGATGAAAAAAAGTTATGTTACCACCAAGGCCAGAAATACCTTGGACAGAAATGCTTTGGAACTAAACGAATACAAAAGCGATCCTCGCAGTTATGAACACAATTGAACTAGTGGTTGAAACAAGGCCTGAAAAAAAATTGAGGCCCGTACGGGATTTGAATCCATGACCTCTGTGATACTGGTGCAGCGCTCTACCAACAGAGCTAACAAGCCATTATGTTGGATTCCAATAAACCTTCTAAGTGATGAATAATTTTTTTATAAAGGGTTTATTAAAAGTATTCAAAAATAGCACCCCAGTGGTGAAATACATGTGAATTTACAAGTATACTTTAAATATTTAAAAAATACGACAATCTTACATTTGACTTTAAAATTAAAAGTCTAAGGGGACTGGGAATTACAAGAGTCAGTAGTTATATACCAATAAAAAACGCTTAGGTTTGCTTGACTACAAGAACTGGGCGTTAGACGCCATTGTTGGAAAGAAAGATTTTTTAAATCTTTCGGTCCGGCATTTAAAGAGTGATACATGGTTTTTGTTGCGCAACTCATAAACGTGGCAATCGGCGCGCTTTGGTGGAATAAGGTGGTACAGCCGTGACCCAGGCACACAGATACCGTCCCAAACTTTCTTGCAGAGTTCGTCTCTTCTCACATTTAAGCGAGTGGAGTTTGCAGCCACAATGGCGTCTTTGTAGCTCAACGCCGGAAATAATATACGCAGGGCTCTTTTCTGAACTCTTTCGATCATGTCCTTGAGGTAAATTGGTAGGCTAGTAGACCAAGTGACGCAGGCGTATTCGAGGACCGATCGTACCAAGGCATAAAATATGTTAATAAGGTCTTCGGGTGGAATTCCGGACCGCTTGAGCACTCTTAAGATGTAAAGACGTTTTGAGGCTTTGGAGACAATCTCACGCACGTGCTCATTCCACCCAAGAGTGTCGCTGATAGTGACTCCAAGGACCTTGTGTGAGGAGACCCGTTCTAAGGGACGTAAATGACTGTAAATATATGAAAATCATATAAGTGCACCACGGTTGAAGAAACGAATTCAGAAGTGATCTTCGCAGTTATGAACACTTCTGAACTAGTAGTTGACATAAGGCCCGTACCGGATTTGAACCCATGACCCATGACCTCTTCATAACTGCGAGGATCACTTCTGTATTCGTTTCTTCAACCGCAGTGCACATATATGATTTTCAGTCATTATTCACCACTTGGAAGGTTTATTTGGATCCAGTTAGTAGAGCGCTGCACCAGTATCTCAGAGGTCATGGGTTCAAAACCCGTACAGGCCTGAATTTTTTTCAGGCCCTATTTCAGCCACTAGTTCAGTAGTGTCAATAACTGCAAGGATCACCTCTGTATTCGTTTCTTCAACCGCAGTGCACATATATGATTTTCATATATTTACAGTCATTATTCAGCGCTTTGGAACTATTTTTCGACAACAATTGAGTAAGAAACTTGAAATACTCACTTATTAGCGGAAATGGCAATTTGTAATGAGTTTCTGTTTGCTTTTAAAAATGTAGATTACTCTGTTGCCAACCAGTATATCACGAAAAAAATTGATTTAACATTCTATACTAATTTTTTTCCGCGGCAATTGAAAGCTAACTTTGCTGAAAAAAACTAAGAAAACCAAGCATGGGAGGAGAAGAAGAAAGAAAGAGGTTTAAAATATATGTATATCTCCTTATCTCAGATTTCAAACAATTCTTCACCGACTTACTCATGCAAATGCTAAAATTGGGTAAAAAATTACCTCCTCTCCGAGGACATTCTAGACATTTTTGCTTTCTTTTTTGCAAGTGACTGCGTGTATCTATCCTTATCGAGAATTTAGCAGTAAGTAAGATGTTATATTCCTATCAAAACCATCAACGATATGAAAAATTATCAAGTTATTTAGTCCTACAAATCATTCAGTCGTCTAAAATGATTACCAAGCTTAACAGCTAATTAGCCATCTTTGATATGATCACTGGGTGGATTTTTTTATAGTAAAAATAACTATTCGCATTAACCAAACAAACGGAAACTTTTTGTTAAGGACCAATGTTTGTGGACGTGTTCATAAATAGCCACTATAACATAATCAATGCCATATAATGCGAGCTACAGAGTTGTTGGGAAAATTGCCTCCTATCTCCGATGCCGATCAATATATTCCGCGGTAAGCCCTTTTAAAATAAAACGCTATAATTAACTTAATTAAGGTACAATGTTCCAAGCAATCTCCTTCTTTCCCTTAAGGGTGGACAAAGCCTTAATTGAATTTCCACAGTTATTTGACAAATTCAGAAACCCAACATCTGCAAAGAATGCTGTCACCAGCTAACGACAGGTTTATTGGCATCGGCAAATTGAAAAGAACTTGATTTCCTGTCTATATCTGGGTCGTTACACTAAACCTGCGAGCACAATAAAACTAATTTTTACAAAGCCCACGCCTCAGATTTGCATGAAAATTAAACGAGACTAAAATTGTCCCTTTGTTGCCGTGATTGTTCAAGGAAATGTTAAGCCTGGGAGACTGCAAAACAAATAGCTTTTGTGTAAGTCCTCTAAATACGGCATCCAACATTTACAGTGTGTACTTTGAAATGTATACACGCGGCTATAGTTTTTATTACCAAAGGCTTCGCTGGAGTTTGATTGCTCTTAAAGTTTCGCTCTCGATCGCGGATTGGCGCATCGTTGACAGCTCACAAAGCTATTTATAATTTCGAATCTCGTTAATAGACCTGCACACGAACTGTGCAAATTAAAATGTGAAAAGGCTTTTGTTCGTTTGTGTACTGGTAGTATTTTCTAAGTTTGATGGTGTAACAAGCTTCATTTTTACCCCCCAAACAGATTGCGATTAATTTGTTAATCTCATTTGACAATGCCTGACATCGACAGGAAAAGGTGAAAATCGTCACGGCATGCTTTAAATCGGCCTGTTTACTGTGGTTTTCTAAATCTCAAGGCCAACACAAGGTGTTAGCGAAACAGTACATGATAATCCTCGAAACCTGATATATCTGTAGCGCGATTAAACTAAGCGTTTGTTTTTGATTTGTTTCTAAAAAGCTTTTGTGGGTCAGAATGGGAAGGAGACAAATTGGATCCGAGGCTTTATTGTTCAATAACAGTGGAAAACGCTGAATCGATTGATATCATCATAGATACCTCAGAGCGCAACAATTGAAATTGTGATGTGGGCGATTAGTACTTTTGAACAAATTATATCGAAATTAATTCTAATTAGGGCGTGATTGTTCCACTTTGGCCTTCATTCAACCTTCATCAGCTTTCATTAACAAAAGATTAGGAAGTAATTGTCGCCGTCGCTGCCAATCACAGCAGGGAAGAGTAATTGAATTTGCGAACAGTGTGTGAATAAGAGGATAGATGGAATAACATTAAGTGACTGTAGAACGCTTCATAAAGACGACAACGGCACGTCAACACGAAGACGACCTAATTCATGCGAAATGCAGTGAATATCTTCACGAAATATCCAGTCTTGGAAAATGCAACATAGATCGTTTCGAATTGAAGACATCTTAGGGGAAGATTCTCCCAAAGAGACGACAAATAAGAAACAAAAAGAAGAAGTGCAGATGACAGTTGTTCGAAGGCCAATTTTATTGCCAAGAATTGAGCCTGTGGCTTGGAACCATCGTGTGAATAATTGCTGCAACTCTTTTTCGATCTACGGACACCGTCCTGAACCGAAGGCTTGTTCATCACCGTGGCATTATCATAAAAATGTGCACGGATATCAAGGTGAGTGAGGGATGCTATTGGTTCGTGCCTGTATTCTATACTGGCCATCCTACTTTACCAAATTTAGTTTTAGATTTTAAACTTCTTCACCTTTTACACAACAGTTTTGACGAATCAATCTGGCATAATTTTATGGATTATCGAGAATCCTTTAGATTCTGAGGAGTATTAAACTGTAGAAATATCATTGTGTCACAGCTAGGGCCTAACGAAAGTAATTAGACGAAAGTAATAAAGACGTACCTGGAACCTGATTGGAGAGGGCATAAATGATATCTTTTGAAATCTTAACCTGCAAAATCCAGAAAATCTGCAACGATTTTTTGCCTAAGGTTGTAACAAATTCGCTATGAAGTGCAGGGGAAACATGAATTTGCGCTCGAATGCCATTAAAATCAACTTAAATAAATTCCAGTCATATTGTTAGATATGACAAGATGTTTGATGCAAACGTCCCTGTCTTTACGTAAAAGCCCCGATAAGCTAATTCACGTTTTGTATGTATGAGTTAAAACCAGCATGGATAGGTTTAGGTCATCAGGTAATCTCTTATTTACCTCCACGTTTGGCCCCATTTAGAACAACAACAAAAAAACGTGGCATATGTTCCATCTATGTAGATGTTTGGTTCTGGTAAATTGGTGCAAGTAAAATGATCAGTTGATAACTGCATTGTTCATCACTAATATACAAAATTTCTGTTCTCAGTCTCGGTCTTTTAGCGTAATGTCGGCTGACAAAGGGGCACGTTTTTCTTTGCTCTAACAACTTAACTTCATTATGTCTCTTTGGCTTAGATTAGGTATTAAGCAGGGTACTTGTCTTGAAAACCACTTGGTTATTTAGACGATGTTTCTGTTGACTGATTGAAAAAAATACTTTCCTTTCGGAAAAAACATTCCGAATTATTCGAAAAGGAGTCGAACCTTGAACCTTCCGATCGATAATTCTTCGGATTCCTAATAACTGAAGTGTGGGAGACTTGATAAATATTACAGACAATCAAAAAAACAATACAGATAGCCACAAGGTTTTTATACCGGCCTTATAACAAGTAGGAAGGAGACAAGCTACATTTTAGTGTTCGCTTTCTTGGATAAACTAGCCTAAACAATCCATTTTGAGCGAGCGTTCAAAATCCTTTGCATTGAAACATTTTCTCGATTTGATAGCAAGAAAATGGCATCGTACAAGTGTCCGCTTGTTTCTTGTCGAGGAATTCTCTATACTGATGTGAACCCCTTACTCCGTAAGAGTGACTAGCTATGGCAACTAGTATGTCTTTACAGTTAAATTTCTGGATCAAACATTAAGGTCATGAGGATAAAGCCAATGATCTCCAACTAAAAAGGGCTTATGTTTGTTGAACAAATTCTCCTAATCAGTACCATTGGAAATGTCTAAATAACGGTGTGGAGAACACGCGTACTGATCTTAAGATGCAAGGATCAAACGATAAATCCAATTCCAAAAGCCTAATTTATGTGATTCCTGCACAATGTCATTACATTGTCAAGGACAAGTTTCTTTGATTTAATTCCGGCATGAAGCTGGATATGAGCCTTATCCTCACTCGAAAAGCTTTCAAAAGCTGTTAATAATATGTTTATATCGACCACTAATAATTTAACTTGTTTCCAGCCCTCAAGAATCCCGCGTATTTAGGCTAAAACGATCCTCATCTCGCCTCAAGTTGGTTTTAAGGTAATTAAGTCACAAAACGCACCGTGTCTTTGGAGACTCGGGCGGTTTGAGTTTTAAGGCTAAACGTTACTTTACACGTTATCATATCTTTCCATTCAACAGACCCCTCTCATGATTTTTTCAACGCAAGAAATTTCACCATGAATGGCAAACAGCGACGACCTCGCACAGCTTTCTCTAGTCACCAGCTCCTCACACTTGAACGCCATTTCCAAGCTCAGAAATACTTGACTCGGCCGCAACGATACGAGCTCGCTACCAGTCTCATGCTAACTGAGACCCAAGTCAAGATATGGTTTCAAAATCGCAGAATGAAATGGAAAAGATGCAGCAAGAACATAAATGGGCGAAAATCGATGAAAAATAACGCAGAAGTTGTCACTAGTAGTTCGATGACATAGAAATCAGGGGATTGATTTTTCTTTTATCACAGCTGATGAACTAATGCTGTAAATATTTCATGACATTATTTTGCGTCATAGAATTGACTGTTGTTGCCAAGAAACAAAATTAAATTGCTTAAGGCTAAGGTTACTCTAAAGGATATATTACCATGAAATCATACTGATAATACCCCTGCTTATAACTGAGTCCACCCCATACCACCCACCCTCAGTTTTCGTTGTGTTATCGATATGGAACAGGGAAAATTTCTCGCTTCAATAATACAAATCTGTTACTTCCGTTTCAGTTAAATTACAACAGTTATTACTTGGTTACTATGTAATGAGCTTAATCAAACCAGGTGAAAAAGTGTATGCATTATGAGCGCAAACAGTCGGAATGAAAGACTTCTTAACTCAATGATCCGAGTTACAAAAATATGTACACAATGAAGTAAGCTATAAATAAATAAGGGAGTAAGCTTCTAAAGAAACTGAAGTGCTGTGTTGGTTGGGGAGAAGAACAAGATGATTTGGTTTTTCAACTGAGTTGATAATTTAAATTGGCCACCGTAAAAAGTCAGTCTCTAAAGCTGATGTTTCGAGCGTTAGTCTTTCGTCGATTGTTCAGAGGGAGGGCTAACGACGCTCGAAATGTCACCTTTGAAAACCCCTTACAGTGGACCAATATAAATTATCAACTGAGTTGATAAAGGCAAATTGTCTTTAAGTAGGGTACAGTCAAGTAGCCCTGACTTAAAATCATTTTTTGTTTTTCGCGACACAATGAGCATGACTAAACTTAAAATTACAGTTCTCGTTTATTTAACGTCTTGCTTAGACTGAGATACAGGTAAAAACTTATCAAACCAACAATGAGATAAAAAAAAGAAATAGAAATGAAATTTTAAAAAATTGTGACTGAAAATTTTCCACAGTGCTTATGTTGTCTGTGGTGTTTTTTATTGATCTGATGTTCGTTTTAATTGCCCCACTCAAGCACCAGCCTATGGGCGATACCTTTCGGGTCCAGGCTAATTGAAGCAATTGTAATAAAGAAATCTGTTACTGTTGGGTCCACGAAATCGTGTAAAAACGTTTTCAGTCGAATTTCAAACACCTAAAACGGGTTCTATTTGCTTACGTAAGCTTAACAATTAAGAAAAACAGGAATGACAAATGTTATAGGTCTGAGTATCTTTAAATACTTAACTTTCCTTATGTCATATATTCTTGCCAATCAGTTATGTACTGGACTTACAAGGCACTGTACATTACTGCAGGATTTTTTTAAACGGGCGAACACACAAGTTTCTGAAATATTTTCATAAATTGTCTTTTTTAGGTGTCAGCACAAACTTTCTTTCTCTCCCATAAATCACGTACCTTGAGGTGCGGTTCACTTGACATCTATTGCGACACTGTAACTAGTTACACGTCACAACCGCGTGAGATGGCATCGCAATCCAGGATTTTGTCCCCTGGCGTGCGGGGTGTGATGCACCTTTCTTCCGAATTAAAAATATAAGCTAATTTTTCTCAAAGGCTTGCATGTGGCTTTTCCACTTTTTGTGAATCTTGCTCAACTGTCACACCACTGAAGAAACCAGAAGAGTATCGCAAACTCTTCTTACGCTGTGAAATCGACTCTCGGTCGGACTTTCCGAATTCTTCTTCGAGTCTTCGGCGGGAACGACGTGACTTACGTCGCGAGGAGTCCAGGGCTGTGTCCCTTGAACCGTAGAAGTGATCTTCTTCGAATGGAGACTTTCTCTGTAACAAATAAGATTTGAAAGATTGTACAAAGATAGAAAGGTATTGTAACTGAATATCAGGGCCTGGTATGGGAATCAATACCCAAATTTAATGTATGTAGCATGCAGTGTATCTTACATAAGCCATGGCTTGTGTAAGACGAAGGTCTTGGGAAAGTCCCGAATAAGCCGTAGTCAAGGAATCATTCGTGTATAGAGGTTTATTTACGGATAAAATCGACAAACTCAAACTTCACGGCGGCACAATTAAGTATTTTAACATTTTTTAAATAGAATAAGAAAGATGACAAGTTTTGGGCTCTGTAAAGAAATACAGAAAGATGTTTTTCGTCTTGTCATGGAACTCAGAATTTTTTCGTCGTCCCACGCTCGTGACAAGACGAAAACATCTTTCCCTATTTTACCACTTGTTGGTAAAGCATGGCTTTCCCTCTCGCGGCGAATCGTAATTTTGGTTGAATGGATAAAGTATATCAGCAGTGGTATCACGTCAAATACTCTATTTTCTAACTGCATACAACTACCTTGTTGTCGAAAGGTCTCTGACGCTCTCCAATCTTGTACGGTGGTGGTGATTCCGGTGATTCTGGTTGATGGTACCCAGAATGCATAAGGGGCTGTCTCTCAGGGATCTGTTGTAGCCTAGAGTGACTCGACAACAAATTGTCGGCACTCTTACGCATGCTCGTCTTGGAATATCTTCGTTCTCCCATAGCCATTTCCGGTTCCTCGGCTCCGTCCGGACGCCGATCGCGATCGCTGGTAGATTCAGAAGCGACCAATGAATAATACGATGAGCTTCCTTTTCGGTTCGGAAACGATTGTAGTTGAATTACATCACCTCCAGGAGAGTCTGGAATCGGTAGACCTTCGATTTTCCTAAAAAAAAAAAAACAACTTGCTGACAAATGCTAGGTATCACCGAAACTTTAAATTAACAGTGGCAAGGTTGTTATGCTCACTTCGTATGAGTTACACATCGTGTTTTTGGTAGATGATAGGTAAAATCCTTTGGAAAAGCATGACCGCCATAACGTATGCGCAATTCAGAATATAGTTTTTGCTAGAGCACGTCTGCATTTTACTTGGCTCAAGTTCTGAGCTGCTGAGAATAACGCTGAACACAAGAAAGTAACTGTACGTTCATGGCAAACCTTCAAATAAGACTTTCGCCGTAATTTTTAAATCACAAATCACAAATCACTTGTTCTGTTCCTACCTTTTAATCGCGGAGTCCATTGGGGCGGGGGTGTCCATAATTGGGGGTGGGTATTCTTCTTTATCGTAAAAGACCCCGGATGTGGTGGAGCCAATACGGGAAAGTCTCTTGGACGAGCCTCGAAGATCCGTGTTGGACTCTTTGATAGAAGGCCTGGTCACTTTGTATTTACCATCCACTGCATTCGCACCGTAATACTGGAAAAACAAACCAGAAAATTTAAAAATCTTGGTTTGACGTGGTCTTTACTCCTCTTGACAACGATATTCGTCATTACAGTGGTCAAAATGTTGTGAACCCAGGAGACGCAGCCGAGTGATTCTATAACAAGCTACAGAAAATTTACAATGTACATTTAAGAAACGAACCAGGAGTATGGTATGGTGTCATCCCCTTGGTTGGGATACAACCTGATCACAAGAAAACCCTGTAACTGCACTCTATTGCTGCGCCTATTCAATCGTAGCCGACAAGCGGAGATACAACACTTCTGGCCAAGGCAGCCCGATATATCTATCAAAACCAGACACATAAATCAAGCGATCAAATGCATCAAACCTGAACTGTGTCTGTGGTACTGTAATAATTCCGTTTTTCCTTGCTCTGCATTCTTTTAATCTGATAGTGGAACGTAAAGTTCTTGACCTAAATGCACAAAAAAAACGACATAACGAGAGCTATTTTAGGTCCCAAAAGTCAAACCAGGGCCCTATAAGGCTTTAAAGGACCAGGGGAGGTCGGAGGATTTTTTTGTGTCACAATAAAATTAACCTGATCCCCCCATAAGGTTCTTTAGTATTCTAATGTCACCCCCCCCCCTCCCTAGCTGGCGGTCAATGTTCTTCAGTCTCCCCTTTTAACCTATGTAGGCGACGACAGATCCCCTCTCCGTTCCCCCCTGAAAATCGTGTGATCCCCCACCAAACCCCTAGCCCCATGCCCCCCCCCCCGCGATGAATAATGACTGGTCTCTAAGGAATACAAGAAAAAATCAACTTACGGTCTGATCCAGGAAACAGTAAACAAGGAGTAAACTTCCCTAAAACAAAATAAAAGGTGTTAATAAAGAATCTGACTTTGCACAATTTAACTTTCGCAGTTTATTCTGACCGACCATAAAAGCGCAATCATGAGTCTTTACCTGCAGTATACATGCGCCCGCGAACAAGTACTGCCACAAGCTCTTCTCGTGATGTCTGACATAAATGGCGGCTACAACCCAGGTTCCCGCGATAGCAATCATGAGGAAAATTAGGAACAAGACTGACAAACTACGGAGAGGAAAACACCGTTAGTTAAAAACATCCGAGTAGTTAATATAGAAAGACAGCATTGAACTTTTGACGATCAGTTGATAACTTTTCGGACTCTTGGTGCAAAAGCTTGGATGAAAAACCGATATGGATCTACATTTTTAGAAACTTCAAGAGGTCGTAAACGTTACTAGTACCCTTGCTTGAGATGGAGATAGTTTTCGAATCAAAGAAAATTTGTGAGCTGGCTATCTTATTCCAATAAACCCCCACAAGTAAAATCAGTGTTGATCATTCGATGAAATGAAATGTTTGGAGAACTAACAAAGTTTTACTTGCATTTGTGAGTTAGTTACGAGGCACTCTGATCGGTTGAAAAAGCTTACGAACGAAGAAATCTGAAGGAAGTAAGAAAGTCGTCGTTCGATTGATGCTTCTAATATCATAAAAATAACCAACAGCTTAATGTTAAACTAACCAGACTTTCCTTCTGTCTTTAGAATCGACAACTCGTCCCTTATAACAGAGAATCATCACTACTAACACGAGAGTAACCTGAAATGGATCATTGTAAACCTGATTTTAGCAGGATTATATCATAAAATAAATACCGAAGAATTTGGATCTTTTTTACTTAATTTTCTTAAAGGATACGATGTAGGTATAGCTATTCGATGTCAAAAAAAAAAAAACGTCTTAAAATGACACTACACGGTCTAAACCTTTTACACTCCAACAACAGTATTCGTATTCTCCATACTGATCTCTTTATATTTCCAATGGAATTAACGAGGAGAATTTGTTACACAATCAATAGCTTCTTCAATCGACGATCATTTCCTTTAGAAGCTTCTCAAGACCTTAATGTTTGATTCAGTCGTGATACTGTAAAGAGGAATTAGATGCTAGTCACCCTTAAAGGGTTATAATGGAGTTGTGTTTCTTCCCTTCTACGCTGTGCGAGATCCCCTTCCAATATGACAAAACAAATTCCACGATGAGTGCAACGATCTCGTGAGTGGCTTACCAAAGTAAATCCAGCGGCTGGACAAACGTATGACCACATTAACACGTGTGAGTAATCTAGCCAACACCTATCCGAAAGGAGATCTTTTGTTAGTTTCAGCCTGGACAGTCTGTGGCTCTTGGGCGCGCGATGGGCGGAGATAATAGTCAGTGGAAGAAATGGCAGAAAAAATGTAGTAAAAAACTGCGAAACTTCCCTTTTGCTAGATATACCCTGTGGGCCGGTTATCTACTTGAGGATTAATTCAAATTATGGTTTTACATAATTCGTGGGTCTCAGGCTTTCTTTACAAGAGGGTTGATTTGATTAAATAAATGTCCTTCCACTGTTAGCTCTCGGCCCTCTTGACACTGTTAACAGATAAAAGGTCCAGCTAAATATAGGATTGTTTAGGACGCGGGTTTGTTAAACAACGGCTCAACTTTGTTTAAATTAACGGTCCTGTGTTTTGTCATTCCGCTTCAAAACCAAACAAACAAATAGACGCAAACCTAACACAAGAGACAAAACATGAAAAAGAGTCGAAATTTTAAGTAAAAGCAGAGAATTTGGTAACTTAAAATGAAGGAAGTAACTGAAATAGGTTTCAATTTTGTTATTTACCGAGGCTCAGTACAGACCTGACAGGACTAAAACTGACATGAAAAAACTAACCATTCATCGTTACCATAACCTTGTAACTGGGTGACGCCGAGAGAGACTCCAACAGCAATCAGTGGAAAAACTGTGGAGTAGATTAAAGGGTTAAAACACAAATACTGGATGACGAAACAGGGAAATGTGCAAGAATAAAGGCATTCGTAGAAATAATTACAGAGGTAGAGTTTTTCGACATTTTTAAATTAACGGCTGTGTACCCTTGGCGCGGCTCACGAAGTTTGCTCGGTTGTGGATAGAAACCTTATATAGTAACAGTGGAGGGGTAAGAACGTTCTAAACACTAATTTTACAAACAATATACCTTAGCACCTCCCCCAGCAGACCTCAGTTTTGGCGTAACATTTTAATTAACAACTAAATGATAATAAATAAATTATAAGAACTAAATCAATAACTAAATTCTATTTTGTCACCATTGTTAAAATATGTAAATGGAAGAAAATTCAGTTTCAACTCACTCCAACCAATGATAAAGAAGAACTTTAGTCTGGTCGAGTTCTTATTTTTTCCTGTAGCAAGAGTCATGAATAGTTGAAGTCCTTCACAAACTGCCCAACAGAACATGGCGATGAAGAAAAACTGAAGTAAAGCTGCTACAATGGTACAGACCGCCTGGAAAGAAAGAAAACAAGATCAGGATCAGTTGAGTAGCAGGTCGAGGGATTGGTCATAATAGTCATTGAAGTAACAGTTTTATTTCGCTGCATATAAAATTTGAGCTGCTATGATCTCGTTAAAGGAATCAAACATGCAGGGAAGCACATGACTGCAAAATAACGGGATGCAAATTTTTCTGGTTTTCCGAACAGCTCGCAGGTAACAATATGTATTCCTAGGAGGAGAGAAGAATCGTAAGAGAGAAGTGTCTGTCTTGTCCAAGAAAAGGACACAGCGAGGTTAAGGTTCGTTCCCGGACTCCTACATAAGGAGATCAGCATACCAGCTACCAGGCCACCTTGTTACCACAAAAGTTATACAATATGACTTTCCTTATACTCACCGGAATTTTCGTCAGTCTGAGCCCACCAAGGAAAAGGGCTATGCCAGCGGCTATGGCCAAACAAAGGTTAATGTGTATAATGGACCGTTCGTAATGACGCTTGCTGAAAATGAGGAAAAACAGACAGGGAGGTTGATCCCACAGAGAATTGAATGAGGAAGTGAGAGCAGACAAGTAATATATGTACACATTTCAGTAAAATTTACGTTTGAGTACTGACCAGTACAGGTAAAGGTGTCGTATCAGTGCCAGAACTACAGCTAACAGCAGCACTCCACAGCCGATGTATATTTTTAGGCCAAAAACTAGTTCCTAGAAAGAACCGAAAGAAGAAAAAATTGAAAGAATGTGTTTAAATCATGCAAACTCTCACCATGTTTTATTTATTTATAGCACTGTTAGAAGACATAGACACTGAGATTAACCGTGGATCGTCTTCCTTTAATTTCTCACGTAAAGCCGCAAAACAAAGACGGAGGTCTTCGTCTCAGTCTCTTAAACTATTTTTTCCATGTGAGTGCACAGCTCTTTCAAACAAATGATTTGTCTTAAAATTTTGTGACGATTTCTTGGCTTTTTTCTTGCAGGAGTGATCTAAATCCTCATTCCCGTTTCCTTGATTATTTTCAAATAAACGTTAAAGCTTTGTTTCATTAACAAAAACATTAAGCTGTTTTGTTAAAAAAAGAAAACCTCCCAGTCCCTAATGAGCGCCCTGTCTCGAACAAGGGTCCTCCCTTGAGTTACCAAAAGTAAATAAGCGCCCCGGGTGCTGAATTGAATCATTACGGCACACCCGAAAGCAACGTTTTACAATTACAGAGAAAAAGTAAGTACTATCAGTAACAGTTTTTTTAGATGAAAAAATAAGCTTTGTGAAATATTGTCAAGAAGTGACAAGCTCAGACATGGCTTACTCTGTCTACTCTACTGAGTAGCGAACTTTGGGTGGCTCTAGACCAAACTCTCTACCCCCTCCCCACCCTCCTGCTACTCGTAACCCGTTAAGTGAATGCGATTGACGCTTACCTTGTCATAGACAGACAGCAAGGCAAAGCTGGTCAGGTGATCACATGCGCATACTGTGCCGTTACTACCGCTGGACAATATTTGACAGCCATCAGATGACCAGCTTCCTCCGAGTTCCTTGGATCTAAGGGAATATATCAAATCATTAAATCACGCTCGTTGTTTCCTTTATACTCTGCTTCAATGCTGAAGATCTTCGCCTCGAAGATACAAGGCATTCGACAGAAAGTTCACCCCACCCATCTCAGTTTGCAATGAGTACGAGGGTTTCATGTTTAAGATTCAAATTGGTGACAGCTACAGGCTACTATGTGTTATTTTATATTATTTGGAGGCAACTTACTTTTCAAAGTCCCAGTAGACGCATTTATCTACTGCTTCCACATCTGATGGCTAGAAAATAGTAAATTAATAATAGTAATAGCAACTTAGTAGTTAATAATCAAGGTCTTTCTAGAGATTTTTTTCCAATGGTAGCAAACAATTAGCGAGTGTAATAAAATAAAATACAGAATAATGTGATATGCGGTGAGAAATGATCCGCTCGAGCTTGGAACTAGAATTACATGAAACAAAACTAGGTGAACAGCGCTTCTGCCAAATTAAAATTTCCGACACAAATTAAGATTGTTTGTGGAAAAAATGTGGTTTCCTCATATTTGTTCCGCTGAAAATAGCTTCGGCAGGAAGGTGGCCGTATGAAAGACCGGTTTTCGTTAAGTTGACTTCGGCTACAATCGTTGAAGAAGTAGAAAGACTACCTTTTTATTCCTTATTGTAATGGTGACAGGCGGGTCCAGTTTCCCCTCGGAAGGAACAGGAGATAAGGAGCTGGACACTATCGGCGAACTCACATCAAATCTGCAAAGCAGTAATATAACGGATTCATATTGCTAAACAACAAGAGAAAATGATGGTCCCATTTAATTCTCCAGTAAAGGTTGAGGTTAGGGTTAGGGATAGAATGAAAAGTTTACAGGCTTACCTCTTTATTCCCTCTCCTCTCTTTGGCAGGAGTTCACCCAAATCTTCGAATAAAAAACTCGTCACTTTAACGGGCAAGTCACCTGAAACAAAAAATAGTATGGAAAAAAAAATATAAGATAACATGACACTGATCTTTACAGTTCAACAAACATGACGAGTTGTTTACAATTTAAAAGTACTTGTTAAGGATGCGTAACCTTTGTACTTGGCAAACAATTCTTGGGGCAAACGAATCTGCGCTGAGCCATCGTTGCTTTGTTTCGAGCTTTGAGGATACTCTACATCAGTCGAAAATTTGTTCGCATCTTTAACCATCACTTTCATTCCTACAACCACAAGAGGAAAACAAAAGTAAAACTTTGAAAAATTAAAGCTTTTGTTCCAGTATTTCAAAGTCCTCAAACCTATCGTAAAACCCGTCGTCGTTTAAGTGAAATTTAAAACCCAGCCTTGATCACGTAATTGTTCCTCTATAAATCAAAAGGACAAACAAGAAGATGAAAAAGTCCCGTTTTTCTTACATACTGAATTGAAGTTTAAAGAAAATGTCATATTCTGTTCACCACTTCTCTGTACTCTGTTTCCGCTCGTAACTGAGCGCAACCACAATCAACTGAAGATATTTTAAAGGACTAAAAATGTTTCACCCAACCGTTTTATTGCCATGCTCACCAATATTATTCGTTTTAATATCAACACTGGTATTCTCAGAGCTCTGTTCCTCCAGATCTGAGGCGAGCTTCATAGAAAACTTGTCTAGTAACGCCATTACCTCAGTTACGCCCTTTGAGTCCTGTAACAATAAAGAATTTGTTTGCTATTTTGAGGAGCTAGGTCATGTAAACAAGCAGAGCGTGTGAATATCATTATCTACTGAGACCTTCACTTGATTCATGTGCGTTAAAAGCGATCCTTTATCTTAAAAATCACCTAGCCTCGTTTAGAAAAAAGTTTCCAACATCTAAGGTAACCCATGTTCCTTGTCTTTAGTACACTACTTTTTCGACAGGATTTTGTTTTGTCTCTCTATTAGAGTGGAAAAAAGCTTTCTCAGTGCAGAAATAGGAAGTTACTGCAGCTCTGTTAAGATCTCGGAACTAATTTTTATTCAGTTAGTCTACGTACCTTTTGCACTTCACTCCATTGCTCTTTATTTTTCTTATCCAAGATGTGACTAGAAATTTGAATGACTTGCTAGAAAAATGGTGATAACAACAACATTATAATCAAGGTACCGGCGACACATATCACATACAGGCCTAACATATCAAGCTGTAAATTAGGAAACATGACGAATAAGCAGCCATAGTGTTAGAGGAAGAAAAACGTATAATTTTCCTTACTGCATACGAATACAATTAAGTATCAATGATTTAGGCCTAACAAAGGCCGTACAAAGGCCTTCTTTCGGACAAGCTGGGGCCGTCTATCCTTTACCACAAAAATCTGATGGTAAGATAGTTTCCACAACGACACAGTAACAGCCCTATATAGTTCACCTTGGCAGAAGCCATTCGTTGTGTGGAATTCAGATTTGACAGAGCGGTGTCTATCCCCATGACAATCATGACCAGGTCACCCGCCATCGGTTGTCCGGAGCTTGGGGCGGAGGAATTTAGTACAGTAGCCAGTAGATCCTCGGCACTGATATTTTCATCGTTAAATTGTTTAAGCTGTTCAAGAGAAAGGAAGGATTCAATTACAAAAATAAAATTCCAAGAAATTCAGAAAATCGGCTGCACCAAGAATATATAAGTCGACGGGCTTCTTGAGTTTAACGTCTCATTGTAAATATTCTGGTGGGAGATATAAACATTTCAGTGAACTTTTATCGAAAAAAGAATTCTTACTTTTTCGTTCAGATCAGTCATCTTGGCTGAGTACTTCCACACTTTCCCATCTGATCCAGTAACAAGTCGTGTTTTCTGCTCTGCAAATTATATAGATCGACAAATTCATCAATAACTAAACAAATTACCTAATTTTTTGTTTCATGGGTGCTATTTACATATTTTATAAGTATTGTTAAAGCTTGTAGCTGAGTAAATAGCCAGTGATCAGATTTGAGACATATTTCACAAAGAACTGTATGTAACTGTTTTAATTTATACCTTTACATTCCGTTACGCCGTCTCCTTCGAATCTTTCCTTGCATCTGCACGTGAATGAGCCAACAGTATTGACGCAGTCAGCATTCTTGTGGCAAGGAGAGCCCTCTTCGCATTCATTTTTGTCTAATAAACAAGATATTGCTAGTCAAAAGTTGACATAGTGTGACTTCATCTTAACAGTTCATAAGGGAAGTCGATGTTAATGAAATAAGATAAAATGAAGTTGTCATTTGTGATTCTTTCCCACAAAGCATCCAAATTGGTGAATTTTCCCGAGTACAAAACAGTAACTCCATTTACTCTGTGAAACTTATCTGTCGGCTTAAGTAAGTGAGCTTAGTAAATAGTTTATTGTATAGCACTCGGACTAAAACCTTTTCATTTTGAATTTTCCGGCTTTCGCGACCAAAAATACACGGCTTATGACTGTTTCCGTGGAAACAGTCCGTGTGGCAAAATACGAAGGACTAGCTTGCCATATTATTGTATGTTATTGTGAAGATGAAAATATTTCTGTTTGATTGACTCGAGCGGATATTTTCAGCGACATTTCAATTATCTGCGATTCAAGATATGTGTTTCTTCACCTTGACAAGACGGATTAGGAGTACTCCATTCTGTGTCTTTGCCACAAGTTACACTCGACACATCTGAATCCGCCAGTTTATATCCCAAGTCACAGTCGAGCCAAACTGTCTCAGCAATACGATAAGTCGGTTTATTAGGCATCCATTCTCCGTTATCGTCGTCCGATGGCGGTAAACAAACAGCTGAAACAACACCAGGGAGAATCGTGTAAATAGTTATTGGTGAATGCCTTATGGACGAAAGGATGGCTTTTCCGTCTGCCGTTTAAAGAAATCCATGCACATGTCAGCAAAATGGCGTGTGAGAGATGCAAAAGAACAAGTTGTCCATATAGGTATAAACAAAGCGTCTTATTTAGAGAAAGAGGGGTTTTGGAAAGTAGTGCGCTTGTGGCCTAGGGCTAATCAGAGCAGGACAGTGAGAGATAACCAAAAAGACATAGAAAAATAAAAAGAACTGAATGTAGATATGTAAACAGCAGCATTAACAGATGGGAAGGGGAGAAGGAGTGTAAGAGCATAATGGCCTCCGTCATTTTCGGGAAGCTTTTGGAAAACGCGTAACGCCATTCTTGGTTTGGAGTTGCGCTTATTTATCCCCTTACTTGTCTCCCAGGTAAAAGTAATTTAAGGCTCGAGATGCTTCTCAGGAGATATTTTCCTAAATGATACGATTCCTATTTATTAGTGCAGGCTGTCTTCCTCGTATCACAATCTGAGGCCCTTGCTAAGAAGTGCAAGGTGACGAAATCCTAAACCCCTCTTTCGTCCTACAATCTACGAAGAGAATACCGTTGATATTCTCTTGTATCTACCTACCAGTGCAAGAAAATCCATCACCAGCATATCCCCTCGTGCATTCACACCTGTATGAGCCCAAAGTGTTCACACAGCGGGCTTTGTCATGACAACTTCGAAGCTTGGTGCTATTCTGGGTACTTGACGGTAATGAAAGGATCGCACATTCGTCGAGATCTGGCCGGAAATAAACATTTGAAACGTGATTAAAAGTTTTATCTTGTTAGCCTCTACACAGCCATTTACCTTTTAATATGTTGTAAACTTTTCTGAAGCATTTAAACTTAAGTGACAGGAATTTGCGCAGAAGCATTTTTAATCTAGATGTGGCTGTAATAAACTGACCAAGGGCCGGCAATGAGTGAGGAGCGACTGAGAGCATTTTGGTTGCCTTTGTTAAGAACTGAACGTACTACATTGAATTAAGTCAGGCTTAGGGTGGCTAGGGAAATATATGGCGTACAACTGTTAGCCCGAAAACCTGAATACACTCCATGGGAATACCACTTAATTTTTCCCAATTGTAACATATCCCCTGTCTCCTATTCGCATAAAATTGATTGACCCTGTTTCATACCGTTACATTGGGGAAAGCGTTTGTTCCAATTCCCATCTGCCTTGCAAGAAAGATTTCCATCTTGTTTTTTCTCAAAACCTGGCTTACAATCCACGATGACCTTTTCTCCAACAGCAAAGAACTTGCGATCTGGTCGGTGAAATGCATTGGGTTGAGAATCAATTCTACAGGCAGCTGAAATGCAAATATGAAGAACTTATAAATTCACCGTAAGACAAGGCAAACGTTCTCATGCATGCATATTAAGACAGATCACCAGTGTTGACCGACCGACCGACCGACCGACCGATCGACTATCTGACTGATTGATTGAGTAACTGGGTGACTATCTGACTGACTGACTGACTGACTGGTTGATTGATTGCCTCAGTTATAACAAATGAACTTACTGTAGACACTTATTGTAATTTTAGCTGCGGCCGTCTTCACAATGTTGGTTGCTGAGCAGGTGTATTGACCTTCATCAGACTTTTGGATGTTTCTGAGTAATAGGCTGCCATTTTTTAACTGCTCTGTTGGCGTTTGCGCGGAACCAACTTTGGTCCACCTGATGGTTGGCACAGGGTCCCCAACGGCTTGGCAGTTGTACACAGGAGAGCTCCCTGATGGTTCCGCTGAGCCAAGAGGCTGGATTGTGAATATAGGGGGAACTACATGAAAGATGTAAGTTTAATATCAGTTTAATATTTATTTATTTTAAAGTTTAATATAAGTGGTATGAATAATTTGAAAAGTGGATAGCTTTAAGCAGGACATTTTTCAAATGAACATTCAGAGTGATCCGGAATTGCACTGGATTCGTTTCCTTTCACTCAGGCAATCACTCAGGGAAATCGCGCCATCCTCTTAACTACTGAAATACAAAACGCAAACCAACCAAGACAAGGTTACTCACGTTTTCTTGACATTGTGGTAGTTTTAATAAGTTTACCATAGAATTTTATCAACTTCCCCTGATTTTTCCCTCGTTTTATTTCGTCGATGTGATTACCTTGGTTTGGGGAAAAAAATTACTGGGAAACTTGGGGAATTAAAGACCAACTAAATTACCGAAAGGCAAAGTTTTTTTGAAGGTGGTTTGAATTCTGCAGCTGTAATTTTTAGATTTAAAGTAAATGTACTGTCACGGTTGCATGACAGTTCAAAGTAGTTCAGTCCCTTTAAGTCCCAAAACACAGAGCACATCCTGATATAACCCTTTACATCTTTAGAACTTACCCAGCACCCGCAGAAAAGCTGTGACGTTGTTGAATCCTATGGGGTTTTCTGCTCGGCAGTGATAAAATGCTTCATCTTTTTTCTGAACACTGCGTATATTCAAAGACCCGTTGGGAAAAATGTTGAACCTATTATCCAACTTAAGTACAGAAGTCGAAGTAGAAGATCCTTTTACGAGTTGAAACCAGGAATACTTTACTCCAAGGTCACTGGTTGCTTTGCAATCAAACATGACTGAATTGTTTACCGACGTTGTCAAGTCGCTAGGACGTTTCACGAAATTAGGAAGCTCTGCAAGGTAATAAAGATCACATGATAGTAAAAATGATGTCCCTTCTTTGTTCTTCATGATTTTCCGCGCTAAGTATAAACCATAACGTCTTTAAAGGGAAAATTTCAGACAGCTATGCTGTCCTTCGTCGAGAACTTGATAAAAAACAAAACTAGTTTTGTTGCAAATGCATCTGCAGACCTGAACACGTTTTAGGTGAGTTGCGCAGTCGAGATAAGACGCAATTTTCATGGATAGAAATTAACAAATGTAAGCAGGTAACATCCTTCTTTCCTAAGTTAAAATCCAGGAAAGTGTTCCTAGAAGAGTGTGCAGAGAAAGATGGCCTGAAAGTTGTTCTAAAACTGTTAGCTGGCTGCTGCAGATCGGAACTGACCAATCACAACTGACGAACATCACTTACGTCCGACAGTCAACAATGTTACAAAACAACTGACGAATTGAGTTGCGCGACCTATTCGTATTATACCCGTCCGACTATTCCCTTAATCCAAAATAAATTGATGTTAGTGCGCGGCGAGGATCTGTGGGAGTGAGGCCTGAGAGTGAGGCACTCATACTGCAACTTTTACAGTATATTTTTCCCTGTCTAACCAACTCCCATGAAAAAAGCTGTTGTGCGTTCTTATAATAACCAATGAAAGTCGTTTACAAGAAGGCTATTAATCGAACGATAAAATTACAAAAAAGACTGTTAACCCTTTACACCCTTACATCAGTATGCATATTCTCCATACTGTTCCCTACACGTATTTTAACTTACTGACAAGGAGAACTTGTTTAAAAATCGAGAGCTTCTTTAGTTGGTGACCATTTCCTTTATTCTCATGACCTTAGTGTGTGACTCAGGTGTGATACTGTTGGGAGAAATAAGGTGCGAGTCACTCCTAGGGGTTCAAGGGTTAAACGGTTGTTCTTCTTACCAGCAACTTTAACTGTTATGTCCTGTAACTTAATCCCTCCAGAATTGACAGCTGTGCAGTAGAAGTCCCCTTCATAACTTTTCTTGGCCTTCCTCACAAACAACGATCCGTTAGAAAATGGCAGAAATTCCAGATCAGGAAGGTGCTCTCCATTAGGCCACGGTAGAGTTTTTGTCCAAAACAACTTTGCTCTTGGATCGGAAATAACTTGACAGTGGATCCAGCCTGGTTTATTAAGAGTAAGGTACTGTGGACTATTCCTCTTGAACTTTGGTGAGATTGGGGAGAGTCCTGTGTGATATATAAAACAAATGCAATTTTTTTCTTTTTTCCTCAAAGTTCGTTTTTTTTTTCGTTTCACCCTTCCTAAAAGGAAGCCGGCCGAGGATCGACAAAAGCTCAGAAGTTTGATTAACCAAATAAAAGTTTTAGCCTCAACTGAAACCACATCTATAATATACTTAGATATTTCAAACACATTACATATGAAAAACGATCATTTGACGACGTACCAGACTGTGTGGTTTCAAACAAATAAGGAGAGCTACAATTAGACAGAATCAAATTTTTTCCAGCATCCACTCTGACACATAATCCGCTGGCTTGATGGCTGATTGCAATAGTACCATCAGGATTCTCTCGTTTTGCAAATGTATCACAAAGTCCATCTCTCAAAGCAAGCTGATCTTTTGCATTCTTAAACACACACTTTCCACTACAGCTGTGAATAAGGCTTCCATCGCGACGAAAAGCCATCATCACTCCCTCTCCCTGACAGAAGGACTGCAAAGTGAACAGAGAACCGTCTGATATTTCGCAAGGATTGGAAATCGTACGTGGAGACCAGCAGTTTTTGGTTGAGCTACTTCGAATGATGACAGAGACGATATCTGTGACGAGACAAAGTACATCATTTGATTAAAAAAATAATTCCAATGTACGTTTCAAGTCGACAGCTCTTTACGCATTGTCCATTTACGCTCCGTTATTCTGTTTGAGTCACTTGCATGTCATCCCGTCTTCACTATTTACCCTATGTAAGCAGTAACGGTTCATTTTCGACGTGGGTCCAAAGGAAGAGAGCTGAATTGAAATCCTGTCTAAGGATACCTGGAATAAAAAACTGGAGGCTTTACGGAGACCACGGTTGAGAACGAACGCTAATCAAGCTTAGCTTTTGGATTCTTTGCGTAAAGGACGAAACGGATAGCCTTTTAATTGCCCTGATCCCTGCTCATCCCAGTCAATGATTATTGAACTGATCAGACCTTCTTTCAAATGGTTTTACCTGTAACACATCCATATAATTCGGCTCGTAAGCAGATTGTGTTTGTAGGACTGCTATACAATCCTGGTTTAATTCTTACATAGCGTGCTCGAAATCTCTGATTAAACCAGTTTGTAACCACATTATGCTGGTCTACATTGCCATCAAATGCCTGAAAATATACATGAAAAGAAGGATCAATGTCAGTATCTAAGAGACTGCACACCTACCCCTCCCCTATTACAAGAACACGGAAGATTAGGTGCACAGTTGCCCAGGTACTATACTTGATAGCTTGATAGGCATACTAATGAATCTTACGTGACCAAAGTGCTTTGGAGAGAGCTCTTAAGTTATTTTTGATATTGTTTTTGATTTTAGTTTTTATATTGTGTTATCTTCAGTAGAGGTCAGACAAGTTATCAAAAATTTGTAACAATCGATTTAGCTGCGTCACGCTCAATAATCTGTTCAAGCAACAGCAATCATAGATATCATCTTTGCTTGAATCTAACAGCTATAACCATGTACCATCCGGTAAGTTGTAGAATTATCTAATCGAAACTGAATGACCTCATGGGCTTTACATCTTAAAGATTCTTAAACTTCTCCTCATCATTGTCTACCAGGTTTCAGATCCCTTTTCATCCAAACTTACTCCCAACCATTTCAAGTCTCTCAACACTCACCCTGTCATGTCCAAACTCCTTGTAATCCTTCCAGTTTGTTCCATCCGTACTGTGCTGAATGGAATATTTTACTACCCAGTTAGGCGCGTCAATTTGTCCTTGGGTGGCCACACCCGACAATGTCATCTCTTTGTTTAGATCAATCTGAAGGTATTGGAACTTGTCAGATGACTGTGCACACCAAGCCCCACCCATGGCCCCAGAAGGCTTATTATTCAATCGGCCATATTCTGCTTTGAAACTCTTGTCTTTGCCAATTTTCTGGCTTGATGCTGTGATTTGACCATTCGAAATTGAACCATTCGCCATTCCCAATGGATCATAACAAGCTGCAGAGAAAACAACACATAGGCAAGTAATAAACGATCTTAGTTATCCCAACAATGGTCGTCATTACATTAATTCTCCTGCTATGTGAAGGTGTAGTAAGAATATTGTCTTACTCTTAATTCCCTCTTGAGGACAATAGTCCAATTCCACAGCCAGATTCCCACCATGCGCTCTGCAACCTCCGCAATACCCCCCGCATTCTGCAGAAACCTGCGTGCGATCCTCATCAATGTCCAGTGAGTTCTCGATATCTGAAGGAGTACCATATGGCTCCCAATAAACCTCCTCCTATGTTTGACCGTGAAATGCAGAAATAGTAGGTTATTATACTTAATTAATCGAAAGATTAGGCAGGTAAGCAACTTTCCTTTTAAGTGTCATCAAGAGTAAAATCACAATAAAAGTATTTTCAACGGCCAGTCAGATCAAAGTAAAAATATTTGAACGAGCCAATGAGAACTCAAAGCGAATGTCGAATGAGGTGCGAGTCACCGTACCAAAAACTCACCTTCAGACGGAAGCCAGTCCCCGTGAGATCAATTTGAAATTTTCCTTTTCGGCAACTTTCTTTGCTGGCGGAGTAACAATCACCCGCTTCTCCGTACTTGATACGTTTTCCAGAGCTTGTTGTAGAGTAATAGAAGTCATCTGGTACAATACTCATAGAGTTCAGATCCACGAGAACTTTGGAGAAGTTGGTTAACCCTGCCTCAGTGTACATCGAGCCACCTGTGGAGGTACGAGTCGAATATTACAATGTGACTCTAACTAGTATGGGGCCATGAATTCATAAAACCCCTTCTATCGTACGCCTGTATCTCAGTCTTACCTTCGGTGATTTTGATCAAATATCGTGACTGATTCTGTTACGAAAATATCCCAACCTCACGTATACCTTAAAGAATACAATTTTGCCGTATTTAGGCTACAACAGCGTTGCCATATGTAGAAGAAAATTGTAGCACGGGTGATTTTTAAAAGTACGAAAAAATAACTTAAAAAACCTAAAAAAACAGTTTAGGTAGAAATGAGCTCTAAAATAGTCAAACAACTTGCCTTACGTGTCTTTGTTTTCATACACCTTCTTACTACGACTTACGAAGCATTTAGGTGTCAAATGTTTAATGTAATCAAGCGATAGGAATGTAAAAGAATCCACGTAACCGTTGTCTTACCACTGGCCTTTACGCATTTGTCTCTGGAAGCAGACGGCTGTTTGTAGTCGTGAACATAAGCGTAGTTTTTGCTTTGCCCAGATATAAGTGTAATGTATTCTTTAGGAGAATCTGTGGCCATTCCTCGACAGAATAACCGCACGTGTGTATCACAATTTGCACTAATTTCCATCGAGTACTCTTTATCTTCGTTGGAGTTCTGCGCAACTTTGACCAAAGCACAGCCTCCTGCAAACAACAACAACAACAAAAACATTAACGACCGTGTTTGATGATACAGGAATAATTATTAATTCAGAGGAGGTCGCTATCTCTACCTTAAAAAGTGTAAATACTTTCCTGAAAAAAATTTCTTTAGAGCCCCACGCCTAAATACTACCGCTTTTTCCGGACTGAAGCCTTCAAAGAATCATATAGAGACTAAAAGTTTGCTGAGGTCCCATTTGACGTGCATCAGAATCCAGGCCCGTTTTGATTATCGAACAGTTGCTTGGATACCTTAGTAGCTGGGCAGCATGCAAAGCCCTCAACCAGTGGAGTGCTTGGAGACGAGGCCTGATAACGGCTACAGGGAGACTAGGCACGACATGCAAGCTTCCTATCCCCTCGCTATCATTTTCAAGAGGGGAATTATATTATACCACTTTCATACTTACGACAGAAGTCCCAGAGCTTGAGCGAAGCGATGTCTTTGTCACGTAATCTATCTGGCTTGTAGCAAGTCCCGGTAAATTTTGCGAGGTGGCGAGTAGCATTGTGGAGACCGTAAAGCTGACAGTCGCAAGTCAGCGGATTTCCACTCAAGTATCTGAAAAAGGTAACTCACTTTCAACAAAAAACATAGGCCTTCAACTTTCCAAATGCCACACTAGTTATAGAGGAAATACTGAACATTTGCATAAACGTGAAGGCCAGAACAACTGCTGGTACAAGATGAAACAGTAATAACTTACACTTCTTTCAGATTGGGTGTGTTTAGGAATAAGCTTGAAGGCACGATCTTCAGCCGGTTGTTTCTTAAGTCTCTGCAAATATGAAAAAGCTGAGTTACTGAAAAGCCACATCAAAGGGTTTAGTTTCTAAAGATGATACTACAACACCTAGAACACAGATTTTTTCAAAAGCAATTTTAACAAGGACGATGGAACGAGCATTCTTATGAGCAACTAAAAATAAGGTCCGTTCTGTTGGGGTTCTGAGTACATATCTCAACACTGGCGATTTTTTTGGTCACTTATTGAGGTTCAGTCATTCTGTATAATTAAGTGTGCTTGGAATTAGGAGACACAGTCTTTCCGTGTAATCGCTTCTTAGGGAAGTAGAATTTGCATCTGTCGTTGAGATTATGGGAACAGTTACAAATTCGCTTTACTTCCAGTTTGCTGCGTCTTTTGGATTGCAGTGTACTCATTGCCTTCCCTTTCTTTGTCAACAGACATGGGAAACACCCCGCTGAAAACCCAAATTCCTTCCAGTCTTAAAGAATTCTTTCGAGGACCGTTACACTAAAATCTACGACGTATACCGTATTTATTCGGCTATAAGCCGAGACCCCAAACTTTGTACGTGTAGACTCGGCATAACGAGAACCAAAACTAAATCGAAAACACCCGGCTATAAGCCGAGATCCATTCATAATTACAAGACTGAATTGTTAACTACGGGAAAACCTAACATTTTCTGAAAAAAATCACATTAGTTGTCATAAATGAGGCTTGGAAGATGGTGATTTATGGTGATTTAATACGCAAAGGACAAAAAAGCTGCTGACTATTCAATTAAAAAGCAGCGAATCATAACTCAGATGAATTAATGTAATCCAAAAAAATCAATTTAAAACTGTGATGTTAAGCGGCATCACCGGTACCTACACATGCGTTGTGTCTATCAAACAATCTTGTGTTCGTTTATTTCATGTTTCGTGTTTCTTTACTTCGGCTCGGCTTATAAGTAAATACATCCCGATTTAGTAGAGTTTCCAAGCGCTGGAAAAATGTTTTTCAAAAACTTTCGGCTATAAGCCGAGACCCCCTCTAGAGCCCAAATTTTAATTCACTTCAGTTTAAATTGGTGTAAAAATCGCTCGGCTTTTAGTCGAATAAATACGGTAAATTGGGAAACAAATAAGCTAAGTATTTACTTTTTTTCTCGTGGTATGCTGACAGTTATCTCATATAACCGAGTGTTTTATTCCCTAGCCAGTTGCCTCAGCACTTTATAGAAAGAGATCGCTCATCAAATAGAACACTATCCACAGGCCTCGTGATACATCAGAAGAACTTTTTGGCAAATAGCTCGCGTTTAGAGTACCATTCTTGCTGTCATTTACTGACAGTCATTCTTTGATTCCTTTTCTGTTTGAGCGAGTGCTACTTTTTCTCGTCGTTCAAATAAGTAATAAGGATAGTTTGAATGGTTGTTAGTTTAATGCAAATAACTTGAACTTGGATTTGGTTCCGTGTAAACACTTATCCACGTGACTTCTAAGTTACGAAATTATGTCGGTTGAATCGATTTTCAAAACCCAGGTTGACAGATTAGCAAATTTTTACTTGATTTTAGAACTTTCTTTGCTATTAAACACCCAAAAGGCACTGGAAATGCTTCCGATTGCAACCTCTCTCCTTGTACGTGCCGCTTGTCACCAGCGAGTTCAAAATAAATTGACAGATTTTATCCTGGGGTTATTGTGTCCCAGTGTGAGGGATCATTACGGTAACTAAATATTTATACCAAGCAACGCGTGGAGTAAAAGTAAAATTTCTTTAAATTTTCCGGAAAACTATGCTTTTTATTCTTATAATTCGGCTATCAACGAAGTGCGACTTTCTGTAAGGATTTTCGATTGTTTTACATTAAGGTCACGCAACACCACAGACTACAGTTGCCAATATTTTGTATGATGAAATATTATTAGGATGCTGAAAGATGACGCAATTTCGCCGAAAAGAAAAGCAACTAAAATGAAATTATATTGATTTTCCACAACGTTTCTTCGATCGTATCTATCTTCGAGCGTTCTCTTTCGAGAGCCTTCTGTTGATAGTTCATCACGTTCTTTCTTTCACCACAGAACAATACACGGCAGGCTGTACAACAAGTGTCATTTAATCGAATAAATAATCACTAATAGATGATGTCCGTCAATACTAGAAGGAAATGTATAGAAGTAAATGTTCCATGATGAAAGGCTGACGATATTGGGTTTCGCAAAACGAAGTACATTATTAAATCCATTCGCACGGAACATTGCATGTGAAATGTAAACGTTTTGTTGACAAAAACTCACGGTTGGGGAAAAATCTGAAGAATGACTTTTGAGGAGGATTGGTGTGGATAAGCAATTTTGCCACAAAACACAAATCGCTGCCGATTTTGCAGATTTAGCAAAGCGGGTTAATACTATCGATATTGTAAATGAACGTGATGTTTTAAATTTTTGTTAAAGGTAGTTGCAAATAATTTAGAGGTCACAGCGAAGTGTTGACCTCAGGAACATTCGATTAGACTTTGAGAATGATGAGCTTACTGGAGCTATTCTTCCAATGTCGCTTTTTGTTGGCGTTATGACACTTAAAAAGTAACAAAATTTATGGCGCCCAGCTGGATTTAAGGTGTCACTAAAATCTCATTTAGACACGTCAATACGAGAGCATGCAATTAGACTCTACGTGTGAATGAAAAATGCAAACCAAGGAGAAATGAAAACAAACTGAAAAACAAAAAGTGTGAACCCAAGCACCATAAAATATATGCTCAACGATCCAAAAATTCGACCCTTGTTAAATGCAACCAATTTATCAGTGACAATGGAGAAAGAAATTAACGAGCTCGACAATTTTCCCCGAGTTGTAGATTTCAATACACGAAAAAGACGCTACAGTGAACGGTTGTCATTCATTGCGTCCTTTCGATCGAGGAGCGAGGCCCTACTGTCTTTAACCTCATTTATCGCTATTTATCATTTTCGCAAAGTGACTTAAAACTTAGTCTATTTTTTTGGGGGGGATTCTCCATACATAACCACGTAACCACAGGCACAATAAAAGACCTTCGGAACAACTAAATATCATTTACATTCGCGTTGTTACGACTCGTTTCCCCAGAGGAAACCATTACAACAAACCTCCACAAGGTTATGACATGTTCAGGATGTTAATGAAGCATGGAAATCCAACGTGTTTCCTAAGATCAGTTGAAGATTACTGTGTAAAATTGTCTGATAGGTTACTCGTCGTTGATATATTGTGAGCAAGGCGGAAATATATTGCTACTTCAGATCCACAGCTCAAAGATCGAATAACGAACAAGAACACGATCTAATCTCCTTGGCGGGAATACGAACCAAACAATAATAAGAAATTGTAAATATTCTCTTTAAGCGTCTAACAGTTAAAGTAAAGTAAAGCTTAAAATATTAATGAACGAAATTTATAAACTTACAAGTGAGTCGCGTCTGTGGGTACATTAGGAGCAACTTCTAATCCGCCAAGTTTTGCGGAACAATCAACAGTCTTCTTAAAACTCGGAGACCCAGCAATTCCTTGTTGTGTGCACTGGCAATTTTTCGGACACTGAGCAAAACATGGCGACGGAGCAAGCACGAAGAATTCCAGCAATAGCAATAATAACGGAACACACGCCATGTTTGTTTGAAGCGATCGCAGGCGATATTAATATGCAAATCACCTCGCCAATGAGAGCATGCTCTCGTGAAATCTCCAAACAATGAAAATCTTTTGCTAATTCGATGATTTAGGTTCTTAAGGGTTCAGATTAAAAGAATTATCTGTAGCTTCAGCCACTGAGATATGTAACAGGAGGCTTTGGAGGAAGCAAAAAATAAGAATTACCTGGAATTCATATCATCACGAACGTTGCGTGACTTGATTCATCCAATGTAACGCAACAAGATTAAAATCAGCTTTGACTTCTTTTGCCACAAACAAAAGCATATATGAAGCGATCCAATTTTGTCCTTAAGGGGAGGCCAAAGTTTAACAAGATAATCTTTTCGTTATTATATCTTGAAATTGTTTCTATTTTAATTCTGTTCAGAACTAGGAAGGCGACCAAAGGGACTATGAAGAGATTCAACAGAGGGTGTGTTTTGCATCCGATCTCAATTCATTCTTGCTTCCGTGAGGATGGGAATATTGAACTTATCCTTCCAGTTTTTTTTCTCTTTTTTTTGAAGAAATAAGCTAACTGAAAACCGCCTCTTTGCTCGAACCTACCCGACGCAGAAATCTGTTCCGTTTAGAAACTGTTCCATGGATCTGATTTTTAATAAGCAAAGACGGGGTAAAGTTGTTTTCTGCTCTAAAGCTCGGAAAAAGGAAACATATGCTACAAAATAACTCGTCACCACTCCTCCCCCCACCCCTCCTTCATGCAAGTCTACTCGGTATCAATCAAGTGCTTTCATCCACGCATGCTCAGTTGATCCAATCTTCTTTCAATATGAGATAAAATCTCTCACAACTACGCAAACTGAAATTGAAAGACTTGAAGAACTTAGGAATTATTCCTAATATTATAGATCTATAATATTTTCGCCTCTGCAAGTAAATGTCGCAAGAACAATAGGCATTCTGCCCAATGTTAAGTCGACTGAAATAAATCTGAATGTCGGAAAACAGGAGAATCATACGACAAACCAACTATAATACTTTTTTCACCAATGATAAAAGCTGCCGAGCATTGGATGATCAAGCTTAAAAATCTTACTACCCACCCGTTGGAAATATTGTAAAATGTGGAAGGAGAAGTGAGCACTTGCTTACCTTACACTTTCTTACGAGTGTGTATGATGCCTTGTATCTAAACAACGTCACATGAAGTATGGTTGAATTGGGAGCAATAGGACTTTTGAGTTTCTCTGATAACCACGCGACTGGATCACAATTGAGCCTGCATCGGTAGAGTTGTGAGTTAAGCCTCTGTAGAACATTCTAAAGCCCAATGCACGCATTCTTTCGATCTGTAACCACAACCCACAGACAGCAAACAAAGAGCTGTAAGGGCCATTATTTAATGAACAACTTTTCAAGCGAGGGAAAATACAAAAAATTTAAATGCACATTTTTTCTGATGAATGCGCACAGACTGACTGATACAAAGGCCATTTTTAGCGCACGTGTCAATATTAAGCAATATCCCCCTAGGCAAGATTTTTCGTTCATCTTACTCGTATTATCTAAGACTGAAATATTTTGTCTGTTATCCCACAAAAGCCGGTGGTTTTAGAAATGGGAAATATTTGTAATGCTTTAATTGTTATACAAAATATCAGCCGCAGAAGCAGACATCAGTAACATGCAATCAAAGTTAATTCCTCCAAAAAGAGAAAAAATGTGTTTACTTTAACGTTTAACTGACAGTTGATTAAGAGCAAACAAAAAGGTTCTCTAATATCGATGTACTCTTTTTCATCGAATTTCATTCAATTAAATTTCTAAAAGAAATAATCCCTTTTTCTTTTAGAAACGATTCTTTGTTCAAGGTTACCTATCGGGGTAAATTATTCTTGTCAGCTTCTTGGTCTAACAAAGAAGAAAGTTGAGCAGTGTTTATGCCTTAATCAAAGACTTTGTTTTCGCGACAGTGAACTAGAGTTGTTATGAATAATTTCTCATTTTCCAACGCCAACCTATTTTCGCTTCATTTCGCTTTATGGCGCCCAAGGGGCTTTGAAAGGGGCAGAAATGTTGGTTTTCGTTATCAAGGCCATCGACAAGTCAATCAAAGGTACTGTATCTCCTAACGGGGAGCGCAGAACATTAGAAAGACCCGGTGCTTGAATTGGAAGAATTATGGGGTAATTCAGAGCTACAGATAAACGCCAATCTTTTCCCTTGTACACTTGATCCTGGTCTTTTTGAAAATTGTCGTTAACATCCTGTTTAACGCATGATAAAATTGCACTTGAACTTTGCCAAGGTGCTGACAAGTTTGATTCAGTTTTCAATGCTGAAGCTATTGTAGTCGTGCTTGGCGGGCTCGGACCGCAGTGGTAACCGCTCTGTAATGAAGTATTCCAGTTGAGATGATTTGTGATTTGCCGCCTTGCAGGAGACATGCATGCGGTTTCCGAACCTTCTGTCAAGGCGGATAAGCATGGCTTACCCTCGGCCATGCATTCCTGGCGTCTTGGTATGCGCTCATCAATTGGGCGCGTGTTAGTAAAACCTGTGGGTGAAAGATCAGATGAATATACATGAGTGCTCAGAGTACATTAGCAAAGCAAGCACAATCCTTCCGCACGACGAGCGGTGAGTGATATAGATTTGTGCTCTTGTAATTAAACCGTATTGATCCTTCGCGTTTATCATCGTAATACTTATATACTGGGTGAAAACCACGAGAAAGAGGCAAATTATATCTCGCGTATTCGCTTCTGTTGATTGCGCAGCCGACTACAAACACTCTAAGAAACTTCTGCTTTTCTTACGTAGCTTATACGCTTCTCAAATTCCTGTTTTGTGGTCTCATTCATATTCTATGACCTTTTATCAGCCATGTGCGTTTTAAAAGCCCTTAAAAATTCTGGCCTCTCTCCAAGTGCTGTTATTCTTGCGAGAGCAATGTTCTTAACAAGTTGCCGTTCATGTTTATAATGATCTCTAACCTGGGTTATATTCAGCGCCGTATTTTAAACCTCTCAAGTGCTCCACGGTCAACTGAAGGATCTCTGCCTTTTCCAGCTTTGTCGAGCCCTTAAAAGTAAATTTGTACTAGATTAATAGATGAGTAAAGTGATAAATGACACGATATTGCTCCCCTCGGATTCCTACACAAGAAATGTCAAGAGGGATAATTTTGAGGCGAAGAATAAAACAGTTGTTGACCATGGATACGTATCATTACTGGGTCAATTCTATAAAGCCTTTCCACTTAGTCTTGCTGCAACATTTATCGTTTACAGTGAAAGCATCAAGCTAATTTTTAGAGTAGAGTCACTCACCTGTTTTTGAAGGGCAGCAGGCACCAGTTGTCGCAACTCTGCGAGAGAGCTGTTTATGCGGTCTCGCCGTTTCTTCTCAATTTGCTGTCGATAAAAAATGATTTTGAGCATTTTTCCCTATCGTTAAATTTTGTTTTCTTGCTCTTGAAACATGAATTAACTAAACAGTTTTCCTTACCCCTCGACGTCTCTTCCGAGCACTTACTTCGGAATTTTCGTTGTCGGGTGCATCGGAACTTGGATGAAATATAGATAATAAAACTATTAATAATCCTATAAGGCGCATCAAGAACAGAATCGAAGGTCTTTTTTTAATTTTAAAATAACCTACTTTTGCACAAAAAGATATCCCTCGTCTGAATCACTCTCACTAAAAGAACGCTTCATTACACCTCTCAAAGAAAAAAAACAAAGGTAAGAAGTCGAAGAGCTGGTGAATAACAACCTACTATTGTATGTAAGGCTATGACTCATATATAAATACATGAAAATAAATGATATTCTGACCAAGTAATTCTTACAACGCTCATTGGCCAGAGATCGGGCGCATTATGCTACCCTATGCGATGCACGTGTCGTAAAAAGGAAAATGAGAATGTATTGTTTTACCAACCAATTAGGAAAGAGCATTTATATCTCTGAAGCACTGCTCTAAAGAGGACAGACGAACGAAGCGTGTTAGAAATCCAAGATAAGTAAATAAGGGCAGGCCACTTCTGAACAATGGAATTGAGCAAAACAAAAAGAATCGGGTCTCTTGTAGAACATTATTGACTGACATGCTTTTTGAAGTGTGTTGAGCCGGAGGCATTAGTGACAAAAGCAAAGTAATAGCATTGATATGAACCATTTCGAAATTCAAGATAAGCTCAGCGCGTTATTAGTAAATTCTTTCAGAAGAATGCCGATACAGGAACAACTTTTTAAAATGTACATAATTTAAAAATGGCAAACTTTCCCACGGTTTTATGTTTGCCTGTTTATTCAATGCTTTTGTACGATACCCCAGCGACCGAACAGTCAGTTAATTGCGGTCGCCTGATCGACAAAAGATCCTTTATCTCGAGGTGCATTTGTCAGTAAAGTGGACAATGCTGAAGGGTTTCTGAACGTCGTAACTAGTTTCATAATTGTACTTCTTAAAAAGCATCGGCAGGGGTAAAAATAAACAATGAACAAAGGCTTGAATTAAGACCTTGAACAGTTTGCGGAAAAATTTGTGAAAAGAACATGTGAACATCAAGACATTGTTGAGTTTCAAGTGATGTGTGATCACGTCGTGAAGTAATTTCAAGTTGAGAGGAATTTTTCGCAATAGTTACAAATTCATCAGTACATAGAAAAGTCTAATGAAATCTCTCTATACACGTGATTCTATGTCGTGTAATAAGAGTTTGTGGTTGAGACAAAAAATAAAAAAAGCAAAACAAAGGAAACTTTGAGCAACGCAGTGAAACTCAAGACTCGTTAAGTTCAAGTGTAATGGAAAGATCCAGTCTATAGTTCTCTCAATTTCCAAAATGACTCTACTGCATATAGCGTTACATTGTCATAAAATCGTAATCGAGCGGACGTTCAGAGTTTCTGAAGCACCGGACATCGTATGTTCTTAAAATACACAAAGAAAAGCAGTATATCGAATCATTTTCTTTCATAATTTCTTCTCTTAGTCAGTTGTGGAGTTTATTTTTATTTCTCAAGATTGTTTTTCGTAGCAACTGATTCAGAAACTATCGCAGCACTGCAGAGAGAAGAACAATTGTCTTCGCCTTCCCGCTGTTAACTCTAGCCTGGCTTGAGACGAGCTCCTATGGCAACAGATGACTTCGGTAGACATAGCTTACTGAGTTTACTCCTGGGGCCAATATAGGTCAGTTTTTATTTTACATCGGTACTTGAGCTCTTGATTGAAAGATTCAAGAACTGCTTTAAAAAAAAAGTGAATTTCCACTCCGCACAGAAGCTACGTTATGTTTGTACGCTCCTTAGTTACAATCTCCGTCAATCTTTTATATTCTTAACCACATTCCTAACTTCTGCTAATCGGGTTTTATTTTTAATATATGTATGATTCCTGCCCATTTAAGACTCTTACTCATGGTTGATTCATACTTTGGTTTTTTGAGACTTATGCAATAAAGAAAACAACTTGTGTCACTTTATATTGTATTTTTTTGTGTTGTCTTTATCGCGTACGGTGAATCTCGTGAAAATTCCCTTGAAATTTATTTTTTAAGTATATACGTAAGGCAACTAGAGCACCGTATCTTCTCTGAGCCAATTTAATTCTTAATGTCTTTCATATGAACTTCAAGAGGTGCAACCACGAGCCCCTCGCCAAAAACAAACCAGAATACTTATGTACCTTTGCCGGGTTTCCTGAGGAAAAAATAATAAGATAAATTAGAGTTTTATTTCTCGGTGACGTTGAGTTTTAGCTCATTATCAATTCTAGGAACACGGCACATACTGAAGATCAGAAATCGTGCACTCATGTCTCTTCTTGTTTTTGGAGAGCAGTCATTTTTGTCTGATGTGTGAGATTACTCAACCAACTGAACGAAAGAAAGAAAGAACTTCATATCAGTTGCACTTTGATTATCGTTATGACTTTCTATGACCATTCAACCTGATATTTTGTCGCATGTCCAGCCTTCCTCCTGCAAAAAAGCCTACAACTGATGACATGGAAACTGAAAACAGTAGAAATCGATTTCTTACTAACGTGACAATCATTTCGAAAGGAAGCATGAAATGTGAATGGATCTGCTAACGGTCAGTTAACCATAGTCGAGTAATAGATAATAGATCAATTGGGGAAAAACAGCAACAGTTTCACACACATTATACTTTAACTAGCTACATGAGGGAATCAAATACAAAATGTATCAAAAAGAAAAACCGTGAGTATTTATGTTGATTATTTTAAGTATGAAAAATGGAGAATGTCTTTTTTATTTAACGAAGTGGGTCTGAATCAAGACTCGCAAGAAAAAAAACCAACAAATGAAACAACAAAAAGATTACTCATGCTTTTATGCTTTTTTTCCTTAGAATGTTGTCCTTGTGTTTAAAAACAGATTGACAGTGCTTGTTCTCGGTAAATCACTTCAATCTAAATGAGTTTTAAATTCCTTGACAGTGCTTGTTCTCGGTAAATCACTTCAATCTAAATGAGTTTTAAATTCCTTTTCGATCCTCTTTCACAGTTTCAGTTTAATTTATCGAGAATATCTTAGCACGTTCTTTTGATGTCAAGCTGACAAATTGCTTTTGTGAACTAATGGATGTTGTCCCTGCAACTCGGCCTGTGAGTAAATAAATGTTTAAAAGTATTTCCGCTGGTTATTGCTAAGTAAAGACCCACTTTTCCAGCAGCTAAATAAACTTGTCGAGAATGCAGATATTTTAACTGCGATCGATTTTCTGGTGGTAGTCATTTTAAATTATAAACAGGTAAATTTGGCGCGATTTTCATTTATTCTGTAGCGGCTATATTTATCGTGCCCAGAGGTCAACTATTAAAATACATGTAAAATCATATGAATGATTTTAGTTCTGCCTAGAGAAGAAATAGAGAGAAGGAAGATAATCGATTAGACAAATCATGTATTCACAGTTAGCAGGTTCAGTTAGAAATCTTGGTGGTCTCAGTAACACGTGCCGTGTTCATTATATAGTTACACCTGCCTGCTTAATTGCATGTTTATAAGTAAAAGGATTCAATAAACAAACGGCAATCGGCGAGTGAGGCTAAAGGTAAGAAGCTTTTCTCGCGGGTCGATGAACAATCGATCACCTGTCCAATAGCTGTCGCAACACGGCGTGCTCCAGGATAAAAACACTGGGTGCTGCGACAAAAAAAAAAAATCCCAGTTTAATAACGGCTTAAGTAGATAAGATCTAGGTCGGAAATGTTTCAACTAAGTCTTATTGCGAGTTATTATGAAACAGGTGCGAACACTAAACTGCCTCAACAGGGCACTGCGAAAGCCATTTCAAACAAACTCTTGCGTGCACGTGTTGGTCAACAAAAAAAGTTCATTGCAAACTTTCTTTGTCAATCTAAATGTCATATCCGGATCGCAAGGGAATAAGCGACTTCCTCAAATCTCTGAGTGGATGCTTAGCTAATTAGCTAGCTTGTTAGCGCCTAATTATTTGTCTATTGATAGCTGATCACATTTTCTGATCGATATTAAGCTTTTTTTGTCTAATCACCAGTCTTGTACAAGTTTGCACAGGTACGATGGAATCATCGGTGATTAGTAATAATCACTTCTTCACATGGAGCTGCATAAAGCATCCATATTTAGGTGGTATTGTTTCGGCATTTCAGCAAGTGCAGCCAAGGTGGACGGCTTTACACAATCGTTCAAGCATGGATCCTGTTGGACAATGCAAAGGGCTTCCGACAGTTAACTTCAAGTGGACATTTCACACCAAAATCAACAAACTGTGGCCGTTACTGGGCAAAAATGACATAAATCAAAAGCGATAAGATCAGGACATGTGCTTTTTCTACTCTTGACCGGATTGTTTTTACTTGGTAGCAGTTCCCTAATGACCTTACAGATTTTAATTAGTCAAATTAGCTCTCTCTTGGTTGCTTGTTCGAAGAAGCGAACCGTGCCAGCTGTTACTGCTGCTAAAACAGAACCGGAAAGAAAAAAAAAGCCACAAGGCATATAAAGATCGTTTCCATTCCATGTGGCTGATAACAGAGAGACTAAATACTTCTCGCAAAAACAAAATTGTTGCGTACTCTGATCTTCGAGACATATTGCTTTGCAATAACGAAAGGAAAGGAAGCTCTAAGTGTAGCAATCCAATGTTACATCCCACGATAAAAGGAGATTCTAGTACATAAATTTATTGCTCTATTAATATTGACCAAGCATGTTTGTTGGTAAACCAGGGTATAGGACACAATCCTAGGAAAGTGTTTTGAGTAATGAAATCTTAACGAATGTGCTTTATCAGGGAGTAATTTCACCGTAGCCAGTATATATCACATCGTACGTTGTCGCAGGTGTTTCAGACTTTCAACCCTGTTGTGAATGGTTGCGCTGAAAATTCAAATGAGTTATTCCACAGTTATTGAGGCATCCACGTGGGTTTGTTTGTTTCCTGCTTGTTTTGAATGCAAGTTTTATAATAAAAATTTTGTTTGAAAGTTGCACTTGAGGAAATAACTCTTCCCGATCTTTTGAAATCACAAGAACAGATCCTTCAAAGTTTGAGGGCTGATGTTCCATTAGCTCCTTGCAATTGAAGAAAATAAAGAAATGACTGGTACAAATAATAATAATTATAATAAAAATACTTGAATAATAATACTGATAAATACAACATAATTAAAGACCACGGTAGGATATCAAAGCTGCTGGGAGCGCGTAAGACTGCGCTCTTTTTCACTCGCAACGCTCTACACGCACGCGTTAAAAACACGCACCGTTTCCTACGCCAGTTATCACGCTTCACACTAAACCATGCACTCCTCACAGTTTGTTTGGTCTCATGTTGGTCAACACGATCGGTGTTATGACAGACAGTGCGCTGTTCCCGAACTCAGTTGTTCCGAAAATCGTTCATTTCGCGAACCTTGTATATTTCTGAAGCCTGTCAGTAAAATTCCACCTTCCCCTCTCATTTAAAGAAAAACAAAACAAAACAAAGCAAGAGCCATTTTAAGATGGGTCTTCGGCACCAATAGAAACGATTACTTTTTGCTTCTCCATCTCTCAACGGAAAAGCACATAAAAAAACAACATTTGACCGTGCAGTCTGATCATCCAGGTGAGAGTGGGCCCGAGAAGGACTGTTGGCGGCGGTGGTGACTGACCTTTTGACAACCTGACGGGAGTTGCCGTCACGTGAATCTTTGAAAGCATTACTTTAAAGAAGGTAAAATGATTAACATCTTGAGTTTAATTGTGCAATTTTAGAAAGAAGTTCTGGATAAATTGCCCGGAGTCTCAGTACCTAAAACGACGAAAATTGAGCTTCTGTTGAGGTTGTTCATTTGGCTTCGCCGATCAGAGAATCCTCCAGCTACAACACAGAATTCTCCGTATCAAATTTCACCGCTTCAGCTGTTAATTTACTCCGACGTACAGAATAATCTCGTTATATTCGATTGTATTCTCCTACTCTCACATTCCCATATGGAAAACATTGTGTCAAACGTACAACTGAACGCATTTTCAAAATCGTCAACAAGGCATGATGTCAACATTCATCTTACAAGACACCTTTACTTTTAGATTGTGTAAACTGTATGCGATTCTTGGAAAAAAATTCATGAGTAGAAATGGCAAGCTTCTTAATTAAACGTTCCTCCCCAAAGGAGAGTCTTTAAGGTGGCCATGTATAATTTAAGCATTGCACATGCATCTCAAAAATTAGTCCATATTGTTTTTTTCCCGGAAGGTTTCACTCTCAGATGTGTGCGCATTGGCAACCTGTGCGTGGCTTGCCTAAAAGCTTCTAAGGCTTGGGTTTCATTGTCACAATTGAATTCAAAGAGAACTTTTCCCGCCATAACATTTGCCACATAATGATCGACTTTGCCTTTTCCTTTTCCCATTTTGCTCCCTAATGGTTTTCTGGTTACTGGTATGTCTGCTGTCACGATGTACAATTCCTTTGTTTTGGTGGCACGCACGATGGCCAGCCGGGCTGACTCCAGTGCGCAGTCTTTTACCAGTGCAGGCTGCTTGGCGTAGATTCCATAATGGTATCGGTCCATGTACTTATAACGTAGAGGAAGAGGTGTCTTTGTGGCACGATGACAGCAAGGAAACACATTTGGGACCTACAAGAGCAATCAATTGCATGCAAGAGTTTTTTTTTAAGTAATTCATGGACATGAATTGATGAAATAACCACCCCTAGTCATTTGACATATACAAATAAAGTGTGACAGTACATCACTTTTAGAATTGTAACCAAAGCAATGTATCCCCGTCTTAGAACTGCAACTGACTACATGACAGTAAAAATTAGATCAGCACAGCAAGATATGAACAGTTTATAACATTACACATAAATATGTTGTGCTTCAAAGATGTTTCCTGGGTTTACAACTTTTCATACCAATTTGAGTGGTATCTTTCTTGCATTTATCATCATAATCTGAGACAAAGGGAAATAAAATCAAACTGATCCAAAATATTTTAAACAAAGCAAACTTCTCTACACCTGCACTAAAAAAATTTCCTATGATGGGGTATTTTGCATTTACAGCAAATACACCAATCTTGATAATCTGAATGTCTCATGTGGCTGTGTGTTTGAAGTCTCATTCTTTTGGTTCAGTCATATCATTCAAACTTTGAGAAGATTTTGCACCGATATATTGTAGAGACCTGTTCTTTAAACAATTCTTACCTGTAATTTGGTTAAAACAGTGAGGTTGTTCTTCATACAGCCCACAAATGGCTGAAACACCTGCAAATTCAGGGCAAACTATGAGACCTCCTACATTGTAATTTATCTTTGGATTCTTGTTTCCTGCTCCCATATTAGTACATGTAGTTTACCACCTATCTGTGTCAGAATGAATGATACACACCCCACCAATGGTGAGCAATACACACATTCAATTTGATCCATGTTGGCGGTTCAGTGTTAGGGGTGGATGGTGCAATCATTTTAAGGGAAAAAATTGTGAGATCATAACAAGTGTTTGATTATTCCCAGACCAGTCACATTCTTGCAACACTGAACCTAACCCACACACAGATTCACCACACACAGTAACTTGGGTGAACGAATCTGAATCACACTTGCCTAAGAGATGACCGTGAAAAGGGATTTAAGACACTCCTACCACCACTTTGTGAGATACAAGACTCAAAATTGCATGGTGGTCGCTCAATGAGAGAAAGAAATCTAGTGAGAAAGCGGTTTGACGAGTAAGCTTAAGTGAAAAAAGCTTACTCACTAGTTTTCTTTGTTTTCCTTGACTTCAAATGACGCTGGAAAATGCGCCAAGGGGTTAATGTCTGATTGAGTTGCAGCGCTTACTGTGACTGTAAAATCCGATTATTGACTGTCTAACTGTCTAACAAGATGATATAAATCAAACCTGATTACTCTGGTTTCCTTTTAATCTCAAATCTTAAGGAAAAAAGGGAGAAAAACTAGAAGAACATTACATGTACCTTCAATCTCGAAAGACTAGAGGAAGCCGCCATAGTTGTGACAAGAGGCGTATTTCAAGGGATCATGGGTACTTTAAGATACTTTACTCAGACTTATTTGAGTAAAGTGATGTAACGAAGAACTGCCGCTGTCCACGTAAGTTGTGAAACAAACCTATCTGGGATATGTTAAGCTGGCTCCGGAGTTTCGAGCGGCAGAGAGCAATGTCGTTTGAAAAAAACATCCTGTCTGACCCTACAAGTGATGGGAATGTCTCCACGAATGGTCAGGTATCAGAGCGGCCATCTAGTTCTGTGTATAGTTACGAAGCATTCGACAGCACGGCTCCAGTGAACTTTGTTTCAGATCAGGAAAATTTCACACAAACATGTCCAACTTGCGGTGGATCTGGAAAACTAACAAAAGGTTAGCTGCTTTGATTTGATAAAAGCATGTTTCTCATGAGTGATTGTGATGCAATTTAGATTGCCAGGAAGGAAATTGTGACTCAGGTAATCACAAGTTAATGACTGATTTCATTAGTTTATTATTTACTGTAACTTATTTAGTGAACTTATATTTAATTGATTATATTGTAATTGTTAGATAAATCTGGATATCATATTCCCAGTTTGTTACTATCCATCAAACTTAAGTTAAACTTGGATGCACAGAACTACTTGAAATTCTGGAGATTGTGAAATGGAGACCGTGTAGAAATACGACTCGTCGTAGGTAGTACCAAGAAGGCACGGAGTGCATTTTGATTGTACATGCACCCAAACTTTCCACCCCTTTTGCATTTGGAATTATTTCATTTTCGCATGATGGTGTTGAGCCTTACTTTGTCAAGCCCCAAATTTTCGACTTAGTATCTTAAACATTGCGGTTTCCTCCATAATTATCATAGTGAATGATGGTTAATATTTTTCATTTCTACATGTTAAAGTAAATAATTATGTTGGTCCAATACAGCAGACGGAAGGGTAATATTTCAAGGAAAGTGTAACTTATAATTCTTTCAAGAGTACATTGGGTATAGGTATGTTTATGTTATCAGTGAAAGAAATCAGTAACTTGCCCACTAGACCCAAATAATCTAAAGTAAAAATTAATTTGATTGTCATTATTATTTTCATTTAGAGCAAGAACATGACTTAGTAGCACTTATTCCTGTGAGAGACAGACGACTCAAGCCAAGAAGAACGTAGGTCACTTTATATCATGATATTACTTCTCCTTGAAAGATAATACAAAAACACCTTAAAAAAAAAAGGATGCAGAGCTCAGTGTGCTGTGCGCAGATAATACAAAACACCTTAGAACATAGGATCCAGGATAAAGCAGAGCCTAGAGAGCAGTGCTTGTAAACTCGAGAAAAGGGAGCATTTTTTTGTTAATTTGCAAGGTAGATAAAAGCCTCTAGCTTTAGCGTTAAACTGGTCAGCAGCATTGTTTAAGGACTCCTTCTGGGCATTCATGCAATGTTTTCCTTCTTGGTTGGGGATGTAAAAGAAAAAATTATCTTGTTTTTTAATTGTCATAGATGATAAAAATAACTGCCTTGGTAGAGAGGCCTTTGACCCTTAACAATATATAAGGCTAGCATACAGAGGAGACAAAGAGAGGAAAGTTAATTTGGGTGCAAAAAAACATTCCCCTCTCCCTTCCCTTCTCCATATCAACCACACACGCAGCAAGGTCTGTCAACCTTGAACTACCAAAGAACTAAAAAGTATGAAGTTGTGATTATACAGAGAGAACACTGCTAATCTCAGATCTATTCTTCACCATCATTATTAATGGGTTTAGTATTGATCCCTTAAGTGTCAACTCCACTGAGAATTCCTTTGCCAAAGCAAATGGATTTATTATTTTTCAAAATGTTGATTTATTTTGAGTTAAAGAGGCCGGCGTATTTTACATCTCCACTGCTAGAGATTTGAAAGTGACTCTCTAATTTTCCACTTACTGAGTATGTCATGGAAGCACATGATATTCAAATTATGCAATGTACTCAGTGCATCACACATATAGTGAAGAGGTCAAACACCCTTAAGTTAAGGGAGAAATATGTTGTTAAATGGGTTGCAAATCTATGAAGTAGATAATAAAGGGGAAATGAATGAAATTAAGAATTTGTTAGTTGTCCTACAAGTTTTGCCACAAAGATTTAATGATGTAAAGGTTAACCTCAAGCCCTATGGATGTTTCGGGAAAATGAGGGCCACCTTTAGCATTTGAATGAATAAGATGATATTGAGTGAGTAGTGAGTCAATTGATTCAAAACTTTAACATCTCCCCTCCTGGGCTACCTTCTAGGCATTTGAACTGTTGAAGAATGCGTTATGTGAACTCCCATTCCTTGGGGCCAAAATTGGGTTCAAATGCCTTCCTCAAGTGCTGGATTTGATGGTAAAAAGAAACATCAGGAACTCTTCACTCGTTGACCAAGCATGAAAACCTTGACCTCTTTGACATTTTCTTCTGATCCATTCCCTCAAAAAAGTGAACCCATTACCTTATAAACACCTCAATATGAAAAGATAAAACAGGTGTTTTCTGTTGGAAAGACTTGACACTTCCAGCTCAATTTCCTCACCCTAGCCAGGCAAGGATTGAATTCTCCACCCCCCTTCCCCAGACATAGACAACCATCAAGGGAGAGGGGGGGGGGAAAGGGGAGGATTGTTGAAACAATTTGATCAGTGTATAATACACGTGACAAGTGTTAACATTTTGATCTCATGGCTGAGGTTGTAAGGGAAAAAGGCAGAAGAAGTTAAAGGAATATGAACAGTCATACTGATTATATTTTGTATCCTGGTTGGCCGAGCGCATCACTTTATTTGAACTTGAAATACTTTTATAATGGCATTGCTATAATGATGGGATGGTGTATTCTTTATACTGATCTGCATTTTCTTGTTTTTCAGTATTCTTTACCTTGTCCTAGCGGTCTTCCTTTGCCTGGCAATCTGTGCAGTGGTTGGGGTGATTTTCTTCCCGAGAACTGTTTCAATCAAATTAGTTGGTGCATCACCAAAAAATATTAGCATCCCAAGCTCAAACTATTCACATCCTGTTATCATAATAAATGTGAGTGAATAAACATGAGTATTAATCTTGATGTGACAATAATAACAACAAAAACAGTGATGATGATCATGGTAATAAAGATAATAATGATTATAATAATGAAAATGAAAATAAAAATAATACTAATGATAGACATAATGAAAAGGATGTTCCTAATGCTAACAATTAGAGGAAATCACCAGCCATGTATTAACTCATTATTTTTTTATCTTGATCATAAGTCTTTTTCATGGTAATTGCAAGTAAATCTGTCAAAAATATTGTAAAAATTATGAATATAGAGTGATTCAGGCTTTGACAAGTTTCAACTCTGTGCCTCCCTGTTGGGGGCCACTACTAATGGTACTCTTCATATCACTACATTGTAACTCTGCTGATCTAATGCTGCATTCTAAGAGGCTCTTTAATATCTAAAGTTCTGATTTTCAAATACTCTTAGAAGTGTCTCTCTGTTTTTTTACAGAGTAATCCAATTCAATTCAAAGTAATGTTGTAATAAAGTGGGTGGAACTGATATTGATTATGAGTACTTCTTTTTAATTTCAACAGAGCACTATTTTAGTCAACAATTCCAACTTTTTTGAGGCAAGCTTGGATCACATCAACATTCAAGTCAACTGGAATGGATATGTTGTAGCCGACCCAGACATTCTAGGGAAGATAAAAGTGCCAGCACGGTCAAGTCTTCATGTATGTTGATCAGTAGGGGGAAGTTTTGATTTAACCCTTCAACTCCCAGAAGCTATTAGCATATAACTTCTCCCTATAATATCCAAGCTTTATCCACCAAGCAGGTAATGAGAACGCTCAAACTTATTAGGTTGAATTTGTTACGTTGATAGAACACCAAATTGTTGTAACTAATTTACCAGGAAATGCTTAGCAGCTAGTTGGGAGAATTTACAATTGGATCCTGGGAGTTGAAGAGTTGAACACAGGATTAGATAGTGTTCCTTAAACTTCATAGATCAGAGGATTCCTGGACTAAATTTCAGTGGCCTGTTGACTTTGTGTTATTCAGATGTAGAACTATTGTGCAGTAAACTCACCAATTAGTTTACACTTTTCTCATGTTACCACATTTATGAAAAAACCCTGGTAGTGTCCATAAATTGAAAGGGGCAATCTTTGCAGGTAAGTACAGTTTTGCACTCATATTTAATATGCCAAAGAAAAACCTCTATTGAGTTTCTAATGAGTTTCCTTGGTTACAACTACAAGTATTTTTTTAATAGAAGTAAATTAATATTTTACACATACTTTTTCAAGCACTTAAGTAAAGTGTTGTTTGCTATGAAGTAGTCACTATGTTGTGTATCTTTCCCATGTAGCACACATTTATTGTGAAAACAATTTACAGTGGTAAAGAAGCAGACAAAATAAAGTAAGTTTCATTGTACTGAAAATTACCTTAATAAATGGAACACACTGTGCAGGATTCTCACCATTGTATGCCTGCCCTACACCTGTAGACAGGTCTGCCAGTGGGAAATTCACTTATCATATCATTTATGTTTCCACTTTTTCTTGAGGATCTGATTTTCTGTTGGCTCCTGTCCTGTTCTTTACCATCACACCTCATTGGATATCCTATAAAATCATTTGATTTTCAAGAAATATCTTACACAATGATTGATAAATTTCTGTAATTTTTTGGCGAATTTCTTCATTGTTCTCCAGGTTTTGGATCTGTAGATATGTTGTGATTTTTTCTGGGTAAAATGTTTGATTTGTTAATTTTTTTGTTTCCAGTTTGGAAGCTGTGTGTTCTTATTATCAATATTTATGCATTTTTGTGAGTGCAATTTTTTTTGTGATATTTCAGGAGAGTTTGCTGTGGCTGGTCGTACAATTTGGCTTTCCTCATAACGTATGTAATTTAAATACTTATTTGCATATCAAGCAAAGAGAGCATATCATAGCTATTGAAGTCATTCCAATCTCCATATAGGCTGCTGTAACTGTATGCTTAAGTATTAAGACACTAAATGAAGATCTTCACAAAACAGGAAAAAATATGTGAAAGATATCCATACACAGTGAAATGATTTCAAATGTTTGATCAATACAACGTAAATGAATATTGAGCACATTACGATGTTTTTCCAAAGCTGCTGTCTCTACTTACTAAGTTTCCCAGTTGCTCTTTCATACCAGAAGGAAAGGGAGGGGTCATATAATCTATGGAACCCCCCTGACTGTTCCTAGCTTTTATGGTTACCTTTATCTCAAGCTGATGTGTGCTGATTATGACCTGTACTAGTTGGAAATCGGAGAAGGATCTCATAGGCTATAGAGCCCTCTCCTGACAATTCCATTCCATGGTAATGTTTGTGTCAAAGTGATGTGTGCTGATTATAGCCTGTTGTTCCCTTTTCACAGAGTAACAGCTAAAACTCATTCACTGACTTCATCTTCAGAAGCATCTGATACTCAGCTGGAGTTTGTCAACTGTGAATTGAATGGTATAAAATGGTGGAAAACCTGCTTTCCAAAGGGATAGTTACAAGTAATTTAGAATTTAGGATTGTTTGTACTTGTTGTACAACTTCACCTTAAATGACTATTTAACTACACAGCTCATAAATTGGAAAAATCTTTACAGTAATTTTTCTGATAAGAAATGTATTTAATATCAGTCTCTCAAAATCTGAGAGATGTCTGACTTTCAGGTTACTAATGCTTTGTGTACCATAAAGCAGGTTTTGTTCATTCATTATTACCATGTGAGGTACACGTGTTAAACATTTTAATCAATATCTGGAATACCTTTTGATAGATAAAATAACATTAAAATTAGTCTAGAATCTCAGACAGAATTTGGCATCTCGTAAAAAGTTACTGCTAGAATATAATTCAAAGATAGTTGCTTGCTTTTTGCTTTGTTTTTGTGAAATGTGTTAATTATTTTTTAATGAAGAATTTCAAGTTCTGCAAAGATTCTAAATGATAGATTCACTATAATTATTTGATTATGTTGACCAAAGGTATTGGAGAAATACCTGAGAATGATACCATTAATTACATATACAAGAGTTCTGAAATGTCAAGATTTTTTTTCTTTTCATTTTAATTTAATAGAAAATAAATTTAAAAACTTGTACTAACAGTTTTTTGTATGGTATAAAATTGATCGACTTAAGTTCATTAATTTGTTTAAAATACCCATGACAAAAGTGTGATCCTCACCTTGTTTATTTGCCAATTTGTGTGAGAATAAAAGTTATAATCAAGTAATACACATACTGTTTGCTATATATCAATATATATATATATGTATTGGGGGAGGAAAAAGACAAGTAAATTACAAGTTCATCCCTACAGACCTTTTTCGTGGTTGCCCACTCATCAGGGGATGATGAGTGGGCAACCATGAAACAGGTCTGTAGGGATGAACTTGTAGTTTATTTGTCTTTTTCCTCCCACAATATATACAATGCTCTACTCCTATGTATTGAGCACTGTGTTACAAAAGTCAAAATTTTACACTTTATATATATATATATCAACCAAGGCATGGTACCATGAAAGGCACAAATATTATATACTTTGGTAGTAAATGTTTTGCTAGTTTGGGCTTCCTAACCTATGAATGAATAAAAAAAAAACAGTCTATTGTCATCTAGCCACATCTAGCCAACCACGGCAAAAGACCCATGCTCAACAAGGTCTTATGGGAAATTCTACATCCTAACATTAATGTTTTTTACATTAGAAAGATGATCAAGGCTCTTGAAATTAAGAGATGCAATGAAGCAAACATGTCAATCATGAATGGTGGATGAATAGGAGGAACACTAACAATAGAGTAACACTTCAAGTTAACAAACCCTAGCAGCCTATTGTATAAATTTAACTAGCCTAAGTATGCATAACTTTACTACCAAAGTATATGATATTTGTTCCTTTCGAAGTCTTTAATTTATTTTTCTTATATACATATAAGTATATATGTATTGATTTAGGGAAAAAACAATGAGACTTTCGTCCCAACATGCCTGTTTGGAAGCGGGCATGTCAGCTTGTATGTATGTTTATCAGTCAGTGTGTGTTTGGCATGTGAGGCTTGTTGATATGAAAGCCTTGATACTACATACATTGAACATAGGGAATAAAAGGAAACTGTGCTCACTGTTGATGTTTTTGTTGTTGCTGTCGTCGTTGTTGTTTTGTACCAAAAAGTCCTAGAAGCTATAGTTTGTCATGCTTAGTGTTTTTTTTTGTTTTTTTTCTTTAATGCTAAGTGAATAAACAAGATGCCTTTAGCAACTAATTGATTTTCACTGGTTAACTCCAGGGCTTTGCCCCGTTGGAGTGATTGAGTCTGTGATCACTATGGTGTTTCTTAGAACATGAGCGAAATCCGCTCCATCCTAACAGATAAAAGGATTAGGAAGTATATTTGCAAATTGATTTTTTGCGACTAAGCATAATCTCTTTAGGTGACACTTTTCTGGAATACCCATTTCCAATTCCTAAATATTATTTTGGCTTCAAAAATCTAGTTTCTTCTACTTGTGCAGCTTTTCATGAACTGCCTTCATATAGCTCATTTAAACTCATTCTCTTGATAGTAGGTGGGTTTTTAATTGTAAAAAAACTTTTAAAAGAAACAATAATTTTGTAAAAGTTCTATTGGTTGCTTTGTTCGCATAATTAGTTCCCTTTGCATTGGAAACCTTTGCTATATTAGATCTCTGATTTTGATCAAGTGTTAATGTGATCAAGACTTTTATTCTAAAAACAATGTTTCTAGCCTTAAGTCAGATGTCTTGTGACACAGTCTTGTGTTATGTAAATGTATTGTTTTGCTTTCTGTTAATACAAATTCGCCTTCACGCCGTATTTTGAAAGACAAGCAATATCAACTCTACTATGATGCGCTCAGTGGCCAACCGGATGGAGATATTGGATATGCGCCAGATTTCAAGTATTACGACTTACGTTGAAAATTCAAATTATCTCTGTTAGACAAGGTCAAATTCCATGTTACGCAGTTAGAGGTAAAGCTTAATCGATTGAAATATGAATGTATGATTACTTGTACGCGTCCGTGCTCATAAACAACTGTGGGTTGGCAACGGAATAACACTCCGTAGGAGATAATCAGCTGTGACGTCACTACAGCTAAATGACAAAATTCCGTAACACCTCTGTAAGAATTTGACGTACGTGCAGAAGTTCTTGAAGAGCGAAAGAGAGAAAAACTATCGCGGCTACTCCGTGAAGTTCAGAAATCCCTGGCCAAACTTTAATTCTTAGACCACCTCGCCTTCGGTGGAGATTTTGTTTGGTTTTGTGCGTTTGACACTGAGATTGTAAGTTCGAAAGATTAATTAGCGCCCAAGGGAAAGAACGATTGAATCACTTACTCTGTAGAAGACTTTCTTCTCCCTGTACAGCAAAGTGCATCAACATGGGAAATTCATGCAGCGGTTTACCTCCTGACTGTGAAATAATCGTTAAGACGGGTGATGTGAAAGGAGCAGGAACAGACGCTAATGTTTTCAGCGCTCTGTACAACGAAGATGGCACTCGTTCGCGTGACTTGAACCTCGACTGTAAATGGAAGAACGATTTTGAGAAGGGTTCCGTGGACCGATTTAAAGTTCACTGCGGCTTGCCACCCGGTCGTTTGCATAAAATTGAAATCTGGAGGGACGACAGTGGTATCGGTGACGACTGGTATGTGGAATGGATTAAAGTGAAGAATCTTCATCCTGGGTCCGACGAGGTGATCTTTCCCTGTAACCGATGGGTGAAAGCAGAACGAAAGTTAGTTTTGACAGAATATGACTGTGTACTGCCACAGTTTGACGAATGCAAAGAACAACGGAAGAAAGAATTAGAGGATAAGAGAGACGTTTATCGATTATCGCGTAAAGCTCCAGGCATTCCTAAACAGGTTAGTGGTACAGTCTCAATTAATGTTGCTGTGGAAATCTGTTTTATTTTATTGTACTCTGTTAGTCCTCAAGAATGAAGACTCTTTATCGCTGGCTTGCAATTTCGTGGCAAGTTTTGAGGCATTTACAATCGCCGTTACGCAACTGATCTTAAACATTAGCAAACTATTTCGCAGATAACCAAAGTTATGTAACTATGGGTTTCTTTACTCAGCTATTAGGTTAAATGTAATTAAATGGTTGGTTAAGTAAGTTACGTAATCAAAAAGTAAGACTTCTTATTATTTTCGGTTGTAGATCGAAAGTTGTCCCCGTGACGAGAGTTTTAGCAATGACTACAAGGTATTGGTATCAGCAAGTGAACATTTATTTAGTTATTTATTCGTTTGGTTGGGTAACTGGAAGATTAATTTAATAACTTAACTTAAAAACTCAACTTGTTTACCTGAAGAAATATTTCTCTTGGTTAATTATTTTCCTGGCTTGTTTGTTGTACTCAGGCGAGAGATTTCTAATTACTAGAACAGCTATTTTGAGTATGCAACCATTTGAATTTAAATTCATCCTTCTGAATCAATGCAGTTCTCAATATTTCTGTGTACTTGACACATTTGCCTTCTTTCGGTATTGAGAGCATTGTTTGAAGTTTGACGTAAGCTCTGAACATCGGAAGAAAATCAAACAAAAACATTAAACACGACAATAATATTAGCTGTTATTGTATTGAAAAGGTACATAACACCCGTTGATTCTCAGTGATTTAGAGCACTATAATGGAAAAATTCACTTTTATTATACTGAAGAAGTACATGATACCTGTTAATTCAAAAGGATTTACAGACTAATTCATAACGATTTACAGACTTAGCCAAGTACAGCCTTAATATAATATAATAAAATAATATTCACTTTTAACATCTCTTTTAAACATATTGGAGATGGAGCTGATTGCAATACAGCTTGATTCTTTGCCTTTCTCTTTCTGACTTAATTAAAGCTTTTTCATGGTCAAACACTCCGAGGAATCATAATTTAAGAAACAATTCAGAGAATATTTCCTAGGTCTCTGTTGTTATTACTTCTTGTATCCCCTTCACAATTTTAATTAATTATGATTTAGGAGTAGAATTGGAGCCAGTTGTAAAGCATAGTTGTGCTGTTTCTTCTTTACAGTGGAATATTCAGCAGACCAAGTACAAGTTGGCTGTGAAGTGTAAGCTGGCCAAATTAACTTCTGATCCCTGGGAAACATTAGATGACATGAGCAATCTATACAAGGGAAGCCTCAACTTACCTTATGTAAGGACATCTTTCAAAAATGCATCTTGGATTGAAACTGAATCAAGAAAAATTCAGGTTGGTATCAAGTTGATCATGGTTTCTTTTTTGTTTTTTACAGGGCTATTTTAACTGGAAAGAAGACTCAAACTTTGGCCGTCAGAGGCTTCAAGGGTGCAACCCAACCCTTATCAGACTTTGCATGGAAATCCCTGAAAAGTAAGACAGTTTATCAGTGGGCATGAGTTTTGTAAATGGTTAGTTAGTTAATGTTATCTAGCTTTTCACTGAAAGTTTATATCTGCCACTGGACCACAGTCATGGTTATGTGTGACTACCTTGAACACTGGTTCAACTCATATGTTCCATATTTATGGCTGTCAATGAATACTTTAAGCCAAAACTGGGATACAATTGATCCCTAGAAACTAGAGATCAAGAGGAAAACTTTTTTCTTATTTCCAAGAAGAATTATGTCTTGAATTTATCAAAGAGTGCTTTATAGATAACTCACTTATTTAAAAATTTTAATTTTCTTTTGTAATGTTGGTTGTTAAATAAAAATCCAATTTGTGTCATGATAACAATGGTATCTTCTAGTTTCAAGGTCACAGCTGAGATGGTGGAACCGTTCTTGGAAGGGATTACATTGGAAGAGGCAATGAAGAATAAAAAGATCTACATTGTGAATCTGAAAAAACTCACAGAGATCATGTGTAGATTTAACAGAGTGGTGAGTTAGGTTAAAACTATAGAAACTTAAAGATCCATCTATCCAGCCCCTAAGAAATGATAGCCAATTCACTCTGTAGTTGGTTGTTATTTCGATAAGCGATACCAAAAAACAAACAAACCAAAAAATAAACAAATCCAGGAAAGTACAAACTACTGATTTCTTTGGAGACTCTTTCTCTTGTATTTACCACATCACTCTACAAGAAATACTTACACAGCTAAATCGAATAGCATCCTTAGTTTTACTGATTGTGATGAATTTGTTTCCCTCAGATCTGCAAACCAATGGCTTTATTCTTTGTCAATGGCGGAAACGAGCTAATGCCCATTGCAATCCAGTTGTTCCAGAAGCCAGCTGATAACAATCCAGTGAGTCTGTATAAGTTTGCTACTTAAGTCTCAGAGACTCAAAAACTGAAAAGAAAAATGAAAAATAAGGTTGTCATTATTGGATGAAATTCTGACAGTGACTTATGAGCCTTAAGAGTGAGACTAAATTACAAGCATGGACACAGTAAAACCTTTTTGTTATAAGGCCTTAGGACCCCATGAAGCTACATGTAGTATGACTGATAAAATAAATACTCAGGTTGACATGGTTGTTGTTGTTGTTAATGGTAGGTTTTCTTGCCAAGTGATCCCAAGTACACCTGGATGCTTGCCAAGATGTACTATAACAATTCTGATGCAGCTTTTCATCAGTCCTGCACTCATCTTGGTAAGGAATATTTGCAATAAATTTAAAACAGAAGACAAACTCTGATGAAAGGATAGGAGAGACATAAACCATTATCCTTTCATTTTTCTTTGCTTCTCTGATGGGGTATGGGGGCAGGCCTTGAGTGGTCACTATGATGTATCATCTTAATTGGTTCTTGGCCCTTTTTTTAGCCTTCCATCGTGCCTAACTTAACAGTTAAGCCAATGTGACAGTGGAGGACCACACTCTGAATTTTAAGTAGATGCAAGTTGGAATCAATGGTCGGAGAAATCTCATGGAAATTCTAAGGCAGTTGTTTTTACTATATTCATTTATAGGATTAACCCATTTAGTAGCTGAAACAATATGCGTGGGAACTCATCGTCAGTTGTCACCATCACATCCTGTTTTCAGGCTGCTTGCTCCTCATTTTCTGTATCTCCTGGCCATCAATTCGTGAGTACCTAACATTTATTGTGGAATGTAGCCAATAAAATTCTCGCTCTCTCCTTAGTAGAAAGAGAGAAAGGGAGGGAGCTCTTGAAGTCACCAGAACTCTGTTAATGTGCACACAGGTTTTTGATTCAGTGGATGTTTGTCAATACTTTCTTCAATCAATCGATCAATTCTTATTTAGAGACAGCACCACACAGTAGTTTGTACAATTACTATTGAGCCTGTGGCCACCCTTCTTTCTCACAACTTTTGGGGGCCACTAACTAAGTGGTTGTCGAAACCTTACTTTAACTGTCACAGGATGTCTTCTGCCAGCTTTTCTATGCAACCCTCAAAAGTCCAAAAGTTAAAAATTTTTAACTGGTCTTAAGATCTTGTAAACCGGATTGTCAACCTTGGATGGGGTTACAAGTTTATAAAATAAATATATAAGTCCCATACACAGAGCAGTAGAAGACAGTAGCAGCCTTGGAGGATGAAGACATGATTTGGAAGGCTGATTTCTTCTCTTGTTCCTTGGAATGCCAGAGGAGAAGGTTCTATGGGGGATGATGATGAGAAGTAATGTAATTGGCTGAATATGTGTTTGCTGTTTATGATTAGCCTTGCTCTGGCCAAACTTGTTGCACCAAATGGATGGATTGACAACACCATGACAACTGGATCAGGTGGATTGATGGAACTTGTCAGTCAGTGGTAAATAAATATGCTCTTAATTTAGTGTTCAAGCCCTTTGCATATCATTTCATACACTCAGGCTTCTATGCAACCTTTGTAATCTTGACATGACTAAACTTTTTTTTTTATTGTGAAATTTTACCAGTTGGCAAAACTGGAGAATGGATATTGATGGATGGCTTCCTTCTGATCTTGAAGCTCGAGGGGTATGTACATGTACTTTTGTCACATTTGCATTTATGTACTTGTTAGGATATCAAACTTAACTTAATTAATCTGTAATTATTTGTGACTCCCCTAATGAAATGTGAAGAATTCTATGCACAGTTGAGTGAGTGATGGTCAAAATGTCCTAATCTGTTTTTAAGGTGGATGACAAGGAAGCTTTTCCCAACTACCCCTACAGAGATGATGCATTGCTCATTCATGAAGCCATTTATACCTACGTACGAGAAGTCTTGGAAGCTTTTTATGGTGAGCAAATACTATTTTGTGGATATAATTTTTACTTTTGCTACATTGTCAAGTCCTGTGTTGGAGCAATTTTAGATTGGGTATCAACATGATATGGGGGATTGCTTTGGTTTTACCTAACTGTGTTCTGTGATTGGTCCACAAAACTATGCAATCCTCTCAACCAATCAGATCCACAGCTACAAACAATCACAACTTGGACATTCGCCATTTTTCATTCTTGAAGCAGTGTGCTTGTTTTCACTTTGAATTCTCATAGGCTAATCACAATGTGAACCTTTATTCTGACCAGCCACTGTAACAAGTTTGGTTTTGGTTTTTCCATAATCACTTGATTTCTAGTCAAAATGGTTACTGTTTACACTCATTTATAAATATTTCAGACTCACCAGAAAAACTGACAGACGATTATGAAATCCAGAACTGGGGACACATGTTGGCTGACCCAGAAGATGGCTTGGGAATCAAGGTACCACTAATTCTCTGTAGATTCCAAAAATTTTCTCAGGTTATAACTGAATTGCAATTGAGCCACAGCAAGAGCACTGTAGAACTCTCTTTTTGGTTTTTAAAGGGTGATACGCTTTTGTGTGTTTTACAGGGTGTTTTTGGAGGTGGAAAATTTACAGATTTGGAAGACTTGATCAAGGCAGTGACCACAATTATCTTCATCAGTAGCGTGGGGCATTCTGCGGCCAATTTCGCTCAGTATGATGAGTATGCTTTTCCACCAAACTATCCTGCATTCTTACGTGGGAAACCTCCAACAAGCAAGGTAATTTTGCGGCTTCAGTCTGTTTCTATCCTTGGGATGGTTGCTTAGATGATTATTGATGTTATAGATATGTTGCTCTCCCTATTTTCAAAATTTTTGTTTTTAATTTTGTCACTCTTGTTGTAATTTTTAAATCATAAGATTCTTTAAATGGCATAGATTAATGGACTGTTAAGAACACGGAAAAAGAAAGAGATCCGAGAAAGTTACACTTGAAGCAAAGAAAAGATGCATAGAGATTCAATCCCAATTTTTAATTTAGGATAGCACAAGGATTGCAAATTTGGATCAAGTTTTAACTGAGTGTCTATAGTAATCCGGGATTACCTTGCTTTTGCTTAACTTCGCTCTGTGATTGGTCAAATCAGATCCTAAAGCAAACCAATCACGACTTAGTCACGCGTGTTTTCCCGCGCTTTAGGCGATTTGTTTGTTTTTACTTTGATTTCTCATTGGCTTTTTAAGATATTTTCCTTCCTTCTGATTGGCTGTAAGGATCACTTTGGTTTTGATTTTTAGACACTTAATCGAAAAGCGCTCTTTATAAGAGGCGGGTAGGCGTAACAGGTAGCTAAATACATTTTTTTTAAAAAGCGACAAGTGGAACTGTACTAACGGGTTGTATACATGTTTTAGGAACCTCTGACAGAAAAGGATATCATTGACTCCCTTCCAGTGAAAGACATGACGCTGGACATTATTATTGTGACAAAAATACTCAGTGATCGCGGTACGAACGCTCTTGGTGACTTTGAAGTGCAATACATGTACGACCCAAGAGGAACCAAGCCTGTGGAAAAGTGAGACATTTACTGCCGTAATACCAAAAATAAAATGAATATATAAAATAACTTAGCTGATCTTGATTTCAACTTTTCACGACTGGATATTCAGATATCTCAGTGTCGTACTGTAAAAGTGTTTGGACTCAACGCGAAATCGATCGCTTAATGCGACAAATCTCTTCATGTGTACTGCTCTTAAAAAAGGGTAATTTAGTATTATCAACTGAGTTGATAATGTAACTTGCCCACCGAAAAGAGTCTCAAAGGCGTTTTGTCACTCAACGAGTTCGGCCTTCAAGTTTACTGTATGCATTGTAACCTACCCTGTGTAATTTACACCCTCGATTTGATGTCAAACTGCCATAGTTAAGAAAGATTCACTGTAATTAAATTTCGACAATCTATTAACCTTTCAGGTTGAGGAAGCGTTTGTTGGAAGTGAGTGACATTATCGCGGAGAGAAATAAGAGCCGACCATTCCCTTATCCATACCTGGATCCTAAGGAGGTTCCTAATGCCATCAGTATTTAGAAACTTGGTATCCGCAGAATCCCCTGAAAACTACAAACCACTACAGTGAGAAAATAATTCATTACCTGCCGCCTTTCAATCCCAGATGCCAGACTACTGAAGGATGGATAAACAGCAAGCAAAAACTGAGATCACTTTGCAAAGGGTAGTCCTCGCGTTTACTTTCCGTATTTGTTAGTGCTCATTGTCTAAAATAAGGAGCGTGTACTTTTAAGCTATTGTGAAGGTTTCGTTTCATACTCAAAACCCGTAAATGGTCAATCTTTCTCTGAAGCTCTTACACTGAATTTGAAATGTTCGCTTAACCATGAGTTTACCCAGTCGTGTGTTCAACATCAATCTCATCGAGGTTGCACCACTTGAACAAGTTCTCAAATCAAGAAGATTTAATCGGTGTCAGTGGTACACCACTCGAGACTTCAGACTTAAAGTATTTTTGATAGTATATGAAATAACAAATATTCCACCCTTAATATATTTGACTGATTAGCACAACCCAATTTTTGTATTCTTAAGTGCTTTAGTGGTTTAAGATTCCATGTCAAGTGCTGATTTGTAAATTACGTAAACGGAGATAGCGTGTATTCTTATCTGGTAATTAAGTTTTGTTTAAAAATATTTATATTTTGCACTTAGGGAGAGAGAGAGTCTCTTTGTAAAATGAAAATTTAGATTTAGCTGAAGACGTACGCTTGTTATCTCACTTATTATTTCACTCAGTGAAGCGTTTGTAACCGAGTATTTCATGTCTAACGACTATTGTAAAACAAGTGGTTACCTCAAACGCTTTGCAAGTGAAGAGACATACATTTAAACACGAAAATTATCACACAAGGCGATGTTAGATAAATACTGGAAGAAAAAACAAAGTAGTTTTGTAATTGAGAAGTTTTATCGTTGATACTGTGTGGGACGTGCGAGACTCGACGGCCAAATGTTCAGTGCGATGGACTTGAGGTCGAGAGGTCTGGGAATGATACCTGGTTGGGTAAATGTGTTGTATTCTTGGGAAATAGACCTCGCTCTCACAGTTCTCCATCCAAGGGTATGAATGAGTAACGACGAATTACCAGGAAAGCTTGGTGAAATGTTAGTCGAACCTTGCGAGGGCCTGGCATTCCATCCAAGGGGGAGGGGCGATACTCCTAGCGACTTCATGCTAAGGAAACTTGAATAAGCTCCGACAGGGTGGGTCAGCAACTTTCGTCACCAGGCTGATCTTTTCGCTCGGTTGAATATCATTAACTATGTACCAACTCACCCAGCTTCATCTTCTATAGCATTCGATACTCTCATCAATATAGGACCCATGCACTTTTCCAGTGATAGCCACGGTTTTATGTCTCCATGGCTTGTTCAATTATCATCGCAGCCCTGTCTCATGGTGCTGTGCTGAGGAATGGTCTGGTTTTAGCGGCAATCTGGAGGAATCCATCTCAGTGCAGGTCATCATCAGCTGGCTCTTTGGTGATCACTGGGTTTAAAGCACGGGCAGTGCTGTTTACTTTGTATCAGAAATGAACTATTAAACGAATCGCAATATATTCATAATCGAGCACTTGCACTTCACACTGTCTGTAGGTGAAGAGGAATACGGAAGAGTATACAAATTCTTGATTTTTATGTTTGCCGATTTTCTTTGATGCCACTATCACAGCTTACTTTTAAGTTTTCCAAATAATCTAGCCGGCAAAAGCAACAAATGAAATTTGCAGTACCTCAGCCAGCCACCAACGTTAAGAATTACAAGAAATCTTAGTTATTTTTCACACAGGGTTCTTCTTCTTCGACTTAATTCAAACCAAAACTCCTTAAAGAAACTTTCTAAGTCGCTATAAACTGAAAAGCAGATGAATATCATGTTATAAACTGCTTTATTTTTTTACTGATGGCATCAAAGTAATTAATGGAGAGCGTATCTAGACAGTCGGGGTAAAATGATAAAAATTATTTAATTGATGAAAAGTCATTAAACGATCACGATAGCTTGGTGACCGCTTAATACAGGTTGACTGCTTAGTGTACGTTCTATAGATCATAAAAAAACGATAAAAAACTGTACTCTATGCCATAATCGAACACTTGATGTAGAGAATCTCGCTCGAAAATATTACTTTATTTGATTTTGGGAGAGAAACATGGACTAAATATTACTTAGAAGATTATTCTTAGTTTTATTTGAGTGGTTCCGCTTTCAGTGACCGTTCAATAAAGACGGAGAACAATAAAAACAGACCGTTGGGACTAAGTAAAAGGTGACCGCGACCGCTTGATAGAAGTGAAAATGACAGTGGTTAAAGGCAGACAATTTCTGGACTTTGACAACTGACCGCTAAATACAGAGTGACCGCTTACTACGGTGCCGCTTGATACAAGTTCGACTGAGTTGAGGAGTTGTTGGTCTATCGAGTCGTTTAGTCTTGTTTGTGAAATCTGAATGGTCAGTTTTACCGTGATGTCATCAGGTGCAAAATTCAAGTCACTTGACGTTACAGTGATGTAAGTCGGTTTTTGATCCGTCGGTAGCGTTAATTAAGTCTTTGTATTCGGTTCGTTTGATTTGCTTATGTTGTCTCCGATTCCTTAGTATGGTTGTGATGGCTGTTGACGAGATGCTGGTAGTTTATGAATCAGGTTGTCTCAATTGTAGTTATGTTTTGTATTTTCTTAAGATTGTTGCGATGTGAGGAAAACTTATCGAATAGAAGTTACGTTTATCCGTTTTAGACAGAGCCAACTTTGCTACCGTCGACCCTTCACTTACAGCCACCTCTGTACACAACCGCCATTTCCTAACTATGACCAGTATTTTTACTTCCGGTGGACGGTCCATTCATTCACATTTTTCTTAGCCTCTTCACAACAAACTTCTTTCCACAGCAGCAACCCAGAAAGCAGTCAAATTTAATGAGCAGGAAAAAAATCTCCAAGCTACAAATCAGCTTTACTTTGCTTAAGAATTGCACTCCACTTTATTTCTACTTAGGAAAATCAGTTGCCAAGCAAAAGTTTTTTCTCAATGTAATTTTTAAAAATAAAAGGAATGTCTTCGTCTTAGTGTCCGTGTAATGGATACTGTTAACACCACTATACTATAGATCGGCGCCGTGGTAGCTTACGAGGTAATCTTTCTTGTTTCCTTTAAGCGTGTAGCTACATTTTACCTCGCGCTTCTACAACTTCGATTAGCCGGTTGATTTACGACTTTATGAGACGAAAAGAAGACTTTCCTACGGTGAGCTTTAAGTTATATTGAAATTAAAAACTCAATTCGCCTCCTTAACGAATTGCGAAACAAAACCCGTAAACTGATCTAAAAACATCTCCAAACATTTTCACAGTATAATACAGTATGGGACACTGTTACAAAAGGCGGAAGATCCGGAAAACGATACCCTTCTGTACTTTGTTCGGGCCTTTTTTAGTTCAAACTTCTCGGTCTGGAAGGGAAACCAAAGTTCTAAGAGAACTTTCTTTTTTATCGATGTTTTAATTTCGTTTTATCCAGCAGCAATCTGTTCGTATTCTATCTCTACTGTATCCGGTGGAGTCCTTATTTTTTTTTTAATCCTTGGTTTTTCGAAACTTTCTTTACATTTATGGTTGCAACCAAAACTTATCTCTTATCTTTACTTTGAGTCAAACTTAACTGCGTGATTCCGCACAACCCACAAGTTTTCGAACTTTCTCGAACTTTCTCGAACACATCTCTCTTCTCCAGAAGGTTCCAAGATTCTATATTTACGTTTTGCTGGAGTGTTTGTTGTCTGAACGCACTCACTCACATTTGATTACACTGAAAAGTAAAGAAAAAGTAAGAAAGCTAACAGGAGGATAGGCCGAGGAATCACCAGTTTTAATGTACTAATCAGGTAAAGATGACAATTGTAGAATGACAAGATATTTCGTTGACACCATTTTCTTTATTTATCTCATTGCTGCCGTCCTTTGTCTTCGGACAGTTAGTTGAAAAAGCGCAGTATGTTTATGTTAGCTGGTTGGTCATTACTGATGACCACCACCAAAGAAGAATTCACTTTTAGAGTTACTTTTGATGTCACCGGCTGTCTAAAATACGAAAGTGGCTCGGTCTGGACATAATTTTTAGCGATTTATCTGATATCCGAATGTTTTCTTTCGCTTCATTTGATCAGAATGCTAAAAGATATTTTCGAAAATTGAAGAATTGACATTATTAATGTAGTTATTATCTACCTGTGATAATTCTATGGTTTGTTTGTGTAATAAGGCATTCTTTCCTTAATTACTAAAACAGCTGCCTCATGGTTCTTTGTATGAATTAGACAAAACAAACTTCACTTCTCTTGTTCGTCGGCCCCTGGTTACTGTTCAACGTGGCAGGTTCGGTTTATCTGGTGGCATCATCAAACTCCACGTAGCAACCTTGTGAAAGGTGTAATACATATCTCATCTTCGTATACAATGTCACTGTTGAATGCAGTACACTCAACTTGAGGAGCTTAAAGATAGCATCTAGCTTGAATTCCATACATGTAGATCAAACAAAGCCTGTGTATTTTAGATACTAAAGCGTTTTCCAAATGCACTCGATTGCCGCAAAACGCAATTCAAGAGCAGGCAATGAATACTTTATTACATCCCATTGTGTTATAAGATGTTATGTACGCATGCCCTTGAGTGTGTTAATTTCTCTGAGGAGTTTGTAACGAGACCATGAATTGCTCGTGAAATGCAGTGTAATTCTACTCCTGACCACTGAACACCGGCAATCGGAAAAGTTCCCGCATATCAGCGGCGGTCAGGACCATTCTGTCATCACGGCCTATTGAACACAGTCCGGTACCTCAGTTTGTCAGGCTTATCAATATACATTCACTGGAAACTTCTCTTTTTAATATTCACAAAACCACTACATTGTGTCTCTCCTCTTCATGTAGACTTTTGCAGGGGGCATTTGTTCTTGACCTAGTAATCGATACAGATATATCTATCAGCTATTTGAAGGCTCACAAAATTCTTCGGCAAACTTCAAGCACTGACTCCCGCTGTTGACAAAGAGTCTATTTCCGGAAACGAAGCGCGCACCTCGGAGTTAAAATTTAAAAACCAACTCAGAGCAAAGAAAGTATTTTAATAAAAAGACTTTTTCAAGAGAGGAATAATTTGTCTTCAAGGAATTATACGCACTTTAAAATGGAAGCCCTGTGCGCGAGCTTTTTATGAAAGTTATAAAGTGTTTGTTAAAGCAAGTTCCGTTTTCTCTTTGAGCCATTTTCATCACCCAAGGCCGGCTCGTTTTAAGTCCTGTGTTTCTCACCTTGTCGGGCCGAAGCTGTTTGTAAATATCACATTTATTGCCAATTACTGCAGATAAGGCAAACTATTAATTAAATTTGAAGTATCCATTGACACATGGTGCTGTAATCTTATTGGCAGGGTTCAACAGCTGAGTGAACGTAATTAGACAACTTGACGGCCCGCCACAGAAAGCTGATAGGGCGTGTTTATTTTAGCCCATACCTGCATAACTGTCTCTGGACGATAGCGTTACGTTAGTTTACCAAGTTGGCTGACGGTGGGCTAAGTTCTAACTTGAACTCGGGTCGCTTTCACAGACATAGTTGCCCTTTGGTTAAGCTTGTCCAGCTTAAGTTAATCGAACAGTTAACAGCTTCTTGTTGTAATCTCCGACTATGGGGCTCCCGCATTATGAGAAGTCTCTCGCCATGACTCAATCAAGTAGAAAGTACAGAACATCAAGTAATTCGAAATCGAAACGCAAGGATCTTCATCCCGCACATATGCATGACCATAGTCATGGTAAAGGCGATCAGAGAACCGTAGCTAACGTTCGTGAACGACAAAGAACGCAAGCATTGAACGAAGCCTTCAACAAGTTGCGAAAAATCATCCCAACTTTGCCTTCAGATAAGCTGTCAAAGATACAAACATTGCGCTTGGCTGCGCGCTACATCGACTTCTTGTGCCAGGTTCTAGGCAACAACGAAAAGCATCCGAACTCAACAGCAAGCAGCTGCTTTATTGCTCATGAACGGCTTAGTTATGCTTTCAGTGTCTGGAGAATGGAAGGAGCTTGGTTTCAACATCAGTAATAGGAGAGACAGTATTCTTTTTTCACGGCCAAAGATGTTTTGATATGAACGCTGTCTTCTATGAACTCAACACCACTGATTGCACATTGTTCTCAAGCGATCGAGAAGAAAATTATGCGGCAAAATATTAAGCGTGTCCTATGCCTTACATGAAAAACATTGCTTGCTTATGTGGAGAGGATATGAACCTTAAGGATGATGTTAAAAACAGAGATGTTTATTAAAAGAAATATCTGCTAAAGAACTTTGAGTGATCTGTGCAACAATGTCAGACAAACGTCGGAAGAAAGAGACAGTCTGCACAAACATTTTCATGTTCAACGCATTTGTGGTTGGCTCTTTATAACTAAGTTACAATTAATCGATGTACATTTTTCTTGTACAATTGTTCGAGACCTCAGCTACAACTTTTAAATGTTCGCCTTATTATGTATCTAATGTTAAATGAGTGTTTAAGTACCAGACTTTGTATGACATTAGTAATTGTTTAAAGTAAGCCTTTGCGTTAAGCTTCCGTTCAGGTAATGTGTTAGATGTCGTAGACTTTTGTTGATAGCTCGTGAGCGCAATGTTGTACATACGTATGGTAAACAGTACGCTGAGGTGAGTTTATTAGCGAAGTAAGACGGCATTTCATATCCAACAGAGCAGAGAGAAATATTTTGTGAATTAGTCATCGGAAGTCAGTGATAGAAATAAATCCACAAAGACATGAAATTTTACATGTGCTTTTTTTATCGAATTTCTCACGACTTTTTTAAGTAAGGAAGATTTTATGATGTTTTATAATATGTTCTCTAAGAAAGAAGTTCTTCTGTCGGGCTGAGGCTGAGGCGTGAGCGGTAAGGCAGTTGTTTACTTCATCCAGTAAGGCAGAGCTGTGATACTTCCCGATCTTTAGATCGATAAACAATTTATCCTGATGCACCTTTCTCCTTTCAAGATAATTTTAAAAAAATGTCAATTCTTAATTCTTAATTCCCTGGAAATCATTTAGATTCGCTCCATTTTCTGCCGCAGCAAAGGTTTTCCTAAGTTCAAAGCTACGATTGAGGCTAAAACGTGGTAGGATTCTCCGTCAGCTTGGCGTTAATTTTTTTGCTGAATTTTTTTTCTGCTGTCAATTCTCTCCTTGTTTTGTGATCGGCAAACACATTTATTTTTGTCTTGTGGAATCATTACCCGGCTGTAAGCTTCCATGGAAAAAAAAAAACTCGTCCATTCAAATTTCACACTAAATCAGCTGAGCGAATTAGTTCGTGTCCTTTAAACTCTTGGCTCGTCCGGTGTGGGAGGACTGTTTTGTTGCAGGTTTTGTGCAGTACTCCTGAAGAAAATTCACAAACAATCTTCAGACTTTTATCGGCTCATTGAAGTTTCCATTCCTGAGGCAACACTCTGTCATCTCGAGAGAAATTTACCGCCTCGGCGAGCACTTTTCATCCCACATGGTTTTGTGGACATCCTGTTGAACCCACGTTAAAGAAAAACAAACTAAATTTATTGGGGCGGTCCGTGAATATGCTCAGATCTGTTATAAACTCATCAAACTTAGTCCGTAGCACATGGTTGCACCATGCGGGTGCAGCAATAACTTCGTAATTATTTCCTAATCAGCCGTGATCCCGTTGGTTTACGCCGGGTGCGCTGCCAATTGATCATGTACATTGTAATGGCGAGCAAATTTTTAAGTCGTAAGTGATTTGATAATCTGGCACCTACAACAGAGAGATGAAAAAAAAAAAAGATGAGGAGGGAGAAGAATAGATTTTTCTCAGTGACAACTTTTTTATTGAGAGAGTTAGATGCCTATGTTTGTTTTTTAGACTGATTATGGTTGCTGAGAAAAAGGCTTTGTTTCCCAGTCTCGTTTAATTTCTTACTTGCTGCTTGCAGCAGTGAAAAGGTGTCTAATAAAAGATATATCAAACACTACGTTTTCGCCGCACGTGATTTCTCTCTATCACTGTTGACAAAGATTGAGTGCCAGCTATGGTTAATTTGGGAAACCAATATAGTTACATCTGATTTCTCCATTCTAATGCGATGTTCATCTTGTTGTATTGAGGTCACAATTAGCACCGCCATCGATGCAGGAACTTTTTCCGACTCCCTTACAGCGTTAAAGATCCTGTACTGTTAGAAAAGGCTTCCTCTAACATCTAAGGCAGTTTCTATGCTCGTGTTTGAACTAGCGTCGATTTAAAAGAAATTTTCTTGGTATCTAACCTAAAGGAAATGATGGCAACCTCCGGGGAAGACTTTTCAAGAATAAAATTGTGTTTTTGTAATCTTTGATAAACTGATAAAGCTCTTTAGTTTTGCACTGATAAATTAAAAGAAACTTATTCAGCGGTAACTGATGATATCAGCCTTGTTTTGAAAAGAAGATAAGCTTGAAATTTAGCTGTGATTTGTAGCAAGCGAATGAAGTGGGTAAACAAGGAATTCATCTTTAGTTTAACATGTTTGTCATATTAATTATCTAACTGCAAGAAAACGGGGAAGCAATTCATAAACTTGGATCTCAAATAAAAACCATGTGACAAATTGCTTGCTTTAATTTTACGTCGGCATCTGATGAAGCTGATATTAACAGTTATTGATTTTCAGTAAAATATTGTTCAAAATATTTCACCAAGGCGATTGGTTCGGGCCAATGGATCTTCGTGAAAGAATTTAAAATGAAGCATTCAAAAACGGAAAAATAAAGTTAAATTAGGTCTACAAACGAAGAAATCGTCTTCAGATTTTTATCTCTGTGGTTGAAATTAAGAACCTACCATTTATTTCAGAAATATTTTGGGTTGCCGAGGCAGTAGGTCAGTGAAACTCAAAGAAGTATTGAAAAAGGACATTTAATATCCTTGTACACATAGGGAGTCACCGCTCCAGGATTTTCCTTTGTGATATTTTTTACGAATGTTTTTAGGGCGCGATTCTTGAACGTGCAGAGACCTGTTATCTCACCTCTGAATGCACAAGTAAGATAAGTGAGTTTATTTTCTGCGTTTTAACCAAAAAAAATTTGATTTTGCGGCTGAATGGACGACACATCTGTAAAAGTAATACAGTTGTTATTGCGCGTGTGAAACGGCAATACCTCACGGCATGTACTTTTTTTAATGACATGGTAATTGTGGAACTCTATGTTCATTGACATCGCACTGGTGGGTTCCACATCAGGATTGAAAACTGTGAAAACTACTCAGTAAAAGTTGATAAGAAAATTCTGTAGACATCAAAAAGTGTTGCTTGAACCCCCCTCTGAGAATTGATAATTTTATGTTACTGTTATCCAATTAACGTACCTCGTGATAAAGAAATATCTCGAAAATCTTGGAACGAGACTAGAAACTAAAAATTCAAGTGCGCTTCCTCGCTTGACCAACATTTTGAAATAAAAATCCTCGGTTTCAAAAGAAAACTGTAAAAGTTTTTTTTAATTTTTCGTTTTAATCTTTGCAGTTATTGTTATTTTCATGTTCCGTTTTGGGTAACATCTCTCACAGCATGACTTCGCACATTAAATTCTCACGTAATCACGAAGTGAAAAACAACAATTTAGCCCACAAAACAGAAATATGAAAACATTGAAATTTCGCCTGAATCGTATTTTCCGGCTCTGATCGAGCATGTCTGAATATCTTTGCTCAGCAATCCTTTTACAACAAGTTCGGGAAATAGAAAACAGACTTCAAAAATCACGCGTGATTTATTAACTCCAGTTGTAACGTTATCGGCAAACTCCTTACTCTTCCAATTGAGCTGCAGCCCTTCTCTGAGCCTTGATAAACGAAAAATGTCACCATAAGCAATGGAAAAGTTTTATTCTGTGGAGCCCGGGAAGAATTTAAGGATTCTTTTCTTTCTACTGAAAACAATGCGTCATTAGTGGAGCCAAGTAACTTAGGTGTTTTGATCTTCACTACATATTTTCTACAAAGTATTTCAGTTTTTCCCCATGTATTTTTTTTCTGATTATCAAGGGTTGCGTTCAAAGATCGAGAGTAGTTTTACTCCAGGTCGAAAGATCGTTCAATTTCCTAGCATGGTAGCCATATATGTTTCCTGTACCGGATTTCAGCGTAGAGATTATTGATTGTTCCGTGAAGTTCTGTTAAAGTAATTTTGCTACAAATTGGAAAATGATGCGTTGTTGAAAGCTTAAAGTAATTCAAAATTATGTCCAATTCACTGCTCAGCGGTAGAAGACAAGTTTCCTTGGATTGAAAATGTTTTGTGTCACATAAATTTAATAACATGTTCCTCTAAAGGCCTAAGATTTAAAGGTCTTTCTCAGATTTTGTTTTGTTTATTCGCAATTAGCTGAATCCCACGGAAACCAAAGGCCATCTGTTAATATATTTTTTCCGCATGAATCAAAATATAATGTAATTTTAAGTAATCTCTGCGACGCAGGATAACTCTTAATTTCCTCAAGTCTCGTATCAAACGATTCTTTCTGTCAATTAGTACAAAAACACTTCCTATGTTCCTTGCCTACATTGTGACACCGCTCTGGATACAATACTTTTCCCTGTTCCAGGCGATTTCAATTTCTGAACATTTTATACCGACTGCACTGTAGACCTATCACTTAGTAAGCTTAGTTAAGATACCTATCTGCAGGGAGACTAGAATCAAGTGTTTTCCTTTTCACTCACTATATCTCGTTAGTATTTTAGTCTTGAATATTTCGTCGAATAAGTTTCTTTTTTGACAAGTGAAAATAATTGCTGCTGAAACAGCTGGAGAGGATCGACAAAAATTTCTTTCAGCGAGGGAAGTGACCTATAGGAAGCTTAAGCTGAAATAACTTGGCGAAGATTATTACTTTTGTGTCGCTAAGAAGAACTTAAAATGATCGCGACCAAGCTCCTTATCCTAACTTGGGTTATTGTTATGGAGTTAAAATCCCAAGAAACTCGAAGCTTTAAGGTTTAATTTCCTGCTGAAGATAAAAGGTTTGACAACATCAGTATGCATATTCCTAACGATGTTCTCTACACACTTCTTATGATAGATTCAAGGAGAGTTTGTTTAACAATCAGCAGCTTCTTAAGTCACTGATCATTTTCACTATTCTCATGACGTTAATGTTTGATCAGTGGTTATAATGTGGGGAAAACTGAGTTAAATGCTGGTTACTTTTGGCAGTTTTAGGGTTAAACAGTCAAGTTACGTTGAGCTGTTTTTGTCTGTGTCACAAAAAAGTCGATTGCTGCGGCTTACTAGGAAAACATTTAAAATAGTGAATACATGTATCAGCCGATCAAGCGCGGAAAAAACCGAGTGGCTGAGTGGCCGAGTGGAGCCAAATTAAAAACTGCATTTCAATGGTTGAGAGTTTGACGCGAGTTTCTGACCAATTACAGCGTACTACACCAAAATCAAAGCAATTTCGGTAATATTTCAACAAATTATGGAAATAATGAATATAAAATCAGTTTAATAGACATGGAGAAGATCATGGGTCATACAAAGCCGCCGAACACACTCGCGGATCAGCGAGGACCCGTTAGAATCCATGCGCGACAAGCCGGCTTCTTCTGTGTTGTCAGCAAATCTCATGTACTACTGCGCCTTTAATTCCTCTGCCTAACAAGCATACGAGCATACATACTGCAAAAAAACAACAAAACGACTTTGCTTCAATCTAGAATTTATTCGTAGATTAAAGAAACGACAATCTCTGGGCTCTCTACAAAGTCCCCCACATGTAACAAAGCGAGGACTCATTAAATTTTAATGATGCGTCATGTGGCCTATTAACTGCAAAAATTAGCCATTTATTCATTGCGGGGGCATAGCTCAGTGGTAGAGCATTCGACTGCAGATCGAGAGGTCACCGGTTCAATCCCGGTTGCCCCCTTTGACTTAAATTTTTTCTTTGAATGGCTCTTGAAAAAAACCCATACAGTTGGCAATACAAATCGTGCATCTCTTGCATTTTTCAAATGAAGACCAGTTCCGTTTTCAACTAGAGAAAATGATTAATTTCATTTTATTACGTTGGTGTGTTGCGCACTATTTTGTTTCTACTTTATCTATTACGTTGGTGTGTTGTGCACTATTTTGTTTCTACTTTATCTATTACGTTGCTGTGTTGCGCACTATTTGTTTTCTACTTTCTTTAACTTTAACGTTGGTGTGTTGTGCACTATTTTGTTTCTGCTTTATCTATTACGTTGGTGTGTTGTGCACTATTTTGTTTCTACTTTATCTATTACGTTGCTGTGTTGCGCACTATTTGTTTTCTACTTTCTTTAACTTTAACGTTGGTGTGTTGCGCACTATTTGTTTTCTACTTTAACTATTACGTTGGTGTGTTGCGCACTATTTGTTTTCTACTTTCTTTATATATTACGTTGGTTGCGTTGCGTTGATCTATTGCAATAGTGCGCAACACACCAACGTAATAGTTAAAGTAGAAAACAAATAGTGCGCAACACACCAACGTTAAAGTTAAAGAAAGTAGAAAACAAATAGTGCGCAACACAGCAACGTAATAGATAAAGTAGAAACAAAATAGTGCACAACACACCAACGTAATAGATAAAGTAGAAACTGAAATTATATGACCAATACATAAAATATCTTTTTTATGCTGACGAGAGAGTAATGAATCGGTAACAAAAAAAGATGTAAAATCATCCCTGACTGAAATGGGCAAAAGAGTACTTATTCGTTAAAAAAAAAGGAAAATGCCAACTTTATGTGGGGTAGATTTTTCGTAAATAAGCATATCTAAAACTGAGCTTTTCTGCGTTCTTTGAAAGTCTCAGGAAGTAATTTGTCAGTGGAGTACAAAAAGGAAAAGTCCCTAAAATTATTTAATTTATATTTTCATTCAATTGATGACAATTCCAATATCTTAAACACCCGGCCTGCCGTTGAAGTCATGGTTTATCAGTTGCAGATAATGTGTGCAGAGATTATCAACATTGCCATATCCGTCCAGTGACCATATGTTCAAGGATAAAGGGTGAGTTTTTTTTTGTCCTGACGTTAAAGATGGCGTTTTTAACGTTTGTGCGATTATGCCGAACTTTAAGGTAGACTTACATTTTTTCATCCTTCATTCCATATGCCTTGTGTTCTTCGTGAACCTAAAGTACTGAATACTGTTGTCTTATGCTAAAAATTTTACTTTCGACAATAGTCAGCATAAGACCAAAGATTCAGTTTAAACTGATTCAGTACCTCCTTGATCAAAGCGTAGGACCTCAAGCAATTACCTTGCACAACTGCGGACTTCCTTGTTTTCCGCAAGCCCTATAGCTTTAAGTGATATAGATAATCATCGCTTGTACGAGGAAACAGTACAGTCAAGAGATTAGAAACTCCAGTGCATAATCTTTTGAAACAGTGCAACTCTACAACATGTCTTGCAGAACCAAATAAGAACTTTATGTTACAAAAAAAAAACATCAACAACAAATCTTCATTTCGTCGAAATGTCGCATCCGGCCTTTGGTTATGTGTAACTAGTCAGGGGAATCTAACAACTGTAATTTTGAGTTAGGAAAGCTTTCAAAACATTCAAGAGCTATGCAAGAGTCGAGTCTCACTGGCTCAGCATATCTATATTCTAAAGAGTTCAAAATTTTATGGTTCCTATCCTTTTACACGCACTTATTAAAAAAGTAGGTGGGGCTCTGTGAAGGCGCGGAGAGAAAAAAGGGGTATAGGGTTGGGTTGCTTCACGCGACCTGACACAAAAATCCCCATTTTTCGCTATACTTTTACTCTGTACACCAGGAACAGACTTTGGACCTCCCTTTTTCGCCACTTGGAGAGAAATGATTGCTGTCCAGCGCCAAGAGCAGGAATGAAGCCTTTGGAGAGTCCTCGTAACTCCACAACTTAGCTCGGTATTTACCAATTCATTACACTATGCTCATTTGACTTTGATTACCTAAGAAAATTTTTTTTAGTTCGTTTTTATATACTTTTGAATTAATTTCTTAGAGATGATCGACACATATAATGTCTAATAGACCTCTTTTTAACTCTTTAAGTAACTTTAGAGATTTACAATTTCTAGATCTAATAGAGAAAAAATGACATGGTACTCAGCATTTCAACATTCGCAGAAAATGAATTTTTTCGCAATTATCTACATATAACAACAGAAGACATTCAGGAAACTCGGAATTGTTGAAATTATATCAGGAGTGTAAGTAGTATCAATAGAAAGATTCCATACTGATCCCCTGTGATCAAAGGAAATCCAAATAGCGAACCATCTCAAGATTTGAAAAGTAATTTCTGTTTGGTTCCAACCCGATTAGAGAAATGTTCCTTATTAAAATTTGATTTTTCAATTACGGCTGAATACGTGATTCATCACTTCATAGTGTCTCTGGTTGGTAAGAAGGAGACAACGGTGGGGATTCTGCCAATTAGGAATCAGTGCTGATTGGTAATTGACGTCGTGATTTTTCGAGTATTCATTTCTTTCTCAAAGATCCTATTCTTAGGCATCAAGATCGTGGTCTGTACTTGATATTCCCCCCTTGTTCCCAAAATCTAACTTAAAGCTTACAGAAAGGAATAAAGCGACAACCAAAATATAACTACTTTTCTCTGTTTATAAAATAACAAGTTGAAGGTTGCGATAGTAGAAAAAAAGTCGGATTGAGCCGGAAAAAACCAACCGATGGCCTCTCGTAACTTCGTAAATAAGCCAAATTCCCATTGACAATGTAAACACACTTAGGTTGTGAGTAAGCTTTTACGTGTGATAAAAATAAAGCAACAAATTGTGTATATTAGATATAAGCCAGTTAGCAGGTGGAAACCTTTCAGGGCTTGACCTCGTTATGATCCTTACTAATTACGACACGCTTGAATCGTTCTTTTTCATGATTTGAGTGTCGTAAAATGTTACCGATGATAAGTTGTAAGCGCATACAACAATAGCACTGGAAAGATTCCTTAACTTCTTGGCAGCTCCTTGCAATAAATCCTATGTTACTTGAGTACCAATTGAACAAAGAGGTTCAGAGTAAAGGCTATTGCGATGGTCATGGTGCTTAAGTTTAGTTGAAATCCCAAGGCTTTTGCCGGTTTTAGCGTTGCGAGAGGCGGTGTGCTCAGGTGAAATGTTGTGACCTTCGTACTGTCTTGACTTGAAACATCGACCGTTGGAATAGCTTCGACTACGATTCTATGAGGTTCACTACTGTAACCCTTCCGAGAATGTTTGCTGAAGCTGCTTGGGTCGCGTGCATCGTCGATTTTATTATACGCCCACAGTATGAACACACTGGTGGTCATCTATACATACATGTAAGTAGAAATGACAAAAAACGTGTTAAAACTGATTTAGTTTTTTACGAACATTATTATTCAAATTGCCCGAGTATTTCCCAGACTACAAAATTTCTAATTCCTATAGCTTTTGGAAACAAACGAAGATGATTTCTGAGCGCTCTAGAGGAGACCGTTGCTAAAAATCGAGAACCTGAATGAGTCAATTTTGACAAACGTCAACTTACGTTAAACTGAATATCCTCTGAATCACTCGTGATCCTTGGACGATGGAAATGGAGTGTTGTGATCCCGTCTTGCTTCGAGGCCATGTCCAACATGTAACTTTGCTTGAAGTCCAAGACTGGAGTAGTGAGCCCAACAGTGAAAAAATCCTGAAGATTGGGAATGACATTTCTTCCTTTGATGAGTTCATAGCTCCAACGCGACATTGTACCATGTTTTTAATTAAAACACTTGTTTGATAACCTCAAGCAACTTACTCTAGCAGACAAGATATCTCATCAATTCGTTAATCATAGCGAGTGCACAAGAAACAACTTACATTCAAATAGGGAGTTCCTGCCTGGGTCTTTCCACCGATAATCACATCATAGTTGTTCATTTTTTTTGGTGTGAAGGTAAATCCAAATCCAACCCATCCGTCTGTCTTTACGTTGAGTTCGAAATGCAACTCATCGTGGTCTTTTTCGTACCTCCAAGAAACATGAAAATTACCATTGTCAAAGGATAAGGTAGAGCCATCTAATCCATGGTTGAAACAAGCTGTTAATACTATCAAAACTGAAAACCTATTTGAAATCATTTAAAGATAATTAAAATGTCTTTTTCTCCTCTTCTTGATTTCTCCTCTCTCTGACACACGAATTTTAATCGTACAGCACAATTCTCATTGTAAGCAATTGTTTACCGTTGGACAAGGTACTACGATATCATTATTTCAAGAAGGATTGATTTAATATTGTAGTATTGAACGATTCTGGAGCCACACCGCTGCGGGAGAATTTTCACGTTTTCGTGCTGTTTGCCAAATCCTTAGAGGCACGATTAAGTCACACACTTTGACATGATGCGGAATTAAGTATTTATTGACGAATCTTCGAGAATTGAATAAAACATGCCTAGTCTTAATCTATATTTTACAACAAAGGTAACTGAATGTTATTTTTCGATCAAGTTGCGAGCGATACACGTATTTGAGTCAGTTTTCGTATTGTAAACGACTTGTCTTTTTTGTGGTAGCGGTAACCATGGTTGATAATGAGTTTCTGGTTACACTGAAATGCTTTTAACTCAAGGATTAACTCGATATAGGTATAAAAGAGGGCTCTACTCCCAAAGACTCAATATCTTCCTTGAAAATATTGGCGAATAAAGTTAATCCGTATAACAATATCACATGTTCCACGTTGATTTTCTGTACGTTTCTCGCAATGTCGCAGTTGTTCTTCTTTGCTCTGATTTTACTTTTCGAGTTTTCTATTGTCCATCCCAAGGAAACTTTAAATTCTGTTTACCTCGATGGAGAAAAAGCATTTAAAATGTATTGGGTGTACAATGATGGCACCAATACAGTCAATTTTGTTTTGGAGGTTAGCACGCTCGGATGGGTCGGTTTCGGATTTGCCAACAAAATCAACAGAATGAAAAACTATGATGTGATTGTTGGAAAGATTGAAAATGGAAGGGGATGGCTCACCGTAAGTTCCTCTCTGCGTATTTAAATCTCTCTCTTCTTTGGAAGTTTTGAATCTCAATTAGAAAAGTAGCACGATTTTTATACTTTACTTAAGTATGCATGTCGAGAAAGAAACAACGCATCAGCGAGGTAAATAAATAATTATTTTGGTTTTTAATCCGTCCTTGGTCACACATTTAAAATAGTAAATCGGCAGGAACCACCAGCTTATCCGGTTCCACTGATTTGCTTTCGCTTTTTCAGTCTTAGTGAGAGCAATCTATTTTTAAAAAAATTTGAAAATGAACAAATTCATAATACAGGCACAGAATGTTGTTAATGCAAGATTATTATATTTGCTGTCTGGCTTGAAGTTTTCTCTATGTTCGTTCAATTTGGTCAAACACCATACAACGAAAGAAGTATTTTGCAAATCATGAAGCTTTTGAAGAAGAAAAATAACATCTTTTCATTTCTCTAAGAGTTCATTTGTAACATTTTGTCATCTCCAGGATCGTTTTACCGGCGGTTATTCAGAACCTTTAGCAGATCTATACCAAGATTATAATCTTACAGGTTTCAATGAAAGCAACGGCAAAACATTCTTGGAATTCTACAGAAAAAGAGACACTGGCGACAAGAAAGACATTGAAATCAAGGTTAGAATGAACTTAGTAATTCTATGCAAATCAATTTTTTTCAATACTCTTTATAATGAATTTCTTAATTTTTTATATCGACATCCTTCCCCTTTCAAATCTTGGGTTTATAATGTAGCACTCTCTGTTACCCGAGTAATCAGGAGCGTTTTTGAGACTCTTGACGTCAGGATTAAGCAGTATTGATAACTTCAATTATAAATTGCTCGACACCATCATTACATTACAGCATTACAGTGTTTATGAGCCAATAAACTGAGCATATCTATCGAAATGCAGGAATATTTTTTAAGTCGACATTACCACTTCATTCTTTTATGACAGCCGCCACATATCTTTGGCATATAGTTCGTGAGTTCAGTCCTCAGTGAAACATGTTTTACACTTTTGTAAATAGAGTAAGAAAGATGGTAACTTTTGAGCTCGTTAAAGGAATTGGGTAAGATGTTTTTCGTCTTGTGACGAGCGTGGGACAAGATTCCTCATATATAATATGAGGAATCGAACCTCAGACCTTCGGATTTCACACTTCGGTGCTCTACCACTGAGCCACAGAGAGGTCCATCACGAAGTTCACATGACACGCGTCCTTCAAACTGCTGGGATCAACAATGTCGATAACGCCATGTTTGTAAATAAAATTAGAGAGATGGCAACTTTTGAGCTCGGTAAAGAAATAGAGGAAGCTTTTCGTCTTGTCACGACTGTGGGACAGAGAAAAAACTCTGATTCCTCATGAGGAATCGAACCTCAGACCTTCGGATTCCGCGCTCCGAATATGTTTTACACTTATCACGAATTATTATAATTAGAATTTATTTCTAAGATAAACATGAGCATATCATCCCACTAATTACGGTAGGTTGAAAAAGTGCTTTCCGCGTCGAGCAAAACAACTTTAGTTCACGCAGTCCAAAGATCTAATAACTTATAACTCGATTTAGAAGTGTACCTCCGCTAAAAAAAAAATATTGCAAAGGACCACAAACTTAATGTTAAGAGCTGACAACATCATGATTTTAATAATAGGAAGAGATAGAGAGTGATTTCCACGAATGATCTTTGAATTGCTCATACAAAACGTCGAAAGGAATGAATTTGACACTTGGGATACAAACGTCAGCTAAAACCATTTTGCGAATTGACTGTTAGATCCATTTATCGCCTGCTCGGCTGCTCCCAGATGTCCTTGAGTAGTTCATTTTTTTCTCCTCCTTTCACTTTAAGCTTTAATCTCGCCATTTTTTGACAAATTCACTTTTGCAGCCAGGACCGATGCTTTTGGTGTACGCTTACCACACACTGGATTATCCATCGCCTTATAAAACAAAGCACGAAAAGCAGGGCTTCAAAATAGTCACCTTAATCCCAGCAGATACAAGCACGACCCACGCACCCAAACGCAGCACCAATGTCAGAAGTCTGAGGCTCACAGTAGAAAATAATCAGACGAAAACCACCACACCAGCGTCCTTCACAGCTACATTGGAGGAGACTGAGAAAGCAAGAGTTCTTGGATCCATATCTTCATACACTCGTGGTTCAACTTTCCTGACGTTCTTACTTTTATCATGTTTATTTGTGCAATCGAAAGTAAATTTTTGAACATTCCACCCAATTTATTTTTGTTGTTGTTATTCACTCTTGGCTCATATTTCGAGGTTTCTCCACGCCCACAATATGTGACTTGAAGGTAACATAGGTGCTTCATCATTGCCAACATTTTGCCTACAAACACCAATGCCACTTGTGACTTGAAATAAATAATTGTTGTAGCATAGACCTATATAGAGCACTTTTTTCATTAGTTGAAATTAATCTTCAAAGTAATGATGGATTATGTGTTAGAAAGCTTGAGTCTAGAGTTGGAAAAAAATAGGAGACTTGATGCTTTGCCAAAAAAGATTCCCACGTATACATTGCCGCTTCCCTTTTAAACTAATTGAAGAAAGACCAGAAAACTGATTTCGCTAGGAAATCTTAATTATCCAATTTTCCCTGAGCTCCGCTTTAATAACTGAAGCCTAAATAAATTCTTTTCCTCAGCGAGGACAATTACCAATGTTTTGTAGAAGGCTAAGAAATAGATCAATTTGTTTACCATGTGGCTAGATCCAATCACCTCAACTGTCTGAATCAACAAATAAACTGCTCTCACCAGATAGCACAATTTAATGTTCATGATTAGTTAAATATGCAATACAGCTTCGGCGATCCCAGGTGAAATCCTGTCGACTTACTTCCCACTCAGTTTGAGAGTCCGAAGGAAGCTGTTTGAGCGACACTGTTTTTTCTAAGCTGTGGGGTAACTCATTCTCCCCGACCAAGCCTATCAGCATCGTATTCATTGAAAGAAAGGTGGGAACCCAAAACTTTGCTCTTAAGTTATCGCGTTGGATTGTATATGTCACACCAAGATTGTCTTTCTGAAGTTAACTATCGATCGAGAAGCAAGAAAATTAATGCAACTATCGCATGCAGTTCGTGTCGCATCTAATTTTAGACTACGTTCTGCATCGCTTTGGCATGCAAAGGTTCATTTAGTTTAGAGGCATCATTTCGAATAAAAAGCAGTTCTGGGTAATTATTTTTTAAACCAAGTTCAACATGATCGTAACTGAAGGCAACAGATTCTGGAGACTAAGACACTGAAAACTTCAGGTTTTCCGACTTCGGTGGTAAATTTGCTGTTATCAACAACGCTTCGGCATGATCAGATTAACCTATTTTGTATTTTTTTTACCTGCACGCCAACGCAAGGATATTGTTTGTTTGGAAACTGATCAGTGAATTCTGTGTTAGGAGAGTTTCAGTCACGACAAAGAAATATTTCTGACATTCAGGCATATCATACGTGCATGAGACCGCAGAATTCTTGTTCTCAACAAACTAACGTGATTAAGTATTAGTCGGGATAAGGATGGATATCTCTAGTATAACATTTTAACGAAATTGTAATTCCATCCTATGTGTACTAATTCCTGAGTGGATTATAACAAGGCGGCTTCCTTATCTCTCAAACCTACGCATCGAACACTTTTCAGTTTTTTTCCATTTAAACCACATTTATGTGAGGCTAATTGATATGGAGTTTCCAAACATCAGATGCAATTTTTACACGTCAGATGAATGTGTTTACAGTAAATTACGGTGCAAAGTTAAATGGAAAAATCTAAATATCTAAATAAAATGTCAGTGACTTTACCAAATCTTAGAGTTCTGAAGTAACCAAAACCCAATGGTCCTGAACTTTAAATTATTAAGAGCCAGTGCCAATTTGTTTTTTTTTTAATTTGCGCAAAGGGGATTGAGACCCTTAAATTCTGATCGGTATTAATAAAAAAAAAGAAAAAATGGCATTGTTATATTTCCGCTGAAATCCTCCTCCTTTAGATATTGTTCTCGAACTTTCTTCTGAAAGGGATCGCGGTGCCTGATCATAAGTATCCATCTTCTTTTAATCAATCAAGCAATTTTAGAAACATGTTCATGTCCTCGCTAAGATAGGAAAACCACAAAAGATATTTTGATACTTCCGGTGATTAAATGCTGTGTTTAAAAAACAGCCAATCACAATTTTTCGATCGATTGTGTGCCTGAACTGATACCTGTGATCACCAGTGCGGAAGACAACAAGTTATCTTTGATTATTGCTACAAATATGAAGAAAAAGAGATAAAGGCTTGGAAAGCAAGATCCACAGTAGAATCAAAATTTGCTACACTTAAGTCTTTTATACTCAAAGGTCAATGTGGTTGACTTCAGCTCGAATTTGCTACATTTAGAAATATATACTTAACATACTAAACACTCTACTCTATGAATGACAAGTTTTAATTGGGAATTTTTAATCGCTTAATAACCCTTGGGTGATATCCTGTTCGAAGGGTTCCATTGTTATGAAGAATGAGTGCAAATGGGAACTCAAGATAGCTTGGAAGATTGATATTATTCTATTGGAGATAAAGAAAGTACCTTATCTCTGGATGAAATTCTTTCATTTTCCTCCTCAACACTTGCCATGGCTTAAGTTATTTGATCAGTTGTACCCATTGCGGTTATCTGCGAGGTCATCGAGCGTATGTGAACAGCATCTTTTCTATGGCTAGTGACAAACTCAAAGGCACGCTTGGTTATCTGTTTACAGTATTTAAAAAGATTCTCAATTTCTTACAGACTTTGGAGGTAGTTTCTTTATTATCAGGGTGGTTTTGGGTTCTCACAGAATACTTGAATCGACCCAGTTCGGGTGACCTTACTTTTCGGCTTCATATCTCTGTCCAGCAGACTTTGTCTTCTGTTATAACGGTGTGCTTTTCAATACCCAGTGGCTACACCAAAATATTCGATGTTCAGATACACTTTTTTCAAATCTGACCCAAAAGTCCATATCTTGTTTCATGTTTGCGTTAGAATTTCCGAAATCAATTACGCTGAGCCAATTAAAAAAGATATCTTGGATTAAACATCTAGAAAATTTTGTTCTAAAATGTCCTGAATTTGTCACTGAATGTTCTCAAAGGAAAATGGATTCTTCTCAAAACTGTTTTGCCAGCATTTTAGTGCAATGCGATCTGCAACTAACACACTACGAACACTAAACTGTTTCAAGGTAGCAAACGATAACCGGTGAAAGCAGACCCTCTTTCCAGCTTTGAATCTCACGCACTCAGAAAAAGGACGAAGATGGTATGTCTTCCCACAGTCTCTATTAAGAGTCACTCTACTTAAGGGGCTTATCAATTGAACCCTTACACGGCAAGCTAATGAAAATCTCTCCCTCCCCTATTTTTTCCCCTAGCCTTTCCATGTCGACTGATTCCTGAACCCAGAGTTTCAATATTGGTGAAGTGCTGTGAAAGTGGTCGGCTTAAGAAAGCTTTCTAACCTTGAAGTACGTACAACCTTAAATTCTAAAGTTAAAATCAGATAGGCTTGCAATTTCGTATGAAAACAAACAATGGACGACTGGATCAACAAAACAATTTATTATTTCGATTCTGGCGTGACGAAATCCTTTTAATAGCAAAGTGCTGTGGCGTTATTCCTATTCCAAACCAAACACTATTCCAGGCCATACTCAAGATTTCCTGCTCTTGTATGCCTTTGACTGCCGTTATATCTCTGAAAATTTTACATCAACACATAACTCCGTTAAAAGATGCTTTCTGATGTTCCAGACTTTATCTTCTGACTGGAATTCCGGACGTTGTCTTTAAGAGTGTTATCGGAAATTGTGGCCGGCCACAATTCAGACTGATGTCTTGGACCAAACGAAACCTTGTCCAGCTTATATACTGTAAGGAAGTCACGGAAGAACGTCATTAATCATTATTCGGGAAAACTCGGGGATAATCTATTACCTTCTTCCCATCCACCTCCCACCTCACTTGGATCGAAAAAAAAGGAGGAAAATTTTCCCCTAGATTAGTTATACTAGGCTCGTCACAGATTCCATTGTGAGAGGAATTTCTTGTTCAGCTTTCGCAGTCATTTCTCCGTTATCTTTGTCATCACAAACCGTCGTTAGTGCCGTTTCAAACAAAGATCGAACGCAATACAAACTCATCATGTCAGCGAGGACCAAACAAATTACTGATCATGAGACTCCGTCCAGGAGCAAGATCTGGGGGCTTTTAGAAAGGAAGAAATAGCAGGAGTTTAACTATAGAAGTGCGAGGGGTTTCAAAGATTGATCCCGTGTAATATCTTTAGCGACTATTCAAGGGGAAACTCGTTCGGGTACAAACAAAATCTCTTGTTTTATCTCTTCCTACATCAAGGAAACGAAAGTAGTCTTTTTTATTCCAGGTGCAGGTGGAGGGTACCGATAAGGCCTGACGAGTTGCCAGTTGATGGTTTTGGTCACGGATAGAACGCAAGCATCTCCATCAAATCTTTGTAAGGTAATCCTCGACCTCAAAATTCTATACTGGATTACAAACAAGAGCACTTTTACAAGTTTCAGTGGTGCATGATTGAAATGTTCTCCTTGCCGCCACTGGGCTCTCGGCCAGGAACGTGATGAGGTCAGTTAGTACTACTAAGATAAAAAGTTCAAGTTCATTACGATGCCTACCGCTTACATCAAGAAATTGAACCTAGATCCAACTGTAAATGGGTAATTTTTTTAAAACATTATAAATCATAAACTTCACAAAATAGGTGCAGTACCATACTTCAAACGTAAAGCCACACGATTTTAATAGAATATCTTATTGAAATATAATGATATTAGCTTATCAATACCCATAATTGCACAAGTGTTGATTGAGAAATCGTTCTTACGAATGTTCCTTGGAAGTCCCGCGATAAATATATTCCTGGACTCTCATCAACTTAACAATATATTCTTCATAATTTATTTTGTGCGATTGGAAACGAATTTAACAAGTGGAAGTTTGAACTGAATCAAGAGCACGCTTAGTCAGTAACTCTTTTGTCGCTCGGATTACAAGATACCCTAAATTTTTCATCTCCAAGCTCAACGAATGTAATACGAAAACAAGCTAAGTCACGGTTTGTGGAAAAAGGATCTAGCAATTTTACGAACTCATTGCATGCAATCCGAGTTAATCTTCTCCATCCTTAAAATTCCTTTTTTCATTTTAGCTTATAGTAATCTAATTGGTGCTTTACTATCTCATTTAAGTGTCAATCAATTTTTCTTCTCATAGTTGGGGTTGAGGTATCCGCGTGATGTTACGCGTGGTAGGAAATTGCTCAACTACCGTGACATAACTTCTTTTCACCAACTGGCCACATAAGGAATCACCACTTGGAGTCATTGTGTGCCTTATTCACACATTCCAAAGATTGTCCCAGATACTTGATAAAATAGGTGATAATTTTACCGATAAGTGGTTTGTCGTACAAGGATGAAAGATTTGAAATAAAAGTGTCCTGTGGATCATGTTTAATGGCTGTGAAACCTTTGTGCTCCCCCACACAAGGGAGTGCTACTCGTATTCCTCCCAAAGGTATTCACCAAGGTCGAGGTCCAGTAAGCTGTCTGAAAAAAATTAGAATAAAAGATGCATTCATATAAACTAAAAACAAAACAAAACAAATACAGCTTTTAGGATTTCACCATAAGCCTTTCGTGATAAGAGATCAACAAATTAATGTGCGATCACTTTCAAGCAACATTTCAATGAAAGTTCAATTTTTTTTTCGATTTTTGCTTGAGGGACCGTTTAAGGTTTGATTGGAAGTCAACAAGAGCGGATCCAATCCGCGACAACTAAGAGAGGAAGTGTTAAAAATGATAATACATATTGTTTACATTAACAATGAAAACCGAATTATTGTTAGTAAACATGTTTCAAAACGGACTACTGTTATCTTTGTACACATCATTCAATTCCCGAACTCACGGATTCATAAATATTTGCATTGAAAATTTGGAAAAAAAGTTCAACAACAATTTACACTCCGTCACGATTTTTGAAAATGACGGACGAGAACTGTAAAACTATCAGACCTCCCAGATTTTCGAGCTGATGACACTTATCCCCGGCCCCCGTCACAAATAATTGAGTGAAAACTTCAAGGTGCATATGTACCTTCATTATCAGAGAACGAGTCAAAGCAGAATCGTGGAAGATTTGCAGAGAGACTCCAACCATCTTCAAATCCTGGAAGGCTTGGAAGTAGCTCGTCTGGGTTAATTCTTTCCAAACCTTCCGGTGTGTTCTCGAGAATCTCAGTCAGACAGGAAATGTATACTGCTGCCAGTCTGATGGTCTCCGTTTTGGAGGGTTTCTTCTCCCCAGGAAAAAGTGGAATTAGATCCCTCAACCTCTCAATGTGTGCATTAAGGGTTTGCACGCGGCTCCTCTCACGTGCGTTAGCCATTCGTCTTTGTCGACTGACTCCGGTCAAACGAGGTCCTCGCCTCCTTGTTTTCTTTTTTCCTTGAGTATTGTCAGGTTTAGCCGCTATAGTAGTGTCCATGGCTGACTGCTGTGCTTGGTTGAACTGCTTGTAACTGATGTGAGTTTAAACTAAGGCGTGGAGATCGTTGAACGAGTTACTTATCGCAGCATTCCAGGGCTTGGCTTGTCAGCTGGGTTTCCATTTTAAGGAGACATCAGAACGGAACTCATCTGACACGATTATATAAAGTCCAGAAACATAAACACATGATATTATACAAGATAAGGCTTACTATCGCACTTCTGAATAACGTGTGGGTATTTCGTGCTCAAAGCACATTCTTTCGACCGCATTTTGGTCCATCCCACGCACAACAGCATCGTAAACTTCCTTTAACTGTTTATTTTCTTTAGCTACTCTCACATTAAATAACGCCCTTTTTCTCGATTAAAGTAAATCGTGAATATGTCCCATTATGATAATGTACTGATGATGTGTGACTTGTGCATTGCGTCGAAAGAAGACCGAACTCCCTCATGCTATAATTGAAAAACACTTAAAGTTTGTGGTTATTATTTACTTCAAATGTGGATTTTAGTTAGGTCAATATTTCTAACTTAGTGTATTAAGGTTTGGAATCATTTACATGCTCACCGTACCTGTGTGTCATCGCTGCTATGAGCTCCAGCCTCAAAAACTTGTGGGTTGATATGACATGACGTCACGACAGCCGCTCACAACAAACGCTCTCATCGTGCAAACGACTCTTTGACCTTTCAGAGTTTATTGTTTTTGCTCTCTTTCCGTACTTATTTGCTTTAAAAACATCACACAAATGAAAGGGATTTGTATGCGTCACGTAAATTTCCACTCTTGAAATTTTGCGGGTTGGTTTTAGTCAACTTCAGCCGAAGGAAACTTATCCCCATCCGCCTTGATGATACTAGGGCCTAGTAAATTCTCATTCATGCATACGTTTGGAAATTGTTTTCATATCAAACTATGCTGATACCGAAAGATCAGTTCTAGTTTGGAGACAGTCCGTTGGTGGTTTGCTTGTAGGCTTTACTGAAACGAGCACTCAAATCGTTTCCATAGGTTGCCATTTTGGCACTCAGTCAATAAAAGTAAAGTCATTGCATGTTTTGGAAAAAAGCTCTGCAGCCACGAACAAGCTGTAGAACATTTTGTGAGCATTTGTGCGATGAAAACATTTGTTTGATCTTTCCGTGTAACACGCTTTAAATTTGAACCTAACAGCTTTCGCCACAACGTTTTGATTTATCTCAGTTTATCTTTCGGAAATGAACAATATCCTGCATCATTAATCTGAATGATCCTTTATGGGAGATGTGTTTAATTAAGATCGGTGAGTTTGTGATATTACAGGTAGCCTGGGAACTCAGACAAGAGGAGCCAATACTACGTAAAACAGATTCCCAGATAGCTTGATTTCGCTTAAAGGTTACCTTGTGTACGCCTACAAAAACACTGATAACATTGAGGCATTATTGAAAGATCTATTTTGCACATTATTACTTAGCAAAGCGAGAGCTTAGACATGTAACTTTTGATGTTCAAATTGGGCAATTTGGGTTTTTAAACTTTACCTTCTTACCTCGGCTGGATTTTTTTGCTAAGGAGTAGCAACTTACATTGTAAGTTTGCAAGTCCAGTGTCGTATTTACCTATTTTCACTAAGTTTTCTTTACTCCCTTTTTCCCTTCTGCTTCTTAAGTTAAGTTGATCAAACATACTTTGCGGTACATTATCTACGCCAATTTTTTTTCCTCTTTGGCTTTCTCTCAACGAAATAGGACCATCTAGAGGCTGCCTCAGCTCTTATCATAACAGTTTATTTCGTACGCTCTGATGTATCGATAAGCTTCTCTGCATTTGATTTTAAGCCTGAAGATAACAATTGTTGGGTAAGCAAGTCCAACGGCGGCTGGGCAAAAGGGGTTTGAATAAGTTCAGGTCATTAGGTGTGGTCCAATACGGCATGAACTTGAGAAACCTTCAACATTCGAAAAGAAATAACTTGTCTCACGGTTTTCCTTTTAAGTCATGTGTTTCTCTTTCAGTTTCATGATACATTTAATTTGGACCTTCATCCTTCCGGGCATGATTGTAACCTCACTCAAATAAATGTGGTTTTAAGTTTTTAAGTTCAATCGATCCTTGTTGGAGGAAACGCTGATGTGTGACTGCATAATCAAGAAGTTATATCGATGTCTCCTGATCAAATTTAGATTTCTGTCTGATTTAAATTTTTTTGATCCTGACGAGTCACCTAAAACAGTGGTCATGTTTAAAAAGGACGTGTGGTTGAAGAAGTTTTAAAAGCGTGAGCTGAGCAAAGTTGCTGCTTGCTTTGGATCAGTTTGGATCAGCGGCCAAAAGGGGACAATCTTTATAATTATGAGACGCTTTTGTGCCCATGCAGGAAAAACCGCAATCGACAGACGGTGTATAAATGAGAGCAACCCCCCCCACTAATTTTGTTATTTTAGGAACCCATTTTCAGTCAATTCAGTCTATAGAAAAGGTCATGAATAATTTCAGTAATTTTGAATCAATAAGTTAGCTTCCCATAGTCATACAGTATGTAAAACTAACAAGACCGCCATCAGCCTCTATTGGTTTCAAGATCAATTTCATTAAAGTTTTGTTTACGAGCCATTATTCTTTGTCGTGCGTCCGACTTATTTTGGTCACATGTTTGTTGATGATTAGTATAACATAACGGAAGGGAAGATATTTCAGTTGACGTTTAATTAAAACAGGCCCGAAGTTGAGGACTCCGAGTTCAATTTTAAAACTTCTACGAAGGTCGTAAATGATGTTATTTAACCCAGTGGATATTACATGAAAGATAAAGCAAGCAAAAAATACTTGGACATTTGCCTTCATAGCACCCAAAACGTGCAAGTTTACATTCTCATTTGCCTTCTCATTCAATTTCTGAAATGTTGTAATTGGCGGTTCGATCTATGACTCTCTTTCGGGATCATCGTGCAACGTGCTGTAAAGTGAAGTGCCACCTTATTTTCAATTAAACAAAACATCACAGACGTGTGAACAAATGAGTCTCATTAGCACATTTTCCAACGTACTGTCATGCAATCCTGAGTACAGCTCTGTCTGTATGTAGCTTATCAGTGTAAAAGTACCCAACACTGCTGCTAAATGAGCACTTACAAACGATGATTGAAAAGATCCAGGAGAACAGATGTCCTCATAGGTTAAACACGGGATTTAGCCAAACAGAAATGACCTGGAAAACTGGGTCACTCTAAGTTATCTTTCAACGTGACGTGACGAGATAGGACAGTCCTGACTAAAAAAAAACCACACAAAAACTGGCGATAATTGACAAAAATGCTGCAATGAATGAAGTGTCGCTTAATTTTTAGTTTGATGCTTTAATGCGTGAAGTATCCGAGGTAACTAAGACAAATGGAGGAAACGAAGTAATAAACGAATTCCTGATAACATGGAGGATAGCAGCCGCTCAAAACCTAATTCGTAACATTCAGGAAAAGATGTTGGCGATGGTGCAACAACATAAGCATTTCATATCAAGTACGATTTAGGACACAATGGTATTTTAGAACCACAGTTTCGATAAGGAACTATTTATTGATAACCAAAAGATTCCTTTTTTTTTTTTACCTAATTTTTGTAAAGTATCTTCGGAAGTACGCTTGAATTTCAAGCACACGTACTATCCGAGTGAACAGCACTCAATGATGCTAAATCCAGCCTGTATGAATCAAGATCTTAACTACAGAGATTTAATTTAAAAGCAATAGTGAAGATATCATGGAAGAGAAAAATGCGAAAATAAGCGTGTCTTTTTGTTTTGCGTAAGACAAAACCAATATAGAGACATGAGGCGTCAGTTTAAGCCTTTGAGCTTTCTTATCCCGTATCAATAACAAGAGTAAGTTGATTATGCAAAATAACCTTAATATTTTTTTAGCCCCTTGAACGACATTTCTTAGCAACGACTTTAAATCCTATCGAGCAGGATGATATTAATTATAAGAGGTACAATTTGACAGGCAGACTTAAAATTCTGCTGAATTTATTTGTTTGTAAGCTGATCCCAGCTGGTAAAAAAAAAAAAAAAAAGAGTGAGAAAGGTTCCCCTAAGCTTCTATGTCAGGTGATGTTTCAAAATTAGATTAAGAGCTTCGTAATCTATTTTCATGCATAATTGTTAGTTATTACTCAAACCTTTACAAACAGTCTGAACGAAATAGGCTTATAACCTTCTATAAAGTAATAGTCAACTGTTGCAAGCAACAGCTGTCTTGTATGCGCTAAGCATTCCGACTTTATTAAATAAGCTAAAGCCTGGACAACATACCTACCGAAATTACCTCAAATACAGCAATTGACCGAAAAACCGAGACGCTTACAAGTCTGCACAAGTCTGATTTTATTACTTGCTCTGCGCACGATACCCGTCCATTCTTCACCAGCACGGAAGTGATGCAAACCTTACAACAGCACGTGACTGCTTCATTTCCACTATGCGCCCGATCAGTGGCGAGCACAGTTCGGCGTTTTTGACTCGGGTTTATCGTGAAACAGGTAATATTTGCTAAATTAGGAAAGGTGAGTTTACTTTACACTGTTTACTTAGCTTGCTTATTCCGACGCAAGAGGGCGCCTTTTGTTTAAGTAAGATGGTTATCGTGTCTTAAAACACTCAATAGTTTGATATAAAAAAAGCTCAAACTTCTCAGATCCGATAAGTTAATCGCATTGTAGGCTAACTTGGAAAACCAAAATTTTATGGCTATGATGAACGGTGGCTATTCTCGTGAGGTAAAGATTTCTTGATGCCACCCACTGAAGAGTAAGTCAACAATCTTGGTGACAAAAAAAGGCTGCAGTATGACGTGGTTTTCATGACAACAACAACAATACTTCTCACGGATAAATGAAAGTTGCATTCCATGTACTTGAGGTACATTTACTCCCAAGAAATATTTTATTGCTCTTCAGTTGCTGTTCTGGCCTGATTTTGGACTTTTGATGTTAAAATACGGACGAGAGACCGCCACCATCGCTGCCACTTAATTCATCATCTTTCCAAAAGAAAACTGTCAATTCTGACACAAAACAAAAAGAGAAATGAACTTCAGTTTCTAATTATCTTACATATCAAAAAAGCTTATCTCACACAGGTAAAGTTGCCGTTAAAAGTTCACGAACTGTTACGATATATTTAAATAGTTCAGCGGTGTAGTATTTCCCTCATAATTAAACAAATTCCTTCCTACCATTCCTCGCTACCAACATTTTGAAATGCTCTAAAAAGTTGTTTGTGATTTTTGTTTTACTACGCCCTTGGATAATAGACTTTAATAGTTTCATCAAAATGCAGGCGTACATAAGTTTACCACAAATGAATTACAAAACTGTTATCTTACCTTCAGATTCTACACCGAACGGGTCAAACTCAAGTGAAGTCACTGACAAATCTTCGTCCAAACTCTCTCTACCAATCATCTCTTCGTGTTCTGTATTCGCCATTTCCAGGAGCTCTGTCAAATGCGATATGTACAATGCTGCTAAACGAATAGTATCGGTTTTTGAAGGCTTTTTTTCGTTCGGAAAGAGAGGAATGAGATCTCGCAAGCGATCTATCCCTTCGTTTATGACATGGACTCGGTTTCTTTCGCGCGTATTGGCGATTCTCCTCTGTTTGCTTAAACCAGTAAGGCGCCGCCCTCGTCTTTTTGTCTTCTTCTTTGAAATTGTCGCTCTTGGAGTTTCTTCTTCTGGAACTTCACTTTCCATGATGCTGTCTTCCAGAATTTAATTTGTTCTAAAAGATCTGTTTTCTTTTAAAACCAAGACAGCGGTCCGTCTACCGGATTGTTGATCACTATCACCTAGAAAGCATTTTTAAGTTATTAAAGACCATGTCATGTACGTCAGAGCGGAGTCTAGTTGGCTGCGACTCGATGATGTTATTATCCAATAAGTTAGCCGGCTTTTGCTTAAAGAAAAAATAATCCAGTTAACAAATCTGGATGTTTTGTGCTGACTCTAATACTATGTAACATTTCTGGCAGCCTTGCTATCGAGCTAACCGCGATTAGGATCTTTTCTCAAATGCTTAATCTAAGCAAACATACCTCGTAGGGTCAGCAACGATCAGGAGATTGTAATCCGTGTCATTGGATACGTTAGTTACTTGTTGTCGCGGAAGTGGCACTGTGTGACCCTCTATCAACGGCTTATCCAAAGAGTCACTTTTCTAAACATAAATTGGATCTCTCTACGTCAAGAGTGGAATTGTGACTACAGGTAGCGGTGTATCTACAATTGCTCTTCCGTTTACGTAGAAGGAATGCACAAAGGCCAACTCTCTTCATGCAACAATTTTTCGTTTCCCGTCAACAAAGCTGTAGCTATGTTACAGTTTTTAAAATGATATGTTTACCGGAAAAAGGGGAAAATAGGAGCTTGTAGGAAAATGGGATTAAGCTGGGATGTCACGTCATCATTTATTCCAGCTGAGGCTTCTCTCGGTTGCGGCAAGCAAATTCATCTCCAACTTGAAGAGGACAAAAAATTATGAGCTGGCTAAGATAGAAAACACAAAAGAGTTCAGAATGAAACAAACATGAACAGGAATGATTAAGGATGGAGAAGATTGAAACAGATCGGTAATGATGAACTGTTTCAACAAATTTTCAACTGATTTATTATTATGTTTATGCAGCTCTTTTGATGTGCAGGAACCGAGGACAGTACGTGAAAACATGAAAATCTTCTTGTGGTTCATGCCAAATTTTTCTTAAATAGAATGTGTTTATGACCTTGCCCTATCATCTTATTATGGAAACTTTTCCAGACAGGTATGTGTATGCACGCTAGGATTACCGACTTTTTCGTGGGTTAACGCGAAATATTTCTAGTGTTTGAAATGGAGTTTATTAAAAGAAAACTTAGCCATGCGAGACATGAATAGAAAATGAAGAATGAGGACATACGATTACTACTGGGACAAAAGGACCCCGTGGAACAAGATTTAGTATTTACTTTGTTCGTATTGATGGGTTCTTGGAGTTAACTTTACTATCTTACGTGCACGTTCCTAGACTGCTGCTGTGTTGTGATGTGATATCTTGTGATTTTACTGATTCTAACCCTAATCTTTTGTTTGTTATTTTGTTTGGTTATACTTCGGATTTAAGTTGACCGTGCACGTGCTTGCTAATAGTTCGATGCAGGTCGGGGCACTCATTAAAAATAGCACCAAAAGTAATTGGGATTTTGAGACAAGATCTTCCTTAAAAAAATATATCGAGACCAGCGCTACGATAAGCTTTGTCTAGTGTAGGAGTGAACGTGAAAAGAAGTTTAGCTTAAGCTGTTATGTCGAGAACATACCTATGTCAATCATTCACTCATCAGTTCAAGCTGTCTTGTACCCAGTAAAGAGCCAAGCTTTTTTGTTCCAGTCGTACTTCGAAGGACCGACTACATAAAACATGTGTATATTAAAGGAAACCTCCCCCCCTCCCCCGCCAACCACAAACTCTAAGGATCACGTTCTGAGTCAACTTTGTTGTAACCTTGGATTTAGCGTTAGAGCCTCCTGCAAGCCTAGCATTATCTGCTTCCTCCTCAGTAGCTGGTAGTCAGAAGTAAGCAGAACTAGCACAAAGGAAATAAAACGAGCTGTAATGAATATATTCCCGGTTTGCCCCTCATTATAACTGTGTAGGCAAAAGGAGATGAAGGAAACTGAACACAGTCATACCCGTATGGTAACGCTCTGGCGGTTTTATTGAGAAACATTATTTTAAGAAATTGCCGAAAAAGGGCCGTGCGTGATGGCACGATTAGGGCTGGAAAAAGCCGTAAGATCCTATGAAAATATAAATAGGAAATGAAACAGAGGAACAGCAACGGTCAAATGATAAATGCTGATTGAGTTACTCAGGTCGGATCGTACGGGAAAATATTTGGCTCTCATCGCTTGCAGAATGGGCACAACGAAGTTCAAAGGTCATGACCTCGAACCAGACTAAAATTTTGGAGCTTAATTCATAAGCGAGTTAACAACAAAATTGACCAATCAATCTGCTTCATTCATGGTCCTGCAATTCAAAATTACGAACCCTACGGAAACTTCTATCAGAGAAATTGCCTTAAAATTCCAGAGACGATTACTGAGAATGCTCGTAATTGACTTCACATTAGAACAACACCGAATATCTAGGACCGTCGCCAATTAAAGCTGAACCGGCTTAGAGTAAGTAACACCTTTTTCACTTCGATGATTTGCAGACCGGTGAATGTTATCTTTAATTTCTGATATGCTCTTCATCTACGGTCTAACAAACGATTTGAGGTTAACTAATATATAAAAGTCTCGTAATTTCCAACTCACAGCTATTCAAGCTCTGTCTGTAGAACGAAGTGATTAAGGCAAGAAAGGGTCACTCGCCATTCAAGCTCCACCATCAAAAGAAGAAGAGATTGCAAAAACTCACAACTTAATGCGGTTTGAGAATCCACGGAATAACCTAACCTTTGAAACATTTCTGGTTTTCAAATTTGTTAAGACGTTCAGCTGTGAACGCTGCTACATTGAAAATAACTGAGTAACCTAGCCACACAGGCAAATTTTTAAGATATCCCAGGATTCAACTCAAATGGTGAGAACCAAAGCGCGGTTTACAAGCAGCCGCTGCTCTGCCGGTCCAGTCCTAAAAAAACTTTAATTTAAAAGTTATAATTTGCCTTCTTCGCACAGCTCAGGAGTCAAAAAGTGGTACCTTATAATAATTACTCTGATAGAATGTTTTCGACTAGTATCTTTCCGTTTAATTAATGAGTAAACTGAGAGGAATATATAAGAGATTGGTTTACTCAGCCGTCACTTTGCTTTCTTATATATCATTTGTTCAAAGTTGGGACTATTTATCAACAATGACGAAAAACTGTGGGCTGCTTAAAATAACAAATCTGCTTTCTACCACACCATCAATGCTTCTAATCAAGAAAAGCTAAAATTAAATTTCCATGATAAAAAGCCAGATTGTTAAATTTTAAATGAGTTGAAGAGGAAGAAAAAAATTCCGGCTAATTGTTTAAGTGACAAGTCATAATTCACGATCTTAATTCATGAATTGGAGTGTCTCTTTCCAAAAGGATATGTTTTTACTTAGTTGCTTATGAGAGATTTGTTTCAGTTGATTTAATTAATGCCTATTAACAGAGATGCGTATTGTTTTAATTGTGTTTCGTAAACATTCCAGTTTGATTACAAGCTCGGTTATTATTCCCATCAATTCCTTAGAGTGCTGACAATGTGATACAACGAGGACAATACTACGGACGTTTTTTTTATCGCTAAACTAACCTCCGACAAAGGTCTCGTTCACCTGTTGATTACTTCTATTTCATTTTAGTAAATCTAGAAACTTCCTTTGACATTTTCAGGTCTACATAACATTAAAAACATTCCCAGCATCACAGAAATTACGCGATTTCTATCAGCAGGAATAACATTAAATAAAAATAGCCATTGGTGGGAGTCTAAATATTTCACCATATGATGTTTGGACTAGAAACCGATATTTTTAAATTTCTTCATCGCATTTTTTGAGTGTCATTCTAAATGTACCAAAAGAGACGATCAAAACCATAGCATTTGCCTTCTCAAAGAAGATTTGAAAAATTGAGAGTATTTTGTCGTTGTTACTTTCACAGCGTACAGTAGGTATTTATTTACTTTTTTTTAATGGCTTCGAAAATTCTGTAACGAATCAAAAACATGTTCATTGGTGCAGAAAGGCAAACAAAGTTTTGTCTTTGCGTCAAGTATATTGTCCTCGCTCTCTGTGTTTAAATTTCTCTATCACATTTCTCAGGGTCATTTTCAATTTAACCGCTGATGGAGATGACGTTTGTTGTCCATGGTCTTGGTGTGCAGTGCCCCTTTAATTATCCCCAAACACTTCAATTCATGTCGCCTGCATTTAATATTAACTGCGCCAGGAGAATTATTAGTCGAAAAACACATCACTGGGAAAATGAAGAGAAGACGTTTTTCTTGAATGAATGTTTAATAAAAAAGCTATTCGAGGCCTGGATTCTCAGTGTAATGGCAAATCTAATGGTGTTTTATGTGCTGCAATCTGACTGGCTACTCTACTCGCTAACTCTTCCGTGATAGATAATAAGTAAAGTCAATAGCGTAGGAGTATGTTATTAACATGAAGGCATAATCCTGTTATGTCGTTACGATTTGAACCATAGTAGATTTACGATAAAACAATTTGATTATGAGCTCAAAATTTTGAATGCGTGAAAGTTGATTCTCCCTTCCCTCTCATAAACAACTCAGTACCACACGATAAAATTCTTGATCTCATAATCCAATTGTTGAATCTCCAGTAAACTGCTGTTATAAGTTAACACTTTCTTAGTAGAGTAAAGGAGACTCTGAAGCCTGCCTCTCTTCCCTGGACTCTTGCTATTACAAGCTAGGAACCCTACTGATTTCCATACATTAGTCCATGTATATTCTTTTTTGCAGTCATATGATACTGCTCATCAATTAAAATTATATCATTTGATTTGATTTAGATGCAAATTGCGATATTTTTATTTAATCTGTTTTTAATGGTGGTTTAAATGTTCTGTGAATTTTGATCAGCTAATAATTCATCATTATCTTGAAAGTTAAACTGATACTGCCTGCTGATCAATTGACGACAAAATAAAACAGCGCTTCTACAAGTAAATTGTGCAATGAAATTCTTATTTAGTCAAACAAGGCTTTGTTTGACATGAGCCAGGATAGCAAAGAAGACAAAAGTCCTTTATTTCTTTCTAGCATTGTAATGAACTGCAACCTTTTTAAGAAAAGCTTTCTTTAGGGACAGATGGTAGAGAAAATGGTCCTAACATTTCAATTTTACCATTCGATAATTCTTCCAATGAATCAAATCTAAAGGGCAAGTGACTAAGTTGGGGTAAATTGGATGATGTTTTTTGTAGGTTGATTGAATAACAAAATCATGATCGATCATTGTCAACCTTCAGGCTATAAAATTATGCATTTCTGTCTTCGAGACAGTGTTTTATGTTACATTCACTGATTCACTTGTCATCAGAATACTCCATGCTTTAACTGAGCTATTACAACTCTTACCGCTGCTGTAACCAGTACGAATTTAGAAAGGAGACTTTTGATACTTTTCGCGTAAATTTCATAAAATTACTGAAATCCTACCATATATGGCAACGTAACAGTCTCTCGAAAGATTGTAGCCATTTTTTAGTAGTTTCTTGAAGTGAAAATTGTACGCAACAGACTCAAAAGCACGATATGAAACGTTTTTCGATTCCATTCGCTTTTTTTTGTCTACTTCTTTCAAACGCCATGGGATTATTTTCGTTTTTCTTTGATGCCAATGCTTGTCCCATGCATTCAAAAACACCTCACTCTTCTATCTTGCCGCGCCGCTATGACGAACTCCTTCAGCAGAGGGAGCAGCTACTGTCCCATTTGAGATTATGTTTTGACAAGAGATCTTTCTCGTTCATACAGATTCAAAGACACTTTTTCAGCTGTAAATAATAAACATTTTAACTTAACCCTTTAACTCCCATGAGTGACCAAGACAGAATTTCTCCTTACAATATCAATACAATATCAACCAGATAAGCGATGAGAATAGAGAAAAATATCAATTTGGGGATAATTAGATGATCCAATAATAAATTCTCTGAACTAACACTGTAAGAATTGTGTGATTGACAGTGAGGAGAATGACAAATTTAATCTGGGAGTTAAAGGGTTAACCCAATTATGTGAAACATTTTTCCACGATCAAATGCATTGAACGCGTTTCAAAGATTAAAGTACCGAAATAAGCAAATTTGAATTTAGTTTTAGAATATTTAAGATTTGAATCATGACGGCTTCTTCCAACCTGCAGCTGAACCACAACATACCCTGGTTTTTAAGCATCTACTGAAAATAGTTAGATAACACCGTGTGGGCAAGTTACTAACTATGGAAAAGTTTATTTCCCAACAGTCCCTAAACCTCTAACATTCCTTCATCATCGTAACATTAAGTTAGGGAAAGAAAGTTAGGCACCACACCAAGAAGAGTTTCTTTGGCTTTGATAACAAGCGATTTAGGTTTCATCACACTGAGTTATATCATGACGAAACTGAAGAAAAAAGCTAGGCAAACACGGATCCAAATATGGCTTTGATAGCCTTAGCTGAACATTAAGCAAGGAGATTCATTGAAAGAACTCGAGTTTTAAACAAAGTTCTCCAAAAAGGATCATCAAACTCATTTTTTATTGTCAAATATTTGAGCCAAATGCTTCCCATCTGTATTATTCGTCACCATCTGATTGAATAATCAGTCAGCACAGTGAACTTGAACTTTTGATTCTCACTCCCAAGTTAAACAGTCAAAACAAAAAAACAACTCTTCTAATCAACGAAATTATATTGAAAACCAGCCAGCTCACTATTTATCAGCACGTACTTCTCATCTACGAATAATGCGATTACATTTCTCATTTTTTTTCTTTCTATCAAATAAGAACGCTTGAAGCCATCCTCCATACCCTATAACTCTGAAGTTAAGTTTGAACCATGAATATGTGACTTTTCTACTTGTACATCGATAAAATAAAAAGTTTCCATTAAGACTCTACGAGTTTGATTTAGTAAACATCAAACCTTCCGGAAACACAAAACTGGCCAAATTCTTAAGAAAACGCAGACATCAAAACAACCGCAAATTACCTTACGTCAACTGCGAAGGACTCAATCTACGAGCCAAAATCCACAGAAATGAATGTGGCTTTTATGAGTACAGCTAGTTACCAAAACTCATTATGATCTATTAGTCTAAGTTTAGAAAAATAACGACATGGTCAACATTCAGGTCGTCAATGAACCGATGGGACTCAACCGACAAACTCCCCGACCACTGATATTTATACATGATTTTATACACACAGCTTATTGTAAGCTGCAGCAAGGTAGTCTGGCCATTCAAGATAGTATTTCATTATAATCTTCCTATGCCATGGACATTTGCGGTAGAAGACGTCACGGGTGTTACAAATATTGATTATGACGAGCATAAAAAAATTTGGACAGTGATGGTGTCAAGACGATATGGACAAAACAGGACCTTTACAAGTCTTTTTCCTTCTCTTTTTATTCTCTTCCGAGTGGATTCCTGGTGAAGCACGAGGAAATACCATTTATTACATTTACGATATCATACCAAAGTATTTAGCTAGAATGTTAAGTGAAATGAGGACTCTGTTCTTCTTACGTTTTTTTAACCTAAGCTCATACTTAAAAAGCCACTTTCTAGTGGGAGTTTCCTGTGGATAAGTGGTCTATTGCATGTGCCCATTTGAAATGTTTAAGTTTCCATTATACAATTAACTTTTTTACCGCAAAGTAATATAATTCTCAGCTGGTTTTAATTTGTGTTTGTCGTGTCTAGCACACCAACTCTTCTGTTCCGCTGAATTCATTCTAGAATGAGCCAATGCCCCTCTTTTTTTAGGAGAAACAGATTAAAATAATTACCTTGCGGTGGTCAAAATGAGCAGCGTTTTTGGCAAACACATGCTGCAGTTTTAGACTGAAAAGTATCCGGAATTACTGAAGATAATCCTAAAACAGAGTCACATTTGGTCGTACCACACGCTATCTGCAAATGCATATGACACGAGACAAGTTCCTAAGAGTTATTGGAAAATGGGCTTGAAATAGAAACAGGCAGTAGTTTTTTCAGGGAAACAATTAATTAACCCTAGCGGCATTTTCCATGTCTGTACTTGTGAAGTCCGTAGTGAGGCGTAAGCCTCGATGAAATAATGATTGAGAAAATTAAGTGGGAAGAACTGTTTCCGGCGGTGACATCCGCTGGACTCAATATTCTTATTGTTGCCCTTGTCATCATGGCAATATATAGTAAATCAGGGTGATTTGTTGCACAATAGAGGTCATTTTCTCTCTTAAATATATTTCATACCAAATGACCTCTCTTTAACCAAATCGCTGGCCGATAAGCTGAAATTAACCCTTACAACTGTTTGAAGTATCCGTCAATAACTTTCCTTCCTGACGCTCTTTACGTTAAAAATAGAGATTGCTGTATTGATGACTTGGAAACGTTTTTTGCGTGTAAAGGTCAAGTGATTTGCAGTTTGTCGTGTCTAAGAATTAATTTCTTCATGGACTGATACTGCGGAGGTGTAACTATGGTGTAACTGGATCTAGCTGATCACTGATCAAAAGTGGGAGGAGATTGTTTGTATTTGACTTGTATTGGGTTGTATTTTGTTTGCATTTGTTTATATCGCGCATTCCATGAGACAGCGAACATCTCCGCAACAGCATCGCCACTTACATCAAACAGTCACGTTAAGTTGAAATGGGTAAAAAAGAAATTGAAGGTAAAGACTCGAAGGCTGATAAAAATGCCAAGAAGAAGACGAAACGGCGACCACCTCGATTGACGGGAGTCAGCAAACAACGAAAAATGGCAAATGAAAGAGAGAGACGGAGAGTACACGCTTTAAATTCACATATTGAAAACCTTCGGGAGTTAATTCCACTCTCGCCATTTGAGAAACGACCAACCAAGACTGAAGTCATTTGGATGGCAGCAACTTATATCAAATTTCTCACTGACCTGTTAGAAAAACTGAAAACCGACAATACTGTTGAAAATACATGCGATGACTCTGATGAAATTCGTCAAAGTTTGGACCTAACGTTTGTAGATATGGCAGGTTAGTGGTGTTTGTAAAATTTTTCCTTATGCCTTCACGTTGAAGTGTTGTGATAAAAATTTTATCTAATATTTTCGCGTATTTTTATTCTACAGTGTCCGACATTTTTGGCCTTAATGATTGCTCCGCAGTATCAGAGCTGAATCTGGACGCTTATGAACTTTTATTTCTCACAGGTAAATAAATAATTCACCAAATTTTGTTATTGTCTTCGTGTTATGAAAACACCTTTAAAAATTTGTACTTCGTCGTGTTGTACAGCTCCTAGTGTTGAAGTTTTTTTTATAATGTTGTTTCTATCCTTTTTTACAGACTCAGAGGGATCTTTAGACGAAAACTGATTTTCGCTGGATTAGTATTTAAATTTTCATCAGATGTCCGCGTAAAACAGACAATTTAATCATCATTACGCTAATGGCACATTTCTTCATGGTAGTTCAGACATCGAGTCATAACAAACACGTAAATGAAGATACTTCACTGACGTTAAAAAATAGGAAAACTGTCTATCTTATAAACTTCAGATCACAAAAGGAACTGACGCAAGTTTTAAAAATCGCCTCGAGGTCAAGAACGTCAAGAATCCCACTGATCTTGGATCACCCAAATTCAAGAGTCCTTAAATAAAAGGAAATCTAGGTTAAGTTTAGTCAAATAGGCGGTTGCTCTTGATGATAACATAAAACCCGCACGATGTATTTTCATTGCGAGTTAAACCGATGAGAAAACAAATTGGTATTTCATGTGATACCAAACAAACTTGACTTGTTTTGGTTTCCGACTGAAAGAGATAATTCCTTTGGTATTTTTATTTCTCCTACAATCGTCTTGTAAGAAGTTAAGAAGGATTATGTTCGTAAATAAAAGTATTTTTAACACGCGGTGGATCTATTACTGGTCAAAAAGGACGGAATTTATCGGGCGGCCTTATTGAGAATATATACCAGACCAGCGTTGACAAGTTGTTTCAGTTGTTTAATCACAGACTTCAAGCGCCCTTTTTAGCTCAATATCATTTATGATAGCCGGGAACTCGAAAATCAGCCAACGTTTCTCCGGATTTATATAATTCAGTCATAAAGTACAAATTGGACAACAGTCTACATAAATAAACGAATAAGTCGGAATATATCGTGTTGTTTCAATCTTTGCCCACACAAGTGTAAAAGTATGTAGTGATGATTTGAATTCGCTAAGCTATAGAAGTGCGATAACAAGCGTCGATAAATCCATCGGAATTTCTTCCTTGATGATCACAACAGCCGTCAGTTTTCTCAGTATTTAAGATGTGAAGACTAAGATAAAACGTGAAAAGTCGAGAACACAAAATTTGCAAGCTAAACCACGCACAAACTGTTTCTCTTCTATGATGGACCGGAGTTTTCAAGCGTACACGTAGCAATTAAAAGTTCACTCACAATTTCCTTTGCTTGTCTCCTGGGACGCAAACCAATTTTTCAAGCTGTAATGGAAGTTCAGCCAACAAAAAAAAAAACAAAGATTGATGGAACACATGAAAAAGTGAACACATTTTGTAATATGCACACGTAGGCTGACGAACCATATGAGTTTTCTTGAGATAAACCGACTTTACTAAGATTTCCATTCTCCCGTTACTAACCGTTGTTTATAATGACCTTTTCATTCACTGCCTAATTTTGCTGTAAAAACTGTTTTATCAAAACGAAAACCGTCTTTGTCGGCGAGTAATACCGCCTATGAAGTATAACAGACTGTTTTTAGATCAGGCAACTCGGGTATCAATGAAGGAAAGTCGAAATGACGATCACGAAACGATTTCAGGTTTCACCCAAGAGAAAATATTCTACTAAAGTGAAGCGGACAATGTAGTGATTTAACCGTTTACGGATGCAACATCTTCATCCAGAATTTTTGGGACACAGCAGTACAGAAGAAAAATGGGTTCGTTTAATGGTGAATGAGAAACAAGAACGTTTACGTTCCTGACCCCTGGAAACTGTAGCTACATGCAAAACATGATCAACTTTTTGATAAAGGTTTTTCGCTCTGTGTGATAATGCTCTCTCACCGATTTCAAGACCAACTTTGAGAAATAGAAAGTATCTCTTCACTTCCTTTATTCCCATTTCATTGACAAGTTTAATTTGGGAAGCATATAGTAATTTTTCCATTGAAGATTTCAGGATAAGCGAAATTTTAACTCGAAGAATTCGGGAATCTATGTCAACTCCACAAGTAGATTTAAAGCAAGCAACCCACGCCATACCATGCCATGGGAACCTTGCCAGAAGAGGAATGGGAACCTAATAAAACAAAGACGACAGGCTTTGTCTCTGTTGTTCGTTTGTAATATCATCCTTTTCTCTGGCATGGAAGGTTGTGAATTCCGAGAAAAGTTCTGGTTCAAAATTTTAATCAACACAATGCGGGGATATTGTTCATTCCGTAATTAAACTCCCAACACATTTAGTCCGTTCCAGTTAATCAAATAATTTCTGTAGTGCATATATGTAAAATAAAGTCAAAGTATCACAAATATTAGATATCGTGATGGATATTGTTACCAGTGGTAACGACTGAATTGAGTCAGGATACAGAGGATAGCAGAGTGCTGAAATCTGAATTACTAGGGGTGTGGTCATTAACCACTCTTTATTATTTTTCTCTTATCATAAAAGTCTCAGAGGCGTAGGAGTTGAACAGTCCTTTGATTTGCTTTTCTTGTTTTCCTTTCTCTGTTATCCGTGGTTTTCCGAGATAGCTCTGTGGGCCGTTTTCCTAGTAAAGAGGTGTAAAGGAGTTTGGCTCCTAAACAACAACTGGATAGGCAGGTCTGATTACCAGCCATGTGCCTTATTCTTTGGAAGTATTGGAAGCATATCCCTCTTTCCGTAGCATTAGTAACCAAAGGTATTTCGTCTCTTCTTGGTAAGGATACCAGTGCATTGCAGGAAACCAATCCAGTATTTCCTCGGGTTTCCCTTTCAGTTTGTTGATCTGTCTCTTTACACGGATCATGTTGGGGTGGAACCAGGCATTGTTAGCTTAAGAATACAACAAAATGACCTCTCCTAGGCCTGAACCCTGATCTTTAGAGCTATTTAATAAGGCATGCTGACCCGGCAAGATTTTTAAACCAAGGAGAAAAATGAATCTTGAGACATAAAACATAAAGGTAACATTATAACTCTTTAGAGTTATAATGTTACTCTTTAGAAGATAGAGGAAACATTATAACTCTTTATGACTATACAAAGAAGTGGCACTACTCAATAATGAGTAAACTGAGGGAGGGTCACTTGTTTTGTGCCGCAAGGAAAAATGGGAATCGGTACAACTCTTTTAATATATATATATATATATGCTGTCTATAAACAGCTCAGTTTCTTTTCATTCTAAATGAACCTGTTTTAACTGAAAAACCTGCACGCCTAAGGGTCTGATTATCTTCGCAGAGGTTCGCGCATCCGCTATTATCTGCATAGCATGCAGAATACCCTTACATTCCACAGTAGCGTGGTTTAGAATGTTTCCATTATGGAAAGGTAAAATTGAGGACAAATGAAATTGTCGTCACTGTTGTTGTCCTACTTAAACTCTTCAAGACTGAAGAAAATTTTAGATCGCAGCAAGTTTACTGTATGTCAAATTTTAGTTTCAAAAATCTGAATCAGAAGAACTTTCCTCTTTCACAGTAACTAAGTACGCGTCGCTTTTTCCTTGAGGCTTCGTTAAAGTCGACTCACATTGTCGATTTTTTTTCAACAGTTCTGTGAGATGATGAATATAAAGTGCAGCCAGTCGTACTGTTTCTATCTTAGATGGCCGTTTCTCTGTTGGAAGTAGAGGTATTAAATTGCGCAAAGTCTCAAAGGCGCTGTTGATAGCTTGTACTCTATTCCTCTCTCTTGCGTTTGCTGACTTTCTTTGTTTACTGACTCCTGTAAGTTTTGGTCCCCGTCTCTTGTGCTTTTTCTTTGCTTGAGCTGGCGACGAAGGCACTGAAGCCGGTGAATCAAACTTGTAATTGCTGCACACAGATGAGTGCATGACCCCAACACTTGCCAGTGAATTCACCATCTTTAAGCCCTGTTTGTACAAAATCATTTCAGTTAAATGCTCTCGACAGGACCCCATAGTTATCAGTCACAAGTTATTCTTTTCATTGTTGATAAAACAGCCCTGTTGTATTCGCTTGTGAATGAAATATTTGCCGTGAGAAATCTAATTTTGTACCAACTCAAACAATTTCAAGGAAAAAAAAGCAGCCTACTTTACCCTACACCATGCTATGTCAACACTAGGTGCACCCAACAAAAATCGAATATTAAGAAATTTTTGATTGTCTGTACGTTTTGCGAGAAAATTTATGTTAAGAACTGTGTTTCTCAGTCGGTAATGTTAATTCGAATTTCTTAGGAACCGGATAACCGCATCGAATGGAATAAAACCTCCATAACCGCAATTTCCCAATAGAAAGCTCTGCTTGCAACTTTAATCCTAATCATATCATAAATAGAATTAATTAGGAAGAATTGTTAGAGTTTGTTTCGGCGCTTTTCGATCGTAGATTTCCATTTGTCGGTTTTTTTAATTTGTCGGCATTGCTCGGTAGGTTTCGCCAGACTTACGGCAGGTTTTCGAGAGCTATCCATCTGGAAACAGCCAAACGTAATTGCTACTTTCTGTAGTGAAATCAACTAAATGTAAAAGTACATACACTGCTTTCCACTCAAAAAGAAAACAATACAGAGTTTTACACTATAACAATGTCGCAACAGCGATTCGCGATATACATTAGTTATTTCATCTCATCCGGCCGAGGTATCTCAGTTATTAACTTTGGGGGGCAAACGTGTTATTCAGTACCTACCGCAATAAGCTATTGTCCCGAACAATAACTTTGGTAATTGCGGCCATCTCTAGGCCAAGTTGCTTTGATGAACAATGAAGTTACCGATGTGCATTTTGATAGTATCTCTAATTGTAGCAGAGAACGAGATTACTTGGTCTGTAAACTTACAGCAGGTTATGAATATCAGTCAAATAAAAGATGAGATGTCACTTAGAAATCGTAACAGACAAATATTTGTACTCTGTCTTACCTGAACTGAATATTAAGAGAATATGAATGCGACCTTTGGTTTAAAATATTTTGGGCGAAGGCTGCGAAATTTACTTGGCAAAAATATATTCGGGATGAGCTGAAACTGATGGCTTATCAGATTACATATATTGCCTATTCGATCTGAAATCTTGATTGCTAAAGCACACGCATTAAGTCAAAACGATTTGTACTGCGCGTGCCAGAAAAATAACATACAATTTAACGGCGAATGACTTAGAGGTTAATCACTATTAGAGCAACATTTCGGCAAAACAAATGCATATTCTTCTCACCTTTGGTATCTGTGTTAACTGTTTTAAAACCTCTGCCCCGTGAAAGCTCAAATTTAAATCTCTTCTTATTAGTCCTTGTTCGTTAAACGGATCGAAACAACTTCTGCAAAAATATGCATTGCTCGAGTTTATTCTCTCAGCGGGTAATTTGCCAAAAACTAAACTGGGGGGTAAAGAATTTCAAACTCTCTCAAAACACATTCCGGTCTAATGTGTAACTGTATATTTGCGTTCCTTAATCCGTTATCTTTCTCAGATTTTGGTTGAAGACGGAAAAAGGCATAAATTCCTGTCTTAGACCGGGTCAAGGACGAAGATTATTACTTGAATAACAACTAATAATTTAAGTATAAGTTATGGCTCAAATTGTGGCTTATCTCTGATAGGGTTTTACGTTTGGCTGATTTTGAAAGAAGCCGAAGGAACCATTTTAATCTGCTCCAAAATTGAAAAGATAAAGTATAATTGCTGAAAAATTTAAATGAATAGTTTCGCATCAGATTTCTCAGAAGAAATAGGAGCAAAAACTTGGTAATCGTCAGTAATATTCATCAAAACTGCCTTTCTTAGCTGGTACATACTTTTCTGATGTATGAATAAAAATAGACATCGCCTCTCGCCTGAGGGAAACATTGTTGTTTGAAAAGAATCTTTTCATTGATGATTGCTTTCACTCTTATCAGTTGTATTTTGGTAAATCATTCAAACATGTCTTAAGTTTTGTAAAAGTTAAAGAATTCAAAAGAAACTCAACACACAAAAAGTAGATGGGTATGAGAACTGTACTGAGTTTATTTTCATCTCTCGGTGATACAACATTGTTGTGCCTAGCTTAGAAAAGAGGCTTTGAATGCACTGTATCGAGGTTATTACAGTTTGTTGACTCTTGCTGTTAAGAAGTCGGTAAACAGCAAAACAAAAGTGGAACAGGGCTTAAACGAAATTCCGTCAGAAGCTGAACCGCTCTAAGTTGTAATTTTAAGTCCAGTAAAACGCGTTATTTTATCTTCTAGATAAATCAATAACTGGTTATCTAAGATTACTAACATTTGAACTTTTGCAATTCAAAATCTCGGCTTAATTTGGAGTTAATCACAGTTTGTAAACTTTGAGGTCTTAAAGAGGTGTTCAGGTTTCCGTTTCTTGCAGAGCTGATAACTCAGTTTTAGGGTCTTGAACGTCTTCGATCCGTTTGCCAACCAAAACTCCTTGTTCCTTCAAGATGGATGAAAGCTGCGAGATGTACAAAGTAGCACCCACTATGACATCAAACTTGGTAACCCTGTAATTGTTCTGTGTTTGAGGAATTAAAGTTCGTAGAATTTGAATATAGTTATTCAGGATGTTTACTCGATCTCTTTCCCGCGCATTTGCTTTTCTTCGCTGTTTGCTAACCCCAGTTAATCTTGGAGCGCGTCGCTTCTTTCGTTTGCAATTTTGGAGTGAGTCTTCTTTGTCCGTGCATCGCTCTACAGTTGAAGGAGGCATATTTCATTATTTTCAGGAACTTTTGCTGACACACTGACGCACTGTCGACTTTTTTTTTCTGATGTTTTTAGTGATCGTGTTTTGAGTAGACTACCGCAGAGTTTACAGATCACAGGTCATTCCTTTAGCCAACCATCAACTAATCTAAAACTTTAAAATTAACACATGCTTATAAGGTATTTGGTTGTTATGAATCTTTCAAGCAAAAATGTTTACCTTAAGAAACAAAAGAACAATTCAAACGTAGGTTTGTATAGTTAAATATGCATTTGAGGTGTTGGCTAACTAAATATGAGAATTTTATCCTACGCTCAACCTATGTTCTCATATCGAATATTTTTATAAGTCGTTTGTGTTAGCTTTGTTCTTCATAAATCACGTCAACTAAGAACCCAGCTTTAGATCGAAACTTGGATTATAACAATCTCGCCGTAGGAGGTCCAACGAGAATTTTTACGAAAGTAGATAATTTAAAGCTTGTCTACTCGAGTCAACCGCATCAACAAGAATTGAGAACTGACTCTTTTCTTCCGTTTTTATTGCAAATGAACGGGTGAACGTGATAGTTACCAATCAATAGGGTGTAGTAGTTACACCATAAAGGGTTACCTTTTTTAAAAGTTGTTATTCATCAAAGTCAATGTTTAAAACTTTGTCGGCATGCCCGGCACGTGTAGCCATCATAAGTAGCGGACAGGTCTTAAAGTGGTCTAACTCTGATAGATACACTACTAAAATGGTTAATTGAATTTGTAAAACACGAGTCATGTCCCATAGGACCACTGCTAACCAGTCACTTCCAAATGCAGTGACCGGCCCGTCTTATCGGAACTACCTTCTCTCGGCTTGGACTTTAGTGTGAGTAGCTAGCGAGGACTTTCCATAAATCCCTAGGATAACCGATAAACAAAAAAGGCATTTTTCTTCCAGCTGAAGCCCACTAAATGTTTTGGATTCTTCAGTGAGAGACCGATCTGTTTTCGGGAAGACAGTGATCTTTCTTTGATGGTAGATGGAACGCTTGGTGTCCCTGCGGGAGGCTTTTAGCTAAACCTAAACAACAAAAAAAAACACAACACTGCTTGACAGGGTGGCTTAAATATATGGTTTGTGTCCTCAACCGGCAGGGAAGATGAATAATTATATTTAGTTATTTTTAGGAGCCAAATTGTCAATTTGTACATTTCCAAATGCCATTCACTGCACTGGAGCACGTCCATGTAACTCTCATAACTCTCCTTAATGTTTTTACAGACTTCAACTCACTACGTGGATTGACATCGAGGTGACAGCTGTCCGGGAAATTTATTTGGAAAGATGTGCATACTTACAAGTCATCTTTTGGCTATTGCCAAGCCTCTCCGGTTCCCTTCTCCCTACCCCCTCTCCGTCAAGCCTCTCCGGCTCCCTTCTCCCCAACCTCCCCCCACCCCTTACGCACCCACCATTCGTTCTCCCAGCTCGAAATCCTGACGTAATCCTGTGTGCTATCCTTTGAGTGACAAATACGTTTCGGGTCTACAAGGAAGATTTCATTTTTGGGGGTGAAAGAGACCCGAGACTTTATTGGCTAAAGAATTATAAAAGGAGTGAAACGAAAATTGTCTAATCCGAGGCTAGCGACACTCTAAAATCAGTGTTTGAAAGTCCGGGACCAAAACCAAAACAATTGTTATTATGTCGGCCATGATACTACCGTCGCTTCCCTCAAATTTTGCATTAAAATATCTATACCCTTTTCTGTTTCCTTTTATGGCGTCTAAATTGAAATAATTCCAAGCCGCATCTATCAAACGCGGACTTCCCACCTTAAGATACATGCAAGGCTACAGGCAAAGCTATACCCTTCTGGCTGAGACCCGCAGCAAGCTGCAAAACTGTCCGCGTTTTTTTTTTTTTCTTTTACAACCTTAGGGCCTATAAAAGGAAGTATTCTTCAAACGCTTCGGTGCCTGAAGTCTAATGGATATTTTTTCGGGCAGATAAGTGTCCATTCCCAATCTATGTTATTATAAGGGTGTTAATTAACACAATATTGGCTCGATTGCCGCCAGTGTGTCGAAGATCCTTGCGGGTTAATACATTGCAAAATTTTGTTGCAAGAGGTTTAGGTAAGACATTAGACTTTAAAAGTTGGCTAACATTATTCAAAACTGATTTTTCTGTCACGAAAATAAAATTTGCCTGATGCGACTGAAAGTAATTGTGTCATCTTAACAATCTTTTCTTCTGATTTCCATTCTCTCTGCTGACGAGTGCGTCCTAAAGATTATAAACATTTGCATTTATCATTTAAATGTAATAAGCTGTTTAAAAAAATCACTAGTTAGTTTTTATAACTGATAAGATTTGAATGTTCTGCGGCTCATTCACGACGAGTTAAAAGGAATTAAGTCTGTTCAATAAGAAAAGTATCGTTTTGAAATAAATTTTAAAAATCAGCGAAATAATGTTTATGAATTTATAACGATGATTCCAAAAAAGAATAGAAAAATTCAATGACTGTCTTTTTTGGGCCGCTGTTTTGTTTAATTAATAAACATTTCGGTCGTTTATTGTTGTGAGGACAGTGATAAGTTTTTCTTTATCTTTGAGCCCCATTCCAACTCAAATATCCCCTGGTATCAAGCGCCGCCGCGAAACTTATAAGGTATGGATTGTAAAAAACACTCGCTCCTAGTCAAAACTTCAAACCTGCTTGAGAAGAATGCGATTTTTTTTTTTGACGGGTACGTCATTTCATATATAAACATCTCCGAGGGCGGTCTATGTCTGTAAGGCTAGTGATAAGTAATGTTTTTATCTCTCAGTTCCACTCCACTTCAAAGGCTCAGGCATCCGGCAAACGGACAGGTGAAACCAATACGGGCTGGGCTTTATATAAAGGACTTATTCCAAGTCATAACTCCAAACAGGTTTCATTTACAGCCATGGCTGACGAGCTTGAAGCTGCGGTTTTCAATGAGGAGAAAAAGAAGAGAAAGCGGCGTGGTCCGCGTTTAACTGGGATCAGTAAACAGCGCAGAATGGCCAACGCCCGAGAAAGAAAGAGGGTGCAGAATTTAAATGAGGAAATTGAAGTTTTAAAAAGTTTGTTACCACTTTCCTCACAAGATAAAAAGCCAACGAAGACAGAAGTTATATGGCTTGCAGCTCAATATATTGATGTCCTTACACAAATGTTGCAGGATGCAAAAAGCTCAGATAATTTCGACGAGGATTCCTTCCTGGATTTTGATACACTACTGGGTATAGATATTGACAGTCTCTTTGAACTGGACGGTAGGTGCAATGTATTTGACCCTCAACGTGATAAATTACTTTCGTTCACTATGAATTATTAAAGGTTTGACCCCGATATCTATATTGTGGTCTGCTGGTTGATCCATAAATTTACAACTCTTCGGCTGGAGTTGCAGTTTTATTTAGACGAATAAATTTGATAAAACTCCAAAATTTTGGAGACCTACTATCTTAATCCTTACCCTGCAGGGTCTTTTTTTTCTTATCTGGTTGAACTAACACGCCTACGCTGCGCTGTTGGTTTTATTTTCTTGAAGACTCAAGTCATTTGCGCGGTCTCACTCAATTGTCGTGATATTGTAATCGACTCTTTTAGCAAGGTTGCACCCATTCAGCTGATACGAAAAGCCTATTGTGCCGATAAACATGCACATCTGTCAATACTGGTTAAGTATTAGTAGCTGAAAGGCTGGCGATTATTGTGTTTTCTGAAGCATTAGTCCTTCTGGATTAGGCGCTAGTCCATCCCAGGCAAACCCTTTACCCCACCCCTTAGATACTTTTTTTGCTAGATATCCGCGCCTATTCGCAGGTAACCATTTATTATTGATGAAAAGAGACATTCTGCAAGGATTGAAACCACTGACGCTGTCCAGGTCTCGAAATCTGTCCGAGTATTATCTTAGTATTCATCTTTATGAACGAGGAGCTCATTTCGGTAAACGTGTATGACGGCTCTTCGTTTCATGATCTTATCTCCGAAACAAACCTAAAACTAAGAAACTCACTTCGCCAGACTAAACCCTCTTTGCTTTTTCCTTTTCAGATTTTGCTCCGCTCGTGCTTTAAGAAATCCTGGTTCTCTTCCAGACAGAGCTGGTGAAAACCTTGTCAAGACAATCATTAAACGATGCCGTGACGTCCAATTGAAACATAGACCTCCGAGCCATTGTAATTATCACCTTATCTACACCTCTCGAATTTGTTGCTTTAGGATCAGCTTTCACAACATTCAGTTATTTTGGTGGGTTTCTTTAATCAAGGGAAAATATATGTTCTTCTGTGGTATATTCCGGCAAAGCAAACTAGGACCCAAAAATAGTCTTACCCGTGAGAAAGTGAAATAATATTATTTCCAGACATCACAGAACAATAACTTGAAAATCAAAATTAATCTAAGGAGTGGGGTTTTTCCTCATGTTAGTCTTAATACATTTGTTTTATGTCTAAGCCTGGGGTCTCTTTTTTCGCGGAATAGGCCACCTTTTCGTCTCCCTTTCCCTCCTCTCTGTCGATACAATGGCCGTAATCCAATTTCGAACGTTCCCGAAGAGTTTCATAAACTTGATCGTATCACAATACGACTTCAGTCACTGCACTTTAAACTTCCCGAAGTTCATGAAAACATTTTCACAAATTATGGCTGAATATTCGCTAACATAGATTGATTACTAAGAGAGTTTATTTGTAGTCATAGGCATTGGACGTGTGTACTCATGCTTTGTTTTGTTTTCAAGCCCACGCCTCAATCTCTTTGTAATACAGTATCCGAGTTTTCCTGTAGAATACAGTGTGTTAATTCAGATAAGAGTCAATTAAAAGTAAGAAATAACAAATTAGGAGAGAACTACCGTGATTCGCTCAAAAAATTCCCTTTACAAGCTTGGACGAAAGTGATGTGTACGGCATAGGAGAATTTGAATGGATATCTTAACCAAGAAGGTTGTAAGATTCTAACCTCGATTTTCATAGCCCTCTTGATAGAAAGCCCGGTTTACATCCTTTGGAAATAAAACTTTGCACATTAGAGCATCTTTTTTTTGGCAAAGTAATCTAATAAGATCATCGCAACAATGCACTGAATTCCCTTTGCCTGAGGTCAGTCAGCGAAGAAATTTAGTTTCGAGATGTTAATTTGTGCGGCTTGATGAAAGGGAGTTGTTTCAAAATATCCAGTTGCGCTGATTGTTAGGTCTGACCGAGAGAATTTGCGGTTTCAGCCACAACAAACAAAACACTAAATACCGACTTAGAAACACTGACAAGATTCTCAACTACTGCGGTTGGAAAGCTAATCTAATCGTTGACCCGTTGGCTGGACGTTCTTCCTAGTATACATTGCACAAAGTAACCACAATCTAACGTGCGAGCATAAACTTTGTTTCTGAATTCCAACTTTTAAATCAGCCCTTTTAAATTTAATATCAAAACAGTAAACAAGCGTGTGAAAACAATAATTATTCCTATTAAAAACTACTTCTGAACTTTCACACACTGAACTGATAGGTAAAAAATACTTCTGAGCTCAAAAGCTCTATAACCAACTATGTTTAGCACAAAGGCACACTTGTGTCGTAAATATTTATATGTACCGTTGTAACCTTGATTAAAAGATTTTCTGTAGGGGGCTTCATTCGAGACATTCAGCTGAGAAATACAGCATTTAAAAACTCTGAGGGAGGTGATATAATAAAAAAGGACCGGCATAGTTGAAAAATATTTGCCGCTATAAACAGTTCAAGTGTAATAGAATTTTGACCAACGTTTGTAGTTTTTTTTACCCTTGTGGAATAGTCTTTTCTTGATAAATTTGTCCACTTCCTTTTATCAATTCCACTTTTTGCAAAGGCTTAACATCGTTTCTGTACTTCTGTTCAAAGAATTCCCTTTTGCAAATGATAGAAAAAAATTTTGGCATCTGTACTCATTATGATCAAGCGGAAATTTCACTTGCTAATCTCTCATTTCTTCTGTTATCCGAGGCCTTCTCTTGCTTGGATAACATGATCGATTGAATGTGAGGAATCTACAGATGACGAGGTTTTCATGATTCCATCCAAGTGTTTCAGTCTTATTAATTACGAATGGTACAAATTCCTACCCTAATGCCTGCAGGTCAAAAAGGAAAAAAACTCATGATCGATCGTCTAAATACACTCCCTGTCAAAAATAAAATAACTTGGTTACTTATCATAATCATAGTAATTGCGCATTAAAGAAATGACTGAAATGAAAATTTTCATATTATGACATATTAATCATGGACTTTTTGATTATCTCATGTAAAGTTGTGGTATCAATTTAATATCATACACACGCTATGCATCATTCTTCTGCGCTGCTTGTGTCTGAGTTCCCTCTTCCTCTAATAACAACATCAATCGACCAAAGTAAGAGGCCGCCATCCAAATTATCTCTGTTTTAGAAGGTTCTTTCTCTTCTGGAGGCAGAGGAATTAAACGACGTTAAATCATGATGTTGTTATTTAAAGTGGGCGCTCGTTGCCTTTCGCGTGCGTTTGCCAGCCTTCCTTGTTTACTTACGCTCGTTGGTCGGGGACCGCGGCGTATTGGTCTTTCCTTTTGAGGCATGGATTCTGTTTCTTTATCAACATTTTCCATTTTTCAGATTACCTAAATTTCCTCGCATGAATCTAGGCAACCGGTCAATTTCCTCTAAAAGAAGAATCGATAAAAAGTGAGGCATGGCAGAGAAATTGGGATGAAGTTACCTTCGTAAATCCGTTCCGCTTGTTTGAAGCTTTCTGTTGGATTGAAAACATTGAACACAAAACGCCGGAAGCTCTACGCTCACAACCCTTGATCCTATCGCATGTAAATTGAAGGTTTTGTCGTCAAGGCTATGATTATATAAATCAACTTTTGTTAACGAAAACTTCGCTATTGTTAGCTGTGTGAGCATACAAACAGTTATCTAAACAGTTCACCACTCAAGGCTTCTTTACATAATTTAAATAGTTTTACAGCTTATGTGACCCAACAAAATTTCTTTCCCTACAACACAGATTCTCAATTTTTCCTTTTCCAAAATTCCGGATCAAAATTGTTGCTGTCCTGCACAATCTCACATTTTTCCTGAATTGTTTTCCCCCGGGTCACAACTGATACCTGTGATGCAACATTAATGCCAAACTAAAAGATCGAAAGAGATGCAAAGAGGTGTTCGGCGGCTATTATGATCCAAATGCCGTTTAATGAAAGTTACCTATAACACTCCACAGGGCATCAGTTCAGTATTGTTTATAATCTAAATCAAATTTACCTGACAGTAAACAAAAACATGTCAACGAACACATCAATTTATCTACCAGATTACAAGAAGTTGAATTGTTTGAAGTTAATTTGAATTTGAGTGTTTGAGACAAACCGTAAGCTCACCCAAGAAATAATTCATTGATCTTAACTATGTCCTTAGGAAGCCTCACTTGTGACGATCACAGCACTAGCTAAAACCGGTTCATGACATGAACGAAAGGAACGGAGATATTAGAAGTCGATATTTAATGAGGTTTTGGCCTCAAACAGAGAAGCTTACAATTATCAAGAACCCAAACACAACGGCTTGGTGATTTTCAATGAGAATAGGTATTTCATGGCTCTCATAAACAATATGTTAATTGGGAGTTATTTCGAGCGATATTTCGCTTGTTAGGGGCGTGTTTTCAGGGGTAACGTTCAATAACTATATGATTGTAGCCGATAACCTTGCGTTCCTTGGCACAAAAACATTGGGCAAGTTTTCCAACTTTTATTAGCCAGTTTCGCCGACAGAATGAGGTTCATTTTGGCTTTCCTTTCATGTAAAGGTGCAAAAATAATTTTAGAGCAAGTTTGAATGCAGAATTCTTCAGTAAAAACAAGGCACCTACGCTTACTCTTAGATCTATATTTTTATTTGACAATAATGCGCCTGCGCAAACATATTACTGGGTAACACCCAAATATCAATGATTTTTGTGCTTGAATATCAAGCAGAAATATTTCAATATTTTTAGCATATCGGTACCAGTCAAACTGTGTAATTCTAACAGCAATATCTATTAAGTAAGTAAATAAAGTATTGCCTATGTGCCCTCGAAATTCATGCCATGCATAAATTTACAACAACTTGACCGAAGTAATTAATTGACATTACATTAATTTGCACCCAGTGATTCCTCATTGTGAGGATAAAACGTTCTGTGTCACAAACATTCACTAAAATTCTTGCTATGAAATAGAAAATCAGTCCCATCAGTGATCAAGTTTGGACGCATCGTTATTTTGGAAAGGCGTACGACTCAAAAAGACAATGGCGCACAATCTGAAAGAAAAGGAGAGTTCAATGTCAGCTCATCAATCATAAAAATTGATAAACATTGGGAGACAATGAATCACCGGAGTTCGACAAAAGCCTCAGTCTAGGAGATTGTGGCTTCGTTAAGTTTATCTGCTCGCAACAAGAAATTTTAAAGATCTACTAATTAATACTAGGCAAGATCAATGATTACGATATGTCGCTTTGTGATTACTTCACGACACGGTTCGCCTCTCTCAGAGGGAAGCCAAAATGCCGACTTCGGCAAAATTGATTTTGTCCACGCTATTTCTTGCAGATATTTCCTCACTAGAGAACACTCAATACACCATAATTTCATACAAGAAAAGAATCAATTTGTTATCAGCCCAATAAACAATCTGATAAGTTTCAGCTTACGGCGCACAATAGGAGAGTACTGATCCTGTCAGACAAAATGCATAAAGGTGACGACGGAATAAATACTGTTTGGACAACCTTTAGCTCTTTCGCCCGCAAACTAAGCTTTTTCGGCTCCAGTTCACTAATTGGGATCTAATTTAAATGGGAAACATTATGCATGGTGTCTGATGTCGGTACATTACCTAAGGTTGAGTTATTTCTCCTGAAAAAGCATAACCTGGAGCCAGGGGTTCTCTTAATATTTTGTGAAACTAGACGAAGATTACCGTTCACGAGGTAAAACCTTAAAGTCATTAACAAGGCCTTTAAAAATGGATTGTTCTTTAAACGTCAATTTAAAAAGTCACTGGCTTACTTAGAAGGATTATGCCATTCCAACTGATTTGCATACACACCCTAAAACCTAACAGCCTACAACTCTCATTCCCTCCCATTTCTTTCAGCCGGTAACACCAACCTTCCAAATTAAACAGAGGGCTGTCATCTAAGCTATCCAAAGAGTCAATATCGAACATTTCAAGCTCAGCCTGCCACTGATCAGCAGAATCCAACATTTTGGTGAGCTCTGTGATGTAATCTACAGCTAGCCATATCACTTCAGTCTTAGAAGGTTCCTTCTCCTGCGGCGGAAGAGGAATCATATGTCGTAATATCTGGATATTCATGTTTAAAATTTCAACCCGGCGTCTTTCACGTGCATTCGCCACCCGGCGCTGCTTGCTGACGCCTGTAAGACGTGGTCCACGTCGCCGGGGTTTCTTCTTGTGCTGCGGAATAACTTTTCCAATGGGTGCGACGTCCATTTCGCGGATGTGGCAGTGTATAACTTGTTTATCGACTGACACGATCGTATTATATCAACATATTTGACCAAAGGAGTGAAGCCACGCGCCGTCATGCCTTTTGAGTCTTTTGTAATTGCACAAAGGTATCATCAGTTCTATGTTTTAGAATATCGTACGTCAGTAGTGAGTCCCCTGTGGAGTTTGAGGGAACCTTGGATTTTTGTCCGAGCGACGTGTTTTTGTGATGCGTGAAATTACATTGTATTCCACTTTGTGTTACATGAGCAGATATGAAGAGTTCGTCATTAACTGTATCCATATTACTTTTCTCTGCATAGTTCAATCATTTTACGACACAGATCGTATCAAAAACTCCCCTAGTTTCGAAAAACAAACATTACTTCATTAAAACGGTTCACGTCACAAAAATAAAAATTTGACTTTGGCTAGAGTCTTTTTATCTTGCAGGTTGTGTTTTGGCTCAGTCGTATTCAGAGGCTCAGCTGGAGCTAATTCACATAATGATCAAGGTTAGAAACAGGAACTCCACATGCATTCGCAAAAATTGAGCAATGTTACATAAAAATTTTTGCCTGACCACATTTCGCTTCTGTGGGATTTTTTTACAATCAAATTAATTAATTTAACTTAAATTATTTGTATATTCAAACAATTAAAGAATTGATATCATTTATGTGGGCGTATAAAGAATTTTGGAAGGAAATAGCTTATGTAATCATGAATTCCACATTCCTATCACTTAAAATCCCCTTTTCATATGGAAAGAAAAAAGCGACTGCTTTACATCACTGAGAGGTTTGTTAAGGAGTTATTTTCAAACTGAACTCTATCTTCAAATACCATCGACTTGTGTCGGTGGAAAATCGAAAAGCTAACAATGTTCATTAAGGTAAATCAACTTAGTAGAAGCTGTGATTTTTCGCCCGTCAACTCTTCGATGAATCATGCGAAGGCCACTGGAAGCTATTTACTGCTCTGCAGTCAATTCTCCATTATCAACTGAAGGTATTCAACTGACACCCAACAAATAGCTGGTAGATTATAATCATGAAATAAAAGAAAATGTTATCTAATTAATAAGATAGTACTCTTAAAACAATACGACAGTAAACAAAATACGCGATTTTCATTGTGATAAGATTCATCAAAGGTCTTTTCTCTTTATCAAATTTTAAGAATACTTAGGTTATCGTTTGATTTTTAACTCTCACGTCAAATCATTAGGAAAATTATCCCGAGTTTCTGAAATAATAGGTAAGTCAAAATCAACGTCTTCTGAAAAACACAATGAGCTATAAAACACAGCGTGGCAGTGCTGAAATGATAAACAACTTTTCGATCTAATTTTAAGCACAAATTAAGTACTGCTTATAAGTTTTATCTGCCGGGGAAAAAATTAGAATCTTCGTGCATGTGGCTATGAGTATGTAATTGATTAAGTTGAGCACCTGCACTTAGTTTAAGCATTAAAAATGTTAGATGGATTTTTCTAGAACTTGTTTTCGTTGTTCCCAATGTTTACATTTTGTTGAAAAGAACAGCAAGGGTGTGCAATTAACTTTTTTCTTCTCATTAAAAAAGATTCGCTCCGTCAACTCCAAACAAAATGAGAAATGGCACTTGAGCACCTCTGTGTATCAGTGTCAATATTATGACTTGTAAAAAGAGCAAAATAATGAGCAGGTGAGAAAACTAAAGAACGGCCTTATGTTTTAGTAAATCCACAAGATGATTTTGTAGAAGAAATGTGTGGCCGGTAGAAGTTATGCACTTTGTTTAAATTACAATGAAACAAAAGAGACCAAATATCCAAAGTATCTTGTTTAAAATGAAATCATTTAACTGAGTTCCAGCTGAGTTTACGACGAACGAAATCGAAGATGGAACATCGCAGATTTATTTGAAAGTGCTGAACAAACAAATAAAACATGTCTGAGTAGATTTGAACCAACAAGAATGTTCAATACGACAAAATCAAACTAAAACCTGTTTCAGAGACAATGTAAAAAGAGACAATGGAATGGCGGAATGCTAAACCTGCATTTATTAAAATGTTACAACTGTAACAGCTAACTGCAACTTGATACAGTAGGCGAATTCAACCCAAGACTAATATTTGATGACATAGTTTTATCGTGAGGTTGAGATTACTGACGTTTCGATAACCCCAACAGAATTCAGCATCAGAGTCGTGGGAAGAGAGCTGTCAGTCGAGTGTTATAGATCCAGTTTGTGTGAATTGATTTGATCGGTTTTGCCATGATGTCATGGCTGAGGGACTCAAGTAGCGTAAGTAGGTTCTGATTGGCCGGTTTCACTTCGTCTGTGAAGGTCGTTTTCTTCGGTTCGTTTGTGGTGAAAATGTCGTGAATAAGTCGTTTGCGTGCTAGCGTGGGTTGTTAACTTTCTGTCGAGGGAGGTCTGTTCTAAGTCAGTGACACACCCTCCTGAGCCAGTCGTTGGAAGTAGTAGTAAGTTAACCATTACATGGTGTGGTTCGTAAGTTGATGACGTTCAGCTGCATGATTGATGACGTTGCCACAGGTTTCTGTCAGTCTCTTCAATGTAGGAAGCAGGACAACCTGTATGGTGCTTCTTGTCTGTTGCTTGGTTTGGCTTTAACGAAAGTAAATAATCGAAGAAGTCGTTCTGTGGGCGACGTGGATTTTGTAGGGAGACGGCAAATATGACATACTCGAACAATCGGAGTATATTTAGAGGAAAAAAATCATTTTAGTTGATGATCTATCTTTGTGAGTGGACATGACTATGACGTGATAAAAACCGGAATATGAAATTGACTGCCCATTGTTGCAAAGGTCTGTGAGTTGAATGATATAGGTCTGTCTTGTACAAGGATCAGCCACTGACCGAAAAATATCATATCTAAGTTTTATCATCAGCAATATAGTTTTACAGAACTGTAGGTACATGATGTCGGGAACGGTAAAAGGTCTACCCATTCTCTTCGCTGTAAATATTCTATCCAATATGATTTTTTTAACGATTTTTTTCAGTTTGTTTTTCTATTGTATTTTCCTTGAAAAGCCCCCATGGAGAGAGGTCAATAAAATATTGTATTGTATTTTACTGTTTATGGAACAATTGAAATGGTAGGGGAACTAACTGATTACATTGTGTTACGACAAGGCAATTCTGAAATTTAACAATAGGTTTTGAACTTCTGGTTATGATTTTGACCTCTCTTAAAGGAAATCACTGATTCAAGGAACATAGCTTAAGTTTGTATGTGGCCCGAAAGAAGCTCATCAGGTCCATCATGGTGATGGGCTCCTTGTCCAGGCAGAAACGCCTGTCCCTCCGCTCGGGTGGCACTGGGGCTGTTGATTATTAACTTGTTCTGCGGCTTATTCTACAATGACGTCATTTGATGTGGAAGCCGCATATCCGGTTGCATTTGAAGAGTTCGTCTGTGAACAAGGAGAGCCGCCAAACCAACGTTCAGTCCTTTATATCTTTCCTCATTTTTAAGGTTTTCATCATTTTAGGTAGCCGATACTTTGTATCTATTGACTTTCTGACCATCTTCCGAGCCGCAGTGGTTGCCATCTCAGTATCTTAGTCCTCTTTAGCTTCAATCGCGGATTTGTGATTTGCGACGTGAATGGAAAGCGTTGCGTGTATCAGAAAGGTATGTAAATTTAATATATACACTGTTTATTGAAATAAGTCGGCAAATACTGAATTTAAGCGTGACTGATTTGGCGAATGTGCGAAGCTGCTTGCTTTAAAAAGGACATGACTTTACGCTGCGGTAGTTCACGCTAATAACTGATGTAGTGTCGCGAGATGACCATTGTAGAGCTTCTAAATGTTCTGTTCTCAGACGAGTAGCATTTGAGATCGTTAGGATAGCAAACTCAAGTGGGTACTTGAGTCAAGCGGCTTAGCAACGAGTAATTCAATTTTCAACGGATATGAATAATATTTCAGAGGTCATTCGTTTATTACAGTTACCAGTACGTCTCCCATTTCATGTTAGAATATACTTATGGTATAAGCTTGATTCGTTTGCGTGCCCATGGATTGTTTTTGTCTGGTTCATCGATCAATTTAGTGGCGTACAGGTTTTCAGGAGTCCAAGGATATAAAAAATGTAACTTGAAACGAAATGTCTACGAAAAAGAACATGGTATGAGGAAAAAGCATGCGTACTACTTTGACAATGATACCACGAAATTGCGTGATTTTTATCTGTTTCACTATCATCCTCCGAAGTCCTTGATTTAATAACGACAAAAATTATGAAATATTGTCGCAGTGCTCTCCTCTTGTCAAGTGAATGTGAATTTCAAGGATCACAGGTGATAGTTTATATCAAGTGGGAAGCGCATCAAGTTGAGTTTTAGTCTGAAGTACTGCTAACAACTCGTCTGTTGTTTAAGTCACTTCAGTTAATTAGTTCAATTAAACAAATGAAAGCTGAACACCATTACTAAAGTCCTCCCTTTGTTTGTGATTCTCTATTAATTCCTTAAACTCCTCCTCGCTTCAATTATTCGTTGATAGTAGCCAAGTTAGTTTACAGAATATATCGCCAAAGATGAAAATATCACATGATGTCGGTAGCTGATCTTGTTTTGAAACTGGTGAGCTTATTTGATGATTTTCATCTGCAGTCCTCCGTTAAGGTGTCTTCAACACCTCACCATCTCTGGAATCGATCTGATTTCCCTAAACTGTTTCTAACCGTTGAGTTCTGACTAAAATTAATGGCAAATTCCTTAAAACGTTGCAAGTGGCCTTTAAGGTCCATAAAGTAATTATCTCGTCAACAGGCTGGGATGTTGTCTTTCAACCTTGTTTGGAGACTCGAATGAAACTGATCAATGCCTTTTGATTGGTTAAGCGATTAGCGGCTCCGATTTCCCGTGGTACGTCAAAAAGACCGCCGTGTATTAAAATACAAACCCTCCTGATGGGTGATTATTTAAATTTCGACTTGCCTTAGTTTCTACTACTTAGCGGAAACCTATGCTAACTTCTTTGTTGTAAACTTCCAGAACTCCATAAGACGGTTTAGAAGGATGATTCTTTGTTTAAATTCATTACATTGACTTGAATTTTATTTTAAATGGAGGGAACACGCAAGAGGAAACAGAGGGCAAAACTCAGCGACTTGGACGCGTTGGACTCAGATGAATATGACTCCTCGCCCAAGCGTGAGTCCGATGATGAGAACACCTCAACTTCAAAGATCAACAAACGAAAAAGGAGAAGACCTCGTCTGACGGGCCTTAGTAAACAACGACAAGCTGCAAACGCTCGCGAACGAAGTAGAACCCACAGTGTCAATTCTGCATTCAATGCATTACGAGTTCTTATACCTACTGAACCTTCTGACAGAAAACTTTCAAAAATAGAAACATTGCGCTTGGCTTCAAGCTACATTGCGCATCTTGGATCAATGTTGGTGAGTGGAACTCAGTGTCCGAATGTAGCAAAGGCAGCTGAACACAATGGAGCCATTTCACCATCTTCAGCATCAAGAGTGTGTACATTTTGTTTGAGCCTACTTAAGGCGGTAAGTGATTATCAAAGTCTTTATACTCTGTTGTACAAAATGTACAGCAGGATTAATGTTGATATACTAAACAGTATGGCATGCAATCGTCGGCTTTTCGATAGCTTATCGCCCTTTTCATGTCATTAGCGATCGGAAATCTTTTGTTTATGTCCTGTGGCTTAAAGAATACCTGTGGGTCCTTAAACATTTCAGCCTTTTTTTTGTTCGCAGTCTAGTCTCCAAACGAAACTAAGTTTAGGTTTTTGGTGAAAAAAATGTGCAACTACTTTTGTTATTGTTGCCATTATTCAGACATTATAATTCTCTGTCTTTGAATTGACCAAAATAGGGAACGTTTCAGACGGGATAATCACAAAAGCGTCATATCATGTTTCCGGTGAGCTGAAAAGCTCCAAGCCCCTTCGGTTCAAATTTGTTAATTTTTCCTTTTCGTAGGATGAGATAATGACTCAGTGTCTATGTTTGGACTGATTTGTTAATTCTCGTTTTCCTTATTATAAACGAGGCTTTACGACTGTGTTTTTCCTTTAATCACGCCATCATGGGTAGTCACCTATTCTCAACGTTTTCCATTCTTGGTACTTCAAAATAACATTGGGCCTAAGTAACGATTAGGACAGTGTCTTACACAATGCTGACAAATATTCTAATATTAGCCAGGAAAAAATCCAAAGAAGTTTAAAACAATTATTATCTTTTAACGCTCTAAGACCTTCTTGTAGTTACTATAATCCTCACAGCTTGAGCTAAAGGTAAAACATGTTAATATTCAGTTCTCAAAACCAATAGGCGAACCAATAGGCGAAGACACCCCATAAACATTATTTCAACAATTAAGAACTCTGTGTGCAGCAATGGATTATTTGATTAAGGAAATCGTGCGGGGATTTCTGAAAACTATATATTTAGTATCAACCAGTTGGTTGAAAAAACCTGCCAATCTGGGAATAATGAATGGAGCTAATTGGCAGTCATTCAGACCCTTGATTATTTCATTTTGTTACTTCAGCAAAACAATAATGATAGCACAGATCATAATCTGGTGGGGATGTCTCACCACAAAACGAGAAAAAGTGTGATTTAGCTGACATCAATGTTTGTTACCTGCATGTGATGAATAAACACCGACATGTAATTTTCTAAAGAGCTAAAACGTGGTGTTCTGAGGGGAAGGAAAGTATGTATGTGCTTATAAATCCCTTGGGAGGCTGTGTGCAAGCTGCTGTCCAATGAAATCGACGCGAGGTTAATCGTGTACAACACAGAGTTTGTAATAAAATGAATATAACAAATGTTGCTGGATCAAGGTAGAACTATATTGATAAACAAAGTCTCTGATGTTGTCACTAATCCTTAAATCGGATAAGGTGTGTTGTTTTTAGCTTTTTTAAATTAAACAGCTTTATGATAATGCTTTTTAATGAATTACATAGCAGCGATCATGGATTGTTATGATCATACAAATCTTTTCCATAACTGTTTGTTACATTTGTGGAATCTTTCCTCTACACGTTTAGTCCACACCCACCGTAGCGTATAGTTTTGTTCAAGGTAGTCAAACGTGTCCTCGTCGTTTACTTAGGATGAGTTTATCTCGCGCCGCTCTTTCATTTTGATTTTTCTTGTAGATTTTTCTTCATTTGGTGAGTGTTTGGTGTGAATGCCGTTATCTCTGATGAGTAGCACGGTTTTCTCTCTTCACTGGCTACAAAAACGCCACGACTTTGACTCTTCTTCCTTGGCCACAAATGTCTCCCTTCAGTTCCCCACCCTTTCTCTCTCTTGACAATCATCAAATAATCGTTCGTCAAAAGCATTTTCCCATCAGAAAACTTTAAGCACAATGTCGTTGCGAAGCAATTGGATCGATATTCATTACAGCAAAATCTCAGCATGGCACTTTTTACTCTGAGAGCTGATAGCTTTTCATCAATTGAAGTGGTTGCTAGGGCTATTCAGGATACCGTATACTGCTGTGAATGACGCAAAGAGATCTATTTTATAACTGTTAATGTTCTTTTAATAGAACTCGTCTGTTCAGAAGATCACAGATTATTCCGAACCATTGAGATAACGTTTTCAAGATGGAATGATCTCTTCGGCGTTTTCAAGATGGAATGATCTCTTCGGTTGGTTTTTCAGGACAATTGTCAGTTTAACGTCCCTGCTGTAGTTTGAAAAGTCATTCATGGACGGGTTGTTAGTATTAACACTAAAATTTTCATTGAAAATCTTGAGCTTTAGAAAATAGTCTTCTGAAAGTTCCGGGCTTGTTGTTCTGTGATGCATTACACAGCGTTTAATTGCTTTATTTTCCGGTTTTCTTTCTCCAGACATCAGTTTATCAAAATAATTACTGACATGCTACTCGCGTGATGTGAGGCGGTACGCTTTGAAAAAGCAACCTCTTCGACATCAGTGCCACATATGAAAAAATAATTATTACTATAATTACAACGAGTACTGAAGGAAATTTGTAACCAAAACATAGCCCTATACCATGACTCACGCTATCAGTTCATCTTAGTAACCTGTTGATACAGTTGAGTGCAGAAAATAAAATAAGCTAAAATCAAACGTCTTTTAAGGCTTGAAGCAAGAATAGTTTGGATAAAAAGATTTCAATATAGTAACTTTTCATCCTGGTCGTCCAATGAAGAAATTGCTAAGCATTTGTTTCGTGCATGTGGGACAGGAAAGAAATCTGATTTCATCAGCACTTCGGATTCCGCGCTTCGAAGCTCGATCAATTGAGCCGCTCAGGAATCATTAGCAAGTCAAACAATACATGCGAGCTAAAAATTATATATGGCGAAAGCTGTGCCAAAATTAAGTCTGTGAGAAGAGGGGGAGGATATTTGGTCCCCTAGCTAGTAACTAGTAAAAAAAGTAACAGTTAAAGATCCTTAAAAAGCTCCGTTTGCGCCAAACTTTCGGTTTACATCATAATTTAAATACATCGTTTCTCTTATGGATCAGTTTATGAGGTGTCTTACACGTCGTGAATTTACCCCATCACAGTTTCAGTTGTCTTTCAAAACAAAATGAATCAATGGAATATAAGGATACCCTTGCGTACCTTAGTGCAGATTCTCAACCAGGCGCGTGCCCCTGTTAAAGTTGTTATTCATATTCTGCAATGTTTTTTTAGGATTCAATTCAATTTAACCTAATTACACTGTTATCTTTAATTTTTCTGTCTAGGTTTCTAAAGATGAAGGAACAAACAACAGATTACACGCGCAAGGAAAATGATCATACATTTCAATAATAATCTGCTGTGCAACGCAATAATATGGAATCTAAACCTTACGTGAGGAGACAGAGCAGTAGTAATGGATAGCGGAGTTCGCATTAGGGGTTCATTTTCTTCTATAAATCGCTCATTCATTATCATAACTCACAGATGAATAGCAATTATCCTGTCGCTAAATATTCAAAACATGCGTGCAACAAGACATTGAGGAATTGCATCTGTGTATGGCTTCACGAAAAAATATCTGACTTACTGCAGGCTCAATTATTGAGGGAGTCGTTGACAGGCTGAGTGAAACATTTCTGCTAAGATCGCAAGACCTATGAGTTGAAATCACGGTTGATTTATCTCTAAAAACGGATTTGTGTGTGTGAAAACTTAAAGGCGATGGTAAAAGAGGACATAAAATAATTCAGTTCTTATAGTTGAGTGCAGTTCACATTTACCAACTGTCTCAGATCTGTCTGCCTGGATTAGGTTTTCGTTGTCTAGATCTATCATAAATCCATGGATCAGTCTTCAGGACGAAATTATTTGAAGTCAGTTAATTTTCTTTTCTTTCTTCCGCGTTGCAGCCACCTTTTGTTAGAGACCTTAGAACCATATCGTTTGATTTGGTCTGAGAGCACTTCAAGCCGTATGCTTGTAATTACATGTAGATATGGCTTGAGTTACGTTGTACAACTTTACCATTCGTGTCAAAGGATTTATGAATAAAAATGTATCTGCTGTGTGCCTGCTGTTTGGTATGTAAAAGGCACTGGCGGTTCAGTGCTAGAATTCTGGCCTGCCACGCGGGAGGCCCAGGTTCGACTCCCGGCCAATGCACTTTTCTTTGAACAAGGTACAATGCTCACTTTACCTATTTCGAAGGACGAGAAAACAGAATAATGGTGTCCAAATTTCTTGACGTACTGTGACTGCGAATTTTTTTTTTTATAAATCAATCATATCATTGATAACGTTTATCACTAAATAAAAGAGCCTCAGGCTGGATAAGATTTCTTTTGAATATTGAGATCGTTTCTAAGTGGCCCGGCCTTCTGAAATATTAGCACCTATTTCAAATTTTACCTCGCAGTGTTTTTCCAAAATCCTATATTCCTTTTTTTTCGGAATATTATCGGTACATTTGTTGTGACATGTCCTCCAATTTCCTATTTCTTCTTCCTTTCTCCAAGCCGACCATATAAGTGAATTCAAGCCTGTCTTGGGTGGATCGATTAACACAAAACAAGAGAACATCTACATATTCTCTTGCACCAAATTAAAACGCGAAAACGATTCATTCTGGAAATAGTGGCCACAAATTTTAATGCAAGGCGAACGTCAGGGGATTATCGGGTCACTTACGTTTTATAAATCACGTCCTGCTTATAATACATGAACCTTGCGATCGATTTTTAAACCCTAATAGAAACAATTTATTGACATAATTCAGACTGGACCTACAGTCGTTGAAGTTTCTTTTTATTTTCTCTGTATTCATTACGAGGGATTGTTCCAGAGTTTATTGATCACGACAAGATGCCAAGCATGAAACAGTCAGCCATGCATCTGAACTTCCACACACCTTTCCAGTGGCAGTGACGGTGTCACTGCCAGGTTATAAAAATGACAGACCTTGATTGTGAAGAAGCGTTGATTCACGCATGACATACTTTAGTCACTTTCTGCAATAAACTGTTCCTAAGCAATGGCGGCAATGATGTTCCTTGCAGGTGAGGTGTAATTTTAGCAACTGCAGAAAAGAAACCTAAAAGAATTTAGGTCCTCTGCCCATCAAAAGTTACGGGTTACAAAAATATAGACTGAGCACACGTTTTGTATTCGGTGACATCAACTTTAGCAAAGCACTCATTTTACTCTTTACCTCACTGTTAACTGTTCAATTTGTTTGATTTGGTTTGTCAGTCTCCTAGAAGCACTCGTTAGAAGCACCCGTTAGAAGCACTGGTGGTTCAGTGGTAGAATTCTCGCCAGCCACGTGGGAGCCCCGGGTTCGAGTCCCGGCCAGTGCAGTTTTCACAATACTCGGTTAGAATGGATTTTGTGCATAGTATGATCATATCAGTGATAACATCTATCACTAAACAAAAGAGCCTCGGGCAGGACAAAAATTTCAGTTGATTGGTGAGACCATTTTAGCATTCTTCCACACGTCACTGTAAGGTCATGGAAATGACAGACGTTGATTGTGAACAAGCGTTGATTCATTCTTGGCATACTTTTGTCATTTTTTCACCAAAAAGTTCTTCCTCGATTATTCTAAGGTCAACTTCAATATAGGTTGGGTGTTTATCCCTTGTTTGAAGCGTAATGAAATGAAAGGAAAGTTTCCACTAATTTCGAAAGGGTTCGGGGAAGTTAACGCCTTTTCATAAAAGAAGTTCCCTTATTCAGGATTTAATGACAAAGAAAATGACTTCAATTTTAAACAAGAAACAAATCACTCAGACCGGCGGGTGCATGCCAATAACAAGTGAGATTTATATTCTGCGTACACGCACGGAAGTAGATTGCGTAACTGATGAGAGCATAACTATTCCTTCTGTTAACTGTATACGTCATTTGAGCCTCAGGAATACAAGAAGTGTAGCTCACTTTACAGAAGTTTGAGTTTCAACATGCCATCTGGTTCTATTGCATGTCCCACCTACTTTGTATAAAATTTAATGAGCTGAAATGGAAAAAATTTTAAAACTGTGCTTTTTCTAGAATGTCAAAAACCCATAGAGAAGCCTCCTGCAGGCGCTTAAAACAGGCTTTTGGTCACAGAAGGCACAAAAAGCAGCATAGGTGTCAGCAGTTTCCGTTGAATAGAGGCACAATCACGAAGGTCGTTTTTGTCTATTATGATTTGCAAGCAAATTTCCTTCAGACTTTTTTTAATTCATCCCTAATTAGGATTAGGTTTTTAGATTACCAGAGGACCTTTATCGCTGTGGTCTCCTATTAACTGGAACCGAAGAACAGTTCATCCAGTTTATAGTACTTATTCTCTACGTAACCGAACCGAGCACCAATGTTGGCACAACACTAAAATGAAAAGAAAAGAAAGTTGACCCTTCGAGTAATGCTTCTTACCCGAGCCAAAAAACTGCTTCGGAAAATTGTGGAAAAATGATGAAGATTCATCCAACCTAGTTCTGTGTCTTTCGTTTAGGCGCATGGTTATACTTTTCAAACCGCTCACGTTTATAACCTTTTTTTTCCTTCATCACACGTACAATGCACAGTGTTAGGACACTATGAAAGAAACCGGTAGAGGAAAATGGCGTACTTCATTCGAGACGAATCCTACTTATTATCTGTCGGCACTTGTGCTATAAAGTAAAACAAAGTGTTCAAATACTGAGAAAATATCCAAATATGAATAATGATTACATGAATGTCTATGAATCTCGCAGTTTATCCTTGTGTGAGTCGCCAGAGGTTATTTCTTAATTAGTTTCGGAGCTCATATTTGATTGATTCTCAATATCAAAGTGAGACACCGGTGATCTCAACAACTGTAAATCACAACACAACAGTGGAAACGTGTAAAATTAATTAAAATCCAGTCCTTTTTGACAATTCCTGATAACTGCCCAGTGTTGCCTCCATGGGAGTTACTTACTGCGGCATAACTGAGTAATCCGGCGGCATAAATCACAGACTTCATGATGTTTAATGCACGTTGAGCTTTGTCGCCCGGCAAGATGAGTAGCTGACTGACCCCTTCATGAGGTTAATATGTGGCTTATTTCACAAGCAACGTGTAGAAGGCTCAAAAATATCATTTTACCATTGGTGCAGATTATAGTGCTTGAGATTTGATCAACCACAGACAATCAGTAAGTGTTATGAAAGGAGCCACTTCGATGAAGTGTGTCTTCTGTTTGCAAAAATTAAAGTAATGATTTTTGAGTGTGATGCTCTCCAGTAAAAGATACACACTTGATAAAGATCCCTACACCTCCTGTCATGTCCTAAACCTGTTAGAGATCGGTTTCTTACATCGCCTTAACATCAATATTTGTATTGGTTATAAAATCATCTACTTTTTAATGAGCCACGGAACTGGAAGTCAGTAAGCAAAATGTCAATGCAATACTGGAAAAAATTTTAATTTCACACATACATCCGTCTAGCTCCCTACACGCCTCAAGTGATAATTCAGGCTCCATGCCGTTCAATGGTATATGGCGGGCATCTGATTTTTGTAGATATTTGACTGACGTTTTCATGCAAGTCGAATAAAAATTATTGTCTAATATGTTTCATCTATGAAAACATATTATGTTATTACATCCGTCTAGCTCCCTACACGTCTCAAGTGATAATTTAGGCTCCATACCGTTCAATAGTATTTGGCCGGCATCTGATTTTCTTAGATATTTGACTGACATTTTCGCGTAAGTCGAAGAAAAATTTTTATCTAATATGTTTTCATCTCATGAGATGGGAATAATTTCATTCCTTGCCCATCAGATTAATTCCAACAATGCTTCCAAGCATCTTTTTGGTAATGGTATTTCAGCGGTGGAATTTTCTCCAAATATTTTCCGATCTTGTAGCGAATCTACCTTTTTTTCTCCTGCTGCGCCTTACCCATCAAAGAACTGAGTCCTTCAAATTTTTCTCGCTCTCTTTTTGTATTTTTTTCTTAATTCTAACACTGTAATCATCAACAGAGCATCAGCTAGTGTTTTCTTCGAATCATATTTTATCAACTGTCGACGCAGGAACCTGACTTACCTTTTTGGTATAAAAGCAACAACACCTCGTTAACATTAATTGGAAGGATAAACTGTTTTTACTTCAATTGTGTGTATAACACACTAACTGACACCTAATCAATTTGCTTTGATTGTTGTTCAATTGAAAACTACTATGTTTTATCAATACTTTGACGTACGAGCTAATTCAAACTTGTTTAGAAAAGAATTCCGAAGAAAATACCGGAACTATGAGTGAATTCCAGGATTGGATGCCAGTTCAATCGAATCTTCAGGAGAATGAAAACGAAACGTTACCCACCCAACCTAAAAATTTTTCGAATTATTGACTGTGCGTCATGAAATAACTCTGATATCCAAAACGATATGCTTGACTTAATCCAGTGGTACACAACATTGATCGTAACCTATTGACTTCTAAAGTACCGTTAGCATAAACGTATTTTAATTAGTTGCCATTAATAAATGGCTCAATTAGGGTAGAACAATTCACGATCGGTTTTGATTCTCCAGTAGGATACCGCCTTTGTTCTTATAATCGCGACGACACAATCAACCCGCGGTTCATCTCGCACCCACGCAGGATCCTTGTGGCGATTTGCAACTGATCAATGACAGTAACGACAAAAAAATGCTCCTGAAAAATTTACTCGGACGAGAGAATGTCGCTCTTAAAATGCTTGGAACTCCAAAGAGGGCTTGGACAGAGTCATCAAGGATGTCTGGTCCAATCTGCCAATCAAACTATACCTAATGGCTTTTAAAAGGTTTATCAGTCTACTGCAATCGACACCAATACCATAACATCGATAGAAGCTCGACCTTAGATGTTCTCTTCATCGACTTCACCTACAGTCTTTGATTGTGGTGTCGCCTTTCACGGGCTAGACCATCAGCTGTAAACATTTTGAGCTAGTCATTATCCAAAGAGATCACACAAGAAACGCGCCACGCACTTCGCCGAACATGTCTTATGGAAAACCCCAAGCTTCATGGACTTGTGAGGATGATGCTGTTGAGCCTTTTTCTTGCTCAGAAGAAAACTCCCCGACCCCTTCTTCAATCAGCGGGGATGGGGACTTAGAGAATGTCAGCAGCCCCATCGCTCAACAAGGTAGGCGCAAGCTGAAGAGGCGAAGAAAGCGCATGCTAACAGGAGTCAGCCGGCAGCGGCGCGCTGCGAATGAACGAGAACGCCGAAGAATTCAAGGTGTAAATCAAGCATTCATCGACTTGAAAAACGTACTTCCTTTGGCTCACTCTGTGGATATTTCAAAGATTGACATCTTAAGAGTGGCGACGAAGTGGATAGACCACCTGAGTAAGTTACTAGATCAGGATCAAAGGATAAACTCGGAACCAAAATTTGCTGTCCAGCCGCAGTTGTATGATTTTCTTGGAGAAGATTTTTCGATCAACGTTCACGAGCTCGAAGACGATTGCTTTCTTCAAGGACAAGGTAAGTTACTTTGCGTTTGTTTATTTTTTTGCATTCTTATCAGCTCAGCGCAAGAGCCGAGTCGCTATCTTTTACAGCTCTAAGAGCGAAAATGCCTGGCTTATTGTTATCATAGAATTTCAGCAAACTGTTAATCATAGCCTTGTGTACCTTATTTCTTTTGATGCTTAAATACCAGCGAGTTAAATTTTCAACTGTTTCTCCGCATGTTTCCAAGGTGCCGCGTAAAATCAATCACGCTGTTTAAAAAGACAACAACGCAGAAATCTTGCCTTTCATTGACTTTTCAACAAGGCAGGATCGATTTACCTCTAAACCTGGCTATTGCATTCCTATTTCCCGCTTTTGACCCAAGACCTTATATGGAAAGGAAGCACTTTTATTTCAAATATCAAATTCTTACACTGAAGTCAACAGAGCACCTTTTTATGAAAAATTCTTTAGTACATTCTTTTCTGCGAAATTCACCGAGTCCATCCAAGAAACCGTGTGGTATAATCTCTACAGCCAAGAGAGGGATTCTATTTCGGACAATGTATCCCTGCGGTCTTCGATTATTTGTTGTAGGCCATGTTACTCCAGACAGGTCTTAGGATTTTTTGAAAGACAAAAAAAAAGGACTGAAAGAGCTATGAAGTACCATAAATACATGGGCCTTGAAGCTAATTATAGCGTACTTCTCACCCGCACATAGCTGACACTTCTGACGGAGGTTATATCTAAAAACTCCCGCCGTTTAATTCTGAAAGATATTTGAAATCGTATCGAAGTTTATGAGGATTGAAGTAATTCGCAAAGGATAGGCTCGATACAAATTGCCTCCGTATATTTAATGTGTGACCTGTTTCCATGTTTATCAACCAGCTGAGGTTTATTTCCTCTCCAAATACATCAAAAGCGCCGACCATTTAAACATGTCAGACAACTGATATGACGTTTGTGTGTTTACGTTATTCCGTTAGAGAAAGCGCTCGGCTTTATGGCAATTACTTAGAAAAAGATTGGTCGGGAAATAAAGTTCACTGTTGTGTTGGCTAGCGTTATTTAATTATCTCGCAGGTTGGAAAATGAACCTAATCCGTCAGCTTACTTTATTCTAGAGAATTCGAGGGCCTGTTACCCATGTTTTCTGCCAAAGTTTTGAAATATTTCTGCTATTTTAGAAAATAGTTTTGCTCGCACTTTCCATAATTTCTTCATAGTTTAAAATAGGTATCTTAAAGCTCAGATAAATCAGTTATCTCCAAAGATTATTTGCATTAAGAAATTACTGTGAAAAGTAAGCCCAATTGTTTGACAGCCCAACCATTTTACTGAATAAACTCTATCATTCATAAAGGGCACATATGAATAAACCATTTGATATTTCTAAATTCCGTGAACAAACTGGAGGGAATTTTATTAAAATTCTTTTATGATCTACTTCTCAGATACCAACTTAATTACGCTTTATCGATCCCCAACCGTTCCAATGTCGATTTGATGTGAACACCATAAAAATCCAATAAAAAAATGATTTATGCTAGACTAAACATGAATGGCAAACAGAGAGAAATAAAGCAAGGGACATTTTTCATATCCGGTGTTACTTTCCTTCTCTAATGATCTTAAGGAGAAGAAAAATGCGGTTAAGACACCACGTTTTAGGCTAAGATTCCTTCTTATCTTAGTTTGGGTTACAAATAATGGTTGTCGTCTATCAGTTTGGGCCAGTGTGTTCTTAAAGTTAAGGTTAAAGTCATTGATAAGATCTTTCTTGTTAAATGCTTTGTCAATAATGACTTTCGATATTACCAAGTGTGACAGTTTTAAAATCACCAAAGGCAATTAACTCCTCTTCTCAAAAATCACTCGCAAATCTTTTTAGAAGCGTCAGTAGTCTTTCTGAAACATATTGAAAAAAATGGATCAGAAATGATATGGTATTGTTTATGATCCAGTTTGATCACAACAAGCCACTCGATCCATCTGAGACAGATCTTAAACGAGTCATTCGATTTTCGCATGTTGTCAGAATTGGTCACCCCGGAGATGAGGGCGCGACCACAACCCTGGCTTGCTTATCTGTTGGTAACCGATTGACAATCCGCTTGGCTCCTGGCTCGACAGAGGTGTCGAAAATATTCAAAAATAAAAATGTCCTATCCTGGCCTATTTTGAAAGCCTGCTCTGCTTATCATTTGGTGCAGATTCATTATGCTAATGAAACATTATCCAAAAATAGACATACAATGCCATCACGACTCGACTTCACATGCAATAAGAAGTGTGTGTGCCATATCTTAGGATTATGCGCTCTCGTTATTACGTTATCTACTTTTACTGGCCTTTATGAGATAACTTTAGAGAATTTCACCATATCTGACTTCAAGGATAATGGCTCACAGCGTTTTTAGCCAGAGAAAATGCACTTATAACTAATATAATCAACTGGATGTTAAAATTAACATTAAATGTCGAGGATGCCAAAGGTAGTAATCTACCTACGATAATTTATTTGGTTCCAAAGCCTTGTCGTTTTTTTGTTTAAGTTAAGTGGGCGGTGCCGTAATGAAAACGTCGCATACGAAAGATTGTACTTTTTAAACACATAACGGCGCAGACAAATGACAGAGCCCTGATAATGGGCGTCGACCTTCTTACCGTTATCTACTGATCCCTACAGGTAATATTGGCACTTGTCCACAGCTATACTTTCAGCATATCTCGGCAGTACTCCTCTTGTGATCATTTGCACATCGTCTTTCCAAACTTATATAGATTTGAAAAAGTGGACAGTCTCAAGTTATAACAAGCTTCCTTACAAGGGTGGCATATTGACGTCAAGAGTGCAACTAAAGGAGGAAGGTCTTAAATTACATGTGATCCCCGTTGATGTTAAAGCGATAACAATGCTTATGCTAAAACAGCGTCACATCCCCAGACACTTGTGCACACCACAATCACCTCCCTCATACTACAATTAAAAAAAAATGCAGATTTTCACAAAACCGTCGAAAGGTACATCAACCGATTCAACAGACCTCTCCTTGGTCTACAGTTCCAGGTTGATATGAATAATGACGCAATTTTGTATATATTTAAGACTCAGTGTATCTTATAAATCCTTAATAATCTCACTAAAACAGGAAATGGAAACACCCTGGTGTGTGGATAAACTTTTCATTTTGTTTTCGTCAGGGATTATCCCTCAATCCCTTAATCGAGTCTTAAAAATAATTGCTTGAACTATGGCCAATGAAGGATTTCTTCTCTTACACAAACACTTGAAGCCTGCTTTACATTTCTGGTTAAAAACCGAGAGAACCTGACCGGAAAGTGAAAGGACCGGAAGTGTATATGCAAAACAAGCAAAATGTAAGGCCACTCACTAGTCAAGTACTGCTCAGGTCTGATAGGCTTCTATTGCACCAGATTGAAACTCAACAAATCGTTAATAACGCGAACTAAAAAAAAAACTCTGCCACTTACGTGTTTCTTTTCATTTTCTTTTCCTTGTAGACATATGGTCAGACAGCTCCAACCTGGAAGGACTCAGCGACTTCTGCATTCACACCGAGGAGCCTTTTCTGAAAACTCTCCTCCGCAGTAGTTTTAATGATACGGACAGTTTCACTCAACCACTGTTGGAACTTACGGACCAACTGTAACTGTATGAATTCATAGAGGACCAGCCCAACGTATAGCATGGACGTTTTCCGGGAGTTTTTCCTGTGGATCGCCACTTTGTTTCTTAGGAATAAAATTTGGTGCGTAAGGTCACTAGAACAACGGCTGGGAAAAAATTCGTGAGACAAGGAAAAAATACATGTACACGCAGATTTTCTGCCTGGTCGGGATATCTAACGAGGAGATACACGATAGATGTTTGGCAGATGAATATTTCAAGAGATATTTTGAGTGAGTCCCAGCACGAACCGACATTTGTTCTGCAAAAATTTAAATCCGCTAAATTTTCATGCTACGCGTTACGTTTAAATACCTATGTCATTTTTAGTTTCATAGCGATACTCCTGTATTTGAGGGAAACCTTAAATTAATAGTTAGCTGTCGAAAACAATCTCCAAGAAACGTAAGAAGAGACTGTAAAGTAACCAAGATGACTACATGTCATCAACACAGACCGCAAATTATTACGAATAATGACATTTTTAACATGTACAAATAGCTCTTCATGTCCATTAGAAAACAATACCAAGAATGAAAATATTTGTAGATATGTAACAAACATATGATCAATAATTAAAAGAGAAACTAGGCGTATAGTGTAGTCAGTGAAGTCGGCTCTTTTAAAGCAGTCGCGATAAACTCTATTTAGTTTGTATCAAACCCTAAATGTTTCGTGTAGGAACTAAGACAACCTAAAAGTACTACATCACTATATGACAGATACGACATACTTCTAAAAGCTAAATGATAAATAATGAATGAATGAAAAATAATAAATATAGATGACCGACAGTGTGTTACATGATCAACATATTGTTTGACCAGCCCACAGACGCAGCAGTACGTTTTCTTTATAAACTAATAACCTTACATTTCAGAATTTGTTATCAAGGGAGGCAAAAGGAAAGAACAAATAATTTTTCGATCGAGCCCGTCCCTCTCAGTTTCAGGTCAGATGCTTTGTTATTAAACAAAAGAGAGCTTGTTGTGTAGGTTCATCCACTGGGTTCAGATGTGTCATGCGAGGATTGTAACAGGGTTTTTGTTTGTGTGGGAAACCCTCCCCTTGAAGAGAGAAATACTTTGTTTACACCAAAAAAAACAATCTGGTATCTTTCCCTCCCTCCTGTATTTAAGATTATCAATATAGCTAGGTTCTTATCTAAAGACAGATTTATTAAGATGGCGATTTTTGAAGGTGAGTGATTGCTGTGCATGCCCGTGTCAAGTGCAGCTGCACCTCAGTCTCAGAGGATCTGTGTATGAGCTTAGCTCCTACTTCATGCAGGAACTCTGCGCATGCCATCTATAACTGTACCAGTCTCTTATTTTATACAACAAGAAAGTATTACTTATAGAAGTTAGGTTGACCTCAGCAGCACCATACCACTAAAGCTAAATCGCGGGCCAATTTTTTTAAAAACATTAAGTTGCAGTTAAATTGTTGAAATGAACGTCACGCACACCTTTAACCTCGGTCACCTCCCAAGAGTTAGAATTCTAACTACATTCTGTTTGTAGGGTGATATTTCAGCTATTTCGCTAGTAGATAACCATATAAAATCGACAACCAGCTGCCCTGCCCTGGAGGACCTGACCGGAAATAGAGCCTGATCATTAGCCCTACACTCTGGAATTTACTGATTTAATTTCTTCCCTGTATTTTTTCACCCAAGCTAAGCGCCATACATCAGCGAGGTGAAGTATTTGTAAGTTCAATTAAAAGCAAAATGAAACACCTGACGTTTTGGTTGTGATTGTGTCTCCACGAGGAGAAAATATATAATGTTCCACTCTGTCACAGGGTGTGTTTTGTAGGAAGAACGAAACCACCTGGAAACGACGGTTCGAGAGGTAAAAATTCCATCTAGGAAAAATGAAACCCTTATAGCAAAGGCAACAAAAAAAAATGAAAGGAAAGAAAGACAGAAAAGAAGACAAAGATATCAAATGAGTCTTTCCTTCCTCGACTTGACAACCGCGCGGCTTCCTGGAGGCTTGGGTCTGCATGAAAATTTGCGCATGTCCACTAGAACATAAACATAAATAATATTCAACTTGGAAAAGGGCTGACGAAAGGCGACACAACTTGGAAGAAATTTAACCCCTGTTCAAGTTCCTGGGAAAACTCCCTCTAATTTTGAAAGCTTTCTAAGCGCACAGAAATTCAGAGAGCCGCGGAATCTGGAAAATTAAGGAAAGGAGCCTTCGTGTTCGTGATGACGCATATGTGAATGGCGTAGTTGTGTTATTTCGATGTTCTTTGTGTTGCAAGGATTTAAGCTCGAATGGACATTGGTTTTGCCGAAATGGGGCTAAAAACATGAAATCCAAGTGGAAAGTGGGTATCGTGAATTATTTTTCGAAACACAGAAGGGAGGGAAGAACTTTCCGCTTTCGCTGTAACGTTTTTTGTCTTAGGAATCCGCCAAGACATACTGTCATAAGAAAGTAACGAACAAAATATGGCAGGTTTTCGGACGCAGTACACTCGATTAAATTCAAATTCAGATGATCCTGAAGAGGACTTACCTCCACAAGGTTTCGATATCGGCACCCGGGGAGTTGAGGAAGTCGAGAAAGGTAATCATGCATATTTTTCAGGATATACGTATTTGTACATCCAAGCCCACCTCGAGGCGCAATGTGGTTTGTTTACATGTACAGTTGTCACAACTGTTGGTTTTAAGGCGGGAAGGACCTGCTGTCCATACTCTGCACCAACTTTCTGATGAAAGAAACTCGAATGCAAACATGAGTATCTTGACAGCGTACTATAGGTTTTCCATGTGTGATTTTTGGGACAGTTAAAACAGATATTATTTGAGAAAATCGAAGTATAGTACTGTTATTAATCAATAATTGAATGGGTGTCAGAAATAGAAACAGAACTTCAGGCAAACCGCTCAACATTAATAATCTCTTTATTGTTGTACTTATACTAATTTGTTGTGATCTTGGTAAGGTCTTTGTAAATAATTGTTAACTGCACCATAGTTATTGATTGGATTTTCAGACTGTTGATAATGGTAACATCTTTTTTTCTCTATATAATCTATAGAAAGTCAATTCTTAAGACAACCGCTCACCGCAAAGTTACAAATATTTTACCAACATTTTGATTAATGGCATCATTATGTTTCATTTTTGCAGGGCGTTGGAATCACATTGAGAATCTTGATGAATTCTTCATAAGGATATCCTTTATCTTAAATGTCACAATTATCTTATTATATTACTTTATATAGACCCACCCTTTCCATAAAAAAACACTGATTTATTTTCTTTTGTGAGAAACCCAAGATCTCTAAGATTTACTGACCAATTCATGAAATCAAAACCAAAATAAACAAAACAGTGCAGATTATAATCATAATTGATCTGATGTGATAAACGGTAAATCAAGTTTATCAAATGCAACTCCTAGAGTGCAAGACTTAGTAGGTATAATAGGATTTTAACAAAATACTTTTAGAGGCTTGAAGTTTCCTTAACTGGCCATCGAGTTGTGTGCTACTCTATTCATACTTCATTTTCTAAACAATGTTTTGCCCATCAGCTTTGAGTAGGATGTTGGCCTTTCCTTATTAAGCTCACTAGCAAGAGGCTAATTAATGACACTGTTATTTACCCATCAGGGACCCCCCTTAAAGTAATTTTTGCTTAAAAATACAAGAGCTGATAATAAAAAGTTAAATTTGTTGTAAAATAATTTCTCTACCATAGTAGAAACAATTTGCATGTACTTTAGTTAAATCCTTAACAATTTATCACATATATGAATATCACAGGAACAATGGATTTGTTTGTATTCTCCTGAAGGAAGTCTTCGAATTAATGTGAGACACCTCTTTTTCATAACTTTTTCAATTTGAAAAGCTTCTTCATGTGATAGTGTGGATCCAAGCTATAAAACTTTAAATTTTGATTGAGTTTACTGTTTAGAAAGCCCATTTTCCAAGGGATCTCCTTCTCTTCTCTTAATTTTTTTTTTTTTGGCTTTTCATCGACCCTTAGGTTTAATGTCAGTAAGTAACAACTTTATTTAGAGAGGGTAACACATGGCAGTATGACTGAAAAACTGTGGTTGTTCTATGGCTTGGAGATGTAAAAGAGAGTAACTTTTTTGCTTTGAACGTACTGATTGTGTCATGCTTTGGATTTTTTGTTTCTTGCAGTCAATTTGTGTTTGTGGTTTTATTTACCTCTTTCTTGGTGCTTTGTGTGGATTATAACACCTTGTTTAATCACAAACAACCTTCCTTTTCAAATGTGCTGTATTTCCACAAAATAGAACAGTAAGTCCATATATTTCTCTGTCTATTTAACTATATGTTCACACAAAGACATCGCAAACTGAAACCTAAATTAACTTTAACCAGTACAGTTTAAAATATTTAACAAATGTTGTTGTTGTTTTCATTTTTGATTGATATTTGCCACTTCTTTTGATCTAATAATACAAGATCTAAGTACAATATGTGTCTTCTTTTGCAGCATGGAGCCTGCAATAATGGCTTGTCTGGTCATTGCTTTTATTTTTTGGTTGATACGTGTGGCTAGAATTGTAATTCATTTCTTTAAGCTTCTGGAAATCCGAGCATTTTATAAGGATGCACTTAGAATATCAGAGGTGAGTTCAATTATAACCTGTTTCAATTAAGTGATATCAGGTTTTGAATGATGTCAGAATTAAATTAATTCAAACTTTCAAATGTCTCAATGTCTTTACAGAGTGAACTAACAAACCTACAGTGGCAAGATGTTCAGAAACGATTGATAGAAGTGCAAAAAGTTCATCAAATGTGTGTTCATAAGGAGGAATTGTCAGAACTTGGTATGTGTTTCCTTTTCTTTAGAGCAATGCCAGGAGACATTGGCTTGCTTACTTTATATGTTAAGTTTATGGTATGGATAAATATTTTAAACAATAGACTGCCATTTCAATTAAGGTGTTATAATTTATTATAATATAGCCTTATGCATTAAAAACTGTGGAAGAATGGGAACCCCAACCCTAATTTGCAAGTGTTCTTTCAACAGTGGAAGATGTCTCCTTCATGTTTGTCTTCAGGCTCTTTTGCCCTCCCTTTCTCCCCCCCCCCCCCCTCAAAAAAAAAGAAAAAGAAAAAGCAAAGAGATAAATGCCCTCCAGAAAATTTCTAACTGGGACAGATTCTCCTTTGTAAAAGAAACAGTAGATCAAGCACTGCTAGTAAATCATTAGATAAAGCAGCCTTTCTTTTTGTTAGAGAAAAGACATTTTTTTGTCCAATTGGATCTAAAATATGAATTTTTTGGTGAGTTAATTGGTATGCAGTAAGATATTGTGCCTCACTTTAATATTATTTTATTAGATATCCATCACCGAATTCTGAGATGGAAAAACTACCTGCTAGCAATGCAAAACAAGTCAGTTATTTCTTGTACATACAACTTTCCATTTGTTGGGGAAAGGTGAGTAATGTGCAGCCTTTAAAAAAAAAATTCATAAATAGGTTCTTCAGACTGCCTTTATGTTTTTTATTGACATGACATGACTTGTTTTCCTCACCCACTGTTTTCATTGGTACCCAGGGCCTTTTTGACAGAGGGTATGAAGTACAATCTGAAAATGATTTTATTCTGGGGACCAGGAAGTCCTTTTCAAAACAACTGGAAGCTAAGAGATGAATTCAGGAACCCAGCAAACAGGTTGGTGACAAGCTGAGTTGCTGGAACTGTTATCAACAGTACTTCAATGTGGTCCCTCCAAGAAATAATTGAAACCTCGTTTCCCTCAATTTTTTGTCCAGAATATCCTGTTAACTGTTACTAAGCAGGCAGCTCAGTTACACAAGATTGACTGAATTGTTTTTGGTTTATTTTTGGTTTGGAACAGAAAATATTTTCAGTTACAATAACAATGCATATAGATGTCATCTACAGGTGACAAACACACCAAAATACAAACTTGTTACAAATTAGATTTGCACTGAATATTTGATGATGGGATGTGTTGTCTTCTTTCTTGTAGGTTTCCCCTGGCAAGTCGGTAAGTGGAAGAAGAAAACTTGAAACAATTGATGGAAACCCCCATAAATTTGTGGAACACGACGTTAATTTCAAGCTGTATGCTTACCAGTGTTGTAGTTCGTCTTAGTTCCGCACATCTCGTACCGTTGAGACTGAAGTATTTTCTTCAGAAGTCTTAAACCTCCTTGTGGATCAGGAGCCCCTTCTTTAAAAACGACCATTCAAATTGCCCACCTTAAACCAGTTTCGTTTTGTTTTTTTAAGTGTTTTCATTCTTGAAATCTTTCAATCAATGACTTTCTAATAAAGACACATTTTTGGTAGTGCCTTAACAACCTAAAGTATTTTGGTATTTTCATTACCCGCATTTTAGGTTGGCAAGACGTATTTTCTGGATTGGAATAGCAAACTTTGTACTTTCCCCTTTCATCTTTATCTGGGTTATTTTATATTCCTTCTTTACTTATGCTGAGGTAAGATCAAGTTATGCTAAAAGAGTCACAATGTAAAATATTGGTTTGTAAATTAAGAATCTTTTTAACTAGCCTGGAAATCTCTACTTTAGTGTTCGCGGTTTTGGGCAAGCTGCTGTCTGAGTTTGCCGGTTGCTCCTTCTTTTGGCATCATTTTATTGTAGCAATGTATTTATTGTGTACCATGGTCTTGCGTATTCCAGTTTTGACACAATTATTGACTTGAATTGTTTCTTTAATCTGAAGATGGTGAAAAGGGAACCTGATACGTTTGGTGCCCGCAGATGGTAAGAAGTACAGATTGCAGCTTTAATTGAAAGGCATCGATTTATTTAAGAACGAGGAACGTTAAAAATAAACTGTGCTGTCAAGTTAGTGTGCATGTTAGTGTGCATGTTCATGTTTCCTTCCAGCCCAGTTACATTTGCTTGCGCCACTAGTAACTGGGAAGGATTGCTGAAAAGAATAGATAGCTTCTCCTTTTCAAAATTTCGCTACTAAGAGCCGAGTGGACAGGAGAGAGCTTCAGGAATCAATCGAGTTTTATTTCTCAATTGATAAAATATATTACGCTGTATTTCCATTTCAGGTCATCTTACGGCAAGCTGTTTTTTCGACATTTTAATGAATTGGACCACGAGATACAGACGAGGTAACTGTAAGAGAACGATACACCTTGAATGGTTTTACACAGCAGTTTGTAATAATTTTATTTCCATTACGGCGAGGCACATTTAACCTAGGAAGAGAAAATAAGACAACGGTAACAAGATCTATGGGTTTTCTCACTGAGAAATTAAATTTCAACACTCCACCCCTAGACTTGCGTTTACAAGAGACGTCAAGGTGAGGTAGCAAGACAGAAGAACATGTCTAACATCAAAAATACTTAGATACTAACTTTGTTCGTGCTCTCTAGGTTAAGTAAGGCTTACGAACCAGCGTCCAAGTATATGAATCTTTTCGTGTCACCTTTTATGGCCATCATAGCCAAGTAAGTCTTTCGAATTTTATGTTTAACCCCAAGCCTACAGTTCGAATACCATTTTTACCTTGTTTGAAACCGTTCATTCAATCTGGTAGGAACATGGCATTTTTCGCTGGCGCGATTTTTGCCATATTGACCATATTTACTGTCCTGGACAAGGATGTTCTTTTGGCGGAACATGTGCTGACTGTTATAGCAACACTAGGTAAGCAACTTTCATTTCGATGCAATTGAGTCACTTTATTAACGTTGACTCTTCAGTTTCCGTTGCATAGCGACCGGAAATGTCTTACAGCCAATTGACGTACTTTTATACTCTCGGCCTGGCTCCAGAAAGGCACCGTCTTTAATTTCAGCTATCCATACAAAAGTTTGAGAGTTTTTACAAACATTCTGTTGCCTTGATTTTCCTTTTTTTCAGGATTACTGATAAGAGGATGTTACGTTTTTATCCCTGACGAGGTTGGTATATGATTCATTTCTTAGGCCATTAACTTAATATGCTCAACGTTCTATTTTTCTTTTGTTCATGAGTGGTTTACAAAATTTTGGACCAAGTTAGCCTCAAGTTAGAAAATTATAAATCAATTAACAGTCAACGTCTGTTAAAAAAGTTGTAGCTACTTCAACACTTCAGATCTGTTACCAATCAGAAGTTAACTCGAAACCAAACACATGCTAAGCGCGGGAAACACGTAACCGGCTCGGAACGATGAAGTTTTCAACTGAGGTTTTCATCAGTAACAGTAATCATTAATATACACTTACTCCACAATATACCCAAGCAAAATGGAAAAATATGAATTTTTTGCATACCTTTGATATTGTTGCAGAACACTGTGTGGGACCCTGAACAACTGTTAAAACAAATTGTGTCTCATACTCATTATATACCTGACTCGTGGAGAGGCAAGGCGCATACCAGCGAGGTTTGTACAACGTTTTGTTTTTGCTTTATAACGATGCAAAGCTGATATATCTTCTGGTTATTCCGTAGTTCAGGGTTCTAATTGTCTCACAGTCAGTCTGTTGAACTATATTTCAGGTGAGGCAAAAGTTTTCCCAGGTGTTCCAGTATAAAGCGGTAAGTTACTGTAGTCGTCTGCAGGTTGCTGGCGCTTTCATTATCATCCAGTTAAGATGATCCACTGACATAAACGCACAGAATTCTTCTTTGGGAAAAAGAATGATGTCGGGAAATTTTTACATTATTCTTAAGAGGAAAAAGAACTTAACGTACTTTCTTCCTTACTTTCGTAAACTGAAGACAATTGTGCGTGAGTTTTACTTTTAAATACGTCAGACTTGTTCAAGTAACTAGTTAATTTGCTGTCGTTGTCGTTGCAGGAATATGTACTTCAAGAGCTGTTAAGCCCTATTGTTACACCGTTCCTTCTGTGTTTCCACTTGCGGTACAAGTCTCTGGATATTGTGGATTTCTTTAGGAATTTTACTGTTGATGTTGTTGGTGTTGGAGATGTTTGCTCGTTTGCTCAAATGGATGTTAAGAGACATGGAAACCCAGAGGTGAATATTTGTCCATATTCTCACAGACTGGTTAACGATCTTTGTTATATCTGAGAGAGTCTATTCTATTTTATTGCTTGTAAAGCTGTGCTTATTGTTTCTGTAAAATTTCAGTGGCTTACCCAGGGATTAACGGAAGCAACACAGTATGAACAGGCCGAACATGGCAAAACGGAACTGTCGCTTGTGCAATTTTCAGTAAGTTTTTCTTGGTTTTTTTCGGGGATTGTTTTGAACGTCAATATTTGTCGTTACATTCATCAACAAACTCTGTTCCTTGATGTTGTTGTTTTGCAGATAAGGAACCCTACATGGAAGCCATCAGAGCAAGGCACTCAGTTCATTAGCACCATTCGGGAAAACGGTTGGTGTGAAAAAAATTCGCAAGTTTCAGAATAGGTTTCAAGAAAATGACTCATGGTGTGGTGATAGTTTCCATCGATAAGAATTTGCAGAATTTATTCTAACTTTGTTCATCAAGTAACAATTTACTAGTGTGTCCGCTTCCCCTGCATACTCGCAACCCACCCACCCACCCCCCCTCAGTTTGATAGGATAGAAAATGATAGAGAAGGAGGGTACAATAGAAACACTAAGTCAGGCCGTTCACATCATAAGCAAGCCAGTCAGTGGCAGTGTTTTGATTTGTTGTTCTTCAGTGTTTTATTGTTATACTAAACAGGTGTTGTAAAGTTAAACTTTTTTAAATACGTAGTACTTAGTATGAAAATTCTTCTGATGTTTTCACTGCAGCGGTCCAAGAAGGTCTCAACCTGAGCTGCAGCGGTGTAATGTCGGACGCCAACTCACTTCCAGATTTAAGATCAGGCAGTGTAAGTGCTGTTTTGCTTTTGACAAACCATGATCAAGTGTTACATCATTACGTACGTATTCATGAAGAGTTTTTTTTTTTCTCTCACTGTTTACACAGTTTCAAGCGCTACCATATATGAACTCCATGACCCTCAGCGATCCGTCCCTCATTCCTCTAGGGAGTGCTGCTGTCACACCAAAACAGCAGGCCCAAGCAAGAGAAATGCTCATGAACTCTAGCATGATGTACATGCATCAGGTAAAGAGAATTTACTCGCAGATTGGTTTAAAAAAAAAAAAAAAAAAAAAAAAACCTAAGATTTGGTAGTGACATGCTTTGAGAGTGCGTGGTGTCTTTGTGTCACTGATCCCGTTTCCTCGATGACCTCTCAACCTTAAAATTCTTTCACTTTCAAATAAGACACTCGAATTCCCTTATACGAATTTTAGGGTGGCGTCATGTTCTGTCGCCTATAGCATGGCGATTAAAATGTACTTTAAATAAATACAGTTATGCTAATTTAACACGAATTTCTCACCTGCTTCAGCTGCGAGATCGTCAAGCTGATCAACCGCCCGGCGAGGCAGCTCGTGTTGCCTCCTTGACGTCAGCAGACAGACAACAACCGGGGACATCTGGGCAGCATTTTGCAGAAGACAGCAAAACTGAACAAATTAGGTGTGCAAACAATTGCAACAAAATCAAAGTTAAATTAAGCATCACTCTTGTCTAATATACTCGAATGTATTTTGAAAACCATAATTGGCCGTAGATGAACTCGCAAGTTAGCAGCACTTTTGTGAAACAGCCAACTCACGCCGTAGCTTGACTGTATGACCCGTTAGTATGGTGAATGGTAGCGCTGTCAGTCCTATTTTTTACTTTATTTAATAATGGATTTAAAATAAAGCGATACCGTAATAAGTAGATCAGTGTAGGCGTGCGTTTTTACACGATTCATAAACAGTGGTTAGTTTTAATAACAGAATGGTTTGGCTCTTTTCTTTTTGCAGAGACGATGCCCACATGGTGTGATAATGAAGGATTTTATTAAAGAAGAAACTGTTGATGAGCTTGAAAGTCAAGTCCTAAGGGGGGATGGATGAGGATTAAAACAAATACAAAGCTGTGAACTCCCCAGTCCATCGGGTTTTTTCTTATCCTTTATCCGATTTTTTTTGCAAATAAGGCGGTTTTGTTTATATCAGTTTGCTGCTAAGCGAACACCGTCGAATATCTTCCTACTCTTAGTGTAATCTTTGCATAATTTTCTTTGCTTTACAAGTTTGGACAATTTTACTCCGTATATCGTCGAAAGGTGGTCAAAATATGTTTCATAGGTGTTTCAAACAAATTTAATGTGTGGTGTGCACGTGTATCAGTCAGGGTTAAGTTATTTAGCGTGGTGTAAAACTGAACTGTTGTATAATTCATTTTAATCGCACGGTGGCACTCCAATGGCTATGATCGTTATTTAATATTGTGTTAATTGGCATACCAAGCAAAATAAAGTAGTTTATTTTTTGTAAACAGTTGTAATTCTCTCTTGTCCTAGTTTGTGTATCTTACGCGCAACTCCAACTTATTATACACCTTCTAGGACACTAATTTGAGGTTTAAAGTTCAAGGCGAGTGCAAAAACCGCTTTGAATTCACAAAATACCTCTCTGAGCAGGGTTAGTAACCTTGATTTGAAAGATACAGAAGGTGTGTCGTTTTTCAATGTTGGTTTCAATTGTAATCTGATCGTTTGGTTGAGGGAAGTCCTAACAATGTAAAGGGAAGTAATTAGGCATTTGACTCTGATAGTGACTTCCGCTCAGGATGTCAAAACGTCAGTCAGTATTACTGATAACAGTCCTTTTTGGAACTATTTTTGCGCGGAAGATCCAACTACTCCATCTACTGTTAATCCTGACTTTAAAATCTCTCTGGTAAGTTTCGAAAACGCTAGCAAAGTCACCATTACAGTCAAACGAGTCCTTTGACGCTAATGATGACTTCCAAGCTGGTTCTAGACGGTGGAATGGGCATCAACATTAGTTCCGTCATGGAGGACTGGAGATGATAATTTAGTCCGCATCTTGATTTTCATCTGCCATGTCCCTAAACAACCACGCATTAAGAGTAGGCGCTAACTTGTGACTATAGAAGGGATGTGATTGTTGAAATTGAAAAATACTGGGCCGTTTCTTCCTTCTTCTTCTCTCTTTTCCTTCTTCCCTATTCTTCCTTTTAGTTTGCTTCTAGGGCACTCAGGGTCTGAGGTTTCTGAACTTCTCTCCCTTGGATAATGTGATCATGTAAGCATACAAATAGACATACAGGAATACAACTCATCAAAATTTTATTCCTCAAGTCACTTACATTCCACATAAACCAAATAGACAAGCTGACCAGGTGATCAATAGTTACTTTCTTCTGCCTTACTTATGTGTTTCTCGGTTTAATATCTGCATGGGATTTCAATACATAATCTAATTTAACAAAAGGGACTTCCTTGGATTTTGCTTCCTATATGTAGAAATACTGGTATTAATGTAAATCTTTATAGCTAGGTTTTAAATACCTTCTAATTATAAAAATACAAAATTTAACTTTCATTAATGGACTTGATATGTTCTCTTAAGATTTGGCAGCTGTGAAGTTCAGGAGAACATGACAACCATCATTTCTATTTTAAAAAAGTTTTGGTTGTATCAAAATTTCACAATTAGAACCATATTATGTCAAGATACTCTTGAGTTATCTAGGATCCTCTAGACTTTCATCTGATTCCGTTCTATAAAATAAGCATTTTCAGGAATGTTTCCTGCCAGGGAAACAGCAGTGCTACATCTGAACTAATCCAGAGTTTTCATCATCATCATCCTCAACATCATGGTAAAAATCATCCTCAAGCATCTTGAGTCTTGAGTAGCCGTAGTCTTCAAAGCGAATTGCTTGCCTTCTCTTCATGCGCCTGTAAAAGTAGTTTCCAACAATTGCAGCTCCAGCAGAACAGATCAGCACAGCAATAACAACACCTGCAATCTGCTTCCCTTCCAATGAATTTTTTGCCGGAGGTGAGGTGGGATTTCCTGAAGGTGTTAATGAGCACTAAAGCAAAACAATACAAAGAATGTCAACTTGGACACTTTGAGAATCTGATTATCAGAGTTCCCAGCTAACATTTTTTCCAAAGTTGCCATTTTGATGACCTAAAATCATAACAAATGGTTTAATTGCACCCCTAAAGAAAAAATCTCACCTTGGGATTTGCTGTGCATGCTGGTGGCATTTTGTAGTTACACCTCTTCCCATCTTTTACAAAAACCCCATAACTGTTGCTCCTTGGTTTGATTCTGTAAAGAAGAATATTGTCAGTGATATGCACAATAATCACTTCACCAAGTAAAATCCTTGGCAAACTACAAAGTCTGCAAGTAAACAGTTCAAAAATTTCAATAAGACTTTTATTGATAATTATTTTAGATAACAATGGAATAAATGTAAAAACAACAAAAAAATATACCTGTGGAAGAGAAATGATTCAATTATAAATAAACAACAAAAGTATATTACTGAAAATGTAAAACCAGTGCAATTCAACATTTTGTACATGTAGCTGGTTAACATCCACATCAAAAACAGTCCATGTTGAGGTTGTGCATGTCAGCAAAGCAGAAAGCATAGTCTTAGAATCCAGCAGTCTTGTGTGCAGAGGGTTAATAGTAAAAACAAATTAGTGCAGACTGACTTATTCTTTCATCTTACTGGCTCTCATAACCTTAACATTGACTCCAACTAATATTAATACTTGTGATATAACTACACCAACCTGTAGCAATCCATGATGTTCAAAACTGACCCAACACAGCAGCCAAGGGTGTTATAAAAGTTCCCCACATCCTAGATGGAAAATAATGTTTGTTAATTTTAACACCCAAATTACTCATCAGTTGACAGAAATTCAGGGAGATAACTAAATTTCAATACTTTATTTTCTCTAACATAAACAGAACTCATCAGCAAATAGTGTACCTTATGACACTGGCTTGAACACATATTTTCCTTCAAGTTTTGGGGAACATTACAAATCTGTTTGAAAATGCAGCAAAATAAGATATCAGTTTCCAGAAAGCAATTCATAAAAACTAAATGTGTATTTTTACCTATGATATATCTAAAAAAAATATGGTTAGACATATGTGAAAGTTATAATTATGATCATCACATGTCATTGCAAGTGTAAACCTCAGTGAACTATTGGCACATTTCTTTGTAAACAACTCCCAGTAGTCAAAGTTTAATTGTCAAGGCAACATCTACATCTTGTAGATATTCCAGGATTCATTTTTAATTCCATTTGAAACAACTGGCACTGAAGAATGTTTGACTATTTACTTGTTGGTGGAGGGGGATAAAGGGGCCACAGCCCAGGAGAACAAGGAAGGGAGAGAAAGGACAGTGGGAGGGCAGGAAACAAGAGTAGAAGTTGAAAAGGCAATAGTTTGTTGTTTATTAATGCTTACAACAACAACAACATTTGAGTGCATGGACAAGCCTACATTATATTAGTGTATAAATGTATCAGAGAATATGTGTAAAATATTCAAACCTTTCTGAAGAAGTTTATAAAAGATTTTGCTTGCTGAAGAAATCTGAATACCAGTAGTTTTAAAATTTGATAAAAAAACATTGAATTACAGTGTAACTTTCTACAAGCACTTAAACTGGACATTAAATCCCATTTTCAACTGGAATATTTATCTCAAATTTGTCTACTATTTTAGTTGTCTACACTTTCTTAGATTCACTGTATCTGAAATAGCAGACAAGTAAAGTGAGTGTTCATAATTTTTTAAGGGAAAATTATTTAAATCTGTGTTACCTGGAGTGAACTTCCTGTTTCATTCTTCAGTAGCCCATTAATGAAGTTATTAGCACATGAAGAATTTCCATCCTGCTGACAGAGAGACTTGAGAAATTCATTCACAAACAGGATGTACTTTTGGTCATCCTCCTATGCAAGATACAAACAAATCAGCAAATGTTTAGGTATGACGAAGCCACAAAACATTATTGCCCAACAAACTGATATTTAAAACTGATAACCTTCTGAGAAATTCAAAAAGAGTGTGTAAGATAAACAAGAAAAATCTTTAAAATTTTCACCTATTCTAGCCGTCTGTCTTATTGGATAAATGGTGCTACAATTTCCATATTTCATTTCAACTCCTGATCTGTGACAACCATGATACTCTCATGTGGTCAAAAGAGGCGTACGTAGCTCAAATGCAGATATTTCCTACTTCCTTAGTCTCAGCCGACTATAACATAAATTATTGCCACTGTATTACCTTTATCATTGATTTTTCTGTCAAGATGCACTTCTTAGTGATAAGCTGCATAGTTTTCCAACAGTGATTTTTGCACCAATTTTCCATTGTAGTCTGCACTTTCCCAAGCCATGTTCTGAATTTAGGGTGTAAATTCATTGTGTAATTATGGAAACAATTATAACTGCTTCTGGGACATATGTTTGACAAATTCTGAAGCTCCTCATCGTGCAGACTCAAAACATTCATTCTGCAGTTGTCATAGGCCTCTTCTTGATCTGTACAGTTGCTAGAGTCTGGTGAAGTATTCAAGATGAGATCGCTTCGAAAAATTATTCCATACGGCTCAAAAAAGAAATTGTAGATTTTCAGTTCTTCTAAAGAATACAAAGCAGTTCCTGGCTTGCAGATGCAAAATTGGAAAACAAATCCCACAAAAATGAAATTCCTCATGTTAAATAAACTACATATGTCCTATGCAGGCTAAATTACGCCGTCGTCCGCCATTTTGTTTTTACGTGTCATTTAACCAGCGGTTTACCATTCAGTACCAGGTTTTCCAAGAACGTGTGCGGTGAAGATGGCGGACGAACTTACACATCTTTGCTAATAAGATGGAACATTTCAAAGGCAAGAGAGATATTCAGGCAAGTCTATTCCATTTGACTGTAACTTCTATCACTTTTAATTTTAATCGAGAGTTCTTTCTTTTTTCTTTTAAAATTTGTTTCCCGTTATATTTTACACTCGCACAACAACTTATTTTCACCGGTTTTTCTCAAAATTATAGCATCTTTAAATGATTTTAAGAGAAGTGATTTATGGCACTCTGAGATTTAGTTTCTGATTTCCCTACAGGTCCAAGGAACAAATGACCGTGCTACTCTAAGCAAGTTCTCAACCGTAACACATGGATACTATGAAGATAAGTTCTTACAGTATTTTGTCTCCAAGACTGCTAGAAGAGCACCGATTATTCATTGGTCAGTAATTTAGGGTTTTTCTTCTAACTACCTGACCTAGACTAATACAAATGATTGAATTTCAATTGATGATTAATAGGGCCTGATAGGTTCTAGGTATCAACTGTCTTTGCTCACTTGGCCAGTGGAGATAATCGCATATCGAAGTAAAAAATACATATATTTCCATGGAAGAAAGCTAACTTGACTCCCTTGAATGGTCAATTTTTCTTGTTATTGTACATTTGTATCAAAAATTAGCTCACGTGATGTAATGTGAAAATGATTGATTGGTATTGGCTAATCAATGAATGTTATGGAAAAGAAAATTAACTTTTTCCAGGATATATTGTCACAGAATGCTTAAAGTGTACATATAAATTCCGGTATGTGTTCAAATGCAGGTCATATTATATAAGGGCAAAGGCAATACAGTACATGGTAAAGGGCTTTTTACAGAGCCTGAGGCTGAAAAAATGTGCATACAAACAGGTACTTGACATGAATTACAAATGATTTTGTGAACTAAGAAAAATAAGGAATTTTGTTGATATTCGACATCAGCCCCAAAGTTAGTTGTAGTGGCAACTATACACCAAGATAATTTTGCCTTTCTTAAGTTTTTTTTCAAAGAAGTAGCCTAATTTATTAGTTGCTTCAATAATAGCAATTATATTGATATTCTGTATTTATATATTGATATTCATTCAGAATCTGTTGATTTATTTAAATGTAACTTACCATAAGAATGAAGCATAATGATACACTCAAAAAATATATACCCAAAATAGGTGAAATTGTCAGCAGCTGGATTGAATTAAGCAAGTAGAGAATATTTTGATTATGAGGTAGTCTTAATCTTATGGTTGTGTGTTATTCCTCTATTTTAGATTGTTTCTGTAGGGGCTGGATTTGACACACTTTTCTTCTCACTTTCCAGTGAAGCATTTCTAAAAGACACAAAATATTTTGAGGTAAAATTTTTTTCAGTATTACATAACAGATCTCTTGTTTGTTGACATTTCTCAGATTTGGTAATTTTTTTTTCTGATTCATAGATTGACTTCCCAGAGGTTGCTAAACAGAAAGCTAGTTTGATTCTTCAGCACAAAGAATTATTTCAAGGAATCGGAAAAATTTTAACAGAAAATAAACAGTGGCTTGGAGGAGGTCAGTCACTGGGAATATCTCTCCTCTTTCCTTTATTATCTCTCACTGTTTTTTCTTTTTCTTTACTTTACTCTGTCTCTCTCATATTAATGTACATTTGTGTGTACTATTCTGTCAATTTAGAGATACAACAAGTAGTAGTCTTTTAATTGTTTGTCTGAACACCATAAGCCATGCAATTTTGTAGCAAATTACCAACTAAATACATTTTATTCATTTCTGATTTCCAGGTATTGATGGTGAAAAATATACGCTTCTGGGATGTAACCTAAAAAATCGTTCAATGCTTGAAAATTGTCTATTGAAATGTGGACTTGACACATCACTTCCTACTTTATTATTGTCAGAAGTTGTACTGACATATATGGACCCACCAGAGAGGTATTCTCCTGAGCTCTGTTTATGGTACATAAGTAATTTGACTGGTGAATTTTTGTAGCATCACACCAACTGAAAGCACTAGCTGTTTTGTGGACCTTAAAAATATCAGGGAGATATGATTGTGTTAAATATAATTATATGGATTTTGACAAATTAGGAAGGAAGATGATTAAGAACTCTTTATTAAGTTTAAAAGTATTAGAAGCTCAGGAAACAGACTCTGAGGGGAGGAATTTTAATTTTACTGGAGAAGCTTCTATTCCAGTTGTTAACATAGGTGATGTGCATGTGTTTGCATGCAAAAGAAGTTAACTTATCTTATTACAATGTAAGAAAACTATGAAACTGACCAATCATGACTGACCTATGCCACTTGAGTCTGACAGCCAACAACATCACGGCAAAACTAACCAATCAGTTTATACAAACCGGACTAAGTACATTCGACTGACAGCAACCTTTCACTTGACTCTGATGATGACTTCCACTCAGGTTGTTGAAAGGTCAGTCGCCATTACCAACATTAGTCCTTCTCAGGACTACACTCACCTGGACGATCAAATGACACTATTAAATGTTACCCCCGGGTTCAAAGCACGTACTGTAAAACTATGAATGTTGTTTTTTGTTTGGTTGGTTTGTTTTGATGAAAGGGCTGGAGGTCTTATAATTCAATGTGAGAAATGTATCTTAGTAATTTGGTAGATGTGTTATGATTATTATCTGTTATGGTTTTCTTTAATATTGTCAAAAAGGTGGTACAAGCTTTGTTATCTCTAACAATCAAGGAGGCAAAGCCAAATCACCAAATTAACCTGTTTTGGCACTTGATAAGAAATTTTCTTGACCAACATAGTTATCTTTTTTATTTTTAATTTATTTCTGTTTTAGTTCCACAGCCATAATTGGATGGGCAGCAGATTTCTTTAAATCTGCCATGTTTGTAATGTTTGAGCAGGTAGGGAATGAAGTGTTTTGCATCTTTAATGCCAGCAGGGGTTGGGAAAATGTGGTAAAGGATACAGAAAGAGGAAAGCAGGGTCATTATCCTGTGATCATTATAACTGTTCTGTCCTATGGATATGTGGGTACAAAAACTACACTAATACAAGTGGTTTATTACGTAGGTATCCCCTCATGATCCCTTTGGAATAAAAATGTAAGTACTGTACATTTTTGTAACTTCTGATTTATTCCTAGCTCAATTATGTGGCAAGTGCGGCTTGTTGTCTTCTATTTCCATAAGACCTAATTATTTGACATGACTGGTGGTTAAAAATAAAGCAGAAGAAGTAATTGAATTATAAACAAAAAAGTCTTTGAAGCAATTCTATGATTCTGTATCCGTCAAGATATTAGTTTCTGCATGTTAGTACATTTATGTAAGCCTCCCGGAATCTCCTCCTTTGCAAACCATATATCAAAGGATTGACAGCACAATTCGCTGCTCCCGTGAACGGCATAATGAGATAAACTTGACGAGAAAGCTTGTACTGGCCTTGAAATATGTCGAGAAATTCAATTATAAAAGCTGGAGTCCAACATATTACGAAAGCGATCAGCACGGTGAGGAGAATTTTCGTGATTTTCACTTCCTCTGCGTATGATTTCTCATTGTTTACGTGGATATTTGAAGGTGCAATCTGCGAGAAATGTAGATGAACTTTGCGGAACACTTTGTAATAACAAAATGCAATGACTGGATAAGTCATGGTGATTATTACAGTGTATGGTACGATGAGAACTGCTTGATTTTCACTGTCTTGACTCTTACAAGCGAAACACGCGCATTTTCCGGGATGGAAACAGAATCGTTGGGAAACAAATGGAACTATAAATATTCCAGAAAAGATTGCACAAAACGCGATAGAAATAAGAACTTTGCTTTTTGTGTAAAACCTCTGGTAAATAATCACGGACTGCATCATTTTTATGTAACGATTGACCGCTATGAGTGTCATGGTTATTACTGAAAAACATGCAAAGTAGTATGTTAGACTGCCTTGAATCTGACAAATCACGTCTCCAAATGGCCATCTTCCTAGAATCACCACAGTTAACCCCAGAGGAAGACAGAGAATCGTTGACAGCAAGTCTGACGCAGCCAATGCAATTACGTAGTAGTTCTGGATACGGCGGAGCGCATAAGTTCTGTAAAATGCCAAACACAGAGTTATGTTTCCCATCAGTGCCAATATTGTGATAATGAAGGCCGAAGTTGTTTCAAAAATAACTGTCCCTATCTGTCTGTTTCTAAGCGATTCCTCAAGAATTGTTTTCCTGTCTAAAGAGATATTCATTCTGTTGAAAATCAAAAGATTCCTTTAAAAACTTTCTTTAAGGTGCAGTGCATAATATCCAATGCCCCATTATAGTTTACTTACGGTTTTAGTGAAATTTAATGTAGCCTCTTCTCAACTTGACACTTAATTGTAAATTTTGCTAAGTTTTTAATTTAAATGTCCTTTTCATGACACCCTTATCAGACATATTTAGACACCTGTCTGGGGTTGAAATAACTTGCATACAAGCCTCTAGTCAAACCGGTAAATTTTAAAATGAATAAGCGTTGATTTTAAGGAGGAACTAAATGTGGCACTTCATGAATTAAATGGACCATTTCAGCTGATAGCTATTTCTGACCCATTGATGCAAGCGTGCTTAGATAGTTGACAAAACTAAATGGACCATTTCAGCTGATAGCTATTTCTGACCCATTGATGCAAGCGTGCTTAGATAGTTGACACAATTAAATGGACCATTTCAGCTGATAGCTATTTCTGACCCATTGATGCAAGCGTGCTTAGATAGTTGACACAATTCCGTATTTTATCAACAATTGACGGGGAATTTTTCTTTTGTTTCTATCCTGATAGAGGTGAAAAAAAAAAAAACAAGACATGGATGGGCAATAATATACATAGCAAAAAGCCTCGTGCGAAGCGTTATTAAAGCCTGTACCTTGTAGATATTATTCCTGTCATCCGACTCGGTAAATATCCACCACTGTTCATCTCCCCTTCGGTTAATAATCGGCAATCATTATTAAGGGCTGCCATGTTTAATAAATATTTGGTTTGTGAGATTCTTTAATTGCCATCGATATAGCTATGGAGCGAATCTTTTAAGATGCAATTTATGATATGATTCTTTCTCACAATGTGTCAACAACGAATTTTATTTAGAGGTAGATTTGATAGCAAAAAAACGGTTGAAATACGGCCTTCTTTCTCAAGTTTTCATTAATTCTTTATTCAATTATTATTCAATTCAAATGGTCTTGTCTTTTACAGAGATTTAATCACCTGGTACAAAGTGATTCCCGATATCCAAGTTAAATTTGTATCGCATAAAAAATTAACTGATTTTTCCTTCGTTACCAGGATAAACCATTTTAAAGATTCAGTTGGAGCTCCTTTGTTTGCCACAGAAGCTTTCCCAACCCGACAAAGTCAAATACAGCGATTTATGGGCGAGGTGAATTGAAAACAGACACTTTGATATTAGTTTGACGTCGTCTTTTCGTTGAGTTCATCACTTTTTCTTTTCATTTCGCACTTTATAGGGATGGCCTTTGGTCCGATGTCCAACACTGAATTTCTTTTACTATGATACTTTGCCTGAAGAAGAAAAAAGGCGAGTGGAAAATGTGGAGCCATTTGATGAGTTTGAGGTGAAGTTTTTAGTGAAATAAAATCGTAGTCTTACAGTGGCGCGCTATTTGCCACGTTCAATTGATTCGTTGCTGTGTTTTTTATCTTCTTACTGTTTATCTATGTTTTGTAAGTCTTGAATAAACTCGAAAGAAAACCGTTTTTTTTCAGGAATGGCACCTGATGTGTTCACACTATATAGTCCTTGCTGCATTCAAGGGGATCTGTCAGGATGTTTGTGAGGAGCTGCTTTCGCAGCTGAATGGTAGGTGATTGTATGAGCCAGCTAACCCAAGATGCAGGTTCGGTGTCTTATTCATTACCTTTGCATTTGACATTTTGTTTTTCCTCCTAATTCAGCAAAAGGGATCCATGATGACTCGTCGCTACATGAAAATGTTAAGTGCACAGTTCGAGTTATGGACGTTGTACCCTCGCGGGATAAACTCAAAAGGTAACAATTCTGCTTCTTTAAGTTTCTGACTTCTCTAGCAACTATTTGAGTTTTATTCACTTGCTTCGCGACAAATTTATACCATGCTGAGGCAGCTTTTATTTTTAAAGAAGGACAAGTTAGGCCAGTTTTCGTTTTCTTCGCCGTTGCCCAATTTTCTTGATTGAGAAGAATCCAAGTAGACACTAATTTTTAGACAACAAACGCCTAAGTAACCTCTCGTTTTGATAACTAGGCTAGGTCACGCAGCCACTCCTCTTAGTAACGGTGCAGTTCTCATTACTGGAGGATTTGGTCTGGAAAATGGTAAACACCAGCGGCTTGATGGAATTCAACTACTGCGAACGGTGGAAGGTAACTAAACAACAACCGTCACTTTTAATGTTAGGGCAATACTGAACAACAACTTAAACTAAAATAGCAACAGTGAATATATAGCTGCTTGGTTATATAAGAATATCGATCAGTCTATTTTTAACTCAAATGATCTTCTTCCAGGTAATTTACACTGTGCAGACATCTTACCGGATTCAGAGCGAACACTCGGTAAGAAAGAGAGACGACGTCATAACCGAAGTAACGTTAGTGGGTCCTTAGTAGTTAAAAACACCTTTTATACCAATGCGATAAACCATGGAGCGCCGAGTAAGAAAGGTTTATTTTCTCTTCCCCACCCCCTATCCCCTTGCTAATGTATATTGGCTCTTTCAACCTTACAAAACACGATTAACTTTGAAAAGTGGAAGAACCCTAAAAATCTCCTGGATAACAATATTTAAGTGCATGCAGCCGACGGCTAATAGCGATGGGTTTCCATGACACTAATTTTATCATCTTTTCATATCAGGTGGCCGAATGTTTCACACTGCTACAAGATTAAACGATACTGATATACTTATATACGGTGGGCGGACATCACCATCAAATCCTTGTAAAGAAACAATTCTGATATCTCTGGACAACAAGGATGAAACAAAGCCTTTACATTGTACAAACGGTGATGTTACCTCTCGTCCAAGTTATAAATATACCATTTACAGTTGTCAAGGAGATATACCAGAACCAAGATGGCGACATACAGCAACACATGTAACCCTTCCCGATGGTATGAACGAACTCTTCCTCTTTGCCTGTAGAACCCAAAAGCGACAGAAAGTGTAATAAGTATTTGAGCTATTCAAAGTGTTTCAAGTCAATACATATATTGAACAACTTAATTCCAGGTCATGTGCGGAGAACAGAACACAAAAATAAGAAGGGCCTTCGTGTCGATTGAACTGAAAGCAGAAACTCTTAGAAGTTTTAAAGGCCCAAAAGTCTTCAGTACAAATCCAAGGGGTAGTGGGTTGAGACCTTTGTTATTTTTCCTCTCTCTTTTCTCCGCTACTAACCACAGGATGTTCACGCTAAAGAATTATTGGGCTGGCTGCGGTCCAGACCAGCTCCTAAGTTATAAATTCAACTTTATTTTACAGGAAGCGAAAGCTTGCTAATATTTGGTGGACGTACTTCTTCATGCCTTGCTCTTGGAGATTGCTATTTACTAAATATAAAATCAAAAACATGGAATAAGGTACACTAGTTTTTTTTAAGTAACAGAACCCATCATGTGGTCAGAAAAGTCACAGAGAAGCTAAAAAAGTATGCTACACCTTACCGAAGAAAAAGTGTGTCTCTGTTTGTTTCAATTTTAATGCATTGAAGATTGGTTTTTATTTAGGAGTCCATTTCACTTGAATTCCCAGATTTTCATTAAGGGAGATGCCGCTACCCCACGTCATTCTCATAGTGCATGCGTATGGAACAATCATGTGGTGCTGACAGGAGGCCTGGACGCTAATCTCCAAGCCTTGAGCATAGTTCAAACCATGGAAACTGATGTAAGGAGCATTTTGTACTCTTATCTTGACTGGTTAAATACACCTATCACGTGGTACAAAACGGGACAAACTGACAGTCATACTGAACAGTTTACTGACCGCACTGAATGGACTCCGGAGGTTTTAACTGGCAAACAGAAATGAAATAGTTATTAGCTCTTGCACTAGTAAGGTTTTATTGGTCATACCTATGATAAATTGTAAAGATACATGTTTTTGCTGGCTGTTATTCAAATGTTGAACAAAGTTATTTTCCTTCCAATTCTGTCTCATTCAACAGTCAGAGACGCAACGAGAACCACTGGCATGTTGAAACTCACGTAAGGTGAACATCTTATCCATACTTTCTTGCAGGTAAATTCTGTAAAGCTACGGACTCTATCTGTTGATCCTCCCTTACCTCCGAGGTAATACGTCGACACTGATACACCTACCTTTTTAAAATGCTATAACTTACTTTTCTCGCGAGAGATGCCCTACAACGCGTGCGGAACTAAAGACACGATGGACTATGGAATAATTTCACTATGAAGGCATTGAACCCAGGAAATTGGCATTATTTTTGTTGGTTTACTTTTTGGTTTGTTTGTTTCAGATACTCTAACACAGCTCATGTTGTTGATGAAAATCTTTTTCTCATTGGCGGAGTAATTCCGAATTCTTCCCATCCTGCAGGGGTTGTTGTTTTGAATCTGAAGAATCTGACCTGGAAATCTTACACACTTCCGGTTGGTTTCACATCATCAGCTCTTTTTTTTTCTGATTTTCCAAGTTTTCTTCCATAGATAGTTGTCCATTCATCTCTTAATTTGGTATGCAGTACAATTGGAAAAATTGCTTTGTCGTTAAGTTACAAATTTTTGCAAAAAAAAAAAGGAAAAACTATCGAGGGTTTCATTTATCCCTATTTTATGGAATCGTCAGAAATTCTGTACTGTCTTTTTCATTCAATAAATTGTTTCAATTTTTTTAACCATATTTTTTTCAATTTATCAAGTCTAAAACCTGATAAGATAGGTCGGGTATATTCAAACAGAATTTGAAACCTACTAAGTCTACCAGTTAGCGTAAAGGAAGCGTAGAATTGTTATTCCGTTCTTAATTTTTTAATTATTTGTTCCTTTGTTATTTACTTGGATGTCCGCTTATTTTCTTCCAGGTGCGTTCAACACCTTCAATTCCTCTTATGCTTCACAATCATTGCAGTGTCAGGTGGGAAGATTCGCAAGGTTTTATGGTTCTTGGCGGTGGAGGAAACTGTTTTTCATTTGGAACTCATTTTAACGATGGGCCAGTGTTTATTGACTTGCCTCCGCCGGGAGAAGCAGCAGCCTCTAAGTGAGCTTAACAAGTCACATTAGCCATTATCGTGCTGCTTGACCATGAGTAAAAGTATCGTCTACACAACACTGAGAAAACAATACCAATCAGCTGGCGTATGACATTGTAAAAGAAGAACATTCCATTAAAAATTGTTGACAAACGGCGAACTATGTTAGAGTTCCCGTTAATACTCTGCGTTAGTTCGCACTCATTAGATATATGGAGTAATCGTTAATTACTGAAGAAGGATTTTTATTCATTTCGCAAAGTTGTAATTTAAGAAGAGTAACTATTTTGCGAAATCGATTAATAGTCCATTTCGCAAAATAGTATCTCTCCTAAAATTACTATTTAGCGAAATATATTTTAATACGGTAAGAAATAAGAGGAGGCCAAAATCTTTAGTTATATACTAATTTGTAATGTTTAAATGTATTTTTGTGACATCAAAGAGGTCATGTTGTCACCGCAGGGTGAAATAGTGGATTTAACAAAATTGACGATTACTCCAAATTTCTGGTTAAAGTTATCTTTACCTTATTAGAAAATGTACCTGCATTATCCCTTTCGTTTCGTTATATCTCGCCTGGTTTCGTTTCGTTTCGCAAAATAGAATAAGCTCGATGGAGCGCTTGGGCATTCGGCCAGAAAAGGGTGACAAAGAAAAAACATTCCAGCTGGCGCAACCACCTGGAGCTAAAGAAATTTTAATCTTTGCTTCTGCCGAAACTACCGGAAAGGGAGACTTTCACAGAGACTTCTTCGAGTTCTCCACGTCTCAGGAAGATAAGAAGTTTGCACAATACCAGTCTGTAGCGACTGACAAGTAATAACTACTGCCAACTCAGCCAATACGTGGTTGCCAGTTGGAGAGGGAACCTTGACTGTTAAGCTTTTTCACAAAGAAGTCGTGAAGAGCGTGACAGGCAAAGTAAGTCCACAACAAGTTTGGAGCGAGGCGTTTGTTATCGGTTACAGATCTTAAATGAATCGCAAGTTAAACACGTGACTCGGTACTTGATTAGAATTTATGTGACAAAGAATTACCGTAACATGTGTGGAGTGGCTTGATACAAATAAAGCATGACAAAAAATGAAAGGAAGTGATGCTGCAGTCAAGACCGTAAAACGACCTCGATTGACAGTATATCTTTTCGTTAGGTAGAAAACGGATAGTTCATTAAACCGCGGACACGCTGAGTGTACAAAGATTCTGTTGTTTTTTTGGAGGTGTCAACGGGAGGCGTTTTTTGAGCGAAGGAGGCAAGTTTCTAAGGAAACTGCGGTGTTTCGTCAGTGTAGGGGTGGGGGGGGGGCAATGGAAAATAATTTGGTTATATCAACTGAGTCGATAATGTAAATTGTTCACCGTAAAGAGATTCAAAATCTGACGTTTCGAGCGTCAGCCCTTCGTTAAGCGCGGCGAGCGCGGAACGAGAGCTTCTTTCTTTTTCCTGTCTTTCCCCACCCCCACCCCTCTGTTTCGCCCACGCTCGCACCCTCACCCTCTGCACGATGATTAAGAGATTGAAGGGATGTGTAAATGTTCTAAGGTATCTGTATTTGCTCATATATTTAACATCCTTGTATTTTTGGTGGTGACGGCCGCCCATATATCTGGGGCCGAGTTGATCCCATTCAGGTAATAAGCTATACGCTTCATTGGCGCACAGCCAACTTTATCACGAATATTTGGGGGTGTGAATACTAACTACATCGGGTTTCTTTTCTGTAATTGTTCTAACTGTAGTTTACCTACAAAGATCGTTTCTTTACTTGATAAGATCCTGGTTCAAAACTTAGCAGCCAAGACTTAAGATGAACAACTCCTTATTATTGGGTAATATCATTTAAAAATAGTATGGATGTTATGAAAATGTTGCGCACTCTTTGTAATAATCTCTTATGCGTTGTTTTTTACGACATGACAAAGGCTAAATCGCAATGTTAATTTCATAAAAGAGAGAGAGCACTGAAAGTCACTAAGTCAGACTCTAACTGAGAGTACCCGCATGTTTCTCCATTGACACATAGCCCCACCATACACAGAGTGTCATTGCTCACGACGATAACACTAACTTCCCTGTTCACTATCTCTTGTTAAGACCCTTAGCGATGGGAGTAATTGCGAGATTAAAAAAAACTTCGAAAGGAAAACCACTAGACAAAATAAATGCATTATAAAAACATTTCGAGACTCAAGCTCATCGCTGAAGTATCATTCGCCGCGCCCCAAAATATTTTAAATAAACAAAGGTAAAAGGTCTCATGACATTTTTGCTGATTTATCACGTCCAAAATTTTGAAACTCGTCGAGTTGCGTAATATGAAAGCCACCCAACTCTCACGGAGTAGGCGGTAGTCTCATGTAGCTACAAACAATATTGGTTTGTTTGTCTCCGTTATGAGTACGATAATTCCCAAACGTCCGGTAATTAAACACCTCGTGGAAAAAGATCATGAATTGTTTTTTTTAAAAGCTGCCTTAAAAGCGATTGAGAAATAGTCCATGCAACCTCTAAGTAATTTCATTGGATGCAATTGTGACAGCTGGGAACAGTTCATTGAAATAAAATACCATCGTATCGAGTTGCATGTAGCAGTTCAACTCTGTGCAGACGAGCTAGAGGTCAGGTGGAAATTTTGCAAGTTTCACTTCATCACCAAACCAACCATGAGTACTGCTCTCTATGAACCAATCCAAAAGAGCTTCGGCACTCTGCCCGAACGTAATGGGGAAGAAAAAACTTACAAGCTGGAGCTGCCAGTCAAAGCAAACGAGGTTTTGATCTACTCATACGTTACAGCTCACGGAGAAGGAAAGTTTCACCGAGGCTACTTTGAGTTCTCAACTTCTCAAGGAGAAAAGAAGTTTACACAGTTCCTGAATATGGCGACTGGGCAAGGCATAAATACTGTCAACTCAGCCAATATGTGGTTTCCATTTGGTGACGGGACCTTGACCATCAAGCTTGTGCACGAAGAAGGCGACAAGAGCGTGGCGGCTGTCACAGATAAAGACTGGAGTGAGGTGTTCGTCATCGGCTACAGATCTTAAAGGTGATGCAAGGAAAACTCTTGACCATCTTGAAAAGAATTTAGTCAAAAAGTTACCTTGAAATTTGCCAATTGACTAAGAAATTTAAAAGGAAAAAGGTTTAGATAACTCTGTAATTTAGTTCGTACAACTGGACCTCGAGTTACATGTTGTAAATGTATCTTGATAACAACTGGAATGTTCAATAAACCCCGGATATGCAAAATTTTAAAATTTCTCGTCTCGTTATGTTGTTCAAACGCGAGGTGTCAAAATGTGGTGTAGTGTTTCTAGTTTGATCTTCTTCAGTCTTTCAAAAGCTTGAATTTCAAGTAATTATCTGGTCCAAAAGCCAAATCAGCTGAGCCTCTTTCGACACACTGCCGGATTACATCGGCATTTTTTTTTCCTTTTTCTTTTACAAACTGTCTGATCTTCAAAGTGTTTGATCACCGCCTCGCTCGTCAATCATGTTCGATTCTTGAACGTCATTCAGTTACGTAACAGCATTGCAACCCAATTCTGTAGGGGTCTGGACGGGGGAGTGGCATTCGTCTTCATTTCAGCCCAAAATTCAGAAAGCTTGCTAACCCGTCCCTTTCGTTACCCCTTAGTTGCAATTCGGCGTATTGCAAAGTAAATTCTCATAAAACTTTTACCTCTTCATTCAAGTTCAGCATAACAAATTTGTTTTCTCATGTTCTTTAAGTTGTAAACTAAGGCCATATGACAACATTACGGTGTAACAATATAAAATTATCAACAAAATCGAACAAGCTAAGTGGTAAGTGCTAGAGGTTACTCTGGGTTTCACAGAATAAAGTGATTAAGATGCTAATCTGTCGCGGGGATGATTCCCAGTGTTCCTGTCTATTTGCAAGCACCTACCGATACGTTTTCTCATAAATTACTGACGAGGAATGTTACGAAATAAGAATCACCCTGGCCCGCTCGAGCCCAAACCTCTCAAAACTAGCCGCCAGGGCCAATGACGGTCATAGCAAAATAATTTCTATGATGGCGAGCTAAGTTAATGGGGATAAAATGCACGAAAAGTGTTTGTTACGCCTTTTAAACCCAAATCTCAATTAGCAATTCTTCTCATTGTCTGCCACACATTTCTCGTAATTTTGGTTCTGAGAATTTGGCGCTGGATCAGAAAATAATCTCCTTGTGTTGACATTTTCCTGTTTTCTCATCACTTGCGTGGTTGAGATAGTTTTGAAATTGGAGGGAGGAATTATATCTTGATCACTCTTAGGAGTGAAAGGGTCATTAAAGGTCAGGCTAAGGAGCCCCGATTAGTCGATGGAGGGGGGGGGTGAAAAGTTTTGAAAATATCCGGGGGATGGTACCAAGGGGTTATAAATGCCATGCCACCTCTCCTCTTTATCAGAATTGGAGCTTTATAAAAATCACAACTACATTGCATTACGGGCGGCTCTTTTCGATGATAAATTTTTTTTCAGTGATCGATTTAATTGATTCGAATTTCTTTTGAGAAAAAAATTTGGCAGTCTTCTGTAATAAAAGCAGAACATGAACAAGAAGGGAAACTTATTCCAGCAGAATGTTTCACTTTTATCAGTCATTTGATGAGTCACAGAGTGTGCTACTTGTTAAAGTCATTTCACTTAACTCCATGAAAAAAAACTTCGTAGGGAATACGTTTCATCCAGAGAGCACTGAAACAGCAACCGAAAAGCTATGACACCTCTCCCCCCCTTCCCCCCAACCAAGCCAAGATCAAATAAAAAGAGGAGATAAGGCACGATGGCAAAGATCATGTATTTATGCGGTGTTTCACACTTTTTTAGGATGGAGGACAAACCAAAATAATACCCAAATTTATACCTCGCAAGATTTTCACTGTTATGCGGTGCTCTACCAATTTTAAGAATCAGTGCTTCAATACACATAAATTCGCTTTAGATGTAACTGCCTACAAAACTCAGTGATTTCAAAAAAAAGGTGGCTGTTGGTTATCTTGATAATGACAAGAATATGGTGCCTGGAAGCAACCAGACAACTGACAGGAATCCTGTGGTCTAGCTTCGCCCGGCATATTAAGTGGACCCTCAGGTAAGATGGAGGAACATAACACCGGAACTCCAGGGTTTAGGCTCTGTCGTCGCCAGCGGTATCGCCGTTTCTTGAACCAGTTCTGAAAAAATGAATACATTTTCCATAAATATTTTTTTAATTTTTCTCAATCCTGAAGCTGTTGAATTGTAGAGAAAACAAGAAGGACGAACAACGAAAAAAAAAGGAAAAGCTGACGTTTCGGGCGTTAGCCCTTCGTCCGAGCGAATGACGAGGGGCTAACGCTCGAAACGTCAGCTTTAGAAACTCTTTACAGTGGCCAATTTAAATTATCAACTCAGTTGAAAAACCAAATTATCTTATCAGTACTAAATGATACTTGATCCGAAAAGCAATGAACATATAGCTCTTTGAAGCGACGAAATTAATTCTTCATTCTTAAACGCGAAACGAATTATGGCTGGACTGATGAAACTGAGCTTTCTGACTTCAAGTATTAAATGCTTTTCGAGGCTTGGACTCTTCTTTGAAAGAGAAAATATCATTTCAGGAACTGATATATCCGAAAAGTATTGTTCAATAGATTTTTTTAATCATGTGATTTTGAGAGTTCTCGCCACAAATCTACGAAATTTTAAGGCCTAGTAACTAAAAACGATTCAAACAAGTTGAATCTTTTACGCGTCTCGCCCATACAAGAAATTCGAGCGTTTTTCGCTTCCAAATAGTAAATTTAGCATTTATTTGAATGCAACTTCGGTCTCGAAATATTTCTAGTCGGTTTTGCCTTGCTTTTTATCTATAGTTTTCGGGCGGTACGTGATTTCCTAGAAAACCAGACACAACAAGGTAATAAAACTCTTTTTCCGAACACAAGGTGTTTCCTCTACGTTATAAAACAATTGGTTCATGCTTTTAGCTTTGGGGTTTGTCGAGGTACGGATGCACTTGAAAAGGTACTTTCACTCCATTCTACTTTTTCTTTGTCACACTTGTCAAATTTCAATCGCTCAAAGTGCAGCTTACCAACAATGTTTGATGCTTGAGTCCCAGTCTATGAGCCAAATGAGCCCTTACTGCTCGTGAAGGATACGGAGTCTGCAGAAATGCGCACTCCAGCTCAAGTTTTTGATACAAGGAAATCTTTGTTCGCGTTTTCTTCATTAAGCCGGAATTTGAACCAGCCTCAACATCTTTCCGGTCCTTTGCAGAGTCCCCTTTTCGTTCTAAAAAAAGGGGAAAAACCAGTCTATTTGAATAAGGATCATAATCGGGAGACAACAAAAAACCCGACAATACCATGCAAAACTTCAAAACATTCGTGCATGCCCATATATGGGTAATCTATTTCCCATCCTATCCGCGCCATTCTTTCGGTGTCTGAGGGAAGCCGATTTCTTCAACTCTGATGTCACGATCAATAGACTTTAAAGGTGAAAACGGAATTATATCTCCCACATATGTAGTTCAAATTAAAGGTGGCTAACTTGGGTGCAATGAAGAGATTTTTATACAAAACTAAGATAGATGGTAAATTACTTTTAAGTGTTTAATTCTCTTTGAAAAAGTTGAACTAAACTTCAATTGACACTTATGAAAAGACAGACGATGATCTTTTCTTCGATAGCTATTCGGGTTAGCGACCAAACGATGTAAAGATGAAGCTAAATTCTTCACCATTTCGATGATATGCTCCTGTTTCTATTTTTTTTATGAAGATGAAATTTTTCCCTCGAATGGACTTAAGATCAGCTTTTTATGAGATGTGGGTGAAATAATGGCAGTCAAAGCCAAGGATGATGCGAAAATTATTTCTACCTTTAAGTTCGATGTTTCTTTCGTCCTCTATGTTGACGGTGTCCAGGAAGTCCACCCCCGATTCTAACTCAGCCATAGGTTCCATTAAAAACGGATGAAGTGATGATTTTTCTCCACTCATATTTAAACGACCACCGCAAAAATGGCAAACAACAAATAAATATTGACGTAAGTTGAATCATGTTTATAGAAAAACTGGCTAGAACCAGTCTCTGCTCAGTAAAACCCGGCAATGTACAGGCATTATTTCAGCAGCTTGGGGAAGAATCTAAACCAACGGGGGAAGGCAAAAAAAGGGTCACCTTTTCATCCCGGCCGTGCGAGATAGCTCACGAGATTTTAGTTTAAAAAATAGGGACACTCCAAAATTTTTTTTATCAATCAGTACAATTTCAGAAAAATAATGTCATTGGTGGTCGTGTTTACACATATAACTTGCATACGTTTTTTAGGACCAGTTGAAAAAGAGTTTATCTTCAAACTAATCTACGTGAGGTGCAAACATTTTCACTTATCAATCCTTCAGGACTTCCAGAAGAAAAAAGTCCTATGCAAGAAATAGAAAAAAATGTAAGAAGAACTTACATCCCATTTCCGCATTGATTAATACTGACCATGAATAATAAAACATACTCAGCGTCATCTTCCCTGTTGAACAATACACTGTGGTTGGATGAGTGAGTTATCTTATCCAGTTTGTTCAGTCGAGGAGTTGAAGGAATCCAGATGCTGTCTCAGTTGAGCCCAAAATGTTCACAGAAGCTGTTTGGAGGACATCATACGTGCTACGGCGTTCAGTCGGATCACTTTAACCGCTCTATCTGCTGAAAAAAGTTTTAGATTCCTCGAAAAGGAACATCAGCAATTACCGATTATGATCTCAGGACTTCTTGAAAAGGCTTCTTTCCCTCAAAACAGGAGAAACTATGAAAGAAAGAAGTAAAGAAATGGTGAACATGTTGCGAAAATCTCAGTTCCCGCTCCAAAGTTCCGCAGCTGACGTAGTTCATGGTAAAGTGGAAGCTTTCAAGCGAGGTTTAAGAGAAAACGCAGGCTCGGTTATAAAGTTGATTTGGGTGAAAGAAGAAGTGTGAGTTTAATCCGGCTGTTAATGTAGTGAGTTGCTTGTTGAGAAGACCGAATTATCCATGGGACGGGCAGAGGAAATCCTGACTGATAAAAACGGCCTCAGAAAGGTGAAGTCTACAGGTGACACTGTAAAGATGTAAGAAGCAAGCTACCATTCTTCAAAAATTCTTAGGCTTTCGAATGGATTTTTTATTCCGAGGGAGGATCTCGAGAAACAGCTAAAAAATGAACTTTCAGGGAAGGCTGGGATAAAATGCGAAATAAGTTGTGGGACGAAACATCAATTTTGTGATGTTAGCTTTTACAAAGATGGTGTTATTGTTGTAAACCTCCCTCACAACCGTCTTTTGGCCGCTTACACCTAACAGAAAGTTTGTGGCTATTTTTTTATTAATCCACGCATCACGCTCTCTACTCCCATTTCTCTTTAGTGAATTATCTAGTGTTTCTATCACACCCGATAATCGCAATCCACGCTTTCCACACCAGGGATAGCTTATTTTCCGGATAATGCTTTATTTTTCACAAATCATCCTGTAGAGTTGTATTCGGACAGTTAGCTATAATCGGACACCTGTAATCGGACAGTTGAAGCAGCCAATCATATTTAGTCCTTTCAGTCAAATCCACCAATCACAGAATTGATCGCAATAACCATAGCAACAATCACTTATCCTAAAAAAATTGTGGAATTTCCAAAGTTGAGGAATTTTTTACTTAGACATTGTCTCTACTGCACATATTTGTCCTAAATGTATATGTTGTTTTCGGAAATTGTGACAGTTCTGATTAATTGGTAACTGAGGACTTTGTGTCGTCCAGTTCTGTCTGTAATCATACTCGTGATTGACAAATCGGACTCCCGCTTCGCGGTCGTCCGTTTTTGTTAGTCACTCGTAAGATCACAGACCGAATTGGACTCCACACGGTCCTATTACCATTATTAATAATTTTAATCGTAGGGATGAATGCCGATAGGAATGCTGTACTTTGTTACCAGGACACTGAATGAATCAGTAGACACACAGATAGTCATAGTTAAATATCACATTTTGTATGGTTTATTTGGCTTATCATCTTTGATTGCGTTTTTTTTTTCACTTGCTAATCAAGCTATCATTTCTTGATAATTTTGGTTTTATTACAGTTAGTTGACACTAATTTCGGCACCATAGAGTTTCAATTCTGACATTTAATTTCGAGCGTAAGCCCTTCGTTAGCCCTTCAAGGTCATTGTTAGGATGCTTCCGAGAAAGGCTTTTTCTAAAGTTTGCTGATAAAGTAAGGAGGCTTGTATAACGAAACTGCATGCTAAAAACATTAAATCCCCTGAACCTTCGACACCCTTGATAATTCTTGATAAATCGTGACGCATACTTGGCCACTTTGCCGAATATCAGCGGCAGTATCAAGATGGCGGTCTGAACTGTTAGTAAGCCTGAAATAGTTTCATGTTTGTTACCAACTCCAAACTAATGTTTCGTCTGAACAACCTGATAAAAATAACTATTTCAAAGCAATTTTTGGGTAATTCGCGAAATTTGTTTCATCCAGTCCGAGAGAAAATGTCTGACAATTCCGTGGAAATACTGGACTCGCCCGAGTTCAAAAGCGTTCTCTCTCCAGAATTGCACTCTGTTGCTGCACCATTCCTACAGAATGGATACGATGTAAGAATAGTTGGTGGAGCAGTGCGCGACATTCTTTTGGGATTGCAACCGAAGGACGTTGACCTTGGAACAAATGCTACTCCGGAGAAGATGATTCAGCTGTTCAAACAACACAATATACACTTCATTGAGACCGGCCTAAACCACGGCACCATCACGGCTCATGTTAACAAGCAAGACTTTGAAGTCACGACTTTGCGGATTGATGCTGAAACTGATGGTAGACATGCAAAAGTAGAATTTACCCAGAACTGGAAATTAGATGCAGAGAGGCGTGACCTTACTTTCAATGCCATGAGTTTGGGACTAGACGGAAGTTTGTATGACTATTTTGGCGGAAAGGAAGATCTGTCCAACCGTCGTGTCAGATTCGTAGGTGATCCAGAGTTGCGAATAAAGGAGGATTACCTTCGAATTCTGAGATACTTTCGTTTTTATGGAAGAATAGCTTCAGAAGAAGACAACCATGACCATTCAACATTAAATGTTATACGGGAATGCGCAGAGGGATTGAAGAAGATTGCTGTTGAACGGATTTGGATGGAAGTCTCGAAAATTTTGACTGGAAATTACACACCAAGTATTTTGCATCATATGTATGAGCTTAATGTTTCTCAGTGCATTGGTGAGTGAGATAGTCAAACTCCATAGATACAGAAAGAAAGTGTATGGGCTTGGGGAAGGTGTAATAAGGTCAGTGGTTAGTGTGCTGGGTGCATGGTTGAAAGGTGTGGGTTTATACCTTGGCCAGGCCAGTGCATTGTGTTCTTGAGTGAGATGCTTAGCTCTCATATTGTCTCTCTCCACCCAGGAGTGTAAATGGGTACAATCAAACTGGTAGGGAAACTTTGAAGAATTCCTGAGGGCCTGGGTTACATGCAGTGGACTAACAACTTATCAAAGAGAAGTAACAAACTAGGATAAGTTTGTGTCAAATGGGTCATGAAACTCATACAGCAGCCACATCAAGTGTCTGCATTTGAAAAGATAAATGCAGTGCCATGTATCAGATTGTACAATTTTTGATGCTTTGATAAAACTGGCCTAAGTGTTAATTTGTCTTTGGTGCTTTGAAATACCAGTTGAAATAAATAAAAAAATATGAACAAGGTAAAAATGCAAAAACTGCAAATCTTATCTTGAGCTGAGGTCTAGATACTGATATAGATGATTAATTACTATTTGCTAAAGTGGAGCATGGTAGTGGAGGATATTTACCTTGTGGCAAAGCCACGAGGTTAATATCCATCACTAACCACTAACACTGAGTATATACTAAAGCTGCAAGATAATATAGCACAAAAAGATGAATTTGACTCATTTATTACTGCCTTGATTACAATACTTTCGGGTGCAAATCCTGCACCCATTGCTCAGGGGTGAATAGCAAAGGATATTCAGAGTTTGTGAAGCCAATCATAGTGTACCTTCAATGTTATCCACTGTTTTAATATGTACTAATGATTGATATTTAATGATAGTCACTTCTACTTACTTATCATTTTGTGTGTAATGAAGTCGTGATGGCTTGTCAGGCAAGCATTTTTAACTTGCCTTAAGACGATTGTCCTACACCATAAATACATTTTTTTTTGTCTTTAAAGTTAGACTAAAGTAAGTGTTGTTGTCTAATTTCAGGCCTGCCTACTTATTCTAAAGAGAGCATGCAGGAATTGACTAGAGCATGGAAGGAACATAACATCCATCCACTTCAACCTGAAACTCTGCTCTGTTCCCTTGTCAACACTGCAGAGGAGGCTGAAAACCTTGCAAGGAAGTGGAAACTGTCTAATGCAGGGAAAGCCTTGGGCAAATTTGTAACTCAGCACAGGGGACCCAAGCCTCACGAGCATGTTCTTAAGCCATATCAAGACATAATAGTGTCAGCACCTTATGAGCATGTAAGGAGTTTGATTAAAAGTTATGTTTTGGAAACACTGCACTATCTGGGAAGACATGATCATGCACAGGAAATAAACACATGGTGCATTCCAGTGTTTCCTATTACTGGTAGACACTTGAAGAAGTTGGGAGTCAAGCCTGGACCAGAATTTGGAAAAATGCTTGGAAAACTAAAAGAGATCTGGAAGGAAAGTTATTATACTGCCAGTGAAGCAGATTTACTAGAGAAGGCTAAATCCCTTATAGAGGGATAATTCCTGGTCACTTTTCTGTCAGTTATTGATCATGAATTAACATCAGTTGTTGTACACAGTGATGTTTAGGGACCTAAATCCAACCTTGATCTTGCTCTGGTCCTGAATATTTTATTAATTTTTTTCTGGAGTTTCTGATCATGTAAACTGTTGTTTTAACTGAGATAATGATTGGAAACCAATGTGACTGAACACTAACATTTTTGGTCTTTGCAAACTACAGACAATGAATTACTTTAATGGATCAAAGCATTTTATTGGGCCCATGTCAATAACAGTTTTATGACTGAAGTGGCTATTTTACAATTTGTTTATGAATCCAGATTTGTATAATTGCCTAAATGTTCGAGTGTGTTCAATTTTCTTAATGATAATAGAGAGAGAATACAGGACAAGTTCACATGAAGTTGAAAGTAATGACTTCCCCTGCGCATGTTATTTGAAAACTAAGGTTAGCACTGCCCCTATTCTTTGTGCTTAAGTCATTATTTGTCAAACGACATCAGCATTGCTGCTAAGGACTTAAAACTTTTGAGATAGGGAGGGGTTGAGATCTTTCTTTTGAGTAAGACTTTGCTTTTGTGGGTAAACCCTTGAGGAGTATTTTTGCTTATCCATATTTATTCTTTTAATTTCAGTCCATTCACGATCCACAAGTATTAATCTTAATCCTGAAATCTTTGGTACTGGTTCTTAAACCATCAAAGAAAATGTGCCCCACTGAATTTCCTTAAGTTTTTTAAAATAAATTTAGAAAAAGCCATCATTACTTGATCCTGACACATCGGTCACAAGATTTTTATCTTTGTCTGTTTTAGTAATACTTCAAGGTGAAAGTGCCTTGGAATCTCGGTCTACAATTTATAGTAGCTGGTAATCGAATTTGAGATCGATTTGTCCAGCCCCTTGTTCCACACACTCTTCCCCTGCACAATGTACAGGGAATACACGAATTTCAGATATTTAAAGAGAGAGAGAGGAATCAAAGATGAAAACTCGCGTGATAGCATCAAAGTTGAATTGTATCGTCCTCTTCCATAATGGACGTGTTATCGCTTTCCTCAAATAGAAATGACATTAGTATCACGTGGTTAGGTTTTGCTTCCACCATCACTGACTAACAGGCGCGGCTGCTAAATTTAAGGGTGTTGAACTCTGTAGAGCGAAGGAGAGGTGTGTGATCGATTCATGCTCAAATAGATTTACAGCAAGTTTTATCGGCAAAAAGTTTGCCAAAATGTCGAATGCGAAGGAAAAGCAATTGGGGTTACATAAAGTGATCATGGTCGGCAGTGGTGGGGTTGGAAAGTCTGCACTTACCCTGCAGTTCATGTATGATGAGGTGAGTGTTAGGAGCGCTTAAACTCTTCTGTCCTCTGAAGCAGGTAACCCACAACGTAGGGGTTTTCTGTCTATTTTACAGTGAGCGGTTTATGTATGCTCTGCCAGTGGATGACATTTTAAATCAAACTTATAATTCTCTGATTTTGAGAGAGTTGAACTGTATACTTTCTCGCATGCCCATCAAGCTAGTGGATAATTGAAATCTATTTTGCTATAATTTATTTTAGTTTGTTGAAGATTACGAGCCCACCAAAGCCGACAGTTATAGGAAAAAAGTTGTTTTAGACGGAGAAGAGTGTCAAATAGACATTTTAGACACAGCAGGACAGGAAGATTATGCTGCTATACGTGATAATTATTTTCGGAGCGGGGAAGGATTTCTTTGCGTGTTCTCGATCACTGAACCAGAGTCATTTGAAGCGACATCGGAATTTAGAGAGCAGATTCTTCGCGTGAAGGGAGACGACGAACATATACCTTTCTTGCTGGTTGGAAACAAGGCTGATTTAGAAGATAAACGGCAAGTAACAGCCGACGAAGCTCAGTCGAAGGCGAAGGAGTGGAACGTAGCTTTTGTTGAAACGTCAGCTAAAACAAAAGCGAACGTTGACAAAGTATTCTTTGATCTTATGAGGGAAATTAAATCGCGGAAAGAGGACGGCTTGAAACCAGTGAAGGACAATAAAAGAAAAAAGAAAAAGAAGTGTGTAATTTTGTAAATCTATAGCCAACTTACTTGAAATATTGTAAATTCGTATGCGAACTTTGTATCTGTGACCAAGTTCTTTACCTACTCCTTCATGAAGGGGTGATCGACTGCGGAAACTATTACTTTCTTCCCTGTTGAAATATTGTCATATTTTCAACCTGGTACTTAACGAGTTTGAAACTGGTCAAAGGAGAATATGTTAATGTTATGTATTACATTGAATACATTTATTTTCAAGGAAGAAATTCATCTTGATTTATCTTTAAATTTCCAAGTTACCAGTAAATTTTTCTCCTATTACACTGGAGGATTCTGGCGATGAAATTAGGAATGATTTGACTTGACAGCCTTGGTCATCATGTATTCTCAAAAAAAAAATTCAGGGCATTAGTTGTATTGCTGAGAAAAAGTACCAAATTAAAAGAGCTTGAACTGAGAGTATTGAGATGAATATGAAGACAGTTTTCAATTATTGTGTTACAAAGTGTTTATAAATAACAGTGACATTGTAAATAATTTTCGTTGTCTTGAATTGCAAATTCAAATCATAGACTCGAGACATTTTAGTTTTTTAACACACTGTGGAAGACCACTTAATGTCATTTAGCTTACTGTTACAACTGAATCATAGCATCTTGTTGGAATTAAACCAGTTTGTCATTTCAATGTACAGTCAGTTTTCTTGATTCTGCTTCTCTGGTATGTTTAAATTTACTCAGGTGACATTTTATCATTTGTCTCCTGGTTTAGTCAATTCTTAGGAAGTGACAACACCACAAGACGAATCATAGTACTTCATTTCTATTGTATTCACCAGAGTTAGGAATAACCACCCTTTTTGCAATATTTCTCTAGTGATGATAGAGCTGCCCTTTCTCTAATTGGCTAAGGATTGTGCTATACCTTGCTATAATTACTACCCCATGCAAGGTGATTATCATCACTGCAGCAGTTATTTCTAAATAGCTGTTTGCTTCTTCTTAATGTTCTTGAAGAAGCAAGGACAATTCTAAACACTTCAAAAATGAATATTATCATTTCTCATGATGTGGTCACTTCAGATGCAGATCATGGCTTTTGCAGACCTGAGGAAGACTATTAATATGCAGTCAGATTGTTGCGATCCATGTGCAAGGTGACTACATCATGAGACTAACAATTATAATTCTCCTTTGAAGTATTAGTTACCAGGATGAAAAACCACAACCCATTTAATGACCATTCTAAACAGTTGCCTTGATAGTCACTGAAGTTATCAAATATTTTCTTTAAGCTCAGTGAGTGATCCCTCACAGCATTCATATCATTTGAAAGTATTCATTGAAACTGAGAAGAGTAATATGCACCTCAAGTCAGGTCTAGAAGGAAACTGTCAGTTTTGCTTCAATTGTAGTCTTTGCTTTGAGCCAGATGCCACTAGCCTCTCTTATTCTCTAATCTCACTCTTCCTGGACAATGATATTATTCACATATGCGAATTCTGTGTGGTAAACATTTTTAATGTTCTTATGAAAGATAGACAAGCTAAAAGCTTACAGAAGTGTTAATGCTTGTGAATGGTATTGTTTGCAGTAGGAGCTATGCTGGGTATGAGCCGTTTATTTCTATAACTGCAATTCAAGTTTAAATTTAGGTTCAGAGAATACAAGGATCAAAAAGCAAAGTCCCTTCAAGTAAACACAGCTCCAAAGTATACTTGAACAAAGTGGGATTCCTAATGTTATGACCATGTATAGTGCTGGTAAAATTACCTGCTCAAGTCTAACAAAATTTTATCATGCCACAAAATGATTGCTGTATTTCAGAGACAATAACGGCTAGAATGTAAAATAAATTATTTTGCCATCACATCTGCTGTTCATGTGTTGGTTACCTAACTCTCAAATCAGAAAATCTCTGTTTTATCAGCATTTTTAAATGAAAAAACAAACTAAATAAACAACTAAATATCCTACCTAATAAAGAAAATGTACCAAGTGACTTCAGCTAACTGAATAAATTTTCTGCAGCACTAAAAAACCACAAATCCCTCCTCCAGCTGGTGCCCACCATACAGCTGTGGGCTGAATAGAAGCAGCTGAATTCACAGCCCATTAAAACCCTGGTGTTCAATCAAGGAAATAAAAGTTTGAGGGTAACACTTTCACATTTCTTTCAGAAGCCTATCCTCATCAGTATGTATAATGTTTGTCATATTCTCCTTCCTATGGGTAATACTGTAAAGGATGATGTCTGTGTCACTTAATTATTTTGCATTCATGACTTAATCTGGGGTCCAGCCATAAAATAAGGGAAGGGAACAAAAAAGACTAGAAAGTGACAAGGTCAAAAACCCATAATGAGAATTACAGCAACAGTCTACTGAAGAATCAGATGAATAACCAGATCAACTTTTATTGACTTATAAAAGTCCTGCAGTGGTCAGACATGTTATCAAATCAACCAGCTTACAATGTGCTGCTTACAGTGGTAACATGATAGTTTGGTCTGTAAAAAAATTACATACTGGTGAGATAACGACACAGCCTCTCTTTTACCAAGATAATTAGCAGTTGTTTCTTAAAAATAAAATTATATCATATTATATACAAGTCTCTAGTAGAGCAGTATTAATGACTATCTCCTGATGTAGCACCAGTATTCGCAAGGTCATCAAGCAAAGAAAAAAACCATCTGCCAAATTCTTTATCACCATGTTTGATAGGACTCCACACCATGCTGTGGACTGGAACCTCTGTTTCCAGCAGTAACAGGGAGGCGATCATAACGTGTATCACTGTAATCAAAGACTTCACGCTTTTGAGAAAAGCTTTCGGAGTAACGTTCTCTGTAAAGATAAGGTGCTGACTCCTCCCTATATGATCGTGAGGAGGAATTATTGTAATCTTTGTTACTACCTCCCTCTCCATAACTGTAATGTCTAAACCGATCAGAAAAGGAACATCTTTCTTGATCTGTGGGAGGAGACAACTGTTCATAATGCACATTGGACTGCGAGTACCTATTTCCCCTGCTGTTATCACTTTTTTCTCTTGAATAGGTATGAGAAAACTCATCAACAGAGGCATTGTGAGAATTGTTGCTTGATTCTCCTGGATAGTCCCTTGGGTAATCATGATAATATGAATCCTGCAAGAAAGTAGACTTGGGGTTGTCTTCAGCATATGAATACTGATGTGTTTCTTCTCTATCATAGAACACATGATCATCTCGTGTGGAATAAGCATCAGCAGAAGTTTCTTCTGTTTCCATTTCAACTGTCTCAATGCTCTGTCTGCGCAGAATTGTTGAAGACTCAAGTGGTTCTACTGATCTCTCTTCTTGCTCTCCTGTTGCTGATAATGCAGGAAGACTGTTGGAATTTTCCAGGCTGTCAACAACAGACTCTCTCCTTGTCTGTTTTGCTGAGCCTGCATCCTCAGCTATTTTCCCCTCTCCTTTGCGTCTGCGTTTCTTACTCCACATCTCATGACAGTCCTGCCATGTTGGTAAGCTGAAAGAACACAAAATGTCACTAAGTATTAAGTACTTTATTCCACACTAATTACAAAAACCAATTCTCTCAGTTAAAAGAACAATTTAAGGAAGTTCATGAAGGAAAATACTCTTCTGTGGATTTGTTAGTTAAGTAAGATAACTTCATTGATCCCTGAGAGTAGGTTACTAGAGCAAAAAAGAAAGAAGAGTACCTTGGTGGGCTGATGTTCTCACAAACAACATCCTTCAGAAAGGGATGTTGTAGTGATTCTTCTGCTGTGATCCTCTTTGAAGGATCCAGTGTCAACATGCGGTCAAACAGGTCCAATGCATTAACTGGCATACTTTGAGACAAACAAGACATTCCCTTAATGCTCAGTGAAAGATAAAGTAAAAAAAAAAGCTCAAATGTATCTTTTTCAGCTAAAAAAGACAGCACACGATATGACAAGAAATAACAGTGTAACTAAACACCTTTTAGAAGGAAAAGAACATCACACTGAATAACCTTAAAGAACAAAGCAGAGAGCATGGCTGAAATAGGAAACTAAAGACTTGAAAGGGTATAGCAGAATAAATTCAGTACAATGATTCGAAGGAGAGAAACTAGGATGCTATGAACAATAATATCAAAATCCTAAAGGCAGCAAGAAACACACAGGACATCTATCACAGGTGACTCACAAAGAAAATTCATCTTTCACTCTTCTGCGGTACTGTTTCTTGGGCTTCATTGTGTGAAAATGTGGCAAATGGATGACATCAGGCCATACTGCTGGTGTTGGTGTTCCACAGATACGGCTAAACAATGAGAGAAACAAATTCTAGTCAGTGGTATCACTAACATTAATTAAAAAATCTAAGAATTACCTTATGTGGTCATTAAATATTTTTGGAATTGTTTACACATAACTATTACTTTATTATTTTTTAACTTATCTTCAGAAATAAGTTGCAAAATACTTGCTAAGTTTATTCACATGCAAAAACTAACAAAAAAACACTGGTTTCTCAATCTTATAATGGCAAATGATGCAAGTATATCTTGAACTGCATCATTCCATTCATAATTTTATTTAAATCAAGAAGCCCTTTCCTATCTCTTTAATATTTTAGAGAAGCAAAGATAGTCTTGGAGTAAAGAAGTTCAAAGTTCATAGGAGTGGTGGTTGCATATTTCATGTAGGGGTAAAAGGTGGAATTTTTCATACAAAGGTAAAAACAGCCATGGTGTTTCAATCTATTTGTAGGTTAAGCTATGTATGATTCCCTTTCTCACCTGATTAGTTCCAGCTGACCTATCTCCTGCAATGCAGGAAATATTGGTTTCTTGGTAAACAATTCCCCCAGTATACACCTGATAGAAAATAGACAAAGATAAAAAGAGAGGACTGAAAGCAGGAAATTAGATGAATATCAATAATACTATTGAGTATAAGGGTTCTTAAAGAGAGAGACTTGGTTTAATAACTGTCAGCACTACATATATACTGTACCAAATCTAATCCAGTTTTGTAATCCAATTAAATGGCATTATGTAGTATTTTCCACATACCCCACACTCCAGATATCTATCCCAGGCCCATAGCGTTCTTCTCCCAGCAAAAGTTCTGGTGGTCTGTACCACAATGTGATGACTTTATTTGTGTATGGCCTCCTAAATGTATCAAAAGTTTGAAATGAAAGAAAAAAGAAATGTTATATTCAGAGATGTGTTAAAAAAGTGTCTTTGTATGAAAAAGGACATTCACTGCAATAGCTTTCCATAACTAAATACCAGTAATTTTTACACCAATGCCAAAAGAAAAACCACTAAGGATACCTAATCAGGTTTATATAGTTTTCAATTTTTAAAAGATCACAGTTTGTATGACTTGGAAACATCCATTCACTGTCAACTAGAGTTATTTTGAGCAAATAATTTAGTACTTCTCCAGTGAAACATAAGTATGTATCTTCTTCCAGACATTATCTTCCTTAAGAAATACTTTTAGCGTTAATAGCTATTCAGGCGACTGAAGGGTACTATAGAAAGGCCATGCAAGCTGGCTTGACATGAAGGGAGAACTGCTGTGTTCTGTCTGAAAGAAACTTACGGCTTGTCAGCTAGTGCATGTTAGTTTGTTATAACACCAGATTCTTTTGTCTAATGGATGGACATCAGTAGGGACAATTACTAATCTGATCTTGGGAAAGAAAGAATTGAAAGTGCATCATAAGACTGCACCTTTCATCTGCCTCATACAGTCTTGCCAATCCAAAATCAGCCAGTTTTATTTCTCCCCTGCAAAGACGCAGACATTTTTGAGACACAAAGCAGATTAACAACAGTGAGTTCATAAATGAATAGAGGTGTAAGTTTCTGTGGTACTGTATAGATGATGGGTATTACAAAATACTTTAGTTCTATCTACTAAGTTGCTACAGTCAATTGGTGATGGAAAGAGTTTCTAAGGCTGACATTTTGAGTGTCAGCAAATATTTCTGACTAAAGGCTAATGCTGGAAGTGTTGGCTTTTAAAAACTCTTCATGGTGGAATCTTGTATGTTCATAAATGACTAGTAACCTCAATTCAATAAGAGAAATCATAGATAGATTCTTTGTGCTACTGAGTGCTACTATCATAAAATATCAACTGACTAGTCAGAAATGTTATAAAACAAAACTAAGAAATGTGAATGAAAGTGATCCTCGCATTGATGTGCACTACTTAGGCAGTAGTGAAAATAAGGCCTGAAAAAAATTTAGGCCTATACGGGATTTGAACCCATCACCTCTGCGATACCGGTGCAGCGCTCTACCAACTGAGCCAACAAGCCAACTGGGAGCTGGTCATGATGGTGGTTCTAAATAAACCCGTGAAGTGATGAATAGACGGTTAAGAATATATGAAAGTCGTATATTTGAACTGCGGATAAAGACATTAAGTGCTCCAATATTTTTCCGCAGTTCAAATATATGACTTTCATATATTCTTAACCGTCTATTCATCACTTCACGGGTTTATTTAGAACCACCATCATGACCAGCTCCCAGTTGGCTTGTTGGCTCAGTTGGTAGAGTGCTACACCGGTATCGCAGAGGTCATGGGTTCAAATCCCGTACAGGCCTGAATTTTTTTTCAGGCCTTATTTTCACTACTGCCTAAGTAGTGCACATCACTGCGAGGATCACTTTCATTCACTTCTTTATCCGCAGTTCAAATATATGACTTTCATATATTCTTAACCGTCAAAACTAAGAAATTAACTTGTCTGTGATAATAATACAAGTTACAATGAAGTGAGAGTAAGTACAAAAGTTGTTACTGCCTGCTTGTCACATAGAAAGGAAGTGTTCAAATGTACAATACATACTTGTTACTCAGCAAAATATTGGAGCACTTAATGTCTCGGTGAAGAAAATTTTTGCGATGACAGTAGCTGAGGCCATCTAAAAGCTGTTTTGTGAAAGACTTGATGTGATCTTCCGTAAAATGAACCAAACCAGATTCCAGCACACCCATCAGATCATGATCCAGGTATTCAAACACAAGATAAAACCCACCTGACATCAATTATGAAACAAATCCATCAATAACTCATTGACACTATTTATTAATTCCAAAGTTATTAACATTGTCACAATTCCACACTTGTAAAAAAAATGTTGTATAGAACGTGTACTGAAAGAAGAAAACCTAAACACCAGAATCAATATCTTACTGACCTTTATCTTTTCGGAAATCAAGAGCATTTGGTTTGTCTGTGACAATTTCTTTCAAGTTCACAATATTGTGATGATTCAGCTGTCGAAGGATTTTGATCTCTCTCACTGCTGTGATAGGAAAACCTTCCTTCTCATTGTCAGTCCGTACTTTTTTCAGGGCAACCAGTTCCCCTGTTAATGCAAGAACAACATTTCCTTAAACCCTATGATTAGCAGACTGGATTCAGTTTTAAGGATATTTACACTGGAAGATGTGTATAAGCTTCAAGTTGAGGTGAAATTCAGGCAGAATAACTTCCAATTTTGGTGGATTTGTGTTTACCTTTCTTAAAGAACTATGACGATTTGACCCAAATAAAATAAAATTATTGACTTGAACATTCATACCATTAGTCAAACAAGGCTCCAAATTTGCTTGGCTTACATCATGTATACTGTAACTAGGTCCAGTGCTTCTCAATAAAAGATAACTTAATTATGAAAACAGCCAAAACTTGAAAGTAGTTCATGTTTACAGCAAAGCAGTGTTCATTGAGTGTTAAATCCACGTATACACACCTGTAATCTTGTCTTTTGCTTTATAAACTTGCCCATATGTTCCTTCTCCAACTTGATCAATGATTTGAAACATGTCAACACATCTTTCCCCCCACTCACTCTCAGCTGGAGTCTTTGGAGTGGTATCTGGTGTTGACAGTGGTGTTTCACTCTGACTGCTTGGTCCTGACTCTGAAGGTAACACAGAGGCATCTGTATCCTTTAAAGGTCGTAATGGTGGAAAGGAATGTTGTGTTGACTTAGGAGATTCAGGAAGTTTTCCTCCCGGGGAGCGTGGTGAGTATGAAGTTGGAGATTCACCTGGAGTACCTGGAAGTTCTGGTGGCAAAGGTAGTGGTGGTAATGTCGGGGCAGGAGGAGGTGGTGGCTTCTCTTCATCTGGAGGTAAAGGAGGTGGCTCCTCACTGGGAAGAGGTGGTGGCACTGGTTCATTCAAAGGAGGAAGCGGAAGAGCTGGTATTGATTCACTTTGAGTTGGTTTTTTGGTTTCTTCACATTCTGTCTTAACTCTAGATGAAGTAAAATTTGCTTCCTTTGCAAGGACATCTACTGGGGAATCTTTTGCACTAGGTTCTAAATTTTGTTTTGATTTGTTGATGACATCCTTCACTGAATTCTTGCTCACTCCATCTACAGTATCAACTCTGCCTTTGTCCTTAAATAAATAATCCTTGGTAGTTGATATTTTATCTCTAGAGTCTCGACTTACAGACTTATCATCTACTTTCCTTAGGGTGTCATTTCTTGAAGAACTTGATCTCTGCCACAATGCATTCTTGCCTCCAGACTTTTGACCTGATTGATGAACATTTGGGCTTCGAGGTGTGCTACGGCGTTGGGTCCTCTTTGGAGGTGTGCGACTTCTGTTATTGGAGCGTGCTGGTGGAAGTGGTGACAAAGACCTGCTGCGTGGTCTGTTAGGGTTCCTTTGATTCTTCCTATTCCTTAAACCTGAATTCCTAAAGGGTGGTGATGGCGAATGACGTCCATATGGTGAGGGTGTTCGTCTCCTGCTGTAGGGCATGTAAGACCTGCTACGGCTGTCATATGGTGAGAATTGTCCTATAGGTGAGCGATATGGAGATCTCTCTTGAGATCTGAACGTTGTCATGGGTGACCTCCCTCTTGATCCATAGGGAGGAGGTGATGGTGATCTTGATCTATGGCTGAAAGGAGACCTTGACCAAACTTTCCTATTCATCATAGGACTCCTGCTTGGTGACTTTGGTCGGTAAGCTCTTGGAACATGAGGCGACTCAGAACCTCGCCGCTTTGATGAAGTACGCACAGGCGAATAGTGCTCAAAGGTATCCCTGTTCGACAGCATTTTAGGAGACGATGTCACGTCTTTCCATTTCGACCTAGAAACTGGCGACAAAGCGCTTCCCTCCATTGGCGGAAGATTCATGGGCGACTTGCCATGTTTCTTACGTTTTTTGCTTGATCCTTGTACAGTGCTATCCTTTCTCGACTTCTTTCGTTTGACACTAGGCTTCGACTTTTTCGACGCAACGGGCGAGGGGCTCCGTGAGATCGAGCTGTACCTTTGAACAGGCAACTGTTCGGTTTCTTCTGAAGCGGAGGAAATATCTTCGTATTGCTCCTTTAGCTTTTCAACCGAGTCCTCAGTTTTGGGGCGTTTTCTATGTTTCTTTTGCTTATGGGATGACTTTTTGCCTTTGCTATGATTTCGAGCAGAAGGGCTCAATTCCTTCTCATTACGGGAACTGGGCATCTTGATAAGAAGTCTGGGCTGAAATGCTACTACATTGTTCACTTAATTGACAACTAGACCGGCAAAACAAAAGAGATATGAACTGTAATAAATAGCTTTTATAAGGAACGCATTTTCGTGAAACAGGGAGCGAGATGAAATTGGATTGTGGTATTGGTGTTTTGCTCCGTCGCCGGCGCCATTTTGGATTGTGGAGGCATTCAGGCAATTTATTTTGCGCATGTGCACGACGCATTAATTATGTTAATTCTCATTTCCAACATGGCGGATGTGTTGGACGAACAGGAAGAGGTGTTGCAGGATATGGAGTGTACGGATATGGACTACAGAAAGATGAGGCAAAGTCAGGAAGCGGTAATTCATATGTTAATGATGCACTGAAAATTTATTTCAAAATTTGATCGATCCAAGAAAGTTGCACAAATTCTCGAAGGTACATTGACAAATTCTCAAGTTCCCGAAGTTTCTGAGATGAGACTTGTGACGTTTTAATTTACGGCTTAATGTGGCTCTATATTCTAGGGGCTCTTCCCTTTGGGTATCGGTGTTAGTATTTCTACACCTAGCAGTTTCCTCTTAGCCACTTTTCTCGCCTTTTCCTATTCCTCTTTTTCCTTCTCGCACTTTCCCATTGTTTCCAGGAGTCCATTTGGAGGGAAAACAGCTCTGATACGTTATAAATTCAGTGTTTTCATCTCACAGACGGGTTACATCAAGGTATTTTCAGCATAAAAGTAACTTATTTTGGTTCACTTTTCAGTAACATTCGAGATAGGGCATTGCCATTTCGTTTAATGCTGCAATCAAACGTGTTTCAGACCTCTCGCAGACCTTTGTTCCTGACTTTTGATCTGAGTATTTCAATCCTTGCTTTTTGCGCTTTTAGATGTCTGTTGCAATCATGACCAAAGGGAAAATGAAACAGAATTGTATGTTCAGCTCTTTGTCTCGGAATTTGCATCTTCTTGAAGGGCATATTTAAACTAAATATTTTTTTTCAAGGCTGGGTACCGTGAGGGTATGGAATCTGGAAAGGAAGCCAATTTACAACAAGGTTTCAATGACGGATTTATTTATGGAGCCAGTGTTTCAAGGGAATGGGCAAAGCTGAGAGGAGTTTTGAGGTAAAACACATCCATGCATCTTAAGAAAAAATCCTTAAGTTGCTCTTTCTTTTCACTTTTCTCATTCCTTTTATTCATAAAACAGTGCTCTGATGTTATTTGTGAGTTCAAATTCTGTGCAAGTACTTCATCCAAACATCACAAATGAAATCACAGAACTACTAGCATTGGTCTGCCAAATGGAGAACAAGGCTCTAAGTACACAAAATATGAAAGATGCAATACAGGACCAAATAAACCCACAGGATCAATGTTCTTTGGAAAAATCAGAAAATGGAGGTGCCTCTCTGACTCATCATAAAGTGGTAACTAAAGGTAGAACTGTAAATGAACATGAATTGTTGGTAGCATTTGAAATGCTTGATACACAAGATGGTAGTACTAATGGCATTGATGATTTCAGAAGTAGATGTGAGCAAAGTGAGAATGTTGTAGGAAAAAGATGTTCCAAAGACCCAGCTCTGCCTGAAAAATTCTTCAACTGTAGCCAAACTCCAGTAGAGACATTTAAGATCAAATGTAATGACATGGAACACTTGTGGACTATGATTGTCTCATTAGCTGATAGACTTGGTATCAATAAACAAAAAATACTTGCAGTGAAAAACATTTAATAAAAATAATATTGATGTATGAATACCTTCTAGATAATGGCATGAAATTAAACACTTTGTAAGGTATTCATCTTTAAAAACCCATTCACAAACAGTACATTGTAGTGTTCTGGTTTTAAGTGGTTTTAAAACCCTGAGAAAACAGAAAGCCAAGACACAGAGAAACACTAGCTGATCTGGCCCAATAAATGCTTGAAAAGTAGTTGTTAGTCACACAATTTTCTTGCTATTGATAATTCATTTTTATCCAATCAAAGTTCTTTTATCCTACTCTCTTGGTACCAGTTCAGGATGGGTTTAAACACTCTTCCTGCTTAAGAGAAACAAACAGGAAAAAATCCTTTTGTGGTCACTGAGGAATAATAAATCTCTTATTTGTTGTTTAAGATATCATATGCACTGCCATTTTGGTTATCATGTATTAACCCATGGAACTGATAGTTATAGGTAGTACAATAATCAAAACAAGAATGGTTGAGAAAAGTACTGAACATAAAATTACTTTTATTTGAAAATGCTCACCCATGAATTGAAGTACAAAAACTAAAGGTGAATAATTTACCTCTAACATTTACATTTCTCAATTAACACTAATTCCATTAAATGGGAAATTAGTACAAATACACTTTGCATAAGATAGATCATTACCAATTATCTATCTGTGTCCGAGACTCACAATGTTGTCTCCTCAGTAAGGGGTTTTGTGTATCTAATGGAAAATTGATCCTTTCACTCTTAAGAGTAGCAACAAAGTAATTTTGCCTCACTCAAACGCTGGGAACTTTGACGAGTGAGGTTCCAGTATATCAGCTAGGAAATAAACTGTACCAGCCATCCCTGAAAAAAAAATTTAATCCTAAATAAATAACAAATATTATTAACGCAATTGGATTTACAATTTCCAAAATTATGCACCTTTCAAATAATGAAATGGAAGGTCAGTTGGTCTGTTACTAATCCTCACTCACGAGACATAAACAAAATACACTTCTCATTAATTTCCTTAGTTCTGCAATGTCAAACCAAGATCCAAAGAGAATCCAATCTGTGCTTCCAAGAATATTACATTCTTGGGGAAATCAAAATGGATAAGTACCTTCCTATCCAATTGTTCTCCAGACCCACCACATCACAGTTATGAAAGGGTGCAGAGAAATCAAACTTAGAAACCTTAATCTATACGAGTGATACAAGCAACTCTTGTTAACTTACCCTCAAACAATGAGTATGGACGGTCTGGACTTCTACAACCATGTTCGCCATAATCAAAACACCATTCAGCAAACTTAAACGAAAGCAATGACAACAATTAAGACAATTTTTGCATTGTTCAAATTATATAGGCTGGGTCACTGTGGGTCAAACCCGAATTACAGTGTTTAGATGAAATTCAAATTTTCTTGTCAATTGAAACTGGCCATAGATTACACAGCATCTATAGAGTCCTTGTTGATGGTTAGAAAGTGTCTAAAAATCACAAGCTCAATCATGCTTATCAATGGTGCTCAATGCCTCAACCCACCTTCAGGGCACGATGTAGGTACTTAGAATCTCCAGTCTGCTTGTATAAACACAAAAAGGCATAAGCATTCCCTGCCACACCATGGCATATGCCATAGCCTTTCTTTAGTAAACCTCGCCTCCAAATCACATCTCCACACTTAACAGCTGCACTCAAGTACTTGTCTTTTCCAAAGACCTGTTGGTGAAAATGGCCACTCTCAATTGTAGCAAGATAGTTTTCAATAAATTGACTCAATAAGGTTAAAAAAAATAACAACTAAACAAACAATTGAGGTCAATTGAGAAGAACATACCTGGTATGCTTTGACCATAAGGTGGACTGCACCAGGAGCTCCATGGCACCAGTGGATGAGCTTATCAGTGTCATTCTCCAGTGATGAGGGAAAGTTACCAGAAGAAAACTGCTCTGACACAAGAAACTCAACACAGCTCTCAATGTTTCCCAAGTTAGCCTTTACTGACTGGGTTGACAGAGTCTTGCAAAAATTATACACATATAAAAAAATTAAAAAAAAACAGCTTTCATTTCACTTTAGATATGTTCCTCCCTCTCAAGAATGCCCACCTTTCTACAATGGATACTTTCTTCTGTCTTCAAGCCAGCCATTGTGGAGAGATTTAAGTAAGTTAAATAGATTTCAAAAGTCCAAGAAAACATCACGAGATCACTGTAGCAACTATAGTGTAATTCTAGAAGTTAAAGCCATACTTACCTGAAGTAACATGAACAGGATTCCAACAATACCATGTGCTGCACCAACATAATGTTTGTCATGCCATGTGTACATTAAGGGTGATCTACTTCTCTCCTGCTTTGCAAGCCTTTCACCAGAATCTAAAATAGCTTGACAGACCTATAGTGTCATGGCATTTCATCAGATTGTACTTTATCTCAAAATGGATATTACTAGCACTTAATTTCATTATTACTTTACTTATTACATGAGGTTGTCTAGCCAGAGGGTAGACTTCAACTTTTATCCAACTCTGTAAATAGTTGACTGATTGGGTTACATGCAAGTTGACATTTTTAATGCAAATCTATATTCATTACTTTTGGAATATTTAAATGTTTAACTGTTTCTCCTTGGCCTTGAAAATCCCTATGTGTGAGTTTGACCAATCAGGTTTACAGTGAGGTGTTGTTCTTCAAATTAAGTTAAAGTTGATACAGAATGAAATGTTTTATGGTAGATAATAAGTTCAGTCAGCTCTTAAAACAAAATGAGGTAGTAATATAGATATAACGAGTGCAGACATATCAGATCTATGTACCAAACCAATCAGAAGAATGCCTTTGATGAGGCTTCCTGTGATGTGAAAAGTAGTTCAGTAAACATTCTGACAAGTGCAGTTTGTGACAGTTTTATAAGTCTGGTAACCCAAATAAGTACTCTGAAGCTTCAGTTTTCAGCAACTCATAGGGTAACCTGTCTATATATCAAGGCAGTAATCTTAGATAGTATCTCCACAGCACTATGATATCATTACTAGGTTCACAATAAAAACTGAGAAGCAGACTAACTAGTCACCTGGTTAATTACGTTGGCATTAATCTTCTCATCTCCTAAGTGCTGTTGCACAAACAGTAATGAAAATAAGTACCCTGCTCGGCCATAAAGCACCTCGTCAGGAAGTAAAGGATCTCTGCACACATTATCTGATAGACTTAACAGCTTGGAGAGACATTCCTCACTCTTATCTTTCAGACCCATCTTTGAGTAGAGAACAGCAAGCATGGAGAGGACACCTATGCAGAGAGAAATTAAATGAAAAATTATTCTCTCAAACTGGCTTCTCAAGATAGATCATTGTTAATAATTAATTTTCACTTTCACCTCATATCACCAAGATTACATTTATTTACCAGTATTCAAAGTGATGCCACCATCTTTTTTCTCCCCTGACCCCCCCATTTCTCACTCTGGAGGATTGAGAAAAGGAGAGACCCTGGGAGGCAGGTTATCTTTCAGCACTCACAGTCTGTGGTAATCCAGTCTGGTCAGTGATAACTTAAAGTAATAACTGTAATAATTTTAGTCAGTGATAAATACTGCACTCAGCCAACTGTTGTCCAACAGTTGGTTGACCATTGGCCGACAGTCGGCTGACAGATGGCCAACAGCCGGCTGACTGTTGGCCGACAGATGGTCAAAAGTATCTTTTGGGAACTGTTCTTCACTTTTACCAATTCTGCTACAAACAATTAGGGCTGAAACTGGCTAAACTTCATTTTAAGTTTAGTAAACCCAATTATGAACTGTCATAATTAAGAATCATTCTATCATTAGTTTGTTTATTCAGAATAAATGAGGTTTAACCAACTTGTAAATGGACATATTAAATATTCCTTCCATCAATGGTTCTCACCAGAATCTCCACAAATAAATGTTACCCTCTTTCCTCTTAGACTATCCTGGCTATGTTCAAGGATTTTCAAAGCACTCTTTAAACATCCCTGCTTTCCATTATCATCTTCCTTGAAAAGAGTGTTTGATAAATGCATGTACAGAAGGGCCATACCTACAAATGTAAAAAGAACCCGATAACGGTACTCCTCCCTTTATTACATATCTGTAAATTTTGTCAACATTTAGTAATGAGCTTTTTGTAGTACAGTCATACGTCTAATTCATCAAGCTGTAAGTGCGAGTTGTCGCCTAACTTTCACATGTACAGAACATGTTCAACCTCCAGCTGACACAAACAAAAATGTAGAATCCTGAAAACGGTCGTTAGTTAATATTAAAGCGATTTGATATTTCATCTTACCTGCAGTACCTGTGTAGACAGAACAATCACGATCATCTTTGCTGCGCTCAAAACCTTCCTCGCATTTTTTCAACAATTTGTGAGCTTCACTTCTTATCCTTGAGTAAAGAGGGTCACTAATCTACTGACAAAAAAACACCTATAAAATGCCCGAGCACATGGAGGAGAACGATAAACAGAGTATTAATCGTCCCAAATACTTTTCATCGCTAATCTTACCTTTTTGGTAGGTAGTAGCAAAGTGTAGTTTTCTCTTGCTGTCTTTAATAAATCAGACTCTTATTATTTCTTCGGAACCTCTCACTTTGTAAGCCAATATTCTAAGTCATATCTACCTACCTTGCCTTCAGAATACTGCAAAATTGTTTGTCCGTCACGATCCTGAAATCTGTTCGCAAAATATCTCCTCTCTGAGCTCGCCATATCTTGTTTTGTTGAAAACCTACCAGGCGTTCCTTGAACAAAAAAATAGTATTTATTTATGTAGTAAGGCTACCGCTGTCAAGCTGTAAAACGCGGGCTAACTTGTGTCAATTATCATAAATGATTACCGGAAAGAAAATAAATATTTGCCTGACTATGGTCGAGTAACGAGTGTGGAGCAGGAGGTGTTTCTCTCATCAGCATCTTTCTCTTTCTCTGTTACATATCCTGTTGGTAAAGGTACGTAGTGACCTAAATACAAAAATTTTACATTCGGTACACTCAAGCAAGACAGAGAAGATTTTGCTGGCTGTGTTTCTGTGGAGACAATCTTCAAATTGAAGATTATCAGATAGTTAACTATCTTTTCTGTTACAGATCGAGTACATCTCTTGTTAAAATCTGATATATTCATTTGCATTAAAAGGCGATTTTAAAACGCACCAGACAGTTTTGATGAGTGGTTTGCTCTGCCGGATCAACTTAAAGTAACTGGAAGTGTTAATTTGTAATGTTTCAATGTCTGTTCTTCGCTGCTTAATTTTTCGGCTTAAAATGTGTCATGGATCCCACGAATGTCCTTGGCTAAGCTTACAAAAGTGGGATTTGTCGCAACTGACAAATGTGTTATACACACTACAATTTTGTATGGTTGATTTTCAGCTATTGTTTTATATTTACGGCTAAGCTGCAGAACACCCTGCCACTCATTTACATGTCATTTACTAAGAATAACGTTTATTGTGTTATGCCTCGATCTTCAAAGCCTCCTGACACATGTAAATGAGGTGGACCAAAGTGGCCGGGTATTCTGCAGTTGCTCCGTAGTTACTTTTAATATGAGGCAACCTCTGATCTCCTCTACCAGTAATTATTACTTACTATGTTAGAACAGACTGTCTTTCCACTTTTTTTTCTCCTTGATCATAGAACAGACTTAAATGTTTTAATTGTAATAAAACCTTTTTAGGGTAATTTTGTCATTTATGATACTGTAATAACAGACACAGATGTTTGTAAAAAAGACATTTAGTGTGACATGTAATGTTTTCTTTGTTTTTCCTGTACATATTTTCATAGGTCATGTGATTACACAGTAAATGACAAAAGGGAATTTAGCTCTAGGTCAATTCTCAAAGAACGTTTCATCTGCATAATGCTCTTACTTCAGTTTAAAATTCCCTGGAACATTTAATTATGGCCACTGCAAGAGATAGCAATGATCCAACAGATATCAACCGTGTTTTGGAAAATTTGGGAAGCCTGATTGGTGAATTGGATGCCTGTGTCACAGAAAATGATGGAAAGGTTAGTATGAGCTTTAAGCCTTGTTTAGCTCTGTCCAAGATTCCCTATGGCCAGTTATAACATCAATAGTTTACAGGATAACTAGCTGTTAACTTGGAAAGTTTGATGATATGTGTTACCAGTAACTTTTTAAGTGAAATAAAGCCAGGCCAGGTTGGGAAATACTTCTGAATAAATAGATCTTACATGTATTTAATTTTAATTTTATCTTCTGATGATTTTGGAGGTCATCATTACAATTAAATTATCTTTGCCTAGTGTGTGGTAAAATAAAGGATACTCTTCTGCTCCTTACAGTCATGATTTAAACTATTTCTTTTTGCTAAATTATAGGCTGTTGCCAGTGAAGTGGAAGACAATGAAAACTGTAAGTGTCTGATATTTCACCAGAAATGGGCTTGATCGTGGATGTTCAGTCTTTGTAGGTGAAAAAAAGTGTGAACTCAGATTCTGTTTTCTTCATTACAGTTGATGTACATTTGGAATTCTTGCTAGCTGACACAGATGAGTTTGATGATGATGAATATCAGTGTCTTATTCCTCGTCGAAGATCATCTTCACACATAACACCCACCAGCACCATCAATCAAAGTCGTAACAAGGGCTTAATGGAAAGAGCAGTCAGTTCAGCTCACACTTCTCCCCAACAACCACTTAATTCAAACTCTGGTTCTGTAAACAAGACACAGGAAAATCAGTACACCACTCCACCAAATAGGAGTGGTTATAAAGAGGCTTTCAAAGAGGTTGCCCTAAGTGTGGAGTTGCCAGGAAGTTTCAAAAAAATTGATGAAAGTTCAGTCACTGCTTCAGCTCAAAAGAATGCTGCACCCAATCGCAATGCAGCTTCCCATGCTAAAGCAAAGCCTAATCATTATGTTGCACCCAGTGAACTTGGTTTTAATAGACACAATCCTGAAAAGTCTGGTGCCACGACAAATGGAATGGTGCACTGCAGTCAGCAATGCATAACACACGAAAAACTTAAAATGCAGGTGATTATAGTTTGAAATTATAGTCATCATCATATCAAATTGCACTTTGATTTTTGGTTTTATTGAGATACTTTTAATTGTTGCTCAAGATCCTTTCCCCTCTAATTTGTTATTCTTGATTTAATTGATAGTGTGTTATCTGTTATCTATATTGAATAGTTCTTGGTGAAATAGGGGGGAGAGAAGGGGAGGGGGTCACAGCCTCCCACTTCCCGTAACACGTTCTCCTGCCTCCCATACTCTCATGGCCCTCTGCCTCCTGACTCCTGCCTTTCATTGTATATTACTACCCTCAACTGCTTAGAATCCTTGCCAACAATTAATGTGGTAAATTTACCTCTCTAGAGATTCATTTTACATGTTGAAATGCAATCAAAAGGGAACGCTATTACCTATTAAAGAAATATATATAGAATATACCATAAAGAAAGTGGTACAGGCAGTACATAGGTAAATGTGTGGCTTATTTTTTTTCAGCAGATCAGTGTAGTTTGGTCCCAGATATTTTTCCCATCCCACCTACTTTCCTGTCCTTCCATTGATCCAATCATTTTCAGAGAATGCCTAAGGTTTTGTGGTCCTGTTTTAGGAATTTGCCAGCCATGGTGGTAATATTATACTTAGGGACTGGTTATATATATGGATACCCTAGTCACCCACCTTCCCCTTATCCAGTGTAATTGATTAACTACGAGGTTTCTGTGTTTTTATTTTATTACAGCACATAACAGTGGTAGTTTTTGATGAGGATGGCAATCCTGTTGGATTGGAAGTTTCATCTTCTATGAGGGCTCAGGAAGCCTGTTACAGGCTAGCAATATTAAAAAAAATTGAGGATGATCCTCAGTGGGTGCTGACAGAATATCTGACTGACCTAGGCATTGGTAAGTGACATAAAATTTGTTAATATAAAGTCATTCTCAAGTGTGATCTAAAAAAATGAAATGAAAGAGAAATTTTGTGAATAATTAATTAGAGATACATTCCCCATAATTTTTCTGTCAATAAATATAAAAAAATTATAATAAACAGTTCTTGTAATATGAAAATCATTCATCTGGTTGTTTTTATAATGACCTGTAATGAGTTCTGAGGAGTAGGTCGTTTCAGCTAGCACTGGTCAGATTTACAAACACACTCTTTGGCTACTTTATTGCTTTCTATCTCATGTTTTGCTGGCCCCAATGAATTCAATTTTATTGAAGCTATTAACTTTTTAGCTTCATTGAACTCTGTTTTTTTTTCTTTTTATCCAGAGCGTAACTTAGAAGATCATGAGAATTTAATGTCCATATTGAAAACATGGGCACCTGGTTCAAACAACAAGTTGTTGTTTAGAAAAGATCTTAGAAAGTATCACTTCTTTGCACACACAACTGTAAGTTGACTTTTATTTGTATAAGCATATACAGAATTATTTCTAGAAAAAAATTAATTTAATTTTTTTTGCACCAAGCCTCCAAGCCCTCATTACCTCAATATCCAAAAACTCTCAGTTATAAATGGAACATGCATTCAATTATTGGCAGAATTATTTCCCATCACATTTGTTGGACTCTGAAAGTTCCGACAAAGCAGTCACAGAGAAAGCACAGAAGGCAAAGACAATCTTACAACAGGTAAATATTGTTCTGCGTTTCTTGTAATGTAATGACAGATTTTACTGTAGCATTGAGTAGATAGCAACCTGACCATCATTACTTTAAATGATCATTGATATTAGATAAATATGAACCAATAAATCATCAATAAAGACGAATACCATTTAACTTGAATACCTCAGGGCTGAATCAATTAAAGGTTGTTTATTTTGTAGTGAATAAAATAAGCACCAATATTGAGCTCACAGTACACAGAAACTACAAAGAAACAATGTTAGCTAAGCCTGTAATAGTGCATAATATGCCTCTAATAACTTTGCCCAGATGATAATAGATGTGAAGAGTTGTATTCTCTGATTTCTTTTTCTTTTCCTGTAGAAACTGTTCAGTACCTGTACCAGAGTCCCAGAAATAGAGGGGATTTTACATTGCAAAGATTTTGGGAAAAAGTCATGGAGCAAGAAATTCTTTTTCCTGAGGGGATCAGGTCTTTATTCTTCCAGTAAAGGAAAGTCAAAGGTATGCAGGTGTCACTGGCATGTTGACAACATTTCCTCTTTAAACCTTTGTGTAAAAATCCTAAATCACCATTTGAAATATCACTGTTCAATATCCTGTGAAAACAAACCCCAAAATTTGATAACGTTTTTTAACTTTATAATTCTTCCCTTTTTAGATTTCAGGTAATCATATTTTTGATTTGAGCGGATTATTTGTTTTTTTTTCAAACAGTTATCAAAGTGTTAAAGCGGTGTTTTAATCAACTATAAAGTTAAAGGTTATGCTTTTTCCCTTTTATTTATTTGTTACAAAACACATGATGTGGCTGAAATTTTCTGCAAACTTTGTCAGCAGTCAATAATTTTTTGTTCTGAAAATTTCCCATTCTGCAGAAAGCAAATCACTTGATAATGTTTTAAGATTTTGTTATTACCTGCTTGCCACAACTTGTTTTGCAAATTGATGTAAATAACTATTTATTCCATTTAGGCTTCTAAAGACTTGGAATGTTATGTTCAATTTGATGGAGCAAACCTGTACAACATTATAAATCCTAAAAAGTCTCACAAAGCGCCAGCAGAGTTCTGTTTTTGTATTGTGGTATGTATTACTTATTAATCCTGCAACTCCCAGAGATGATTAACACATAACTTCACCATATAATATCCATACATTATCCAGCAAGCAGGTAAAGACAATACTCAAACTTATTAGATAGAAGTTGTCAGTTATCTTGTTCTAACACCAAATTCTAGGTATACTTAACAAAGAAATGTGTAGCCGCTAGAGGGGAGGATAAAAAATGAGATCGTGGGAGTTTAAGGGTTTACGTGATTGGATCAATGACAGACAAGTTACCTTAATGAAGAACTTTATCGGCTCTAAGCAACGAGACCAGCCTTAAAAAAGAAATAGTGTTGTAGGATTGACCCTCCCCTCCCCTTCCCTCCCCTCCCCAATGCCATGCTCTGTTAGTATGTCCTTTGTTGCACATTTCTGTCAGCCTTATAGAGCACGAGAGCTGAAGGAGCTGAAGTGTCTTTGCACTGATGATGAGAAAACAATGATGAGTTGGATGATGGCTGTCAGAATTGCGAAGGTTGGTATCATTATTTTATAACAAATGTTGCGTGCGAATTGTCAAGTTGTGATCGTACTTTGACCCGATGTAGCCCATAGTAACGATCGTATAGAGTCACTCTCTGAACTATGACGCTCCTTGTCTGTCATTTGATGAAAGATAAAGTCAACACTTAATTATTGTTAATTTCAAAGATGGCAACAAACCAAGAGACGGAGGAGAGAGACAAAATTATCGCGACGATTTTGATATCGAAGGACAAGTTATTCGCCCCGCAAAGTTAATTTTAAGGAGCATTGGAATTATATGATAAGACCAGTTTTTCGCTGATTCTCTCTCACTGAGCCGGACAGTCGTCGATTAACTGTTTGTAGACACACGTAGGTCCAAGGAATGAAATGTCACGTGACGTCAGTGTGATTGCGTTGCTTGCAGTGCTTATTTAGTTGACAAGTTGAGTTATTGCATGGGTTATTGGTCTCATTGGGATGAGTTAAACTGATTATTTGCGGATAAACGACATTTGTTAAACGATGTGAAAACTTCTTCCTCTGGGAAGGAAAAGCACGCGAGATGATTAATAGCAGTGAATTTACCCCGGATATCTTTCTGCTTGGTGGTTACCGTTCGGTTTTACCCAGATAAGGTAAAACAGACGTATTTCCTTTTTTTTCTTAAAAGAAATGTTTGCATAGCAAGCTTGGGTGTCTGCCAATAACACTCAATTCTTAATATTTTTTAGGAGAGCACATACGTAGCTTTTTTAAGAGCCACTCGGCAAACAAATCTTGGAAATTACTGAGTTTTCTGTTGAGTGTAAAGTTTGCTGTATGAAATCGTAGACGTAAATTTGATCAAATTTAGTACAGTATTCATTATCGGAGGATGTCATCTCTATCCAAAAGAGGTGGCCCGTAGTCCTATTTTAGGCGATTTCACTGTATACCTGTATAATTCATGAAAGGTCTACACGGTTCAAATACCGCGAAGCAAGCTCTCACAGAGCAGCATGATTTTACAATGGTGGTTGAGCTGGGCCGAAAGTTTCCGAAAAAGTTGTACCGTCCTTAATAGAGAGAGATGGGAATTGAACATAATTTGTTTCAAAAAGCGAAATTGGTAATGTTTGTAACACATGCCACAGAGTTGTTATCGCGAGAGAATTTTATTGTTGGTAATTTAGTTGAGTTGTAATCACCTAGAGACGAAAGAAGTACTCACAATAAAACGTAAGGCCCACAATCCCACTTGAACTTTCTCTACCAAGTATATTTCCTCGAGTAAGAGTATCTGTGATGTATTGTTATTATCGCATGAAGGTGATGTGAATTAAGCTTCAATTTATGAAACACTAGAGCACTATTAGCGATATTTCGTTTCTGAATCAGTTTAATTTCACTCTTGAAATACTCTTTAAATAAACTTGCGATCATGCAAATAAAGCAACTTACCAATACTTGGTCAGACTGTTACGGAAGCCGAGACTCTTGTGGCGGCGACAGGTTGGGTTTCTCCTTTTAAGTTCACTGAGACGTTGTTTTGTCTTAATATTTAGAAAGGACAGAAATAACATCGGTTTTATCCTTTTATGGTGAAAATGGCACTGTTTGGTTTTTTTTAGATGTAGTTGCCTTTTTCACCTCAAAACTATGCTATAAGGATTAGATGACATCGTCTTCATCACACTGCCAGTTTGAGTTCACAATTAATCCAATTAGGCCGAGTAAAACTTTCTCAATTTGTCGACCGAGATAAAAGACTGTTATAGCCTGAACGCTGTAAGCTTCTTCAGAAGTGACGTAAGCCACATTGCTATTTAGGTGTTTCGTGTTACAGCTCAGTTGTCTCTGCTAAGAAGACTCCATGGCTGCACAATAAACAGGAACCGAATTATTTGACGAGATTTGGCTGTCTTCCCTCTCTTTCTTTTTTCTTTTTCTTTGTTTTTCAAGACGTGTGTCCTGTGTAATGTCGCCGTTTTCGCCCTACGGTAAACTTAGAGACACATTGATTTTTCTTGGAGGCAAAATTTGGTCCGTGTTTTTCTCTCTTCGAAATAAAACATTAAAAATTCTGCCCGGCAGCTTAAAAGTAGGCGGATTACCTTATTAATTTGATACTGTTTCCGTTACCTTAGAAACATTTATGTGGGAATCTCCCCTCCCACCTTACCGTAGACAGAATCTTGTGCAGTCACGTTATTCGGCTTCAACTAGGTCTATCAGAACCTTCCTTTCTTCTTGAGATGATTATGAAACAATGGCACTGTTTTATTAATTACTGAGTGTGTGGCAAGCTACTTGCATCATTATTGAAGGTTACTCTTGAGCCGCGCAAACGATCAGTTTACTTGCTGTCGGTGCCTCATGATATTTGTCCAGTTCTCGCATAAGATGTGAGTGGAATGATGATAAGGTGACCTCGAGTTGAACTTTCCATCTATTTTCATCACGCGACGTCATATAAGTGTGCTTGTCAACTTCCCGTGTTAAACAACTCTTAAAATCTTCCGTACCTCAAGTCGATCCACTCACAGTTCGTTTACCATTATAGTCTGTGGTGGCATACTCATTACATTCGAGTGTTTTGTAAAGATGTGTACAAGCGCCGTTGACGCTGCTGGTCACAGTCGAAGAAGCTTTCGGCTAAAGGTAGCAAAGAATTTTAGTGATTTTATAAGATAACACAGCTCTGTTGTTACTCTGTTCACTGTTTTGGCGATTATTACTCTGAAAGCTTTATGTGTGTATAGGGTTTTAGCTTTGTAAGAGAGAGGCATCTCAGAAGAACCTAATATACATTTTTTTGACTGGCTATGATGTCAGTTTTGTGCTGAGCCTGTTCAAGGCGTTTAGTTCATTATTGCGCAGCGTCGCGCCTTTCCGGCTTTGCCGTCGGTTTTGTTTAAAGGTTTTCGTAGCTCTTTCTCTTAAACGCAAAACTTCGCAGTTTAACTGCGTTTATCTGCTCGTAGCTGTCTTTGGAGACTGGGCAGGCAAATCTCTAAAGTAAGGATGACTTCTTCTTAAGATGTAAATAAGTTTCAATGCAGGTTGTAGTGCCGGATAGTCAGTTACTGTAACCTTCTCATAGAGAATCTTTTGATGAAGCCGTGACTTTTTACGGCAACAGCTGCGTCCTCTCGTAGTTCTTTGTTTTTCAGTAAAATTCACAAATTTGGGACCGAGTGTAAATGACCGCCAATTTTTTGTACAGACGTAAGGTGCAAACGGCGTCATTAAAACGTTCCTAAGTCCGTGTTTACCATATGTGTGCCGTTGTATTCATTTACAGTTGAGTGTTAAAGAAGTTATGAAAACAGATTTGTTTTTACAGTCCTTAATCAAGTCATTATCCGACCAGCCAGTTCTTACAAGTGTTCCCTTATCTCTCGCGGAACAGCTTTGCACGCTGGTCAGCACCCCTCGTCAGTAGTATGACGTATGAACTCATTTATTCCTCATTACTTCAAGATATTTATTTGACCCTCTAAACTCTTTAACAACTTTTGTTTTTTTCTCTCACGAATAAACACTGAAATATTCTTAGACAATTTCTGGAGCTAAGAATTTTTGCATTCTTTGGTAAGATCTGTGATATCTGTTTCTCGAATGTCTTTCCCACCTCATTGTGCAGTGGTCTTTCCGGATGGTTTTAGATGATGGTTTAGTATGTTTTCAAAAGCGCAGTCATTAAAAATCCAGCAGAGTGGTAGAATTGATGAAAACGTAACTTGAAGCATGCAAATTATAAAAAAAGGAAAAGGGAGTGCATAAATTTTGATTATTGTTCGGAAGTTAATGAGGTGGAGCAGATAAACATCACAGTGAATTTACCAGACAGGCCCTAACACGGACTACTTTATTGATTTCTTTCAGTTTGGACCTCAACTCCGACAAAATTACGACGACATGATACGAAAGTTTGCCAAGTTAACGAAGTACCGCGAACAGACATCTGAAAGTCAGGTAAGTCGTCTGTTACATAGCGATTTTGTCGGAATTATTTTAACACGATCATGACTTTCCACTGCGACGCCTGAAAGATTATTTAAGGAATGTAACACGAGGTTACCTTCCTTATACTCTTAATGTACATTGCGCCTCACGTTTCTGATCTTTTTTAAAACTCCAATTGACTTCAGCACATTTTATTGTTTTGGAAAAAGGCCCATGTCAAGGTAATCTTTAATTAAGATGTAGTTCTTTTTAATTAGCAACTTATTTGCCGCGGCGTTTAACCAGCCAACAAGCATTGTTACCTTTCCGGCTTTATGCAAGTACAGATTGAGGCATAAGAAGCTAAACAAGTACACTTTGGGTTGATAAGTGTCTTAAGTTACCAGTCCAATATCAGAGAGTATTGATTCAGCCTGTCCGCAGAACTGTACCAAGCAGTATTGATTACATGCTAAATATATGGCTTTTTGTTCTAGTCGCGGGTAGTAATTCCCTCAGGGGTTGCTACAGAGATTGAAGTTTTTATTAGCACATTATTGTGATAATTCAACAAAATTGCATTCTCGTCTCATCTCCGTTTATTTAAGAGACCTCTGTCCTCACTTATTTTGTGAAAGCTGTAAGAAATCATAAACTGATCTGGTTTCTGTCTTCGGTTTTCCCTTCCCCATAGGATAGCTAGTTAACGTTTTGGACATATAATATGTTGTAAAATTGCCTAGAACTCTTCCTCATCTGTAACTCTTGGAAGCATGTACACTGGAAATGTACCATACCTGGGATTAGTTTTTAGGACGCGACAAATGACTAAAATTAGCCTAATTATCGAGTAATAACTTAACAGAAACGTGAACTCATATTCTAACTTAGTGCATGCGAATAAACTTCCAACAACTAATATTGTAATTCTGGTATTGACACGGTCGATACTATGAATTCAGTGTCTGGTTGGAAATCTTTCCATTAGGTGTCGTTTTCCTTCGTATGTAGTATTTTTATACGGAAGTCTTTCCAAAAACTTTTGTCAAATTCTATAATTCCATACTATTGTAAAACAAAGCCGTAGTCCTAAAGGCAATCTATTATTTTCACTATTGTTCTGTTTATTCAGGAACTGTATGCATAATGAAGTAAGAGGCTGTGCGAAAATTTCGCTGTCAAGTTTTATTTTCGCTCTACAATTATTTAAAGAGTTTTCATATTTGAACAAAATAAAACGAATCTGTAGTTAGGTAAAGAAAAGACAAAGGCTATGCGGTGAAATGGATGTTTCTCACGCTGAAATGTATAAATATCTGCAATATATTGGAATATAAAGGCGAAAGCCAGGTTTCATGTCATATGCGCTTGTTTTAAAATATTAAAATGACGTAATGTGTGAAGCATGTCCCGCCAAATATTGCTGCAGTGTTCACATATAATAAGGGCTAAACCCTAGAAACGTTTGAAAACTCTTCTTCTGGTATGTTTTGATGTCCTGTGCAGATAATACGGACAAAGACACAAGATTTTGTCTTGATCGGTCGTTGGCTATTATTTCCTTCGGAAGAAAACTTACACTTGTAAGAACTGATAATTCATTTTTCTCCCAGTCGGAGATATATAATTGTGCTATTCAAGGTAATTATTTGTGGTTTAGTAATTAATTCCATACGCCTTGTCTTTTCATTTTGATGTCTTCTAATAGAACATAGTTCAGTTATTGTTCTGTACTTTAATTGTTGTACCTTAGGTATTCAAAGTACAGGATTTCATGCAATGATCAGGTGTTTTTCTTTTCGAGTTATGTTTCTTTGGTGACGGGAAGTCGAACGACTCGCTCGCAACTTTGAACCATCAGTGAACGGAAAATCTCAGTTATAAATGTACTGAATGGAGTCTGCTTAAGAGAATTAATTTGCGGTTATTTTCTGCGCCCAGATACGTGTTTATACCTTTCGTGTTCTTTGGCTTAATAGTAGGGCCCTCCGTGGTTTTGTTGTTGTTTTTTTTTTTAACTTTTGAAATGTTTGACACTTTTGCTAATAGCAGCACAGTATCACTTAAAGTTGACAAGTTTGAAAAGGACCTGTCAAAACTTACAAAGATTCTGCGATGGGGCGCAAACTTTCTTTATGAAAGCCTCTCTAGATTTGAAGGAGCCCTTCCAAGTATTTTTGATGGCTCATAGGGTCTAGACTATGTAAACAGTTGGAAAAATCATTAGCATATTTATAAGCCATCAGAAGTCACAAGAAGTTTTGTTTGGGTATCAGCGTAAACCGCATGTGTGCAAAGAACGAAAGGTTAGACGGGAAGACTTAGAAGTGATACCGCAGGTCATGATGGATAATGAGACAATCAAGTTGTAAATTTAAAAAAGTGTAATTAAAAAGGAAAATTGGTAAAGCTAGATTGCTTTTGAATTTTGTAAATGTGAAGAAACCGGAAGATAGAAAAATCGAAATTAACAACAAAGATATAAAATGGAAAGATGTCACTCACAATATAAATAACTAATGGTGTTCTTTCATTTAGAAACCCAGATGCAGTATTAGCAATATTCATTTATGAAGGTCTAGCGATTTGTGATGAAATCGTGAATTTGAGCAGATGAGTGATGAATTTGAGCGGATGAGAGATGAATTTGAGCGGATGAGAGATGAATTTGAGCGGATGAGAGATGAATTTGAGCGGATGAGTGATAAAACTGTGAATTAACCTCGTAACGACCCACATTTGACCATAGCCTTACTGTGACGGAAATTATCCGATATTGTTGAAACGTCTTAAATTCTTCGTTGGATATTTTCTGCCAGCACTACCCGGGATTCTTTAAGAATTAATC